AGTCGCAGAATTATGAAATCTAGAATTTACCACGATTTAATATATTTATCTCAATTATTGATAAACAATATACATTATGACGTCACACTACTATCTGGGTTTTGCATTTTATTAGGCACCGTTATTGGCAGCAATCGATTTCTCGAAAGTATGATAAAATAAATATTCTTTTAATCTTCATTTGTGTACCTGAATTGTGAAGAGATATTTTTAAAACTCCAGTTTCTTTGTTCTTTAGTTGTTGAAGCGAAATATCCACCTGCAATTTGCAGGTGACGAAACAATAAGGAAATTTTGTCCGAAAGCTTTTTAATCGTATTTTTTCGTATTATGCGGTTCATGAGTTTTAGTACCAAAAAAATCACACCATAAATAATTGTTGTATTTTTTTCAAGCCCGTACTGAGAATATTCGGAATATAATCAATACATATCAATAAAGCTTTGTATAAGAGGTGTTCATAGAGCTTCTCAACGATTTCAAAAAATTATAATTAGATATTGTAATAAAGTGTTTGATTCGAAACAAGACCTAAATGGACGCCCAGTATATAGTGTTGCAGTGCTGCTGCAAGGACAACTTTTCCGCAAACGAGCGTTGAAACGGTGACATTTGTATTGTCAATGCTACGGGACGAGTTCAATCCATTTTATTGTAGCCTACACGAATTGTTCATATGGATCGTTTTCTTCATTTTATCGGCCCCGAGTAAACTCAAGATCGGGATTCTGGATCAGACATATTTCAGAAGTAATATTGACTTTTATTTCCACAATATTTTATTATGTTTTCACTTCTATCTGAGAAAAACAAATAGCGCATTGCAATTAAACTGTGATTCGATTTTTACATTTCGGCTCGGCGGCGTGGCGCATCGTGCTAAGCGCTAAGAATACGCTCGCCACCGCATCTCTGATTACCCTTCGTGGGATCGCAGGTTCGAATCCTATGCGGGGATGATCATGTGCGAGAGGATTGCTGGACTCCTCGCCGCCGTAGGGTGGTTCACGTAACCGCTGGTCGGTTACGGCTTCCTCCACCATCAAGCCCATGCTTCGAAAACAAATAACTCGCTAACTAATCATATACCTGACCTGGGGCCCCATTCACAAAGCTTCGTTACCGCTTAACGTGTTAGTTAAGCACCGACTTTCTCGTGAAAAGCAAAAATGGTATTCACAGAGCTTCGTAAATATTCGAGAGAAATTATTCGAGAGAGTTTTTTTGGCGCCAAATGAGACGTCTCGTAAAGTGCCTTCTTCTCACATTTTATCGAGAATCGGTATTCACGAAAGTTCTTTAACCGCTGAAGAGCTCGCTAGCTAACGAGAACAATCTTCGCCTCGTTAACAGTTCGGATTGCTCTCAGCAGTGATTCAAATTAAAATAGGCTCGTTGGGACGTTAGCATACTTTGTAAAAATTGGCATAGTATCAAGGGGCCTTACTCAGGTAAGCGTGTATGTAGTCTAGTGCCGTTAACTTAGCTGTGGAATATCTGCCGCATTTACAGATTAAACTAGGGTTGAGATTCAGAGATTGTTCAGTTGTTGAAGTCATTGTTTTTTGTTTATTCTAGCACTGGCCTACAGTATTATGAACACAGATTCACAAATGGCTACCTATATTGAAGCTTGCAGAAGAAAAGTCCAACAATCTCTCCATGTCGTATCCGAAAGAAAAAAATTAGCTAGATGCAAATGAAAGGACCTTAATAGAGGACTATAGACTCAATGAAAAATTAAAAATATGGAATCTTAACAAGCTTTGGCAACTCACTGATTTTATTGTCTGTTACACAAATAGTTCACAATATGTAATTTGTTTTGTGGCAATAAATCTCTCTCTGTGTAACTTCAGCATTTATTCCATGTAGCCTATCCGTCAGTCTATAGATTACGCCACTGCTATATGAACAAAATTTCAAAACGCAGCCTGCAAAGGTGAAGCAGAGAAAGCCGATAGGTTACCGCCAGGGTTGCCATCTACCCAGAGCCAAAAATAAGCACAGGCGTCGAAATGTTATTTTCCAAGGGGAGGGGTCTCAACAACGGCAGAAACGCAGAATAAGAATGATATCATACACGAGTCTCCCACTTTTTATCATTAGAAGTCGCTTCGAACATGGTTGTACGCAGCTCCAAAATTGCAAAAAGCTATGAAAAGACATGGAGTCACTGCCACACGCAATCTCTAAGACAAAAGGTTGGCAACCTTTGTCGCTCCCGGGCCAAAACCAAGTGTTACAAATCTTGGGGAGCCGCACATATTTTTTCAAGAAATTAAAAAACTGAACGGGTGGCTGATGAAACACATTATTTAATAGCGAGAGAACACTGCGACAACTCGTGGACTCAAGTCGTCTTAATATACGAAATATTTACAAATAACATTTAATGCAACACTAGGTGACACAGGTAGGAAGAATTTTTATCAGGTCAAAGGTCGGGGAAAGGTCCATTGTGGGCACCGATTACTGTTTTCCACCTTCGTCGATAGCAGTAGTTAATAGAAAAAATTCTTTTCATGTTCGAAACAGAACTCATGGTTACCCTTACTCTAAATTGCAGCTTGTGCCTAAAAACAGTATTCCTAAAAACTAGCAGCAACTATTGTGTGTGTCACAGTTTGCCTGAAAATAACGCAAACCCCACCGTTGACAGAAAAAGTTCATCCCTCGTTTCCACGCAAGCTTTGTACGCAAAACAAGGACTGGTCATCCACGTTTCTAAGACCAAATAAGCACGCCTCTCAAAAATAAGCACTTTTCTTAGAAATAAGCACATTGTTACTTTATAAGACATGGACTAGAAAATAAGCACAAATCTTAGAAATAAGCACGGTATGGCAACCCTGGTTACCGCGAAGGCGAAAGACGCTCGACCGTAAGCGGCGACAACTGATACGGCTGAGTGATCAGTCAGTGCATTTTGTTCAACTGCGACCGTGCGTAAGATTTCGAGAGAATGCTAGTGACCGTGCGTCAAGTGCTTACGAGGTCTTTGGTGAATCGCATTTAACGAGATTTCGCTATCACGATTCTGAGAGACACAGTTACGAGATCGTAAACCCGGCTTTTTACGAAGTTTAGCGAATGGCGCCCCTGGACTGGTAACCGGACGAGAGGCCATGGTTCGCCATATGATTAAGTCGTCTTATCGACTTTCCTCTCCCCCGGGATAAATATGTAAATCCTATCCTATCCTACATTTAGGGTGACTCCCGCTATCTATATTCAAGTTTATTTGTTTAGGTTTGTTGTGATTTGTTTTCCCTTTCGCGAGTGACCGCGTTTAGGACATTTTAAAATAATTTTAGAATTTGTCAACTTCCCAGTTTCTTCGCTGTAATATTTCGTGTACATTGTCTTTTTACGAATGAATCGAAATAAAATATGTAATGTGCATTGTACATTCTTTCTTGGATGTACATGGACACTAGTTAGCACTGTAAGGAGGAAAATTATCAATCACCCCGCAGTCATGGTCAGACTTAAAAAAAATTTGCTGTGATTGGTTTGCTTTGAAAAAAAAGTCTTGGTCAGTTCTGCAGTTCGCTGAGGTTTAATTAATATAGAAGGGAATAGTTCAAGGGGTACCGTATTACGTTGAATTGGGAATTAATTGATTAGTCGTTACTGTACGTTACCAGTGACGGTACATTGGCATATTTAGAAATTGTAAATTTTTTTTCTAATTTTGGATTTTATTGAAAATACCGGTACTGCAGAAGGTGTTGTATCAGTTTATGTTGTTACTGCTGTACTGTGTTATGGCTGTATGGGATATTTTATTTATTTGACCTTATGAGCTATGGTGCTAGACCTACTATCAATCTATCATAATTCATACGGTAACTTAGTTAAATTCGAGTGTGATTTGCATTTTAATCATACCCTTACTGCAGTACCGGTACTGCCGTATGGTTTTAATATTTATAACTTAGATCTATGACATGAAATTTTTAATAAGTTCTGACAAAATATAATACTGTAATTTGATTATGTATATTGTTATTTTTTCTGCACATTCTGACGGGTCTCATGTAGTTTTGTACCTAACGTACTTTTAGTGGGCATAGCATAAAAGTTATTTGACATGTCAATCTTAACCCCCACCTGACTACGCCATCCGAAAATGATGTCATAGAGCTTGCCAAATATACGTAAGATCGCCTGAAACGGCATAGGCGCCGACGATAAAGAATTGACTGACGTCATCGAGCTCTCTCATACTGTCATATTGGGATCGCTGCTGAAAAAACCAAAGAAATAGCTGTTCGATTTCGGGTGCTCATCTGCGCGTTATGGATGCCACTTCGTATAGTTTGAAGGGCTCTATTATGTCACTGTGGCGTAATTTTTGAATGGCGTAGTCAGGTGGGGGTTAGGATTGACACATGAAAAAATTGTTATGCTACACCCACTACTGCACTAGAAGTACGTCTTTTGTTTTGGACAACCCTGCCTATAGACACCCCTTTTTCATATTTTTGATATTAATTAGGGTATTGAAGATTTGTAAGGATCTCAAAGGGGCCAAACCACCCTATTGGTTTCCTGTAATTTCACTTTAATGCACGAGTAAGAGTGTAAAAAGGATAGGCATATTCATCGATGGGAAGAGGAAATTCGATAAGACTGTAAGATGTCCAGTGGTTACTAGTCCATGTCACGTATGGGATTAGTTGGCTAGTTATTTTGTTTTCAGATGCATGACCTTGATTGTGGAGGAACCGTAACCAAGGCAGGGAGTCCAGCAATCCTCTCTCACCTAATCAACCCCCACAGAATTGTAACTTGCAAACCGAACAGGATAATCAAGGGGTTCTATGGCAAGTGTAACCCAAATGCTGAGCATGATGCGCCACACTGCTGATCACATAGTTGTTCTCGAATGTTAAAGCGCTACTTTGAATTATATCGATTACTTTGGTCAGTTTGTTTTAAATTTTTTTTCTTTTCTAAAATGTCTTGCTAGACTGTATAGGTGTCATTTTACGTTATTGGTAAAAGTAATGCTGGATGGGCACACTTCATCTTCAACCCCACATGTTACTGGAGATGAAATGGTCGGTAGTGGTGCAAGAAGAAAAGTCTCTAGTCCATTGCATGCTCCAATCAATGAGGATCAATCCAAAACACACACGGCGGAAAATATATCAGTGACGCCATGGACAATTTCTCATTCAGCAATACCAGGAAATAATTTCAAAAAACGTGAAAGGAGGCATATATATCATGACATTGTCCCCCTTAAAAATGATGATAAAAAAAATATTCATGAAGGAGCAGGTCAGAGCTCCAACACTGAAGCACAAGTTGGGAATTGTTTGAATTCTGAGTTGAAGTCCAACAAGTCAATAAAGCCTGCTATACCTCCTAAACCAAAATATATTTTGCGTGATAAACGACAAAGACATGTTTATCAGACTATCGATTTGCAGTCAAAACTAAATGGAAGCATTCCCCCACCACTGCCCAATAAGCCTCCAAGATTGCAGTATTTTAATAAGGATGGTGTACCCCCTCCACTACCTCCACGAGTCGTAAATGATGAAGCTGTAAAACAACGCTATAAGCTTGATCAGGAATATTTTGAAAATTTACGCAAAAGTGTTGACGAACATTTATTGAATCTGGCAGAGGCAGATGATCTTCCTGTACCTATACAACACAATATTCCCTCTGGTAACACCCATGACACTAGGCGACATAATTATGGTGCACACAGTCCTCCTTTAACCATCAATCCTACTGATTTGACATTTGATACAGCGCTTAGGCGACACTCGCTGCCTCTATATGAATCTATCCCAGATGTGGACAGAAATGCTACAGCACCACCAATCCCGAATAGACCTGTTGTTAGGACATTGTCAAATGAAAATGATACTGAAAACAATGATATAATTCCACATGAGTTGCCTGTTGAAGCGGGAGTAAATACCAACTTACCTCATGCGAAATTGGCAGAAAACTTATTATTGCTCAAAAAATGTGGATGGTATTGGGGAAACATGACATGGCAAGAAGCCGAAGCTCTACTTACACAGAAGGAAGGCGAAGGTAATTTCTCTATTATGATGTCATTGTGCAGTTGTTCTCAAACTATCAAGATTGGTAGCTCCCTCCCAAAGACTCTCACCACTGCATGCTCTCCAATAGAAAAGGAGCCCTTTGGGGGCTCACTTTGAGAAACCCTGTCATATTGTTGCATAATTTCATATAGATTTCATTTGCTCTAGTCTAAACTAATAGTGTATGCCAAATTTCATCTCATATACTCAGAATACAAGTTTCTGTAAACAGCAATTTCAAACATTTGACTTATTATTGTAAAACCCTTTTTTATTTAATTAAGTAAGTCTTCTGGTCAAACATATACTTAAGCTAAATATTCAAGGTACTATTTAGTTACTTGTGAATGTAATTAACAAACCTAGCTATCTGGGTTTTGAATCATGTTCTGTATGACTAATACATACAAATTTTCATATTTTGAAGGAGTATTTTTGATGCGTGACAGCCAGAATCCTCTCCATCTTCTAACAATCACTGTGCGTTCAACAACCAACACCGTACATCATATCCGTGTAGAATATTGTGAAGGTTTGAATTTTTAATACTAATAATGAACATTTAATGATTAGTATCGTGAATGCCTGTGATTTCGTTGTTAGTTTCACATGATTTGATTTTTAATATCTTGTGGTTCTTGCAGTGCTTGCAGGGGGTTCAAATATAATTCACATAAATATTGATCATAGGAATAATTATGAATATTTGCTTTTCTAACAAAACTAGTTTCCACAATGAGATCATTTGTAAGATTCTCTCAATGATAAGATTTGAGTAGGCAAATGAAATAATAATGAATATCTCTGTTAGAAAATTTGCTTTTCTAGCGAAACTAGTTTCCACAATGAGATCATGTTTAGGATTTTCTTAATGACAGGATTCAAATAGGCTTATTTGCTAAAACAACATTTTTATATTTGTGCACTGCAAAAATTCGGATCTTTGAAATTATTATGGTTTTTATAATTATAATTTTTTTTACTTAACTATGGCGCAATATCACATATTTTCAGTATTTTAGGTTAAGGATGCACAAAAAATACATTATTCAGTCTTGGCTGGTTAAATGCTATACATGTGCTTTTTCTTTTTTGGATTCTGTTTATTTGTAATTTGATTAGCCTTTGTTTGATTTTGTATCAGGATATACCTTATTACGCTGAAATAAATCGTCGACCAAGTTAATTTCACATTACTAACTCTGGTTTTTGTGCCACATTTCTATTGTTTCATTTTTTAATCACAAGTTAAAAAGTGCATCTGTAGCTCAGTATAATGGCTATCATAGATTAGCGAAAACAAGGAAATTTGAGACAGGATGTTATGTCACATGAACATAATATTGCTTAGTTATGCACTCATTAATGTGTCATCGCTAGAATAATTTCATAATATGCAAGTAATTGTAACATGATTTCATACCTCAGGATGTCTGTCGATAATCATACTATAGCCTCCAGTAGTCAATTATAGCACTGAAGAAAGTGTCATTTACAATTATGCTAATAACATGTGTTTGAAGGCAAATCATTCATATTCCCTATTCATAATTATACATTTCATTCACCCTGTGGACGTATTGTCTGGCTTTTGTTCCAAATGGCAAATTTTGTATCAACTGGTTATTCAAAACATTAACTCAAATACAAAAATCTACAATGGCAATATTTTCTTGCTTAAATTTTTTTCAAATTAGTGCCCTTTCTAATCAGCTTTATTGTTTTATTTTTAGTATCTATTTTGTAAACATACATCACAAATACAGTTAATGCCAAATACTTCTAATCCTAAAAATGAGTTTTTCTTTGAATTTTTATTTACTTTTAGTAGTTTGTGTGTAAAATTAACGGTTTTAATTTGTTACTATCAACATACACCGTAGTTTCATAGTTGCAAATAGCATCAGTTGATGCAAAACCTATAAAATTTTTGTTAAATTTGCAATAGATTTTAACTACTATTGTTCATTTTAGTATACATATGGTGTATTGTATAGCTTTTGTGTATTGCCACTCTCCAATATTTTTATTTTGTACTCGCAGGAAAATTTCAACTCTATGAACCTGGTCGTGCTGTAAGTCGAAGTGCTGCACAATGTGTTCGCCACTCAAATATTGAACAGTTCATCAAGCTGGCCGTAAAGCACTCTATATCAGGAAGTTTCTTGTATTTCCTCAAACCAAAAAATATGGGCGAACCACCGGTGCAAATAAGGTTGCTAACTATACTGATTGTCAGTTCATGTGTGTGCTTTTGTATGATGTATTTGTAAATAGATGTTATATTACCGAAGTACATATTTTTTACTTTCTGGTTCATTACATATTTATAGCATTGTTGGTAATAAATGTTTTTTTACCATAAGCAATTTGCGGTTATGTCTTTATGTGCCGAAAACGTCCTATTCGCTAACTATGTGGACATAATTTGTCATAGCTATGTAATTCATATTGTATTTAAAGACATTCACATGTCAATATTCAAATATTTCGGTATTTATTGCTTTTGCGTTTTATATAAATTAGGACATAGATGCAAGATTGGCAAATTTCACTGGAAAAGCAGTACTTGACAAATGCAATTTTCAGAAAGGCTTTTCAAATATTTTCGTTTTTTTAGGAAACTTTGCTCAAATCAAGGTTACGCGCTGAGTAAATAAGACTGAGTTATGGTGCCAATAGCTACCAAAACTTTTGAATCAATAAGGATGGTTACTTGAGCGCTATTAGTAGGTACAGGATTGGCATAAGATTTGAAACATTTCTGCTTCGGCTCTCATATTCCTTGAGCCTATACGCATTAAGTAACCCATCGTTTATTCTGCTATAAAATTTTCTTTCTTCTAGTTGTGTTTTAATTTTTCTTATTTGTTAAGTTACTTTCTATTATAGTAACGAAAGTGCATATGTTTTCAGGTTATTAACTCCGATTTCGAGGATGTCTAAAATCAAGTCTCTCAAATACATGTGCAGAATGACAATAAGAAATTGTGTTGTTGCGGAATTGATTCCTTCTATTTCTGTTCCACCTAAAATCCAACAGTACTTGATGTCTGGACCGTACTATGACACAGATGAAGACCTCTGAAATAATTTGCTTTAACAACTGAATTATAGTATGTGAAGAATTATGGTTTTGAGAAATTGTTTCTGGAATCATATAGAGCAAAATCAGGAATTTGGAATGATATCTTCACCAATAGCTTCAGTGACATACAGATAGAAAAATTTTTAAATATATAATTGGTTATTACCCTGTTCAAAATGTTCATATGATTGGCCAAAGTGGCATATTCCCACTACTGCTCATTTTCTGCTGCATTTGTGCTAGTAGATTATTGTAAGCTTATCTGATGAAGTAAACCTTAGTATTACAGACTAAAATGTGTAGAAGTGTGAACCACATAAATACTAAATAAATGGTCATGTTGTTTGACATAGGTTATGCAAACAAGCCTTCCAGTCTGAAACTAGGTTATTTAGTCGGATAGTTAAGCTATAACATCTGTATTGAATGGCCCGTCTTTATTTGACTTCCAGAATATAATTTTACGGAAACATTCAAAGTAGCAGTAGTTGAATTTTGATATAGTATTGGTACTAAGTAACCAATTATTTAGATTTTGACCATTCAAAATAAGGGTCAAAATGCTCAAAATCGTACTGCCAATTCACAGTTTACAATAAATGAAATCTTGTTTGCCTGTTGTTTTGTACGAAATTTGTCACCACTAACGCCACTTATACGATGGAAAATGAATCTAATTTAACTATTTTCTAATACATTTTGATGCAATGTTGTGTTTAAATATACCTAGATATGTTTTGTAATCTCATTATCCACAAATTTATATTTGTTATATATATTTGTATGTATTCTTTTGTGTGCAATATTGGCATTTTAATTTGTCGTTTTCAGCATTACTCATCTGCTGCTATATAAGAGGTAATGTTTCACAGTGTGTGGTTTGTTGATTCTCACTAATAAATATATATTGTGCATCAATGTATGGCGTTTATTGAAACTTCAATTTGTACCAAATTTTTTTTATATAGGGATGATAGCTCTCCATATTTAACGCAGATAATCGTAGAATTAATCGGCAACAACAGTACATTCCAATCCACATTTGTTTTGGATAGGATTTCCATGTTTATCTGGGGGGGAGGAAAGCCGACAAGACGACGTAACCATAAGGCGAACCACGGCCTCGTCCGAAGCTTTTCTGGAAGAGCGCAGCGACAAAGACAGATGGAGAAGTGCATTCTATCTGGTTTTATACCGTAGCTCAATGTCTGTGAATGATGATCAGACATTCAGCATCCTTTTACATTGGTGTACGTCTTCGTTTGTATATTCAAAGGTACCGTAATCGACACGATAGTTATTTTTATGGTATTCACCAGTCCATGGTGCAGAGATCAGAAACCGTGAATCACTCTCCAGCTATCTTCTTGCAGACTCCGCATGAAATCAACAATAACACTAGATAGCAATCAGAGACCGCCGACTTATCGATCTTTGCACGTAAACGCCCCACATCGCGGATAGGGCATTGTTAGGCACACAATCGTTCGCAGCAACGAAAATTAGGGGAACCCCCAAAACAGAAACTATTCGCTCTGACTCAATAGCGACACCGCGTGTCCCATCATTGATTGATCAATAACTCTAATTATACGACATATTTCATCCAAACTCAATAGGCTTCTGGTTCAAGATATGATTAATGCACATACAAAATTTGGAGCGGATTCAACCTCGCTTCCGTGAGATATCGCGTAACATACGAAAGTGTCTAACAGACGAATACCTATCAACATAATTACCGATTGAGATCGATAAGTAATAACTACTATCTCTGGAAGGAGACTCGACTATTGATTTAAAGAAAAGACTTAACTTCAACGTTAACAAAAAAGGAATGTTATATGTCGATTTTCTAAATCCCGTACCTGTTTTTCTATACCATATATGTCTAAGTTTGGTACAATACTCCAAGTAAGCTACCAGTCAATTTGAGCAAAAAGCATGGATTCAGCTCCACGAGAATGTTAAAAACCACTGCACTTACAGTATCAAAACTTGTGGACCATAGTATCGTACTAGTACCGGTTCTGTACCCGGACTTGCCCAGCTTTACCAGGTCCTATGACAATGATGATTCATGCATTTTGTGCCAACGTGTTAAATGATTCGATCCACAGCTATAGTCACGATTGGAAGATTAAAAACCATGTTTCCTTGAACAAAAAGAATACAGCAGAATTTTGGATGAAATAAATGATCTCATAAGATTCATAGAAAACTTAGGAATAAATAGAAGTATTAGCCTTCTAGTCTTTTAAAATTACGATCTTAAACCACTGAAAATCTCAAAGAAAATAGTCCAGTAGTTAATGGGAAAATAGTCCAGTAGTTAATGGGAAAATAGATTTTTTCATACCGTAACAACAAGAAGCAAACTCTAACAACAACACAATAACAAAACGATTCATAAGTCCATTTAGTGTCCAATAAGCACAGATTTAAGAGTAAGACTAGGTAACAAGATACGGAGATTTTTTATTTGCTCAGTTTGATAATCGAGTTTGGCAATATACGAATAATTTTTTTATTCTAATTTAGAAGCATAATCTCGCCTTCCCACAATATTACTCATTTCTAAAAAATTTTAACATGTAGGCTACCTCCTACTAATTTTTTAAATAATCATTGTTTTACATTCAACATAATTTTGTCGTATTAATGTACCTCATCCTCACCAATCTGCTACATAGTAAAATGAACCTGAATTAAACTGCATTTTGTTAATTAATTTTTTCTTTATTTCTTTAAGCTACTTTGGCAAAATACCTATTTACGTTTTTCTTTTTATTATATTAGGGAAACCCAAAATTCACAACTTTTTGTATACATACAGCCACATCATGGCGTCGTCGGTTTCATTGCAATTGCTTCGATAGTGCAACACTTCTTTCACTTCCATCTTGCTCAATTGGCCGATATCTACAAGTTCTTTCATCATTGCGTTAAGTTTCAAAACAAATACTTTGTTTGCCTTCGTTTTTCTCGTATTGAACACCAGAATTCCACACGGTTTCAAGCAATGAATCATTCGCTAAAACAGGGCTACTCAACTGGCGGACCGCGGTCCGAATCCGGACCTTTCGAGTATTGGATTTTGACCGCACCTAATTATTTATTTTGGATCATTAGCCCCACTTTTTGAATTTCCTATTATAAAATGACTTCCATAGTTTTGAATATATACGAAAAGAACTATAACACCATAATAAACAATTTTAATTTTCTACTAATCATTAGTAGAAACAGCAGGGTCGAGGAAGTGCTCGTTTAAGGATGCCGAAATATCATTTCTGGAAAGACCGGACCCAAATAATTTTGAAGTTTTGTTTGCGGACCTTCGATAAAAATAGTTGAGTAGCCCTGCGCTAAAATATATCATAAACAAAAAAAAGGTATATTACGGATCGTGCTGCTTTTGGGCATTCGAAGATTTAAAACGACACTAAAATCTATTTTTCATTGAAAAAAAAACTACTTCTGCGTAAATTTCATTTCTCATCTTATTTTTTTCATGGAGATTCACGACATGTGATCGAAAAAAGAAAAAGTGAAACAGTAACAATAGGTGACTGGCGATTTAACCAAACTCCTCCAAACTCCAAAACCAAATACCTGAAAACTTTTTTAATGTGTTAAATCCAAAGTGTTTTCGTCTACCAAAAGATGTTGTCGCCGGCAGAGCATTCATTCAAATCATAATCCAATTATAACCGACTAAAAAGTCATATAAAATATATTTTACAATCTTACAACAATACATCCTTCCTCCAAATGATTTGCTCCAAGAGCCCCAGAACAAATCACGGTGTCGTATATATTTTGTCCTACTGGAATTGATGCTCCGGGTGTAATTTTGAAGCAAATATGTTTCCTGCATTACATTTGTCATGATTATTAATGTAGTGCAATTTTGTAAATTAACTAATTGATACATTATTTTACGTCACTTCAACGTAATTGTCGGTCGGTCTAAATTTTTTCTGTTGTAGCTGGAATTTTCAATAAGTTTTTTTTAAGTCAAGTCGGATCAAGTGCTGAAAGATAAGGAAATATCAAAAAGAATATGACTTGTCTACCCGAATTAGAATAAGACCTAAAAATAGCTAAATCGAGCCTCCGAAGTGCTAAGTACAAATAAAAGTTTATCAAAGTCATATAAGAAAACGCTGAGATATCCGTGGGAATTATGGGTTTCATTTTAATAGATATAATAATAATCTTGTGGCGATGAGAACAAGCCCTCCACTCATTCAGGGATTAGGGAAAGGTAATTATGCAGTTCATCTTCGATGGTTCTCAGTTTCTTTTGTTTTTTAGCTTTTATTTTCCTTTTCAAATATGCTTGATTTTAGGAATTTGTTCATTGTTACGGAAACAAGAGAGCTACGCCCAAATATATGGACACGTCTGTTCGCAGTACAGTACGGTTTACCGTACCGTCGATCAGCGCGTATGTTAGTCGTTGATCAGCGTAAGGAAAAAATCGTAGCAAAGTACCGTAAGGACTTCGTTACGAACCATCGACGTTCGATGGCACGTGATCAAAAATAAGAGGAAAGTCGGCTATGCGTCCGCAGAACGTTCGGTGACGTCATAGCAAACAAAAACAAATCTCACAGAGCTAACAGGAATATTGGAAATAAATAAAAGTAATAGCCTTCTGGAGAAAAAATTCATCTTTAACCAGTAAAAATTTCGAAGCAATTGGTCCAGTAATGAAAGAGAAAAGCGGTTTTTTAGATTTTCCACTAGATGTCCAAAAAGTGTCAAAGAACAACAACAACAACAAGACCAACATAATATTGAAACGATCGTTATGTCCACTACGTGTCCAATAACTGAGGAAATTGGCTAACTACCGTAAGATCCTGTTATGATGTCATAAAATCCTAGAACAAGATTCAGTGATAAAGTCATCTTAACCGAAAACGTATTTGGGAAATTTTGATTGACATGAAATTATTATCATGAATATGTCAATCAGAATGAATTGGGGAAGAACAATTTTTCCCAGAACCATATATTTACGGCAGAACACTCGTTGAAAATCACTTCCCAAGCGCCATCGGAGGCGCACCTGTCACTATCAACGGCCGGCAACCAACTTGCCTAATGTTAAACAAGTTCATGGACGCCATCTTGTGCCATATTTGGGAAACGCGAAACAATGGGGTCTTATGGAAAAATTTTGTCGTGTTGTTGTACCGAATCGAATAAGTCCGCTGTTATAAGGGCTAGAATGAAACCGAAGGGTGGATTTTGAACTTTAAGATATATGCTATCTAAATATATAACGCAATCAGGAATAAAAAACTATCTAATGCGTTAAATTTGACCACAAATACAGCGTAGAACCATTTTTGGTCATTTTTTCAAAGATTTTATAGTGATACGCCAATTTGAGGCGGTAAAATGTCTCCGCAACAATCCTACAATGTCATTTGTTCTTCTAGCGCAGCTTGGAGCTGAGCAGTAGGGCATTATGGAGCTTGGCAGACGAAAAATGTTAACCAGAAAATAGAAACGGCCATTGAGGCAAAGTTGGCTCGGCCGGTAATTTCGACGAATAAATACAACTTTTCATCTGTGACGTCATAAGGAACGCCATTGTCAAATGGTTAATTATGACGATGAGAATGGCCAATTTACTTCGGAAGCAACTCGGAACCGGTATACTTGTCTTCAAAGACAATTTAATGTACTATAAATGTAATTTGGCCAACATGAAACGATATAAGCATGTACGGCTAAGATTCTACTTCAAAACGCGAACTTCAAAATTTTTCTACCTCAAATATTAGTGAAAATAATAGGTATGTTCCAACAATGACATTAAACATGTCATTGTTTAATGTCATTGGTTCCAATAATTGTGTTGGAACTTTTCATAAGGCGCCGTGTTAAATTGCCGAGAACAATAGGCACAAGATGGCGTCCATTGTCTGAGCGTTGCCTCGCTTATATTATATATACGCTTTGGTCACTATCACAGCAAAGCCCATATATACCGTATCACAGAATCCAAACAGCTCCTTGCTGGGGCGGAAACCCCCTTCTATTTCTGCATAGTTTATTGCTGATCTGGGTGATAGTTATTGAAATTGCGATACTTTGATCTATTGTGATAAAAGAAGACATTCTAACGAAGTATTGGTACCGTATATAAAGCATTTTCTTTGGGCTCATACAGAGATCCCACATCCAGTAGTGTGTGCCTTTGTGGTACATATTTCAGCATTTACCACCTGGCAGTCACCAGTGTTATATACAGGTTGTAATTGTACCAGGGAAATTTGTTTCGGATTTGCATTTGCTAACTACATATAAATAAATATATCCCATCCTACATTTTTTGATATTTTTCTAAGATAGGATAGTATTTACATAAGATAAGTTTATTTCGACTCCATAATCAGCAGAAAGGCGATAAAACGGTTGATAAAAACAAATAAATAAAAACTGATTATGAAATCAGGAGAGTAAACAAAACCTTGGGTAAGGTTTAAAACGTTCATTCTCCTGATCTATAATCCTGTGTTCATTTACCCTGTGTTGAATTGATTTCTGAATTTGCGATGCGGCGGATCATGCTAAGCGTTAGGAATACGCTTGCCACTGCACCTCTGATTACCAAGCGTGGGTTCGCATCCCATGCGGTGTTAGCTATGTGCGAGAGGATTCAGGGATTGCTGGACTCTCGTCGCTGTAGGGCGGTTCATGTAGCCGCTGTCTCTCTCCACCATCAAGTCCATGCTTCCAAAAAAGTACCGTAACTGCCTAACTAATCCTATACCCGACTCAGACTGACAACTGGACGAGAGGCCATGGTGCGCCATTTTTTACTCACTTGCAACATTCAGTGAACAATTGAAAATTCATCTCTCGAGTGGTTATGGATAGAATAGAAAAAAAGACCATGTGTTATTCCTTATATATTCAAGTTATATATTTATTACATTATTGCTTGATACTGATTTTTGATTTAGTGTCCATGATCTATAATTTAGAACTTTAGTTCTTATTTTGCCCAAAATCTTGATTAACTTGCCCTCGTATAGTAATAACCAACCTTGCAACATTCGAAATATTAAAATAATGCCCACTATAAACAATTGCCTAATGTAGTTTCTTCATTGTTCATCTTTTAATACCAGTAATACTCCTTAGGGTGTTACAGCTAGATAACCTCTTGGGGTTTTCTGCGACTCCTCTCACCTGTGAATGATGCTTTTTTCTGTTTGTAAAAATGTGTTTTCAAATTTCACAAGGTGATGAAAAAATATTACTCACTTACTGATTAAGTTGTCTTATCAGCTTTCCTCTCCCCCAGGATAAATATGTAATTCCCATCCTAATATTCCTCATTACAGTAGGCTTCTTATGATTTTAATGGAAACCATCTGAAATGTTTAGGTAGTCTATGCAGCTATGTTGAGTGGGTTCTAACTTCTTACTTTAGCTTATGCCTAATCCTAATTCTGAATATTGTACATGATGCAATTGTGTTTTGAATTTAAAGTTATCAAATTGACTATCATATCATGCTTAAAACTTGGTGTGGGCCATAGTCTCGTCTCATGGGAAACAGATTCTGGTAAGGTTTTGTCACTGTACGATCGTGAGAATGTTGAGCTTAGTGCGCTCATGTAAAAGATTGAATGAACGGTTATTTATCACCACTCAGTGGAACCAATTCAAAGGTAAGTTTCTAATTCATAATTGTAAAATGCCGTAATGAAACAGAGTTTTGCCTTTTTACTGTTTCAACAGAAAACAATATAGCTACTACAGTAAGTCTAAAAGTATGATGTATTGTTGCAGTTCTGCCACTTAGACTTAGCCTACAGTTTCAATACTGCCGGATTGAAATGAATCTCATTAGTTACCAGTAACCTCTTTATTCTGTTATTACTTTACATGAAACATGCAATGATTCATGTGACTATCCTAATTATTTTTTGCTCAAAAAAAGATTTTTGACTCGCCGACTGCCTGTTAGGCCAATTAGTGGAATTTGTATAGTTTGTTCAAACTATCAAAGATACTGTTGAATACTTTGTTCCTGGAAACAGAATTTAGGGTTCATATGACAAATAATATTACTTTTAACAGCACAGTGTCTTCAGTATTCAAATAATCATGATAATGAGAGAATTGAAAAAGGAAATGATGCGATTAAACCCATGGAAAACTTTGTCAACCGGAATCCGAGAAATTTAGAAAGACTGTGTTACACTATTAAGGATTATGGTTGGGGAATGGAATGGGGAGGATATGCCAAAATATTATCAAGCAATTTTCCTAGAAGAAACTATTATCACAGGTAAGAGTACATTTATTTTGAATGTACGTCGTATAAACGGCAAAGCGAAACTCAACATTTCTAAAATGCATTCATTTCAGATTGTTCTGGCAGCAAGCATACACCATTGTTACTACTTACATAAATGAAGATCCAAACCAAATTTTATTCAAAAATCAATTTTCTATTCAGACTTATTCTGAGACATTCATCGTGGCACATGTATGCTGAAGTTGAACACCATACTGGTCGCATTGTTATCGATGCATCAACAAGAGAAAAGTAAATCTAATAATATTCAATTTTATTTATTTTATATTATGTTGGAAATGAATGTTACCATAATATGCATTTCACAGGTACATTAGAAAGCGGTTACACTGTACTACAGATGTTTCTGCAGCAGCTAACCTTGGAAGAGTGATAGCATCTCGGTGCTTGAGGGCTGGCATTTCATGTGTTTCGTTCAGATTCCCTGAATTATATGAAATCGAATCAGAAAGCATAAATCTCTTCAAAGAAGCAGCTGAAGCTGAGGGTTTGTGTCTAGAAGAGCCATCTTACAGACGACTCGGACATGTGAAGCCGCATGAGCTACCAACTGGGCCCTCTCCTCCAGAGGTTGAGTAAACATCAGGATCATGGTGAAAAGCCGAACTGATCAATCGACTGTTCAGCACTCATCTCACTCATCCTCCTCCAGTCCACTAGAATCATTTTCGCTGGTTTTGAGAAGTGGGAGGACAAATAAGTGAAGTACTTCAAAAACAATCTGTGAAATGCAATTTCCCATATTAGGTACTGATCTTATATGAAAAAGTAAGTTTGTTTGTTACTTACCTCAATAAAAATCAGAAGTACAATCAATATTTCTACACGTAGTGATCTTTTTTCATGCAGATCTGTCTTCAGTAGCTCTGCCATGTGAGCACAGTATGTTAGTTTTTCATTCATCAGATGCACTCTTCTGTTTATGTTGAGATATCTGAAGCAGTATGCACAATGATCAATTGAATAAGTGGATTAATAGGGCTTTGAGTGGTTAATTGAATGCTTGTATGTCGCACAAGTTTCAATATACGACTTTATTGTTATCCCACGAATCGCCACTTCTCAGACTTGCATGGAATGTAGAACATTCTTGACGAGTACAAGCCAATTGTTAAGACTGGAACAAATTGTTTTAGTAGTGGAATGCACCAAGGCACCAACATACCTTGTGGTACTCACATAAAGCTTTTCCAGATTTTCATGATCCCAATAAGTATCTGGTACATCGAGAAGGTTGTATTGTAGGTTGACTCTGTGCCTATTTTAATCATATATAGAAATCAGAATAGGAGAAATTTGGACATTATCTTTCTCATTTCAAGATACACATGAAATTACCTTATTAAGAATATTTCTCCTATTTTTCGTAAAATTTTTGCTGGTGTTTCATACTTCACTCTACTGCCTTCAATCAAACTGTTTGGGACTGTTTCAAGTGAGTTGATCAATGTATCCAGAGTATGTTCCCAGTGAGCAAGTTTTACAGAACTACACAAAGCATTGGAAAATGCAAACATATCCAATGAAAGCTCTTTGTGTTCACTGCTCCCACACAAAATGAATTTACCTGTAATAGGCAAAGTTTTAGTATTTGACAACATGGATGAAATTATCGATAAAAGAGTAACAACTTTGTTGAATTCTTGATGGTCCATCATCATAACTGTATATCATTTCTTCACTCTCTGAGTTGACTACATCTGATGAATATGAATTATGAGCATGAACTTTGGATATCTTGAGAATATTTTCTATTATGGGTGTGTTAATGTTCCAGAATGAAATTGCCCCATCTCTGCAAAACAGTTGAAAAATCTCATCCAAAAATCTGTTATTACTGTATTGAGTTCGACAAAGTCAGATGGTAAAATCACCTGAATATAAACATTTCTCCAGAAAAACCAGCATGAGCTATCACACTTTCATCACTGGCCTCTATGTTTACAGCACCATCAAACTCTTCTGACATATTTTTGACCGAAAACCGCTTGTCCCCGAGTATTTCTGATACCAAATTTTTCATTCTAGAGATAAATAAACTTTTATGCACCTATAATGATTATTTCATAAACAGGAACAGTCTTGATAAACCATGAGAGAAAGTTTACTTCTTCCCCAGTTACCAAGTTATATAGTTCCTGTAAAAATATATTGATCAAGTATACAAGGTCTATCTCACAATGAAGATAACATCTCTAGCACATGCCAAGCCTGGGCTATGTTGTTAAGCGGGCATCTGCATATGCAGAGAGGAAATGTGTGTTATATGATAAAAATTTGTTCTAGACAGTCCATTGAAAGAGATGTGTGAATAAAAAGCATCATAAACGGCAAGATAAACATCGTAAATGAAGTGGGTCACTGCGCCTGTGTAAAGTATGGATTGAGATAAATAATTACTTGGAGAGAGTTTATGTTTCACAGTGATCTTTTGACTGAAGTTTATCACCTTCTCGTTTTCGCTCTTATAGTTTGTCGGGTGAATATAATTATATCGCACTCGGCACGGCGTACATGTAGACAACGATTGTCATAGCACAGTAGCAGGCAAAATTTTGTGATGAGAAATAAGCCCATAATTATATATGTATCGTTTATTTATGTATTTATATGCCATGGCCATTCTAGCAGCCGATGACGCTAATAAACTTGACTTGCTTACTTGTACTTATCCGCCGTTGCGTTAGTGATGCAAAGACAGTCACCCGACGCCTTTTCTATATCTCGTTTGCGCTTTTTCTTGTTTTGCCTCTTCTGAGTTGTTTCTGTGCTTGCAAGCACGCCGCATTTGTGAATTTGGCGAAGAGTTGAAACTTGATTCTTTTGTAAAGATCGCAGACTGTTTTTCATATGAAATTGGCCAGCGCCCCAGACAATTCGGTGCAACCCAGCGCTGCTGTTTGTAACGAAAAGACACAACATTGCATACGACGATTTTGTCTCGACTCCTTCGATTTTGTGGTATAACTCAGCTATCAATACGCGGATAGCGGCGTGGTGCAGCAATGCCTTTCTTCCATTTATTTGCACTATCAGATCACTGATATCTTTGCATCGTTGTTGTGATGCGGACAGCGAGTGTGGTGATTGCGGGCTTGCGCAGCTGTGGGTGAGTTTTTTAGCATTATTTTTACACACTAGGCTGCTAGGATGTACGGTAATCGATGATACCTTAAAGTTAGCTGATTTATTTCGATGAAAACTGTAAGTTATACTCAAATATGGGCGTTTTTAATTGCCGAGATAGTTTTTTTATTGATCAAAGACTATTTTAAATATGTCTTACGTTTATAAGTAGCATGCCATAAAATGTACATTTTCAGACTTTCATGCTATGAATATTATGGTAATTAGTTATGCAAATGACAATGCTATATCCATGTTTGGTCTAGCTACAGGTATTAGATTATAATTTTCTCCTTTACTCAAGCAATCACATTTGAAATAATAATAAATCGTTTATACAACTTCATTCACTAGATACCATATGCTGTCCAGACAGACATTCTGGTGATATTACATTGTAGACAAAGTCCATTCGAAAGTTATTATATGAAAATTTGTTGAACAATAGCTCTTAATTTTATTATAATTCCAGAATTCAGGGTCAGTTACTGGTACAGTACAGGGCCTGGTTAAATAAATTTCTGTGCACTTTAATCCACTTCCGCATTATCAATATGACACTCTAAACAACAAATAGCTGAAACTGATAATATTATTTTATACTGTAATATAGGCCTAGTCAATTTTTCAATATTTAGCTTTCATACACAGTCATCTTATCCAGTCAATACTGAATATGCATGTCGTTGTGTATTTCTGTTGTTGTCGTGGTGAGGACTGTTTTATGAAACAATAAACCTCTGAATTTCTGTCAAGAATTTTAACTTCTATTACCACCATAGAGAGTGAAATTTCGACTCTGGTTCCAGACTTATAAAAATTAAAAATTCTTGTATTGACTTTTGACTTCTGGAAGTTTGGAAAATGATTCCGGCTCCATCTCTAACTCCATCTCAAATAGAAGCATGGCGAACACTGACTCCCATATCACAGTCGTGCATATGATGACGAATGGGATAATTCACTCTCATCCACGGAGATAACTTTTATTCAAAGAATTCTTGACTAGTGGTGATATGGAGTGCTGAGTATTCCATGATGGGATGTAAGATAGGAAATGACGTGGCGTGACGGGAAATTCAAAGACCTTCTGTTTATCCTCCTTCACAAACAAATTTCTACTATTTTGGATTGTACTACCAAATGTAACTTTATTATCGCATTGAGAGAAGAAAGAATTGAAGAGAATGTATCCAACTGTCGATGTTTAAGTGGGATTCGATGGTTTAAATACGGTAACCCTTACCTAATCCTGCATCTTTTTATGCATCATACACCAGTGAACCCTGCTACCTGTATTTACAAGTCAATAGAAAATATTGCCATTCAAAAGATGCGTGGAGATGGGTATCTATTAATGATCATTTCCTTATGTTGACATGTACTTATTTATATATTGACAAACAATGTTGTGAAGATTTGTGTCTGGCTTCTTGGTTTTGTGGGTGACCCCAATAAATGCTTAATTGTACTTGAAGGCGAAGTTTGAATTTGAAGAGATCATATTCAAATCGCATCTGACCAAGATGTTAGTTTACAATGATTGCAGTAGATCTTTCCCCAACCCTCTTTAAAAATCATGTCTGGTCCATGCATCTGAAACAAATAACTGGCGAACTACTCCCATACCCGACATGGACTGGTAATCAGACAAGAGGCCATATTCTGCCATATGATTCAGTCGTCTAATCGGCTTTTTCTACTACGGGATGAATATGTAAATCTTATCCTATCTACAAAATTGCGTACAAATTGTGAAACACGACAACTCATTCTTGTCTGGGAAGCATACCAATCGAGATTGAAATGTAGAAGATACCTGGTATTCAATACCGGTTTCTGATTTGCCATCCTGAACATTGGTACAGTATCAGATGTGGTGCTTCATGATTGTACACTATTAACGTCCCATCAACAGATGTCTGGATCAGTCAAGCGTAAACAATTGGGCACAAGCCTATCACAGTACAATTGAAGTGGCGGACTCCATCAAGTGTATTGATTTTTCAGAGCGATCTTCATTTCATATTGCACTCAACATTCATTTTTTTATGCCTACTATGTGACAATATTTTGAGATGAATCCAGATAGATTTCTGTAATGTTGTTATCAATTACTATCCTGAACAAAAACTGCCATCAGAGCGTAATTTATTTATATAGGCTATATAAATATTATTGCCATGAATACCATGTTTTGAAATGTCTGAACACTGTGAGAGGGAAAGTTTAACAATTGTTAGGGTTTTTAAGTTTGAAAGTATTTTTATAACATTCTTGAAAAAAGCTGATGGATATAGCTTTTTCATTCAAATTTGATGCAATATGACATCATCCAGCAAATCGTACCAAAAAAGATGGAAACCTGCCCTACTACAGTAAACATGTTGTGATGATTGGACAGTCATGCCATGCAATTCTAAGAAAAACAAGGTATTTCCGGTTCTGACGATTTTAAGGGAAAGGATTTTGTGACTTTCTATTTAACTTTTTTACCATAAAATTTATTAATAGCGTATAATGTTCAGCTATGGCTGAAGTACCGTACTTATGTTTTTTTCAAGTACGAATGTTTTGACTCTCTCAAGACTATTTCAACTTGACATTCAGCAGAAGCTTAACACAAGAATGGAATAACTGATTAACTGAAGGAACGATTGAACTACTGTAAACATGGAAGCTCTTGTTTCATTTTGAATAATCCCTTTCAGGATGATGCTAAGAGTGCATAATGTTTATATCGATTAACCATGTGTTTCTACAATTCATACCTGGTATTTTTCAGAAGTTCTACAAATTATTCTATTAAGTTGAAGCACGTCTCTTATGTTATTTCACTGGATTCTGATATTGTTTTGATTTTATATGACAGCGAAGTAACTGATATAGTTGCATGTTTTTATTTTATGTTCTTATTTTATATAATTTGCGTTTTATGAACAATATCAATTTTTGGTTCAAGATTAAGTTAGCTGAATATAAAGTATTTTTCCATAGCCCACATCAGATTGTTCATGTATTGCATTTAAATTGAAATGGCTGAATCATCCTATTGAATGGCATCATTTTATTATTCATATTTTTCCATGTCAGCGATGTGGAAATGTTTGTGACTTGTGAAAATTTGGGTATCAATGATGTTTTCTACTTCTACTAATATATGATCAGAATATGGATCGTAAAAGAATATTGAATTTTATATTATGAAACAAATGCAGCTTGGCTTTATTAACGTGATGGTGTTGACATGACCTATATCTTCATATTCAGGAAGTGACTGGATGTTACTTGAATTGCGAACACAGAAAGCCAATGTTACTACTATGACAATCTGCTCAAGGTTTTTGGTGCATGCACTTTGTCATTTCTTCTCATATCTGTTAGTTTTCTCCAAAACAGGATTGCAACTTAATTTAATAGTTAATAATTAATATTATCAGAATGAGTCACAGAGGCAAATGGCGCTATAACCGGTCCAAAGATCAACCTCATGGCAGCAGAAGACATGCATCACGACGAGAAAACAGACGTTCTTGCGGTTATAATAATCCTAAGTCTTCTTCATATAACTCATCATGGAGAAAACCTAACAATAATGAATACAAATTCTCATCAAGACAGACGGATAATAGACATATCCCCAAAAGTCCAAAGTATGATCCAGAATTGGATGGAGTTCCTATAGAATCTGATGGATCAATGGATTTGGATGATCTATCCGATTCAAATAAGCCAATTGAAGTTAATATTTCTTCAACATCGACACCTATTCCGGCCCCAATTAGTCCTGATATACCAGATCATTGTTGGGTTGGTGAATACCTAGATGAAGGGGAAGAAAAAGATACTATTCCTTTGGCTTATGATATGGCTGCTAAAGAAATGCTTCACAAAAAACCTACACAAATTGAGGTGAAAACTCAAAACAATGATTTGCAATATGCTTCAACATCTTCGCGTCTAGGAGATGATTATATTGGCAAGCAGGATAATCTGAGGCCTTATCATATGGGGAGTTCATATGATAATTCTGCTATTGTTAAAAATATTAAAAACCCTGAATTATTTTCAGAGCAAAAGAGCAGAATGAATGTAGAAACACAAAGTGCAAATGTTGATTTGAGAAATTACAATGAATTATATAATGCCTTGATCAGACCCATGGAATATCTTGACAAATGGGAAAAGCTTAATCCCAAGATTCAACCATCAAAACATTCTCAAGCTCAGCCTGCAGAAGTATTTGATTATGGTCACGGAGATAGCAACAGATTGCGTAGTCCGAGTCTCCCTCTGAGCAACCAGTCAATGTCGTTCCATGAAGAAAAGCCTTATTTGAATGATTCAGGAAGTAAATTTCATTACAAAAAACCTAGCCGCCAAACTTCTAGATCTCGTTCTCGTGAGCCAGTTAAAATGACATACGAGGACTACAAGAAAAAATATTCAAAAAAATTGCAAAATCCCTCTCCCACACGTCAGCATTTCGACTCCGTACAAAACACACGTCAGCACTTTGACTCCGTACAAGACAAACTTTACTTTGCCGAAAAAAAAACTAGGGGTCCTAATGCATCAAATTCTGATTTATCCAACTATGTATCTCAGCCGCAACCCAATGATAGCTCTAATGACTTTATACCTGTTCGAGATAACTCTGTAAATCGGGAGACCCAGGAAGGTTTTCCTATCACCGTATTGACAACATCATATCGTCAAAGACGTAGTTCTTCCAGAACAACTGAAGATTTGGACAATTCTGTGGAATCGATGACCGCTGAACAACCACTTAGAATAAAACCGGATTTGAAAAAATTCCAGAAAGACTTTAACAGACGAAATGTTTCATCAGATAATGTATTGAAAGTCTGTGGGAGCAGCCACCAACCTCAGACAACCTATTATAGGGGGAGCTTCAATGACACACGTAAAGTTTTATTTGATAAGACTAAAGAAAAGATTGGCAGGTATGTGTTTTTGTGGACTGTGTAGCCAGGGAAATAAAAAGTTAACATAACTACATAAATTTGACATAAATTGAAGTTAAATTCATATTATCATATTCAATCGACGTAATAATAGAGTTTTTCAAATATGCTTCATTCTTATCTCTGCTAATGCTAACTCAAATTTCAAATGGCTGGTGATAGATAACAGAGATGAAAATTTGTTCAATACCCAAAATTGCAACGCCTTTTAGCAATGCATCAAGTCATCAGTCAATTTTTGATGAGATGCAAGAAAGCATTGTCTTTCATTTAAAAAGCCATTGTTAAATATATTTACCACTTGCAGCAAAAAGAAGGAACAAGATCCCATCTCAAATTCTCGCATCGTTGTGAGAAATTCTCCCCGAACATATTCACCTTCACGTTATTCGCCACCTCCTCCACCACCGCTTCCCTCGAATCGGGATAGATTGTTGAAAAAGTCCACGGTGACTGGTCGATTGCCAAAACCAACACACTCCTATTCTATTGATCCAAAACCTACTATGGAAGGTGCAGATGCCAGCTTCCCATTTCTCAAAAGTCATGAAGCCAGTGACAAGCATTCAGATGACAGTGATGAAGGACATTCCATTCCAGTATTTCAGCGTCGACCTACAAAAAGGCACTCGTCACATGACATTTTGAAAACATCACGTTCTCGAAGACATGAAAGTTTTGTTGAAACCAATGAAAAGGAAAGTAAATTTATCCCTGCCAATGAACATACCTCTCACACAGAAAGATTTGAGGAAAACGTTGAATTTGGTGGATTCAAAAAGAGAAAATTGAATCGTCCGAATTTCAAGAATTTCCAAAATCTGTCCGAAAGACTGGGTGATGAGGTTCATGCTTCTAAAAATCGTGATTATTCTGTCCATAATCGAGAACGTTTGGCTGATGTTCTTCCTGTTCCATCCATCGATACATCTGTAATGCCATTGCCAATGGAAGATGCAAGAATATTTCAATCACGCTCTGTAACGGATAAGCCACCAAGTGAAACACGGTCGACTTCAAGTAATATGTCATCAGAGATAATTGGAAGAAATTATGACAGAAAAAATCATGTAACGAACTTGCAATACAGAGCGATGAGCAAAGAAAGATATGTGTGTCACGATGAAACTAAGCAAAAGTCTATTCCGCCTTTGATGGACATGAATCTTGAGTCACCATCAAGAGGTGATTCGGTTGTACCATTTATTGAGGGTGATTTTGACTCTAGGAATAAAAAATATGATACAAAATTTACAAAGTATAGAGATTCTAGCAGGCCATCAAGTAGAGAAAGTAATCCACCAGTCGGAGGTAAGAACGCTGTTCAACGAGAACGACAAGTTCGTCATGTCGATAAGGAACATTTGGAAGATGAACATGATAAAAGAAGCACATCGTAGCAAACGTTCACCAAATTTTAGAACTGACGGACGATCTGCAAGTAAGAGAAAGAAGCAAGGACGCTGTTCAACAAGAACGACAATTTCGTCATGTTGATAATGAAAATTGGAAAGATGAACATGATAAAGAATCACATCGTAACAACCGTTCACCAGATTTAGAACTGACGGACGATCTGCAAGTAGAGAAAGAAGCAAGGACGCTGTTCAACAAGAACGACAAGTTCGTCATGTCGATAATGAAAATTGGAAAGATGAACATGATAAAGAAGCACATTGTAACAAACGTTCACCAGATTTTAGAACTAACGAACGATCTGCAAGTGGAGAAAAAAGTTTTCCCGAATCTAAAAAAGATCACCTAAAATATGTAAGAAAGAGAGGCGGTGATTCGGCACAAACAAAAGATCTTCCCTCTACGAAAAGATCTGTTGTGAGAGAAACTAGAAATCAACAAAGAATTGTCACTTCAGAGGAAGAAAGTAATTTCAGTGATCTGACGCAGATAAAAAGAAAACCAGATTCAATTCAACCTGTTATTAAGAAAATGAACAAAGGTAATTGGCTTGAAGAATATGAACATTGGTTTCTACACACTTTGCAACATATGCTGCAAAATGATGAATACGCCACTAAAACTGGATTGTGTGATCCTATTCTTTACTTGGAGTGTGTCACCAAGGGCAATAGAAGAGCTCTCTCTTATATTCCAAGAGGCGACCCTGCTAAACAAATACTTAAATTCATAGCATTGAATAAAGGTGACACAAGTGGTCCAACATCTGTATTAGCTGAGTCTTTAGGGAAGAGTCCAGACCGGATGCAATCACACAGTGATGCTGATTCTTGTGAAAATCTCAATAAAAAGTGTCCTTCAATGCTGGCTCCACAAAGTGAAAAAGAACCTGTTATCGTAAAAGAACCTCCTTCGACGCCTTTCATACCTAAATCGAATGCATCAGATAAGAAAGCAAATGAATGCTTTTTCATTGACAAAAAATCTTCTGGCACTGGCTTTTATAAGGTAAAATCTTTGTTACTATTTAATCCCAAAATTGCTGTGAGTAATATTGCCAAGAATATCAGCAAGGTATTGCTTTGCATCTTTACGGTGTATTATCAGTCCGCGTCATGTAATTATTTGAAGAAAATTGTTCAAAACGCTTGTGTTGATCGATTACCTAATATATTCATGTCATGCAAATTATGATGAGAATGTTCAATATCGAAACACGCTTCAAAAGCTTCAAAATTTGCAAAAGGTAAGAAAGGTATATAATTTTTTCTTGAATTCAATTTTGTCATAGAAATCGGTCGCAGAAGATGAAGATCCACTTCCACTGCAGAAGAACACTTCGAAGAAAAGCCAGGAATCAGGTTTTGATGGATCAGGATATAAAAGTACTTCAATAAAATCTGTTAAGATTACCATTACCCAAACATCTAATTCAAATCAACCTGCTGATAGCTTTAGAGGCAAGTCACAGAAAGACACTTTTGATCGTAAAATTACTGATGACAAAAATTTAAGTACTTCAAACAAAAGCAATGATAAAAAGAAGGCAAGTGCACCTTCTGTGGAAAAAGTATTCGATAAAAACTGCTCGAAAGAGGTTTCAACCAACAACAAAAATATTGAAAAAAAGAATGTAAAACCACAAAAAAATTCTTCCAATACCAAAGATGTGAATACAAAGAATGAACAAAAAAGAATGACGAGAAGCACTTCAGGTGTATCAACTCAAAGTCAAAAGATCAAACAGCCCATAAAACCCAACCCCCCAGACAAAAAGAAGCCCACTCACGAGCCCCAACAAATAGATTCTTCTGTCAAAACTACAATCGCTGAAAAGTCTCGCCCAACACAGCAGAAGGTTAATCAACAACAATCAGCTGGCCCCACTGATAAGACGGTCAATAATGATAAGATGGAAACTGTTAAGAGAACTGTGAAGCAAACCGATAGAGAATATGATCGTCCCAGAGACAACAAAAATAGCAATCATCATTCTGGAGAAAACAAGACTACTGTACCTATTCAATTAGCGAACAAGCCAACAGCCTCTCACCTGTCAAGTTCTGAAAACCCCTCGTCATCATGGAATAAATCACGTATTCGGTCCTTCGAGAGTACGACAAGCGATAATTCTACAATTACTTACCAAAAGAAGGATTATATTGAAGTGCCGAAGTCCCGTCCAGTTTTTACTCCCAAACAGGAGAAATTATTACCAGTATTTAAGGTATTACAGAATATATTTCTTTATGTCGTTTGTCGTCGTGTCTATGTTTTGGTAAAATTCCTTTTTCCACACAAGTTCAGTTAACTATACTAGTCTTCATTGTGTGGTCCCGCAATGTTGATTGGTAAACTCACATGGTCACCGGGTCATATTGCTTCCTTTTTGTGACGTCCATAACGAAGATTTATTTTTTATCATTAATGTTTGACTGTTTTATTTTGGTTGACTAAATATTAAATTTGGTAAACCATGCTGAAAGAAATGATTTTGACCTATTTAAAAACAAAGTGGCTGTATATATTAGTAGTGGTTTATTGTCTGGAGGTTTTTTATGGGAAGGTGTTGAAAACAAGCTTTATATATGCTGCGCTTCTCTAATACAACTGACTATTATTTGATAGAATTTTAATCTTATGACAATGATGGTCATTTTTGTTATTGCACCTACATTTTCCGCTTTAACGTGGAATTAGTATGATATTCATAGTGGCATAATGATATTTGGTTTTATAAGTTTTCATGTCAAAAATAATGGCTGCAACTTCTATAGCACTAAATAAGTTTGGTATTCTGTCTAATCAAGTCGCGATCGTTTTTGATGTTTATATCTATGTGCTCGTCAAAATAAGTTTTTATATAAGTTAACAATTCTACGAAAACATTTTCTAATTACATGTTATAAATATATTTGTGAATACCCTTAAATGAAGCAGGTATCATCATTTATTTAAGTAACAATGACTTAAAGTTACATCTTTGAAAAATGAAATTATTTCATCATTGAAATCTCAGATATACAAGTAATTCGATTGTTACTAATTAGTACTGATATAAAGAATTCTCTATCTCTATAATCCACTTGATCATTTAGTTTGCTGGTTTGAAGGACTCTATAACTCTTTGTTTTACAGCAACAAGTGGAAAAAACTGTAATTCAGAAAAACTTGAATATATTATATAGCTTTGACAAATATAGAAAAACAAAGATACTTGGTGTGGCAAGGGACATCTTACAAACATTTGGCAAAGCTTATAAAACTGCTTGTTTCAATAGTGATCAAGCTATTTATTGCATCTGGAGTTTGTTCGACAAGCCAAGCAAAGATATACTGGTAAGCTTTTTTGATATGCCTGACATTGCCCCATAGGACTGCCCTCTGACATGTTGTATCTTTTTCATTTATTATATTTGGTCAATGTTTTGGACTGTGTCTTATATCATATCAATACCCTTTTGGTAATTAATCCGAAGTATATTAAGGCTTTTTCAATTTTTCCACTTGCCTATTTGTTTTATTTTTCATCCGATAAAACTGATTTTCTACTTCTGGACCAACATTGTTTAGCTTTTTTTTTGCTGTATATCTTCTTTTGAATGGAAACTTACTGAAAGGCAATTTCCTCCTACTTTTTCAAACTAATATGCTTGGTTTTTTTTTTAGGATGAATATAATCGAAGACTTCGAAGAGTGAATTTAGAAAAGCCTTGTTTTGGCGTTGATACAAAAACCTTCATACTTTTTCAGGTTTGTGTATCTCTAGGTCCTTTTTGAAAATTTGCTATTGACAAATACAACAGAAAAGAACAACTGGTTTTCAAACTAAAATTACAGTTTATTTAATAAAAAAAATTATGAAGGAATAGAGAGATACATATATAGCAACAAAGTGCTAGATATTCCCATTTCATAATTTTAAAATGAATTTTACCTTAGCATTCGATATTTTATCTTGGCGCATGGTGTAAGTCTCAAGTGCTTGCTATTACCAACATCCTATGCAACATTCACAGGTTCAAATTTCACGAAGGCATGTTTAGGAGGGTTGCTTGATTACCTTTAATTAGATAATTTTTTTCAATTGCAGAAAACGGTTTTCAATCTTTGTTATGACTACCTACAACCAAAGGTTAAATATAGGGAGCAATTTGCTGGAAGTATCAGACATGTTAGGTTATATGCAGAAAACATGTTTCCTCAGTTTCAAGGAGAATCACACTATTTGATAAAGCTTTGGACATGGTGTGAGAGAATGTATATGGTAAGTGAATTCCATACATTGCAATTTATAGTTGCTAATTTTTTAGATCAGACCAACTTCCTTTCTGAATTCAGGATCTTGATTTTTTTGGCAATCCTAGATCACCAAATATAGCTAGCTATATTATGTTATTTTGCATTGATAGTGAAAGCTAACCCGAGGAAAACCGAAACGAGTCGAATACCTTTGAAAAAATGATTATCTCACCTTTTATGCATTTACAATGATTTGTGTAAATTTTCTATTGAAAACTATATACAATATATTTGATTTTCCACATTCTAAAATTTTGGCCATCTCTGATCAAACAACTTCACTTTCGATTTTACCTTATTAACCTAATCCTAATAAATAAATTCAATATTCTCTGTCTTAGTATTCGGACCATTGTGATCTACTTTTACCTTGTTTCTATATATACTTACAAATGAATATGGCATTTACAGATTCTGGAAACAAAAGGGTTGCCTAGTTCAGATAAACACTCTTTACTTAGTGATTACGAACCTGCTGAAAACCTTGAAGAAAAAATATCTTTATGGTTAAAGGAAAAAGATCGCAAACCACTGTATGAAATTCCAGGTTCGTAGTAGTGAAAGATGTTATAAATTATATTATATCTAAATTTGTTATCTGGTCTGTAACTGGGGAAACTAGATGGTTTCATCAGTTAATAATTTTTTGCTTAGTTCTTTTTGGGTGTTATGGTAGTTAATTTTGTCTGTTGCTAAAAGTTTTGCTCTTGATTTGTGTGGTGTTCATTTTATGGTTGGAAGACGAGATCTACCATTATGGAATATTTTACACGACCCTTCATGCTCTTTTTAAATCAAGATTTTGGCAAGTAATCCACTCCATTTTGTGAATTTCAAACAAATGAATCACTATTCTTAATTTCAGATGATACGAGCATTAAATTAGTTCTTGAAGTTCATTGTGAACTTCTCAAAAAAGATGATCGCAGCACAAAGCAGATGGCTGTGATGATGATTGTCGGAGTTTGGACAGAAGGTTTATCCAGCAAAATAAGACCATCTACGCAAACAGAGGAGAATAAGGTTAATATTCTACTAATTATTAATTTAATTTGGGTGTGGAGTGGGACATCAAAATGTTTTTATTAATCTGGTAATTTTAACCGGCCTGCCATGTGGCCAAGCTTTGTTTTAAATGTGAATATGGTATACATTATATATAGGCACAACCAACATAATTTTTTATTATATTGTGCAAGGGTTAAGGTTTGTATTTACCAACAACTATTTAATTAATCGTTCCAATTGGCTGGAACTGATTATAAATATAGAGACCGAAATAGGAAAAGCTGAATAACTTGATATTTAAATATTTATGACATTTCAGAATGTCACTGAAGAGTTTGACGAATCTGAATTAGATGATCTTGTGATTTTGGATGAAGTTTATTCCGATGACTCTGACCCGAATGATGATGAAGTGGTATATATAAAATGGATTGTATTATGAATATTATGTCTGTATTATAGATGATGCTGTTAATGTGATGTCCTTATCTTATCATGCCCACGAAACAAATTTTACAATCCAAAATAGTGTTTAACTACAGTTTTCCGATTCTGGCGTGTTGTTTTAATATATTTCAACTTGTATTTCATTAAGCTTCTATCGAACCATTAATATGAAATTCTAATTTCTTTATATCAAGTTAAAATTTGCACTCAACATCATTGATGCTGTGTGGTAAGTGAAACTCACAACATCTTAAGAATGAAGAATACTTTTGAGTCAGCCTCAGGTTTTGGATAAGCAGGCACATGTTATATGTTTCTCGATTAGTAGATCATCACTTTTTTACTAAACATATCCTTCTTTATGATTTAGGAAATCGACATTGATGTCAGTGATGATATTTCGAGCATTTCAAGTGTTCAAGTTATTGATCTTTTCTGAGTTCTGATAATCTTCAAACGGAGTAAATTTTTGCTGCCGATCACAACTGCCTCAAAATGCGCAATGTAGAATGCAAAGATAACGATACACTGTTCTTGTGGTGGCAACTGCTTCAGTATCGTATTGGAAGAACAAAAACTTCATCTGTAGTATTCTGAGTCTGTATTTCATGTCAATAGGTTTCAAAGACATATGTATATTCAATCCAAATGTTAATGTTCTTGTGCCATGCCTAGCGTTTTGCACATTCATTGTTGGTGTGCGTTACCCACTGTAAAATATGAAGATATTTCATGAATAAAAATAATGTTTGATTGGATTGATTTGAATGCTTTATATTGGCTGTATTGCCAGTTTTGTATGGGTTTGCCTACAGACAATATTTGCTTTGCGGATTTCAAATTATGCTTCTTGCATTAGTTGTCTAATATTGAGGGTTGACATCAGGATACCATTGGGACTGGTTTGTGTTATTTTCTGCTAAGTAATGTTATCGTAGTGAAAAGTCCAACAGTCATTGCGAAAAAGTATTCTGAATGGGTGGGGTGTGAAGTTGACAAAATCAGGTGATTGTTGTTCAGGGCTAGTTTTCGACTACTTAACTAGGCATACATGGAAAGCCATTATTCAGTTTTACAGCCCTCTTGGGCAAGATCACCCCAATCTAATTTGCAACGCTATTGGTTATGGGAGTGGTAATAAATCTCCCTCTCATGGATCGACCAGGTTCGACATCCAAACCGCAATGCATAATGACTAGGGTATATGATAGACGTCTGGCAGTTATTTGCCACTGTTTGATTTGATTAGGTAAACGAAGTTTTTTACACACAACCTAAGCAGAAATTATACACACCAACACATGTTTATGAAAAATTATAAGGACACATTGTGGTTATGAAAAACTACACTTCTGAAATAAATAGGGGGTAGTCTAGTCGCGCCTTGTACATATAAGCGGCTCACGAATCATGCCCGATTCCATCAACTTGTCGGACTCAGATCGCGGGGTTTCCCCATATATTACTGAGTCGAACAGCGGTTTTGTCCATATAGTACACGTTGACATGTTCCGGCTCAATAATACGGCGTTCAAAATGAAATGCCGATAGTTGGTTGAATCGTATTCGCTTGTGGAACTGTGTTATTACCGTATGTCTAGTGACTATTAGGTAGGTGAAGTATAGCCATATATAGTCAACTTTAGTGTTTTGTACACTTTGTATTCTAACATAGAATTATGATACATGTCTGGGTGCCATACGGTACCGTAAATTAACAAATACTGTAGTACAAGATAGAGATAACTGGATAATGCAGTACCTAATGTCAGAATGTGTAAATGAAATTAAAAAGTTTAAATATTTTGATATTGTAGTGAAATATTATGATCATAAAATATAGTTGGAAAGGACAGGCGATACCGGTACTACTGCAAAGTCATCTTTGAGCCACAAAAACTCTATAAAATTTTGTAATTAAGGGGCATTTTTTCGGATGAATAATAAAATACTTGTTTGACTAATATATCGATCGTGAATAGCTTATACAGCTATACCATAATACTAATCAACAAAAAATATAATTTGTGGAATGTTCAATCAAGATAGAGATAATAACGTTTTTAATCAGTAAAATACCACTCGTTACCTCACCGATTTGCAGAATGAACTTGTATTCAGAATTATCCAGAAACTGTACTAGAGTCCATTAGAATACGCAATAAATCCATTTATTGATATTTTGTCTAATTATATTTGTTTTTGTCTGTTACCAAAATCTGCCCATTTGAATATTTATTCGCATGCATACTAATGTGGATACCGTAAACATTACATAAGACTGGATATTGAGAGAGCAATCTGTTGAAATTTGGACGATGAATAATTGCATATTTACATGGGGTGATATGGTATTATTACTTGTTATACTATATCATGATTTTCATAACGAGAGGAAGAATTAGTCCGAGTATTTATAATACTGTAATAGCCGATATATACAGTAGTACTAGTGAGTAGTGTGTCGCGCTGGCGTTTCTGAGATATTTACACATTTTGAAATTTTATACAGCTGTATTGGTAATTTTATTTTCATTGAAATTTCAGAATTTATCAGCCTTTCATCAAGAGTCAAGTGTGACAATACCTTGTGTTTCAATGGCTTATCTCATTGGTATTTAGAGTCTTGAATTGATTTATTGATCTTCCATCGTATGGGTGGCCGTAGCTAATGGAATATTTATTCAATATAATAAATACCTAATTTTGAAAATAAAGTTTTATCATACAGTTATTTGGCATTTAAATATAAAGCTAAGAAATGATAACTTAGCTTTTGATTATTATAAAATATTATAAACTAATCCGAAATTACTTATCTCTTTGTGAAATGTGATTATACATTTATTTGTGTATGTTGTCTGCTTAACAGGACAAGATTAGAATAGATTTGATATTCCACCTTTTAAATAATTTGTTTTTGAAATATGTTTGGAATTGTATAATACACAATATGATAATCTCTGTTTAGAAGTGTAGTTCAGACTTCACCTGACGTTTTGGGTATTATTTTATGACCTGCATACCAAATAGTGTATAACCAAAATAAAAATAAGTAATTTTGTCAATCGCAGAATATTTTGAGAAAATCTGCCACTGTAGTTTTTTAATGTAATTGGTACTATAGTCTTATAGTTTTATGTGTTTTTATTTTCCTCTGAATTTCACTAAGGTTCTTGAATTGTGGATGTTAGAAATCTCAAGAATACTTATAACTCTGCCAATATTATCGGTAGATAAGATAACTCCCAAGTTTTGTGTTATTCACCAAGGTTTTTGAATTGTGGATGTTAGAAATCTCAAGAATACTTATAACTCTGCTGATATTACCGGTAGATAAGAATCATAAGATAACTCCCAAGTTTCGTGTTAATCCAGTAAGCATTATATATATATATATACCGTGTGTATGTTTGCAAAGATAAATAAGATTAGCTTGCTGATGTATTTAAGTAATAAGAAAATATTTTGAAGTGTAATATCTCCTAGTGCATTGGATTCAAACCCAATACCTAATCTAATACCTCATCTGGAGTTCCACAGTATCGGGTAGGCAATGCTGAATTAGAAACATTTCAGTATTCTCAATAAATGTATTGAGTCTTGTTTAGAGGGAAGATGTTAAAACATCCTATATATACAAAATCTTCATTTGAACACAGAAAAAATTTCTTTCTCCATATATAGCGTTGATGACACTATAGCGGATATGAAAATCGTAAAACACTTGGCTGCTCAAGACAAATACCGTACCTTAGTTTACGTATATTTTATTTTATCCTGTTATATAAGCTTCTGAGAATCAATTACCCAAGGATAGACTCAATATTGCAGACTTTTGTTGTTTTCATAAATACATAATTTCAAATCAGGAATATCTTTTTAAGTTCTATATTTCACAACTCCCCATGGACTATGACAATCATTATTCAATCTGTAACTTCAAATTGGTATCTTTTTTTTTTTAAGCCACTAACTGTATATCATGATCAGGTTGTATTATTTTTGTGTTTAATTTTTCCTAATAATTTTAGGTGTAGTTTCTTAGTATCGGTATAATCACTGTAACCTCATTCTTATGGTTGATCACTGCAATCTCTAAAGATTTGATATAACATATTCGAGGCAGCGTAGCCTGTAGGATTCTGTATTATATTGGTGCAATTGCAACATCTAGACATCCAACATGGCTGGCTTCAACTGTGATATTTTTGTTGTGGTTTCAATTTCTCTTGTCTTCGTTTTGTGCTCTGTTAATGCGTTTGCTCAATTAGCAGATACAATGCTATGTGCTGATGAGACATGTTCAGGTGAGTCTGTTTTTATTCTACGTTTTGAAGCATCATGTTGCCATATTTTTTGTTTTTCTTTGCTTGTATTTTGACTTTGAATTGAGATATTTTTTCCCAAATTTTGGGCTAATTTTATTTTGTGATTTTTCCTTTTCTGAGTTTTTGATTTCCATTATATTTTTACGTCTAATGATTTTGGAATTTCTATCAGTTTCTGTTTTTGGGGGACACAATATTTTGCAATCTAAGATACTTGAGACTGTTGCTCAATAAAGTTTTCCACCATCTGGTCATCCCACCTTCTTTGCAGGCGTAAACTTATATATAGCTCCTAGAGAGAGGTAGATTCTTTCAATTCTATTATTCACTCTATTTCTACATTTGGTTGAGGACTTAAGTTCTTGCGTTTAGCAAATTCATTTAAAAAAATAAGTTTTTAGAAAGTTTGTTGTAAAACTGTATTGAATTGTCTAGTCAGGGGTATTTGTAGTTTGAATATTCACAGAAGCTGACAAGTTAGAGATCACAGAATATGAGATCAGATGATATTTGAGACAGTCTAGATATACAGCCATGACTTTGTAAATCAGGAGATGCAGTTGCAAGGTTCAGGAATTGCTTAATTAGAAGGTATTGCATATCTGTATGCTTTTTACATGTCATCATAGATTGCTACAAACAATTGTTTGTACTGCAAAAGGAATACTTTTTGAGCCATACAAACATTTACTTTGTGTGGAAACACATCTTCAATATACCTGAAAAATGGTTAATATGATAATATTTCTTATTTCTGTATGATAGAATGTTTTTAGATGTTATGTAGGTTTTTATATATTTATATGGAATTACATTGTTCAATATTACCTCGTAATTTTACCAGAGATTTTGTGTATTCAGAAACCATTTCAGAAGGAGAAGCCAGGCTTGCATATCGCCCACGAGATGAAAATTTTTTGAACCTGAAAAAGGGTGATGTAGTTCTTGTGAAAAGCAAAAATGCTGGCAAGAAGACACATTTGTGGGGTGGGCAGGTAGGCTATCTGCTTGTGATTCTGTCCAGTTAATCATTGTTGAGGTCCTCAACTAGAAAAATAAAAATAAAATCCAACTGCTTGTTGGTCTCATAAGATGTCTGAGGCTACTGGTATTTCCTGCATGTAACAGCAAAGTAATATCTTCAAGACTGACTTATATTGAATATTTGCGATGTGGCTTTGAATTCACTATAAACAATTTTTTGAAGATTAAGCCTTGTTCCTAATATTAACATTTTTTCTACAAGGTTATGGGTAGTTTGCGGTTTGGATTTTTTCCAAGCTCTTTCATCAAAGAGTACATGGTTATCCATGATCCTCCCAAAGTCGCAGTCAGCATTCAGGTATTCTGTGTCGCATGAGTTTTGAGTTTTGGACGTCGCATGTTGTTGTTATCATAACATGTTATGTAATAATATAACCATGTTGTTATTAGGACATTGGGGTGTCTCATAGAAAATCCATTTTGTAAGGATATCTACGGATCAGTAGCATGTAAAGCAAATAGAACATTGTCACGATTCATTGTTTGCAATTGGTCATCATTGACAGTGTAGAAACTTTCTGAACAATTTGTTACATTTTAGAAAACATTATCAAAATATGTCTGATTAAATTTTTCCTTCCACACTGAAGCTTTGTGCAAATGTTTACATTAGTCGTGTGATATTCTATTATATTATTCGATGTTCTAGTAACTAACAGTAAAATCTTGATGTGAACTGTAATTTTGGTGAAGTACATTTAGTTTAGATTCTTTCTTGGCTTTGTGTTTATGTTTTAAATATTATAAACATACATGTAGTTAGTTGTCTGTCTTCATTATTTATTTAAAAAAAGCTTTTTAACAAATTCAAAGCATGTGGCCATTGCTAATGCGTGATTGAGTTCAAACGCATTGATAAATCTAGCAGCAAGGTATTTGTCAAGCTGTTGTGTAATATTTCTTACATAGAATATGTGAAATTTGCTCCAGTGTTATAAGTTTTAATACCAGTGGATGTCATCGAATTTTCATTGAATGTCTTTTTCTATTTATCATTGTCATTTTTCTTTTAATAAAATATATTTTTGAAAAATTTGTATTTATTAATTTGAAACTTTTGTAATCAGGATTTTCTGAAAGGAAGGAGTCCACAGCCTACAAATGATCCTTTTTCTAATCTGGTTGCTGAAAAACAAGTAAATTTTACTATTTTATATTAGATTGTGTTTTATTTCACAATTATTATTATGCTTTATTTTTTTAAGAAAATTACATTTGAAAAGTCGAAAAAATTAGATCAAGAAAACCAACAACGTTTTGCTAACAGTGAGGATGAAAAACCTCCGTCTGTTGATGAAGCAGTCAAAGTGGTGACTGCTGGAAGCCAAAAGGATGGTATGGAATTCATTTTGTTTCAATGAATCTAAATCGCTGAAAGTTTATGCCCATTTTGTGTTTTTTTTTTAAAACAGATGTTGGATTGCAACAACAAGAGAATGTTAGAAGCACGGATGTCAAAATGGTTTCTGGAGAATCGCAGGATCAATTGCCTAATCCTGGTGAAGGTGACGAGGAACGAAGTGCTGAAGGTCGGGAACAGATGACAAAGCAGGATCATCACACCAAAGAGGAAGATGCTGAAGAAAGAAAAGAGAATGTTGAAATGAAGGAACTGAATCCAGAAATTGCAAATGTAATAAATAACAACCCAAATACTGAAAGCACTGATAGTAATTCCAGTGAAAAAGGTACGAGTACTGATCATGGCAATGGTAAAGGTACTGGTGAGATGCCGCCTGATATTGCAGCACTTCTGGGAGACGTAAAATCAGTTGGAGATGAACAAAAAATTGTTGATCCAAGCAAGGTGGATGAGAATCCGCAAGCAGCCCCAGAATCGAAGGAAGAGGCCGTAGAAAAAGAGTTGGAACCAGGAAATAAAGATTTGAAAGAAAGTGAAAAGGAACAACATACAGAAGAAAATAAAAAGATTGAAGAAAACACATCTACTGACAAATCAGATGAATTTCAGTCGAGTGAGATGGATAATCAAAAAGAAAGCTCACACACACAAAAAAGCGTTGTCCAGCTAGACAACCAAGATTTACAAAAAGATGAAAACAAAAAGGAAGAACCTAATACTGAATCTCACAATACTGAGGAAAATTATACAGCCACTGATTCTCCACAAAACGATAAAAGTAGTTTGAGTGAAAAAGATCAACAGGAAAAACCCGATGAAGTTGGAGAACAAAGTACTGAGAGCAATGCAGAACATGCTACTAAAACTACTGTACCCTTATCGGAAAAAGATCCCAATGCTACTGAAGAGGGAGAACATGAAACTAAACCTCTTAATACTGAGGAAAATAAATTATCCCCCGACTCTCCACAAGAAAACCAAGCTGAAACTAAAAGTGTGTCGAGTGAAAATGATCAGCAGGAAAAACCTAATGATGTGGAAAAACAAATTACTGAGAATGATGTAGAACATATTACTAAAACTACTGAACAACCACCTGAAAATGATCCCTCTGCCGATACAGGAAATCAAGGGTTAGCTGATAATCAAAGCAATGAGAATAAAATAGAAAATATTGATCCTGATACACCTACTCCAGTCGACCAAGAAAAATTTGTTGTTGATACTGTGGCAGAAGAGGATGGAACTGAACAGTCGAAAGGCGAAATGGATGACAGCACTGTGAGAGCAAGTGAGATTGATCAGGGTGTCCAAGATAAAGTCGTTGACTCAGCTGTCCTAGGTCACCAAAGTCAAAGCTATAAAATAGATCCTGACCCAGCTGTGCTCGATGATGAGAATGTAAGTGATGGAACCAAATCTTCTCATGATTCAGATTCTACATTGAAAGAAGGTACTGACAAACAATCACCAACTGATAATGAAACTAATGAGTCTGATAATGATAAGATCGAACTGAATGGTCAAAGCCAGAATCTACCATCCAGTTTTGACATAAATAATGCAGATACTGATCCAAAGAAGATGGAAACAGAGAAAGGCCAAATAGTTGATGAAAAGGGTAAAATGAACCAGGATTCTGAGGAGGAGCCATCTGCAAATCAAATTAAACCAGAGGAAAGTGACCAGGCTCCTTCCAATGAACCAACAAAAACAAGTGATGGTGGTGACAAAGCAGAAGAATTAAATAACAAGTCAAGTGATACTGAACAAGAGCAAGAGAGAAACGTTAATGATGACATGGAGAAACATGAGATTGAAAAACCTGATGACAGTACTATTCCTCCTGAGAAAGTAGAACAAGAAAGCGAAATTTACACGAATGCTGAGGAAACAAGGAAGTCTGATGATGTTGCTTCTAAAGATTCTGATTCGTCTGATGAAAAATTACATTCAGGCCATGATGAACAAGAAAAAAAAGTATCAGAGAATGATAAAAATGACAAAGTGAATATGGCGAAATTAGAAGAAATTGATAGTGTTGATGAACCAGAAAAAACTGAAGATACTCAAACTCAGGAAACTGTTGATGAGAATGAGCGGCCTACTGCTGATAACTCTCCAAAGCAAGAGGGTGATGATCACAAACTATCCAAAACTGATCCTGTTAATATTAACAGTGATGAGAAAAATACAGAGACTGAACTTTCTGATGATTTCCCAAGACAGGACAGCGGCATTGAAACCAAAGATTCTAGCAAAGATAATGTTGTTACCACTCAAAGTTCAGAAACAACAGAAGACAGCTTGGATCATGACAAGAATGTGGAGGATATTTCTTCTCAACCCAAAACTGAGCCAGAGAATGGTGATTCAAAAGACGGTGACCAAGAAACTGCACAGAATGTAGGTAATGGATCGGAAGTTCAAACTGATGCAGAAAAAGTCAGAGATGAACCTAAAGGTAATATGGAGCAAGGCGATTCACAAGAGGATCGTCAAGAAACTGCACATAATCAAAGTAATGATTCACAACAAGGTGAAAGGAATGATCAAGCTGTAGAAAAAATCAATGAAAATGTAGTACAACAACAATCCATTCATGAACAAAGAGGGGTTGTTTCTGAAGAGACTGGTACTGTGCAAGAAGATTCTGATTCATCTAATGTTTCTGATGATGGAATTGCACCAGATGGAAATCAGAATAACTTGAGCGATAGCAATACAGAGCCTGGAAAAGCTGTTGAAGAACACCCACAACCAACTGGGAAAATCGATATAGATTCATCAGGTCAGTGGCACATCAGTATTTTTCTTTTTGTAGAATCGGTGTTTTGTTGCATTCGGTGTATTAATTTTGTAGATGAATAATTTTTGTTGATTTCTCATTAATTTTGTTGTTGCATGTGATTGGTTTTATTTTAACATTAAGCAATCATTTTGCAAAGGTGGCATGCATGAAACCGGAGATTCTAATTTTGGTGATACTGATGATCCGCTACTAAAATGGTTTCGACCGAAATATGGAGCAGATTTTATGTATACCATCCGTGATACTGAAGAAGATGAATCTGAGTCCATAAATTCTGTCGTTACAGAACTGTCTGAAGTCGATGGCAATGATGGTGTTAGTGAAAATCATAGCAATGTTGGTGAACATTTGACCAGCGAGTTTGCCATATCAAATAACAAAAACTGGTCTCCATGTTACTTAGATGACCCATTTCGACGCAGAACATTTGCTATATCAAATTCTCCAGATTTGTTGGTTAGTGGTAGAGATGATGAAGCATCAGTATATGAAGATAAAAATGGGGATTCGGAATCAGTTACTAAATCTCCTAATGGTGATGTGGATATTATTAGTCTTGATATTCATGATGATAAATCAGATTGGAAGTTGTTTTGGATTGAAGACCATGAGACACCAAATGTCATAGACGATCCATTCTTAAAAAGAACAATTTGTTTGAATTCTCATGGAATAAAGGATGAAGCAGTAAATACAAATGAAAATGCGGAAAATGATTCAGAAACCCATATGGATCAGGATATCACAAAGAATGACTTAAAATTAGACTGGGGATTGTTGTGGATTGAACAGCACCAGACACCAAATGTTATAGATGATCCATTCTTAAAAAGAACAATTTTTTTGAAAGCTCGTGAATTAAAGGATAAATCGCCATCATCAGTAAAGGCAGCTGAAAATGTAGAAAACGATTCAGTTACCCCGACTGAAGATGATGTGGTTATCGAGTTAGATACAACTGAACATGACTTACAATCAAATTGGGGATTGCTGTGGCTTGAACATCATCAGACACCAAATTTTATAGATGATCCATTTTTGCTGAGAACAATTCATGTGAAACCTCATATATTTCAAGTCAAAGATAACTTGCATCAGGATGATGATATTGCTGCGCATTCTGGTAGAGATTTGGCTGATGATACTGAAAAAGTCACAGATGAAGAAAACAGTTTAGATGAGAATGCGGAGTCTGACAGCCCAGATGGCGTGTCATTAAGATTCATCAACAACCCCTTTTTGCAGAAATCTATGTTGGTGAAACCAGTTTCTCCTAAATATGTATCTATAATTTCTGATACTAAAACCGAATCTACAGAAGAAAGTGTTGATGAAAGTATGGTTATGAATGATATCATCCATGATGAAAATGAATACAGCTCGTATTTCAATGATCCTCTCTTGAAATGGATTCTTCCCAGCACCACAAATACAATGACGTTTTTAGAATCCGATCAACCGATTGACAGTGATGGAGATGAGTTAGATGTTATACTGGAAAACTTCGGTAAAACTGAGGTTTCAGAGGAAGATGATGTTTCAGAAGATGAATACGAATCATCTGAAGAGAATTCAAGTAAGAATGTAGATTCTGATGTTGCAAAACAATATGATGAGTTCTATCGTCCGCTTGAAACAGCGGTACAGACCCACCATGAATCCTCAGATATGCCCGACTGGATTTCTTTACGGGGACTATTGAGCTCATTTCAAGATCTGTTGGAAGATATGTCATTACTTCGCATTGGTATTGGAGATATAAAAAAAGATTTGAACCTATTGAAAAAAGTCAAACCAGACATGATGGCTGACTGTAACAGTATGGCCAAGATATTCAAACAAAATGTCACCAATGTTGAAAACCAGATTTATGCAAACATTCAATTTCTAAGAAAAAGGCTTTACACTACCAGCACAACCAGAGAAGATCCGGATGAGGCTGATGAAGCAATAATTCCAAAGTACAAAGCGACATTATTGAATATTACTGTGAAAGTTGAGAAACTACAAGATGAAATGAATACTATACATGATACAATTGCAAAAGAAATATACAGCGATTCGGATGATACAGATGATCTCGTGAATGAAATAAATGAGAAAGCTACTGATGAAATTTTGAAATTACAACAGAAACTGGATGATCTAAACAAGAAACTGTCAGGCAAAGATTCAGAAAGTAGCAATTTAGTTCAAAAAATGGAGAAAGAAGCTGAAGAATTTAAGTCTCGTATTTCAGAATTGGAAAAATCTGTTTTACAAAAACATGATGAACAAAAAAATATTTATGAACATTCAAGAGAACAGGAGGAAAAAATGGAAGAAAAACTAGCTGAATTTCAAACATCATTACAAGAAAAAAATTCGGAACAAATCAAAGCAGCACATGAAGAAACGAGAGCAGTGAAAGAAAAACTGAGGGATCTAGAGGAATCACTGAAACTTAATGTGGAAGCAGACAAACCTTTTGTAGAACGAATTACCACACTTGAAGAAGAGTTGACATCACGTAAACAAGGGGAGATGGAAAAAACAAGGAAAGAAAAATTTGAAGCTACTCTTCTAAGGTCAAAAATTCAAGCGCTTGAACGGCAGCTCAAAAAGAGGTTCAATCATGATAATTCTAAAATGTTGATGGAAGCTGATGATTTGAAAGAAAAAGTCAGGAGTCTTGAAAACAGCTTGACAGCTAAAATTGCAGAAGAGAAAGATGAGCTTTCTGCCAAGGAAAAAGAAAGTGAATTGAGAGAACGAATCGAGTTGCTGGAAAAAGAGCTAAAAGATCGATTGGAATCTGTTGATATTTCAGCTAGAGACGAACAAGCAAATGAGCTAAAAGCTCGTGTACAAGCTATGGAAGATAGATTAAAGGCTCAAATTGAACAATTGGATGCCCAAAAAACTCAAACCGTTGATCTTGTTGATAAAAGCCCGAAAGCTATATCCAAATCAATAAAAAAAAGTAAAAAGAAAAATATTAAGAAAAAAGAAGTTATGGAATTTCTTAACACGTTCTTCTTCTCGCAAAACTATCACATAGAAACCACAAATCAAACTCCCGTTTTTACAAATCAAACAGATGTAATTTCAACGAATATTTTTGATGAAAATATGTTGCAAAGTGTGAATACTGATTTTAGTAAGTGATTCTATCTTGTTCCTGCAAAAAGAAAATGGCCAAGTTGGTGGCAAAACTGGAACTTTGATTTATTCATTTCTAATTTGTAATTTTTATGTCTCACAGCATCACTGTATATTGGCACTTCACACATTCATAAATTGTTTTGCAAATTATCAAACTACCATCTTGGTCATTTTCTTTAGCATTGCATGTTTTAATTTATCTGGAATTGATCTTTGCATGATTATTGATTTGTTTTCACTTGTAAGAATGCATCATGGAGCCATCAAAGAGGAGAGCATGTGGTGCAAAACACTTCTCCAAAGACTTCTGCAGTGCACTCCAGTGCTGTTGGTCACCTGTTATGAACGACCCTTCTGTTCCTCCTTGCTATTTTTCATGTAGGTGGATGAGTAATCTATTTTTATGCCTGGGTGAAAAAATTAGCGTGAGATCTTGTGTGTGTTTCAGTAGTTCTTTTTTTTATCTCTTTTATTGACAGTGATTGTTCATACTAAAAAAAAAGCTTTATTGCAGTGCTACAGATGGAAAATTCAAAAAACAAAGAACTTCATCAAAGTGCTTTGAGCAATGACAAAAAAAGTGAAGAAAGGTCGGGAGAATACAATGTTCTTCATGAGGGCAAAGTTGTAAACTGGGATGAGACACTTGATGAAAAGTCAGCAAGTGAAAAGAAAGTAGGGTGGGATGAATCATTAGGCGCAGAGACGGACAATGAACATATTTTAGAAGCGCTAGAAATTGCTAAGAAAGGTAATTACATGGAATCCAGAATTAATTACCAGAAATGTTTTGATTTTAGAACATTTATATTTGCCTTCAGTTAATCTCAACATTTTGGGTATATAAAAATTAATTTCACTGAATGTGTTTGACTTAAGCTGTTGCACATCAACCTATTTAGAATATAAACTGTTATATTAGGTTATGTCCATCTATGAATGTATATATTTCTCAAATGCTTTTCGGCAGACTTGTTTCGGTATGCTTGCTTTTCCTTCTGTGCAAATTCATGCTACTGTGTAAAAACAACATTACAATTATAAAACACTGCATTACACTGGTATGATTTTACTGTATAGGTATATCTGATTGTTTCTAGAAAAAGTGGTGGACGCTACAAGGGACAACTCAATAAAAGATGAAATAGACTCAAATACAGTAACCAAACAGCACAGTGGTGAAGATGCAGAACCAGAGTTAACGCCACCTACTACAGTAACCACTTTGGAAACGGTGGTCACGGAGCAAGTTACTCCTGAAACAGATACTTCTCAACAGTTTACAGAAACTGGAACCACACCAACCCCTGATCTTCAACTGGAAACCACCCTTCCACCACAACATGTTGATTCAACAGATAGCATTCTTGCATATGAAACTAATAAAACTGCAGCACAAGAAGTAAAAAGTCATCTTTCTGTGAGTACAGAGAAATCTGATGAAAAAGATAATGTAGATCCAGATGTGGGTATTTACTAACAATGTTATCTAATTATCAACATCTTACCTTTTTTAACCCATTTAAATCATTATTAAAGGAAGAAGAGACGCTACATGCGGAAAGTTTCTGGTTGAGACTGTTACTTGTCTTCTCAAAGTTACCTTATGATATTATTTATATTTTGGAGCCACTATTCAATGCGGTAAGTAAAGGCATGTGCAGTTTTCGTTTAGGTTTTGCAAATCATGAGCATTATTGTTGCAATTCGATTGCAAGTTGACCTTGTTTGTAGTTGTACATACCACACTTTAAAGCCAAGTTGATTTTACACCCATTTAACTTGAATACCTGAAGTATGAAGCTACGATCGCAGGGTTTCCAATTTTTATCTCAATTGAACTTTTTCTTTGGGCAAGATGGCTTAGTGGTTAGAGCATTTCACCCTACTGTTTTGGTGTCTAGGCTGTATATCTCAGTTAACTCTGTGCCCACTGCACCGCACCGCCTGTAATCATTTGGGTAATCAGTGCAGTGTTTCACTGACTGCAGGTGAACATGGTTTTGTGGTGGATTTTAATTATGTACTTTACACTGGTTTACATTGGTCAGTTATTTACAAGGCATATGAATGCCATAGTATTATAGGAAAGCATTTTCATATACTGTATATGGAAACATTGGAATGTGTCTGTTTGATGAAGATGCAATATTTCAGGTTATACGGCTTTCGCTAAGTGTTAATATTTTTTCCATGGCAATTTGAGTCATCATCATGTCAGTAAAATATTTTATTTTCAAATGTGAAGAGGGAAACACGACTTGGATTATTCCACAACCACTTAGCGTTTACTGCTTAGAAAATATCTTTGAAGTCTCCAGTTTCCATTGTCATTATGTAACAGGCTATGAGCGCAACTGGTGATTTGATTTCTCAGTCTAAGTAGATTACGAGACTTTTAGAGAACTTGCTTATTACTTATCGATTTCAATCGGTAAGTATGTTGATAGTTATTTGTCTGTCTGTTAGATGATCGCGATATCTCACAAAAGCGAGATTGAATCTGCTCCAGATTTTGCATGTGCATTCATCATCATACGTCGGACCAGAAGCCTATTGATTCTGGATGAATTATGTCGTATAATTAGCGAGTTATTAATTAATTAGTGATGGGACACAAGGTGTCACTATGGAGTAAAAGCGCTGTTTTGGGGGACCCCCTAACTTTCGATCAATAAGTCTTCGGTCTCTGACCGATATTCTCGTTTTTGAAGTCATTCATAAAACCACTACATTCATTTAGTCTTTAAGGAATCCTTAGCTAGTGTTATGCACAAGTAGCTCTCCCGCTTTTGTGCAGTTCAGGTAGTTTATAATGTGTGCGTAAATAACTATTATTAGAATATTAGTAATAGGCTGGGTACAGTGAATGCAAAACAAAATTCCTCCCCCTAATTGGAAAAATTTCTCCCCGTTTGTGAAACGTTGTCTTAGATCTTATATCTTTGAGCAAACTTGTGTGAAAAATCTGAAGGTATGAGTATGACATGACCAAAGCTGACACCAGAAGGTGCTAAAAGGTTATAAAATGAATGAATATTGGTTTTGAAATAGAAAGAGTACCAGCCGTCTCCAAGTTGCCTATTAATTCATACAATATGGTATTTGGTGGGGTCAGAAACACTGACAATAACAATGTCTTTATCCCAGTCTTCAGTGCAAACTAAAAATTGTTTTAATGTTTGACAATGTCTTGATTGTGTTGAAATAAATGTGAGATAGTATTTCTGTATGCCAATTTGCTGCTTGTCAAGACCCTTGCTCTCAGTAGTAGGCACACAGGCAAAAAAGCTCAGAGCTTCTAAATGATAACTTCAACAACACCATATTGGGGAGTTCAGGAGTTCATACAGTCAAAAATGTTAATCTAATATTACTAAATAAAAATACATTCAACATGCTGAATTTGATCATCTTCGAAGATGTGGCCATTACCAAGAAACTCTGCTGACAATTCTGCAATACAGTCGTATGATTTTTCTTTGGTTCTTGACCAACTTGATCCGTAAATATTCTCGTGGCGACGAGCCCGCCCGTGTTGTCTCAAAACTTACGACAACAGCAAAACGGGAAACACCCCATGTGGCCGATACCGGTGCACAGTTATTATTGGACTCGTAAGTGGACATAACGATCGTTTCAATATTATGTTGTTGTTTTACGTCATCATTCTCATTAAAAAATCGCTTTTTTCTTCGAATACTGGACCAATTTTAATCCGCCAAGCGTGACGGCTGACTGAAAATTCTTGCGACTCAAAACTCGGAAGTTTGTTGAAGGTACGGTACCGGTAACGCCAAAGGTAAGGGACCACTTCGCTCTGGTCCACGTATCCATATATTCGAGCGTTGCTCTCTTGTTAAAGTGTGGAAAATTTATTTAGAGCTCTGCACCATGGAAGTCGATCGAAGAGTGACGAGGCCGTGGCCTTTTTTCAGTCGAAGGCGATCGCTTTACTTTCTCGTATCGTATTTATTCGTCTCTTGCATTTCTACACGTCGGCTTCATTTTATTATTACTGTTGTATTAATAATCGTGCTTTCAAGTCTGCCAGTTTGCGCAATCACTTCAGAGAGGTCCTCGTCACAATTGTGCAACTGACAATCCGATTAGTCTTATAACGTTTTACCAGGGATTTCCGCTCTACCGATCGCATAACTGACAGTTACCTGATTTACTAGTAGCTCGTCTGCTTAACACAAAAACGGACAGTTATTATCGCATTGTGCGTGCTCGTATGGTATGCCGGCGAATTGCAGCAACAAAGGGCGTGGTGTATTTGCAAAGTATTTCCATATGGTGTCTTGAGAAGCGATTGTTCAATTTTGTCGGGCAGGTTATGTCGGACAGGACTGCAGGAAAGTTCAAAATACAAAATAAAATAATAGAAATTTCATCGTTAAAATCGAATCAGCCTTGTCTGTTCAATTACAAATCACTGGTTACAGGGTTACCAGTGGGTAAATAAATTCATTATGATCGTCTAAGTTCTTTTGAATATAATTATAATATATCATCAATGGTATTCCTGCAAGATGCGTCACATTCTTTCATGTACATCTGCGTATGACATGACTTTTGCTTTCTTGACATGGCAGATGGATTATCGAATCCTTGTTATCTTGGAATGCCGATATGTTCAATCGTGATTCGTGAATACGTTTATAATGTTAACCCTTGGATGGAGCAAATTGATTTATAGTGCAATTTCTTTGTTTTTTTAAACACATTACAGTTAGATTCGTTATTACAGTAGTTAGTTATGAGTAGTCGAACGTTTCAAAATGATTTAGTTGCGGCATTTGCTCAGACATGTGCTAGAGCTGGGGAAAAGTTGGATGTTGTAAGTTTACCAAACATTTGTTAATAATTCACTTAGTAACATAGATTTTACAGGACTGTTTCAGGATTTCGGCCTTTGCACAATTACAAGGTGCTAATTTATTAAATTAAAGATGAACATATCACAGCATTGTGCATAGATATTTAATAAAATTTGTTTTAAACCCCTAGGAAACTACCGGTATCTATAATAACTGTAACTCTTGAAAATATAGAGTTGATAGCCTATGGGATAATGCACCATATTTCTTTTGACCAAGTGTTATGTGCAATTTGTATTAATAACTTGTAACAATTGATATTATTCAAAAATGAGACTTTCAATCATCAATCTGTGTAGAACAGATCTGCTGCTACATTGTCTTTAATTAAATCAAACAAAGTAGGAACTTCTTGAAGCGATAATTTTTTTTTGAAACAATCATTTTATTTAATTAATATTGAAATTGAGTTATTGATTTATCGAGAAATTGTTGTGGATGGGTGTGACCTTCATGGGATTTGTTACCTAGAACTTTTGTTATTGATATTATTGCTTAAATAATGTGTGTATGGTTTGGAATCTAGGGAAAATATATAATTGTGTGAAAACTTTAATAGTTATTTTCAGATTATAAGTTTTTAATGTATAAATGTTTTAAATTTGCAACTTTTCTATTGATACTCTTTCCAATTTTAGTTGAAGGTCCGATACCCTTTTTTGTACAAACTTCCAACTCTTTTATCAGTAGTTCTTCTACTTAAGGCTCGGGACGTTACTTTTGACAAACTTGCTACCCCTCCATCAATACTTCTTACACTTTTAGTTGCGGCTCAGGACCTTGCTTTGAGCAAACTTGTTTATTAAACTGAGTGTATTATGCAATATTCGATGTGCCATATTGACACGGCACTCTGCAATATGAAATGATTTTGGCTCTCAAGCTACATCAATATTCATATCGAGCTAATCAAAATTTTTCTTTTTGTCCAGTGGATCACGTTACTGCCTGAAGAATATCGAAACGATGTGTATGGAGTATCATGGACAATTATTATATCAACATTTTTTTGCGGACTGATTTTAATATGGCTTCTTATATGTCGGTCACAATCTGTCAAAAGGAAACATCGAGATCAAAGTACTGCTGCTACAATACGAGAGTTAAAGACGCAACTAGAAAATTTATCGCAAGAGAAAGTTCAAGCTGAAAATGAGCTCAGAACAAAGCAAAATGAGGTGTTTTTTTATTTTCTTCATTTGTTTACGACGATTTGTATCATACTTTGGTTTAAGATTATTTACCGTAATTCTCTTGATTATTTTCTAAACAAGAAAGCAATGCTCATATATATGGACGCGAAAGTCAGCAATAAGCACCACAATGCCAGCATTATTCAAGAGCTAATGTTTTAAGAATGGTGTCGAATGTAATAAAGATTTGTACAGAATACCATATAAAGATGCAAATTAGAAAAAAAAGCACCACTTCATAACCAATAATATTAAACCAATAATATTATAATTGTAGGTTGAGATTCAAAAAGGACAAGTGGAAACTGTAACAGAAGAAAAGAATGCTACATTGACGATGAAAACAGGGTTGGAAGTATGTTAATCTAATTTTGTCTGTAACTACTTGATAAAAATTTAATGAAGAGCGAATATAATGAGTAGAAATTCAATGTATAAGTGTTTGTTTAACGTGATGCTGAATTACGCTTGTCACTCTGAAAAAGACCCTTCACGACTACAAGCAAGCATCAATTGATAACTATAGATATGTTAGAAGTTGTTTTTGGTAGGACCTGAATCATTCCCGTTTCGTTTGACAACCCAATTTAATATACCCTGGTGGACTGGGGATTTGGTCCGAGAATGTGTAACTTGAGGGGTTGTTGATTGTGTCTTATGCTTTAACCACATGTGTTAATATGGTATTATCAATACCTAATAGAAAAAATTCAAGTCAACGCTATTCTATTTAAAAATCTGTTTTATTTTAACAGAATTCATTGAGAGAACTTAATAAAGAAACTGAAACTTTGAAACGAGAAATGCAAATCTTGAATCAGAATCTACAGGATAAAGATAACGCTATGCAAGAAGTATTGACAAACGTGAGTCTTTTTTATTGTTGATTGTGTCAGGGCTTATAAGTTGGAGTTCAGTTTGTTTTTATGGATATTGGAGTCATTTCAAACTCCTCAAGACTCAAGAGTTAAGAGCCTGAACAAGAATCTAACTTTTGAACTCATCAGAGTTTTAGTTGGAATTTCAAACTTTTGTAAGTTTTGACGGTCTGAGCTCAGGGTAGTGTGCTATTGTTAATTTTCTAAAAAATCATTTATATTTCTTTTCATTATTCAGTCACAACAGGTGGAAACATCTCTTTTGGCACAAAAAGAAGCAATAACAAAATATGAAGGAGAAATCAAACAACTTCGCGGATTAATAACAAAACATGAAAATAATCAAAAAACAACAGAAACTTCAAATGAAAAATTAAAGGTTTGTAATATGATTTTGTAGATTTTTATTTCAATGTCATTGATAATATGGAAATCTGCATAAATTTTTGGGGTTAAAACACTTTTTCCCTTCATAGTGTGAAATTCAAATTTGATTCAATGAATATCGACAAAAGCTATTTACTTTGAAAATACACCTAACAGCATAGCTCAGTCTTTCTCTGCCTATTGGATATAAAGTGGACCTATGGATTACTCAGACAATTTTTTTGTATCGTTTGTTACTGTTGTGAAAACATATCTTTTCTTTGCTAATGGACCAAACATTTCTAGTTTTTCATAGCTTATCAATGGGAGAAATGCCTATCTGTATATTTCACTCCAAATTTTGCTTATTTTTATAAATTATTGACACACCGTCATATGACATTGGGTACAATTCTTTTAACATTTGTCTGGAATATTGGTGACATTGCTTTGTGTTGCTCTCGTTGTATATGCCATATTGTTTTTGGTTGAATGAAAGTTACTTTGTTTCAGGAACGAATTAAAACATTAGAGAAAGCTAAAAGTGAAACAAAGAAAGAAGGAAAAACGTTGAAAGATCAAATAGAAAAATTAAACAATAGAATTGGTGAATTACAAGAAAGACTTGACAATGAAATTGAAGTTGGCGAAAATAAAAAACAAGAAATTGATGTTTTAAAAGATTGTATTCTTCAATTTAAGGTTTGTTTTTACTTGTTATATTTTTGGCTAAGTCTAGGAATACTGTCATTTCAAGTTTATTTTTTCAACCAATTTTGAAAATTGTTTGCTACCTTTGTATATTTTCAATTTGAATAAGTTATTTCCGGTTCGCTTCTGTGTATATTGTATATATAAGGACAAGATGGCCTATCGGTTAAAGCAGGGGCGTGTTGGAGGCAAGGTATTGGGACCAGGGGTCAAAAATTTGCCCACCTAGACTGGCAGGTCATGTAAGTGTGACGTAAAAAGTGACATTTTATCAACAATATTTACAGTGTTACAAAAGCAAAAGGGGAAAACAGTAAGCTTCGTGGCAAAACTAAATTTAATTCCAATCTCAAAAAATCCCTAGAGCTATTTTTAGCTTAAACATCAAAATTTGGTTTTAGCTGGGTTGTGGCCACATCAGGCGGGCCAGATTAAAGTAACCGATGGGCTGGATTTGGCTCGCGGGTCGTAGTTTACACATGTCAGGGATAAAGTGTTGAACTGAACTGTGTTGGCGTCGCAGGTTGCATATCTTTAGTTGAAATCCCATGCCCCCATCCAATAGACTGGATATGCAATGCCCAACTGTTAAAGATTCGAGTTCCCTTTAAAAATAGCACATTATTAGCTATTGGTGGTTGCTTATACAGGGCCTTGTTCAGAGCAAAAGCTATGAATAAACATCGAGGAACAAAGGGGAGAATAGATTGCTGTCACATTTCGTAAAATATATTTTTTACATTTGCAGGGTGTTCAGGAATACTTAAATGATGAAGGTGAAGATGGGGAAACAGAGGAAGCTATTATCAAACAAGTAAAGTTTTTTAATTTAAACTTGTATGCATGCACTTTACGGAAATTGGTTTAGTATATTAGTGTTAATGTTGATGTTAAAAAGTCAATAATATATAACATGAATGTGTGAATAAACAGAATTTACTTTTATTAGGAAGCATTATACTCTGTGTAGTACTTAAAATTTAAATGTTCATTCAGTCACTTGTTGAATTATACATTTTATATTCGGAGGAATTTTTTTGTTTTGCAGAAAGAGAAAATGAAATCAATGTTAGATGTTGCAAATGTAAAAAGTGTTTTGAGACAAACTGAAACTGATAAATTACATGTTACTTATGAACTAGAAGCAGAACGTAAATCAAGGCAGGATACTGAAGGTATTAGTTTTTAATTTATTGGTGCTTCCATGACCCTTGACCCCAGGAAATTTTTTTTATACTTTGACATTGTAAAATGTGTTAGTGTTTTCCTTATAACCATCGTTTTGATTCAAAATATTTACCACTCGTCATTTAAAATGACTCATGCTGAATTTAGCCTAGTCTATCACAGCTTTTTCGAGACTAATTTTCTATTATTGCAACTAAACTAAAAATATTAGGAAGACAAAATGCCAAGTTGATTCATATCAAATTTTGAAACCCAACTAAAAACTGGCAAATAGCTCGCGAAGCGACGCAAACAGGATATTGTGTTCCACCTTGCCAGAAAAAATGCTAACACTGGTGATAAAATTTCACGTATTATGTCTTCGCTGACATCTTCTTGATTAGTCGAAGTAGTGTAAACAAGGAAGTCAAGGTGCTTTGAGAAACATTCATCATTCATAAATTCGATCTTAAGCCATCCAAACATACTTTTTTTTTAATTTTTATTTAACGAAAATTTAAGTATGTATAATTTTAATAGAGAAGATCCATTCAAAATATTTCCTTGTCAACGTAGTGAATTTTCTTCAGGAAAAGTTAGTGAATTGGAAGCTACAATAAAGGGGAATGAAGCAATTAAGGATGAATTGGAAAGACAAAAACGAATGCTCGAATCGAAACTCACTGTAATGGAGGAATTCTATGCCAAGAGAGAAGTTGAAATTCAAAGGTATGTTTGATATTTATATTTATTCAAAGTGCTGGAAAAAATTTTATCACACCGCACTCCTTGAATACAGTTTTTGTGTTGTCATTTTTTGTACAGTGGAATAAATAAAACTTGTTAATTAACATCAAATATATACAAATGTATTTAGTGGAATAGGTTCATATTCATTTGAATTCACTGCCACTGATTCTGATCCTTTTGACTTAGACTGCTTAGAGCAGTGGTTTCCAAACCCCGGTAATGATTTGATATGGCCCGCCGAAATAAAGTGCAATAGTTTAACACTTTATATTTATGCTATTGTGTTCTAGATCCTACCAATTGTTACGTATTAATTCAAGCCTTTATAAATTTCAGCAAACTGGGTTTGGAGCAATCAAAACGTGAGAGTAACGCATCCATGTTAGAAGACCAACAGCAGCAAAGATTAGAAATATTGCAACAACTTGATGCATACAAGAAAATGAGCGAAGATGCAAAGAAAAAATATGAAGACTCTGACAGACAACATAAGCAAGAAATACTCAGCTTTGAAAAGAAATCTCATGATAATTGGGTACAGTATTTTTCTGTATATACTGGAATGTCAATTTGGATTTCTGCCTATTGACAAAGCACTCTTGCCGACTATCTCTCTTTAACAAATATCCCAAATTGATCCAATACATATATCAATCAAACAAAGTGACCTGACAACACAAAGATATCCACTAGAATAAGTACTACTAAACACTGACCTGACTACAGTATAATTAACTATAGCAAGGAGCAATCTACCTATTACCATGATATAGGCGTGATATGTTTATACCAAAAGTAAATAATACTAATGTGAATCAGTTAAAATTTCCAAAACGAATCAAATTTATTCAAACTCGTTGTTATTGGATATAGTAAATCAAATGATCTATATATATTTCAGTATTTTATCAATGCTTGAATTTTGTATGTTTGTTTTTAGTTGGCTTGTCGTGATGCCGAGAGAAAAACTGAAGAAGCAAACAAGCAAATAAGTCAACTACAATTAGAGTAAGTTACTATAGTTGCGTTTTGGGACTCGGCAAACTATACGTTTTTCCTTTTTTTCAGCGTTGACAACTCTTTAGTCAAGAGCTCTTATCATACTTCAATTTATGTTAGGATTTGTTTGAAGTGCTCAAATCTACATGTATATACCCTACGTTGATGGATTTATATGCATCTAAATATTTATTGATGTTATAGAATCCATCTGTTTTTTTTTAGCTCTGCAAAGTGGCTCATGACATTTGCTGAAAATCACTTTGTTTGTTTATCGGTAAATTATAATTATTTGGCAATGGCCCATATTTCTTGTAAGCAAATGACAATATCATGTTACTGTGACTGACATGAAACCAACTAGGCTCAACGATTGGCACGTCGTGCTAAGTGTTAGGAATACTCTTGCCACCATACCTCTGATTATCCTGCGCATGTTGGGGGATAATTATGTTGGAGAGAATTGCTGGAATGTTTGGTGCTGTACGGTAGTTCACATCACTGCAGGTCTCTCATGTCACCATCCAGTTCATGTATCCGAAGCAAATAAACTGGTTTACTACTTCTATTCACTGGTAATCGGACAACACAAGATGATTCGACGTGTTCCGACACCGACTTCCCTCTCCCCTTGGATAAATACAAAAATTCTATCCTTTTCTCACAACCCGTCGAATAAAATGCATGTTTTATTCATTAAATTGTGCTTTTTGCAAGATTTTTCCTTTTTTTCCAATAAATAGACTGACAGATATGCGACGTCGGTTACATGACTCCCATGACAGAGATCTAATCATAAGACCCAGACCTGAACGACATGGCCCACCTGGTGCCCCGCCTTCATTCGGTCCACCAAGACGAGGTAAGTTGTGTTAATTTTTAAGGCATAATATTTTATATAGACTATTTCGATTGGTTTTTTGAAGTCTGAAATGGCCTGAACAACAGATGCGAATTGCACCAAATCATATTTTTTTAAACAGACATTCTAAATTCTGCCTAAAATAAAATAAAATGACTATATAGAATGTAACTAAATAATGTTCTATACACTTTAGACATCCAAGTTTTTATATCAATTTTTTAGCTTTAAATTTGACTTGGATACATAATTTCAGGTCCACCGCCACCAGGAGTTCCAGGCAGTCCACTTCATTTTCGAAGTGGCCCTCCACCTGATGCTGATCGACGATCCCCTCCACCTCATCATCGGAGACCTCCGAGTCCCGGTGGAAGTATTCCAGGTGATAGGCCGCCCAGTCGACCTGACCGGCCACCCAGTCGGCCTGACCGCCCACCAAGCACACACAGTCTTCCTCCCATGGATCGTAGATCAATACCAGGCCCACCACCTGGTCCTGGACAACCTTATTCCAACACAACCCCTGGAAGAGAATTCAGACCGTATAGAGATGCTATGCCTCCAAGAGGACCCCCGAGAGATCGTGCTTACCCCCCACCACCAGGTAATTTATTCATTGTTTTATTGGGGTAGATTTGACGTCTGGGGGACAGAAGCTGAAGCATGAGCCTGGGGCCGAGCTTTCCATAATAGATGATAGATGGAGTTCTGAAGATCTTAATCCAAATTCCTTGATAAATTTTTCACTTTATAATTTTCTAATACTCCAGCTTATAAAAAATGGTTGACAGAGCCCTAGTTTTATCATACTGCAGCTTCCGATCTGGAGCCAGAGCTTTTAGGATTTTTAACCAGTTCCCCAGCATTAGTCTATTTTGTTGCAAAGGTTGGACCTTTTTGAAAAGCTAGCTGCAATATTCATCTTGATATTTCTGTTATTTTTTTCTCTCTTTGTAATATTAAAAATTTTGATTAGGTTTTGATTTTTCGAAATAAGTTTGTCTGTAGTTTCTGATTGTGCTTTTTGATGTTTAGGGGCGAGAATGGGAAGTGGACCAGCAAATTCATCTCCTTATATGGAAAGGCCGCCTGTAAGTTTTTATAACCAATATTTTCCTACATTGTTTCTTTGGCAAAACCTGTTTTGAAATCAAATTTGTTATTTTACCATTAAACCTTGCATCAACTCCATTTCGAGTATTTTCTAATACAATATTTTTGAATCGAATGAGCATTCAATTTGGAAAGTTAAGATAAAAATGAAATGAAGTCATTTTGGTACTCCCGTAGTATATGTACCAGGTTGGGGTTAGCCAAAACCACCCTCTCCTGGCTACGCCACTGATTATACTTCAAGTGCCCAGGCGCACATTTTCTACTGGACTATTCTATGTTCTTACTGAAATCAAGAATTTATAATATTGTATGTGAACGAATTCAAATCGATATGAAGATCTCTCTACATGTTCCATTAATAGTTTGCAGCAATATACTGACATCTGGACTATTCAGTGACCAAATTTCATACTATATTTAATAGATTCCGTCCTCACAGTCACCTGGTCCAAGATCTCAGAACTTCACACAATCAAGTCTTCATGCAACACCACCGCAATCAACTGGTGATGGGTTAAGAAACGATGGATATCAACCACCCCCCGCCGCTTCCACAGGACCCCCTCCACCAGGTTCTGGACCACATGGAGGCTCAAATCCGTTTCGAAGATCAAAACCTTAATATGTTCATTATATTACAAGAATATAATTTAAATGAAAAATTGATTGTTTCTAACCTTGGATGATTAATAAGAGTATTCAAAGTGTGCCATCTTCGTACGCGCACTGTTGCGGATGGTGTCTTCGATCGAGAAAATTACTTGGCTGGTTTTAAAATAATTTAAAACATTGCTAATGTATCCTTATTTGCAAGCAGTTTCAATCATAGTTACCAAGTAGTGTAATTACATGTTTTTTTTATTGGGGGGTAGTTAGTGAGGTGTTTTGTTTTGTCATTTAATTTCCTTCGCCGCACATTCACCACATGCGTAGAGCTGTAGCTGTCCTCAAACAAAATAGCAAGCATTATTTGTTATGTGCAATACTGGTAACTCTGCTACTTTTTGGTTTTTGTCTGGAATGGCTAGACTAATGTTTTATGTATGGCTAGATAATTTGTGTTTAAAAGTTCTTTCAGATTATGTTTGTTCGAATAAAAGTTCTATTTGCTGGATTTTTTTTGTTTATTATTCTGAAAAAGATGGTGTTGTGCAACAGGGTGGTGGGTGTATAAGCTAAACTAAAAGGTCTTTGCTATGCCTACTAATGTTACCAGAATGCAGCCTCACTGCAACTACTTTTACTCGAGTCCCAAAAGATCTTACTTGACCTTGCTTTGTGATTTCAAAGTCTCTAGACTAGGGCTGGGAATTTCAGGGAGAAAACTTTAACCGTTAACCGCAGCATGACGTAATAAGTTACAATTTTAGATTGTTACGTCACGATGGTTACAAGCCAATTTCGAGTGATATTATTCCGGTATCGCTCAAAATCATTCACGAATGGAGATAGTTTCGTGATTGCTCTGCTGCAAGAGATATGCAGCGTGCTTCGGACATATGGGAGTATTTTGGTGAAACCCTATTCTGTTATTAAATGTCATTTATGTGACAAATTTTAAGTGTTCGATCTGCAAAATCTACTTTGAGATATCATAAAGAAAAACAGCATCAACTGCGCACTTGTTGGATGACATTGAATAGACGCTTTGCAATAAAATCGTGAACAATATATTCTGACTAAAATCTGATTCCGAATTTATCATGGTGAAATTTCCATAGTCAGTGATATTGGTACTTCAATAATTTTCTACATTTTTTGGTGCTCACCAATACAATCAGTGATATTCTCATGAACTAAACGCCACGGGAGATAAATTTGCAATAAATTAATCATTTTTGAAGAAATTATACATTATAAAGATTTGCACTTGAGATGTCAGTTAACGGTTAAAATAAATCCTAACCGTTAACCATCTAAAATCGGTTAACCATTCCCAGCCCTACTCTAGACCCATTTCAACGATTCTGAAAAATCTACCAAGCTTGACCATCACTCCTTTAATAGACAGAGGCATATAATAATAAATATAATTACAAGTTGACCAACCCCCGGACCCCTGTGTTACACTCTCAATATAAAAGCTATAGAAAATGCAATATACATGCTAGTAATATGATCTATAATTCCGTTGTTTCAAAGCCGGACTACTAGCACTATTAAAACAACAATAATAATGAGACTTATTGAGCTTTTGTAAATACTACTATATTCAGCACCCATGTTGTCATTGCTTGACCCTATAGTTTGGTAAGGGTGTCTTAAAAATGCCGTCCCACACTTGTATGAATATCACTTCATATGAATACCCTCTCCTTATGCTAAGCAGGGTATCTAAACTAACCCAGAACACAGCATGATCCACTATTCGTTCGCCCCACAGTATATATCTACTCTATCTTAGAACTGTAGGACAAGTGTGCTAAAAAAGAGTGGGACATGGCACCTTTGAAACACTGCTATTGTATACTAAACATAATTCATCACTCTGTAGAATTGACAGTTTAAACTTTATTCAAAATTGTTATCTAAAGCAGATTTATAATATAAAATATGTACCACAATCGGAAACAGCACCAGAAGAAATATATGAATGAAATCTACAATGTTTGTAGAATATAAAAATTGCATCTGGATGCTTGTAAAAAAGTAGGTAAACAAATTAAGAATGTTTTATTTAGAAATGACAAGTGTCAAAGTGCTATCATAATTTGACAAAAACTTAAAAAAAAATTCTCATTGGAAATTAATTGTTAACTAATTTGCATCATGACTAAGGTGAAATTTCAGGTTATTATTTTTGGGTAGAACATTGATCATTAGATCGACCGAATGTAAAGCTCTGTTGTGAATGACCTGTTTGTGACCAAAAAATAAGAACCAAATGACATACCAATTGAAGAAATAGATGTACTATTGACTGTTGACAACAAAATAAAATAAATCATTTTTATACCGGCAATAGAACATTTGCATTTCGTTAGAAGTCTTTAAAATACCACATTAAATGCAGCAAGTCGTCTATCGTCGATAATACATCAAAAACGAAACGCTACCAGTTGTGTTTCAACACGATTGCATAAAATTTGACCAAAATTTCAGAAGATATCGTCTGAAGTCTTTTTTCTCAGAACATAACATTGATTATAGAATTTAACCAGTGTGAAGAGTTAAATTGAGATGAAGATAGAGAGGTTTTGATGTAAGAAGCGCAAGTTTTTTTCTTCTATAATCTACCGGCTTCTTGTATCTGAGAAACAAAATATTTCTGAGTAAATCCCACTGTTTGTTCAGTCCAAGTGGTAGAGAAGCAAACCATTACAAAATGGGTGATGATAGTTATAATAGTGCCAGTGCTCTTGTTTCTATAGAGCAGATGGTAAATAAATGAAATGTTGGGATTTTTCATAAATTGGCCTTAGACAGTTATTTTAATGGTTATGCCGCTATTTACCTACGATTAATTTGTGGAGAAAATTAGGGGAATATTGGGCGCACCAGAAGTATGTGTACAAATATGGAGTTAACTAATTTTGTTCGCCTAATTTACATCAAGTTCTATAAAGGGACTGAAGCCTATCGGCAGGGGGTATATTTACTTGGCTAATATAGACAGTCCCGACTCGTAATAGAACTAAAATAAGAAAAATCTGAATAAAAATTATGGCCTAATCCTACCCTTGTACACATACTACGGGAGTATCGAATATTGTCATAATTATACAGAATATCATTTCTATAAGCTAAAAGAAAAATTAGTTGAAATATCAACCCCAAATATTACTTTTGTAAATAAATTTGCATTACATTTCAGAAAAAATCGTCACTCACAATTCAATGACACAAGGACCAGGTTTCAATTCATCTTGTTCCATGAAAGCAAAACACTTCAAACTTGTCATGCGTTTGTTTGGCTTGTAATGCTTCATTTCAAAAAAGATCGCAGAATCTGAGAAAGATTTGGCGAAGTGGCTTAGTGTCAGACTTTAACTATGTTGGCATCGAAGGTTAAAGATCTTGAGTTGAACCGCCGTGCTCATTAAAGATTTGATTTGTACAATAGGCAATGCAAAACCGGAAATTTTGATGAAAACATTTATTGGCCAGGATAGAAAATCTCATTTGTAAATTGTTATAAAAAACCAGACATAATTACTAATACTACTGCATCATTTGACAATTACCTACAAATTCTAGTCATTTCATATTAGAAACAAAAATATGGGTTTTGATATACTGAACATAAATAAATATAACATCGGTATCAATATGACTATTTTAGCAAAATGAATATTTGATAAATACGGTAATTTTGATATTCTACTTTATAATTAGCCAAAGCGAGGAAAAAATCTTTCACAATGACTAGAGTCTGACTAGACAGGATTTGATATTCATCCAACAACTCACTTGAATTCCACAAATATTTGAACCCTTTTAAAACCTTATAAAGGTATTTTGAGAATACTATTTTCTGGTGTTAATCTAGAGATAATATACCTACTTCTAGACATTTTTTCAATGCAAATTTGAATTTCAACATCAATGCCAAAATATAGGAATGTATCGTCTCTTTTTGCAGCTGTGGGTGTCTTTTGTGATTGACATAAATCAACACCTGCAATATCTGTTAAGACAAGAGAAAAAAGGTACACAGCTTAAGTGTAATGAAATTATTGTGGTATGACCTTATACGGTAAGTGTTTTCATCTGTATCTGTGATATATCAATCGCTACACTTACAATTCTTACACCAAATGGAAAAAAATTTAAGGAGGATGTCTGCAATTGGTGAGAATAGTATTGTTTGTGACAGATAAAGTGATATTTCAGAAATAAAATAAAAGGTTTCCATATGCAGAAGAAACATTTTGAAATCATTCAATAGTTTTCAATAATTGTCAATTTCTAATATAGTATCAATAATTCTTCAATATGGATCGGTTTTCACCCGTTTTTTCGGTGCGTAAAAAATATCTTCTCTCAGTAATTGATGAACCAACTATTTTCATAATTGAAATTGAACAGTGACTGAAGATTGAAGTAGAGGTCTAAAAACTTTTATTTTCTTTCCGCATACTCAAATAATATGTGAGATAATCATCTGTAAGAGGATTACTGGACTAATTGCTGACTTGAAGATCTACATTAACCACTTGCATCGTGGCCCCCTTTCGGGGCTTTTAGCACTCATGACCCCCCTGTTTATCATTCCAGTGATATTTCTAGTGTGATTTTGATTGGTAGATTCTAAATTCCATTATGTTCGAACAATCAATGCTCAACGAGATGAAAAAACCCTGTGAAATAATTAATCTTAAGCAAAGAAACTAGAAAAAACGGGGAGTTTTCTTGTAAAGGGAAAAGTAAAATCAGCTTGTGCCTAGCTTGTGGCCCTCCTTCAACTGCCCTGTGGCCCCCGGTCGAGAACCGCTGGCTCAGAGCTTCCCCCAGCAATAATGCATCTAAAATTTAGTCCTGCTTTTTACTTGCAATAGAAAAATTTCAGGTACTAGGTGAGCATGTTAATCCAATGTAGAATGAATACTTTTCCATAATTGGAGAAATCAATTGAAATTTGGAATATTTTATGATTCACTTATATATTTATAAATGGAACAGAATATTACTAGTCATCACCTTTACAAGATACGACAAAGAAGGGATCGATATGACTTGAAGCATCTTTCAAACCAATTTTTTCAATCCGAACCGTCACTAGTGTTTCATTTTGATCAGCAATTAATCTTGGAAGAAGTGAATTAACTGGAAAACAAATTCGAGCAAATTCAATGGAGATGTAAGAAAGTTATTCCAGACATTTTTGCATATTGAAATTGCATACATTGTAATGTTCAAAAGTAGACTTTAAACTTCAGTATAGGAGGCCAATAACCATGGATCAATGTTAACATAGTGTCTTCAAACTTTATAACATTTAGAATTTCATGAAAAAGGGGACTAAAATATTGAATTCCTTATATTTAAAAATATTATGAAAAATGAATGAGGTTCGAGCTGGTAGCACTTCTAGTCATAGATTGGAGCAATAAGTATTTCAACAAAAAATTGGAGAAGTTTAAACAACAAAATTATTCGTTAGCTTTTTCTCTCAAAACCTTGTTTTCAAGTTTTGCCCTAATGATTTAAAGCCTCCACAATATTGGAATAGTCTCATGGAGTTTACTTTATGCCTAACATGATTATCACCCATAATAAAATTGAAAAGAAATTCCATTACAACTAATATCAAACATATGGTGAGCCTCATAGTGGAACAATGCAAAATTAAAAAAAAAAATCCAAATATATTTTTATATTATTACATAAACATTACAATAAAAAAGTACAATACAACAAGTGAGATGATTATATCATTGTCATTTCAATAAAATGGTAAAAAGCACAAAAAATAACCAATATTCACATGAGGATGTTGCGAGTTGCGTTACTGATTCTTCTTCTGGATTTGTTGGCACAGGTTCAGGTGATGGTGTGGTTACTAATCTGAACATTCATAAAAGATTTCACTTATTTTACGAGTGATTTTCAGTAATATTTTAGACTTTATTTTCTATAATCCTATCAGAGTTTCATTTTTAAGAAACTCTGAGATTCCACAAAATTAGTTTTTGAGTTTGCGAAATATTACCAATAGATAACATTGCACTGTTAATTCAAATTTTATATAATGTATCGGTATATAATTATTACAATATGATTCACTCACCTTAGACCTTTCATCTGACGATTTATTTCCTCTGGTATTTCTGGTTTCTTACTCTTCAGCAAATTTTTCATTACTAAATAGATAAAGAGTAATAAAATCAGCGTTCGTTTATTGTACAGCTTTCATCAATGGTAGGCCACACCTACACAGGTTGTCAGCACTCTATTGATCAGGATTTTTTCTAACAGAGCCTTCAGCTCTCTAGGATGGCATTGAGTGATTCTCTGGGGGCAAAAGCTTTCACTGAGTATCATCCGCGATGGAAACACTGATTTGTTCAATTATTTAATTGTAATTGTAATAAATTTATTCTTTTTTATTTGTTATTTTTTTAGTATAGGAATTTTACACTAATAGGAGATGGAAACACAAAACTAGATGATTTTATAGAAGAGTAAGGGGGTCACAATTTCTGAAGAATCTCTAAAAAGGATCCATGATCATGAAAGTTTGAGAACTTCTACACAAGATAGATGACCATTTTTCATCATTTAGAGTAACTAAAATAGTCTAAAACCATTCATCTGATAGAATCAATGCATATTGATGACAAAAACCCTATGCCATGTGTAACCTGATAGCACTGGAACATAAAATATTTATGAGAATAGCTACATGATAATCAAAATCAACAAAGCAGGTAACAAATGGCATGATTCAATGTATTACTATCACATAGGGTAATATGTAATTAGCAATGGCCCATTTCATGATATAAAAATGTCATTGCCTACAGTTCAGAAGAATATTTTTCATCAACAACATATTTTGATCATAATTTATCTAGAATAATCAGGGGCAGACAATAATGACTACTACAAACCTTCTAACAATTTCTTAATTTCTGCTAAATCAATATCTGGAGGTGATTTCATCATTTGCAATGATTTTGCTCGAATTTCCAAGCATGAAGCAACTTTTCTTATTATTTTCTGTAAAACCAAACGAAATTATTACTTATGAGTTGGTAAACAAATTGTGTTTTATGAACTTCTAATAAATTAAATAAAGAAATGATAAACCAATAAAAAATGCTGTATAATACCCATTACATTGCCATATTGAATTATGATTACATATGTGTTGTGATAGGCATTCATGTCTGTGTAATTGAATCAATATTTTAAACTTCCCAAAGTCGAAAACAAAATTTTTCGGAGTCAATAAATCAAACTTTGGATGGAGATAATCAGGAACTCAAAATGTACCAAGTTGACAGAGCATCCCTAACAGGCAATTACAAAATATTTGTTTTTTCGGTAAAAAAGTGAGTCATAATTTCCTTTAACCTGGAGTTGGACCTTTTTTATTGAGTGTCGGGGATTTTTTAAATGGCTCAAGTCAAGAGTAAGGAGTTGTTATTACCTATAGTATTTATCAAAAAGTCATGCATGCTGCATGCTTTGTTATGTACGAGTGTAAACTTAATCAGACTGAACCTAATATATTTGTTATTTATTGAGTAATATTTCTAAAAATGTTTCCGCTTATAATCCAGATAATAACAGTATATTTACAAATACAACAGACATCTCCTGATTTTTGAGTGCACCTGGTAGAAGTGATAGTTCAGTATATCACTTGCCATTGCAAGCATAGAATTTTCTCCTTTGGTTGATCGTTTTAACTATCGATTTTAACACAAAGTTCTAACTTTAGCAAGCTTTGTGTGTTTTTTGCTATGTGATTCTAATCAAAGATAAATATATATTTATGGGGAATAATAGCTTACAGATTTATCTTCATCAAATGTTTTTTGATCAACTGCTGTTGCAGCTTTCATCATTCGTGCCAATCTGCAAAGTAGAACAATTATCAAATAAAAATTGTATTGAAAATATGAATTGAAAATCATTTATCCAATGTTATTACTCACTAGAAAGAGTCCACAATCAGACTATGAAAACAAAACTGGACATTTTACTTCAATTTTTCCAACTCATTAACCTACCTTGAATATTCATCCGCTGCTTCCACTAGTTGTCCCCAGGAATCAAAATCTGTTGCTTGTTGAAATTTTTGATTCCAAGTGCCAACCAGTTTTTCAATTTCAGATTTTGACATTATGAAAAAAATAGGCTTATTTCAAATATCGGTAATTGAAATCCGAAATAATGGAACCCTGATATACTATACTGATTTTCAGACAAGCAGAGTCTGTTGTAAAACTGCTCTATAAAATTAGTCTAAATAAGTGAAGCCAAATTTAGCCAAAGAGAAATATTTTAGATGAAAGAAATAAAATGTCATCTAAACTTGGTCATTATTCGGTACGGTATCTTGCGGGAAGATGGGAAATTACATAACACTGTTATATGCAATTCTCTCATATTTTTCACCAAAAATATTTCAAACGAGTTAATCAATCAATTTTATTTTGGTCACTCTGAAAGAAACAAAACAACAACAAACGGACAAACAAAATGCAGAGGAACTGGAGGACGGGCATAACCACACCAAACATATTTCAAACAAGTTAATCATTTTATAGGCACATATGAATCGAATTTGTATGATTAAAATATGAAGAACACATATATTTTCATAATGCTGCTAAGCCTCTCAAGGAATAATTGAGGTGAACAGCCCTTTATCGCAATAATTATAACTAACAGGCGCGACGGTGTGGCTCAACGGGCTAAGCGTTAGGAATACGCTCGCCACCGCACCTCTAACTACTCTGCGTGGGTTCGCAGGTTCGAATCCCATGCAGGGATGGTTATGTGCGAGAGGATTGCTGGACTCCTCGCCGTCGTTGGGTGGTTCACGTAACCGCTGGTCGGTTACGGCTTCCTCCACCACCAAGTCCATGCTTCCGAAAACAAACAATACAGTAAATCTAATCCCATACCCGACTTGGAATGGTAACCGGACGAGAGGCCGTGGTTCGCCATATGGATAAGCCGTCTTATCGGCTTTCCTCTCCCCCGGGATAAATATGTAAATCCTATCCTCCTATCCTAACTGGCAATTAGCATTCGGCATTACTGCATTACGAAATCGCGTCAACTACACTGCAAAAATTGAAAGGGGATTCCCCCTTTTTAGCAGTCCGTGACGTCATAACGAATGGATTTCGTTATTCATTCGTAACGACTAACGACTCATCAGCATTTCACAATTTAACCATTACATGTATCACGGTAAACCAACGAATAACATACCAGAGTAAACTGATTGTCGGCGATGTTCTGACTTTTGTCAAATGAAACGTTACAAAATAAAATTTGTGAAAGTGTGACGCCAGATATATTATAACCACTCTATATGGCCGTTTTGATTCTTGCTACAATACCCTTGCATACGAATCGACAAACAACTATTTTTTTTTTCGTGGCCCATTTTTGTTGCCCAAAAACTTTTTATTGCAAGGAGAAAACAACAAGAAAATCAAGATCTGTCTGCTAAAATGGACACTCAAACGTTCATAATTAGTATGGGAATTACCTTCCAGTAGTAGAGAACAGCATCGTCATTGATTGCTGCTACAATCAAAAGTAACTATTGTGACATAAATGAAACTAGCAATTTCTAATAGTTCTGTGGCCAACCTCTTTGGCCCAACAGTGGGCCATGGCAGTTAAGCTTAAACTGAAATTCGCCAAACATGCATAATTTAGAGTTTTATTTGACCTTTTTTAGTTACATTCCCAAATCTCATCATTCGACAGTTTGGATGAATGTCAGTGCAGCTGCGGCATTTCGTAAACGAGCCACAACAAAGTCGAAATAGAACATTTCGGAATCCGCTATCAATAAAATGATAATTTGAAGTTGCAGGTCGTAACGTTTGCATCTACAAGTATGAAATTCAGATGTCTCGCAAAGTGAGTCACACAACCACTTGATCAAATGTGTATATTATTTCTATAGCATTTGTGTGTCTGGGAGATAAATATGAAATCCTCATCTATTTCGATTTGTCATCCCATTTGTACTCCAGTTGGCGATGAATTTCGCATACTGAACTGAGCTGTTTTTGTTTTATATTCAAGATAGTTCTTATTGGACCGAGTAGTACCAAATTGAATATAATAGTTACAGAAGGATAGCAAAGGCACGAAAATCGATCGTCGCTACTAACATCCATCAGCCTAATATCAGTAACTCCCAATTTGGTTTCCGAAATGCACATTCTACAGAGCTTGCTGTAGTCAAACTAAAAGAATCAATATTGAATAATTTATCAGATAATAAAGTAACTTGTGCTATTTTCCTAGATTTGGCAAAGGCATTCGATACGGTTGACCACACTATTTTATTATACAAATTGTCCCATTATGGCATACGTGGATTGCCACTTAATCTAATTCGATCTTATTTAACGAAGCGTCAACAATTCATTGAATCGAATGGTTACAAATCTTCCCTTCAATATGTATCTTGTGGAGTCCCACAAGGTAGCACTCTTGGTTCCCTACTATTTTTGTCTACATCAATGACCTTCCTACTACCAGTGCGTTCGATACCACACTATTCGCTGATGATAGTGATACAGCTCTGCTTGACTCTGCCACAAATATTGTGGATCTCCAACATGCAATGAATTTGAAAATAAAGCAAATTGACCATTGGTTGAAACTAAATAAATTGTCGCTTAACTATTCGAAAACAAAATTCATGGTTTTTGGGTCTGGGAAAAATATAAGGTTTGAAAACTTTAAATTAGAAGTTGGCACAATTAGCTTGGAAAGAACAAGTACTATAAAATATTTGGGAATAGTTCTGGATGAAAAACTTAATTGGAAAAATCACATAGATTACCTTTCAAAAAAACTTTCTCAATCACTTGGAATGCTTTATAAATTAAGGAGATTTGTAAATCTTGAAACCCTTAAAATAGTTTATAATAGCCTGGCCTTTTCACATCTTCGATATGGTATATTATGTTGGGGTAACGCGACAAAAACTGCTTTAAGACCCCTTGCCTTTTTACAAAATAAGATGATTAGATGTATGATGTACCGAGAGTCATCTAGACAAATACGTATAAATAATGCAAAACTGTATCATCATTGTGAATTTCTTCAATTGAAAGAACTCTACATAGGTGAAGTGGGAAAATTTATGTATCGTTATGAAAATGTGCTGCTGCCAGAGTATTTTCAAAACTTTTTTGTCAAAATTTCAAATATCCATCCGTATGAGACCAGGAGTACATCAATAAATTGTATTTCACCCCGCGATATCAATCTTCATGCATGAAGAAATCGCTCAAGCTGGAAGGTATTAATGTATGGCAAAGTATTCCACAAAGTATGAAACAGTGTTCCCCACAATTATTTGATCGCAAACTAAAACAACATTTATTAGCGGATTATAATGTGATGCAGTGACGTTCAAATCTCAGTGTATGCTATCAGATTCATAAAATGGCTAGGAAATCACCATTTTATAGATGTATGTCTCTGTGAAAATTATTGAAGATACTATTATATATAGTCTGAAGTGTTCATATGTACTATATGTCTATATAGCTTTGGAAATATGGTATTTTAAATTTTTCACCCATTCATAGAAACTGCCCCATTTCCTCATTTTCACTATTTGATTTTTGTCGAACATTTTTGTCGAATTTGAGGAAATTATAATTAGGCTTACGCCCTTCTTAATTTTTCACTTCTTTTCGCATTTTATTTACTATTAAAAAAAAGTATAACCTGCATAATCATGCGATGTTCTTTTTTCTTGTAATTTTCAATCTTTGATTGATACCACCCTATTTGCAAATTAAAACAGCATTTCAGCGGATCATAATATGATGCAATATCATGCAAATCTCAGTGTATGCTATCAGATTTATAAAATGGATAGGAATTCACAATCTTATATATGGATTCTTCATATGTCTTTGTGAAAATTATTGAAGATACTATTATATATAGTCTGCAGTAATAATTATATGTACTATATAGCTTGGGAAGTATGGTATTTTTAATTTTTTCACCTATTCATAGAAATTGCCTCATTCTCACGATTTGATTCTTGTCTATCATGAAGTATAATTAATTGTAATTAGCCCGACGCCCTTCTTATTCTTTCTCGCATTTTTAATTACTATTAAAAACATGATTTGCGTAATCATGTGATGTTCTTGTTCCTTGTAATTTTTATTTCTATTCCAATACTTTCGGGGAATTGATTTCTGGGGCCTCTTAACCGGGCTTAAAACTCAAAAATTTATATTTCTTCTATTGCAATTATGATGCCTGCTTTAGAGTGTCCTGTCTTGGTAGAATCTTACCTTAGGGGTCGGTCGACCTTGTTGACCTTGGAAGTCTGGCCCGTCCCCTTCCGTATACATTTTTATGCTTATTGTTATTTGCTCATGCTTATTGTATTATGTACTTGTATCGGAAATAAATCATTATCTATCTATCTAATAATATTATCCAGATTTTATTTTGTGAACCTTTGCTCATATGTCTAGCATGGATTCTCGTTATGAGGCAACAAATTATTACAAAAAAAGATGAACTGCTCACGCACGTCGTAAACATTCTTTTTTTATTTCATAATAAAAACATTACATTTATATAGACACAATAATGCATAAATATCATTGCACTTAAACATTCTTGCACTTAAACATTCTTATCACACCAAACTGAAATGCGCCCGCGGGATCTATCCTTCTCGAGGACGCGGATTGCATTGATTATTATTAGGCAGAGTTAGTATTAGGCGTTGTTGTAACATCATGCCTCAAGTTTGGTTCAAGCAATGGTCTTCTTTTCTGGGTATTACATTTTCATCATTTTATCACGATCAAGTTCTCACTCCCGCCATCGCAGTGTTTGTTTACTACGTACGACACGAACACGCTCAGCGCCCGCGGGTGAAGCGCATTGCATCATTGTTTTGATCATTGTGCAATGTCAGCTGACGTGACTGAGTTCATGTCCTGGGACCAATTACTGCCGGCCTTGCTTTTTATTGGCCAATCAAAATGGCTACCCTGGCTCACGTGAGCTGGCGTATCATGAAATCACCGCCTCTTTGTTGATCAAAACAAACCTGACCCGGTCTTTGTTATGAGACAGCGTTGCGCCGGCCGGGACGTGGAAACACGGGAAACCAGTCAAGTTCGGGCAGCTGGTTAATTAATTGGATTAACGATGTAGGATTAGTACAGTATTATCAAATTTTTATATCAGTGCGGTGTTAATATGATTAGTTTTGAGTTCCTGTTTTTTTGAATTGTGTGTTACCGTATTCTGTTATTAGACCTGTAGACGTATTGCTGTATTGTATTGACAGTTTGATGAGTAACGACCGAACGAGACCGTCTAATTCTGTAATTGCTATCTCATGTCGCAACAACCAATGTGTACGGTACGTTTACGAACGGTACGGTATATCAGTATATTTCTGTGTTTTGCTCAGCACTTTACTGCTTTAGCAGTTCAGGTGATGCCATATACCAGTACCTGGTATACTGAAATATCTGTCTGCCGGTAGCCATAGACAGCATGAACCTTTTGAAAATGATACAGACATCTATTTTGTAATGCAGTAATGTTACGGTCTGAGGTCTGACGGTAAATTACAAAATTATACTGACAGAAGGCTGGTAGAGGAAAAGGAAAAATTATTGGTGATGATTAATTTTATTTGAATATTTATTGAAATTTGAGTTTCAAGATACCAATAATCGAATATTTAATTTTCGATCCAATATTTAGATATCAATGCAATGAAGATATGGGCTATGTCAAATAAAACCGTACTGTACCTAATACGTGAGACATTTCATGACAAAATTTAGTTTTTATTTAATGTAATACAATTAAATACCAATATACAGCAGTACTACATCATCAACTTGAAATTTTTTTAATTTTCAAATCTTTTGCCAAACCTTGCGACATTATAGAAAATAGATATGATTATTATAAATATTTCAGTTTTACTAGTAGGGCACAGTTTACAAATTCCAGAAATGTCCCGTCATTTGGTTCAATTAAACAAACACTGCATGTGTCTCAAACGTTTTTTGCTCTAAAAACCATCGAATGCCATGGTAAAAAATTTTTTTTTGGAAAATTGGATTATTTTTTCCTGAGGAATTCAATGATGTCGTTTTTAGATTGTGCTTCTTTTCAGTTTATTGCGCAACTTCATTTTGCTGTATTTTTACCGATATTGTGGATTGAGGGACAACAATGTCCAGACGTCCCTGAAAGGAGGGGTGTCTGTTCTATGGCAAAATGAGATTCTCTGAAACGAGGCAATGTCGCTGGATCTGTAAAGTGTGCCGTACTGTATACAGGAACTGATTATTGTTCAAAGGATACGTTCCTATTCTTAGATTAAAAACCATCTATTTATACAACCTAGAAAAACCAATAATTTCCCCCAGGTGGATTATAGGTTTAATATGAGGTAAATATTCATATGGTCTTATCTCTTTCCAGCTTGAACTTTGAAACCCAATCTATCCTATATCACTGTTTTCTACCAGGGAAAATACCTATGGTATTTGGTGATAAATTTTTGTCTTTATAATTTTTATGTATTCACATTTGGTATTTATAGTAACAGTAACCTTGTTTGGAAGGAGCTCTTGAGGTTTTATATAAATATATGTCCTACCGTCATTGAAAAAAGTTTTATGTAGTTCATTTTTCTTTTTCCTATCATACAAGCAGAAAAGTAACTCTAAATCACTGTGTGTTAATAGAAGATTGAATAAGTGTTTATGTTACAATTTACTGAGTGTAAACTTTAATTATTAATGCATATATATTGTGACTAACTTCACAACCGGGCATACTGCATAGGTATATATTTACAGTAAATAAACATTGAGTTTGGGTTGTTGATTGGCCCAATGATGTTGGAATCAATCTGTAATATATAGGAGAGTGTTTTTTTTCTTGAACCAAATATTGGGACATCTTGGAATAGGAGATTTGTGCCCTACTTCATGAGATTGTTTTTCGTTATATAAGCAGATGAATGAACCGATGCGTTTCGCTCTTAATGCTGATTATGAGAAACAGCTTTTTTTTTCTTAACTCAGTGGTAGCTAATAACTTGTTACTCATGGTATAAAAAAGATGTAATTATTAGGGAATGGCCCATGTTTCAATTCTATCAAACACTGATCAGATAATTTTTCATAATATCTCAAATATTATACTATTTCAGATTTAAAATACAAAAAGAAAAAAAAAATATTATATTATATCAAGTTCATCTTTATATGATGTTATCTCAAAATCCACCAGGTTTAAAACCTGTGTTGGGATCAAGAGTTGCTGTACCAGTTAATGCTGATTATCCATATTATGTTGCTGCAACAGTCCAGGTTAGTGAAAGTGTTAGTTCTTCCTCGCTGTTGTTTATTTTTATTCTAAAATAACATCTCATCAACTGGAGTTGTCTTGAATTGGATACAGACTTAACACAATATTCACGTTCAAATAATTTGATTAATATTTTTAAATTGATTTTGGGTTTCGAATTTTTTAAATATTTCTTTTTGAAGCAAAAAAATGATACATGCAGAGATGAGTCAAATTGAATTAATTACTATTCCAAATATATTTAAAAATAATAATTTTGGATATGGAATTCCAAAAAATGTTCGGAAGAGCTATTTGCAAAAGTCATTGTACATTGATTCAAATTTAGATTGGTTATGTAGAATAGTTTGGATAAACATTTTTTTGGTTTTCGCGTGCCAAATATTTTCGGTACTACCATTAGATGACAATTTTATTAATGATAAATTTTTGAAAGAAAATATTCTTAATTATGACGGGAATCATTTACTTTATCAAATAGCCTATATCAATTTCTGGTATATTCGATCCTTATTGGATATCTCTAGAATGAGATGTATTTAATATCAAATGAGGTCATTTCGATTATCTTCAAATTATTAAACACTTCTAGATAACATTAGTCAGTATAATTGAATTTTTTATAAATGAAATAAATTTTTTTTAAATAAAGGAATTTTTTTCTCTCTGTACTTGTGTGTACATTTAGTGAAAAGTTCAGTGCTTCTATGGATACTATGAAAGCAACACATCATGAAAATTGTGATATGCTGTATGGCTAGCGATACATATTTGTATAGATGTGACAAAGTCGAAACTGCTTTCTACATGCCAACCTTAGAGCTTCTGTAGACGAGACCCTGTATTTATTTAGTGATAGGATTAAATTTTAACCAACGACTAGAATCAAATCTGCTCACTGAATGGTACCGTAATTCAACTTTTACGGAAGTAACGATTGGGACAACAAATTTTCATCCTATCTGATAGCTGATAAATATTAAATATATTAATACCAAAAATTGCAAATTCATGTAAAACAATGCCATATAATAAATAATACATTTTTTCTAAATTCTGCAGGCTATCTGGAAGGATTTAAGAGGCAATGAATATGTCACTGTCAAATATGATGACAATCACAAAGGAGAATGCTTATTATCGCAAGTTGTGGGAAACGGTTTTAAAAGCATTCATGATATCAAACTACACAAACACCAAAAGGTAACAATAAGCAGTAAAAAGTAAGAAGATACCTTCTCACTTCTCTCTTATTGCACCATACTGGAGGAATACTGTATTATTACAAAAGTAGAACTCTTTATCTAGTTTCTGAAATGTGATACAATGTGTTTATTACAGGAGTTGTATGATGTATCGGGTTCTAATTTTCGCAAGTCATGCATCAATTACAAATGGTGTAATCTTTACCAATAAATTAGAATTTTTGGTTACATACAAGATACAATCCTATCCCTCCTTTGATATGTCCTAATAACAATGTGTTACTGATGAATTTCACTAATATTGCAATCGTAGTGAAGTTCTTTGATATACCGTAAATTGGGTGACTACTTTTAAAATCTTCTGAATTCAAAAATGTGGGCATTTTCAGATATTTTAGTATGGTGCATCAATTTATTCTAGGTATATTTCGTTCCGAATTACACTATTTTAAATTTTCTAACGTTAAAATTTTGATTTTTTCGGCACAAATTGTCTTATTAAATTTAATGATAGTGTTGGTTAATGAGGAGGTGTGTTATTTTGCCTACACCACTTGACTGCTAGATGACATCATTGGTCTGGGTTATTCTAATAATAGTCTTGTTGCATAGATACAGTTTGATTTATATTTTTCATAATTTATGTGGACCACATTTGTCAATGTACAATATTTTTATATATTGATTGTTTTGAATAATTTGAAATTGAAGCGCGTTTTTAAAGGCAAATTTTGTTTAATTTTTCATTTATTTTCTTTCTGTACATGTAACAAGTCATTTCAGACGTTTGAAATTGATATCAATAGTTATGTATTGTCCATAAATCTCTACTTTTCGTTTAAGTATCTTATGGTAATGAGATTTAGATATAATTTGCAAATGTTGAAAAGTACTTTTCTTCAGTAATCTATTTCATTTTTCAGGTGTTTACGGTTCATAATGGCAGAGAAGTAGTTGGCGTCGTTGAAGACCACTCGGGCGGATTAATACGAGTGAGATTATCAGAGGTCGACGTCATTTGTAAACACGAAGAAGATGTTCGTCTGACAGAAAGCCGGTAAATTGCATCATTTTTGTTAAAGTTCTGCTTTCGTGATATCAATTTCCCTTGAGGTAATTTCCACCATTTTATAAGGAAGAGGAACTCAAATACATTTCTTTGTTGGCTATGATCATGTGACGTACCATTGGTAATATTTACATTTGAAAATACCTTTGTGGTATGAAAGTCAAACCCATACTTCCTCATAACAAATTATTATCTACCACCGGCTTACTGGGCGTGTCGATCGATAGAGATAGTTATGTATCTAGGAGATAAAATCTTACAACCAATAATAATACATCATACAAATTCTTTTAAGTTATACAACACTTCTTTAGGTTCATTCGCGAATTGATTTGGCAATAAACGAGATATGTGTGATATAAATTTTTATTTCCCCTGTTATAGACCAGACTAAAAATGAATTGAATTCAAAATAGATTTGAAATAAATATTGGTTGAAAAAGATAATTATTTCCTTTTTTATGGTAAAATGTTTGTTGAACTGAAATTCAACATACCGGTATATAATAATTTTTCAGTAAAATATAACCATGTTAAAAAAAATTTCAATATATAATATACTGGTATTAAATTATGACACACAGAAGTGAATTTAGGATATTCTTTTACACTTGTCTATTTAGACTTTGGCGTCTGTCTGCATAGTCGGAAGATAAAATCTTGTATCAGTAATAATTACCGGTATTTCATTCTGCTATTTCAGTTACAGCCCCAGGCTGCAAGACCACAACCATCAAGTGGACTATCGCAAGATAGCTTCTGAGAATGCAAGCCCAAATCATGGCAAAAAGCGACCAGTTTCAGCCAGCATTGAAGTACCCAAAGTGAGGTATGATATCACAGAAAATATATTGAAACTTCACAAGAATAAAATACTCCTTTGAAGTCCTTCCATATCTTCCCTTTTCATAAATCCTATAATATATTAGGATTTTTGCACAGACATGTATGTACCATGGGATATGCCATTATAAAAGTGCGGATCATGTATGGATGGTGAAAATTTAATACTTAGTTAATGATCCCAACCAAGTTATTAGTTTATTTAAATACATAGGTATGTTGAAAATTTAAAGTATTTCGAATATTACCCTTTTGTTACCCAGTACTCCAACATGACGAATTTAGTGTTTAAAAAAGTAACCAGGCAGACATTTTTGACATAGCATTGTTACATTGTATTGTGCAATTAAAATTTTATCAAATGATTCAATTATGAAACAAAATACTGTGAAAAAATGTTTTTGTTGAAATAGTGTCAAAATATGAACCTTTTTTTTGTTACCCAATACTCACAAATGCGACGAACCCAGTGTTTTGATATAGTAACCAGAGAAACATTTTTGACATAGCATTGTATTGGGCAGTTTAAAAATGTTTTCAGACGATCATTTAAAAGACAAAAATAATGTGAAAAAAATGTGTTTGGTGAGATAGTTTCGAAATATGAACCTTTTTTTCTGTTACCCGATACTCCCAGTGCGGCGAACCCAGTGTTTTGAAATAGTAACGAAACTGACATTTTTTGTCATAACATTGTATCGCGAACATAAGAATGTGATCAGGTGATCATTTTAAAGTTAAAATAGGTGTTTGTCGAATATTGTTTGTATTTGTTCCAGTGTCCTTTCCTTGGTAAAACCCCTCATTGAATTTGTTTCACAATAGAAAAAAAATTCCCAGTGATGGTTGTAGTTTATTTTTATTTTTTGGTTTCTAAGATGTTATCACTTCCTCTTTATTATGATTGATTGGTTATCAGGCTAAATTCTCCCAAGAGCATATGGCAAAATGTTAATATAAAGATTAAAAATAAAAAACGTTGTCGACAATCTCTGTATTTCATTTGTGAACAGGTCTAGTTTATTTTAAGATTTGATTTTTGTTTGAATTTACCTTATGCTCTGTGCAACAGCAACCAGATATATATGGAGCTTGGATACTTTCATAACTTGTCATCTATTTGCCACAGTTTTTAGTCCATTTTATCTATATTTGGCTATGTATTTCATGAATCATGTTATGCTTAGCTGAATAATTACTTTTTCAGTAGTCGGGCACGTAAATCGTCTGCCGAACCTTCCATGGATGAACTGATGGCAGCAATGGTGCTTTCAAGTTTATCAAGCAGTCCAGTTTTCCACAATGCCAGAAGCCCGTCCATGAGGAAAGGTTTGATTAATTACTGTATTACCATGAATATTACCATAGCAGTGGAAAGGTAATTAATTTTTGATTACTGATGTTTTTGGTATAGAATTAGCTGATTATTTTTAGATGGAAGTCCTCACAGCTTTGCAGTAGCGGAGTTGGCCAGTTGGGCCAAGATTCTCAAATGTCTCCTATCAGAGTGAACATGTCCTCAAGCTGCTGGGCATTCGGTTATAAAAAGCTCTCTAGAAACTCCTGAGAGAAGCCAGTCAGTCATTCAACATACTCAGTCTATTGGAAACTCACCTTCTTCGACTGGTGACCCAATAGAAGTAGATACATCCAGTGCCATGGACACGAGCATACCTAAAGGACGAGGACTACAATTCAGCCCAAGGTGTAATACCACCCGGACACAGCACACCAGCGCCTTTTCAGACTGGTAGTCCCAGATTACAGTACCACTCTCCTGGCTCATCATCTCCAGCACAGAATCCCAATTTCCTCGTAAATCCTGGTGCTAAGCTTGAATCCGTCAAAGAAGAACCTAATGGAGGGGAAGAAGACAGACCAAGACCCTCATCTGTTCCTCAGCCTCATATATTCTACTTATCTTCACTTATTCCATCAGTAATGCCAGGAAGGCCAGAATACATGCTTCAAATGCAGACTGTGAGTACTCCTCCACCTCCTCTTGCACCAGCTGACGAGAGATCATACAGAAAGATTGGATCTTTCCCACCACAACCACAGGTATGTCTATCCAATTTATTTTTTAATAAGTCAAATCAAGCCTTAGTTTGCAAGAGAGTAATGCTCAAATACACGGACAAGAAGGTGGAACGATGAATATGGCCACCCACTAATGTGAAATGTTGAATGAGTTTCTGAATGTCATATGAAAGTGTGCCCATGAGCTATAAAAACTAGCTGAATTTGGTGTAAAGTAACAGGCCTTGCAGGGCTCAGGAAAATTTGGATGAATGTCATATGGAAGTGTGCCCATGAGGTTTTAAAACAGCTATACAGGCATTGCAGGGCTTAAGAAAATTTGGAAAAAGAAAAAAGTAATAAGTAATAACATTTTCACAGCTTGTTATTTGAAATTGATTGGTCAATTAGTTGCTGAGAAAATCAGCACAGGTCCAAGAAGAACATGACTAACATTTATTTTGCAAAACAATCCACATGTCCACTTTGTGTCCAATAACATAAAAATACAATTTTGTATTTTCAGTTTCAAGCTGAAGTTAAAGCACCTTCTTCAAATAACACTTATGTATGTATCGGATCAGCACCACCAACCTACTACACCCTTCCAGTAATGGTAAGCTTTGGTAACACTATGTAACTGCAATGGAATAATCAGTTAAAAACTGGAATAGCTGAAGAAATGCATAATTTCAGACTCAATTATTAATAGCCTAATGGAAAAAACATCTGCCAAATTTTTGCAAACAACTATTTCCCCAGAATTGTTTTATTTCATTATCTTTTTCCATCAACAGAGGCTGGTTGATATCCATATTTAGAAATATGCTTTCCTCTTCAATATTTACTTTATATCACATTTTGTCATGCAACCCTAATTGATTAGTCGGGTCTCATGTAATTTCGTACCACAATAACTTCTAGTGGGTGTGGTGCAACTATTTGTCCAATATGTCATTCCTAACTCCCACCTGACTACATCATTTAAAAATTACGTCACTGTGATGTCGTAGTAATAAGCCCGCCAAAATATATGGATGGTCGTCTATAACATGCAGACGATAAAATCCGAAGTCGAGCAAGCTATTCCTCTCGTTTTCATCATTGTAACGATCCTGATATGAGAGAGATCACTGGTGTTAGTGAGTATGTTATCTCCAGCGCAGATGACATTTTGGGACATAGTGACATAATTTTTGGATGACATTGTCAGGTGGGGGTAGGAATAACATATGCAAAAATGGGTATGACAAGCCCACTAGAAGTAGTTGTGGTACTACACTATACCAGATTAGTCACTCTGAATTAGTAACTGGTCACGGTAGCCAGCTAGTGGTGAGAGTATTGGGTAGGTTAAAGATAGCTTTAGGGATGTGCAATATAAAATACCGAATCCGGAGGATTCGGTATTTGAATCCCAAGTATTTGAATCCAACAGGATCCGATAACAGGATTCGAATTCCGCCTTTCCGGCGCCATGCGTCAATTTTTGTATTTTGGGTTTCTAATTTATCAATTATAGACGAGCGTTTTTCTCGTGTGGAAATCTCTCTCGTTTAATTTGCGTCTGCTCGCAAAGAACCCGTAAATCGGTAAACATCAAACACTGTAATTTTAATCGGCATATTCAGGACAAGAAGTCGGCAATATAACCTCACGGCGAAGTCTCGTTATTGCACCATTTTTGCGTTTTCCTTCTTTGCTATCTAGCTAGCGTTATTTGTGCCGACTCACTGGTGATATTCCGATAATTTGAATGCAACAATCTTTAATTGTTTACAGACGTGCCTTGCTTCATTTTAAATTAAATGATTTTTCGCGACCTACGAGTTTTCCAAAAAAATGATGCACGCAAACCAAAAGCCAGGCGTCAAATGTTATAACATTACTTGCGATCAAATATTATTTACTAATAATTTTATTATACCATTTTCCGAAATACAGAGTTATATCGCAAAACGCGAACATCTGTCACATTTAAATTTCACTCTCAAAAGATTACATATTTTTCGGTCCGTTTCCATCGTTCAAGATAGATGCACGTTTGATCTAGTGTCTGTAGTATTTTAGTCGCCCATAAATTTTGAAAAAAGTTGCCGCATCTGGCGAAGATAGTGACGAATTGAATTTGAGTAGGGCTAAGTCTGGGTAGATATGATTAATGATAACATTTCTATCGTTCAAGATAGACGCACGTTTGATCGAAAGTCTGTAGTATTTTAGACCGTGATGAATTTTGAAAAAAGTTGCCGCATCTGGCGAAGATAGTGACGTATTGAATTTTAGTAGGGCCAAGTCTGGGTAGATAATGATATGTAAAATGAGTTCGTTTTTAGATGTTATTACCTAATAACTAGGTAAGTACGAAATCGCGTTTACGGGAACTTGGTTTTACGTGTCTTGCTCGCACAGAATAAAAAGTTGATTTTAATTGATAATGGTTAAATTTAATATTTTACAACGGCATAGGTTGCAGTGGCCACACGCTGGTTCTGCATCCAATTAATTCTCAGCGGGTATGTTTTAGTACACTCGACAGACTTACATTAATAATGATTTAACGCCGTTTCATGTCTATTTTGTATTTAACCGCTTACTATTAAAGTACCTAAAGCGTGTCTTAGTTTAGCATATCAGTATTTATTAGTATTTAGGGATTACATACATTTGGAACAATTGAGGGCAAAAAATATTGTAATATTCCCAAATTTTATTGTCCTGGGAACTGCCTGTTTAGTATCAAATGAAATTCAATGTTCAGGACATTTCCAAATAAATAATACATTTATAGTAAGTAATACATTGCAATTTTCTAACATCTAAATCCAGCAATGTGGAAATTCCCACTATTTGAATAAGTATGAAAATAGAATAGGATTCGGTATTCTGGATTCGATTTAACTATTCTAGAATAGTAAATTATTCTACATTGCCCATCCCTAGATAGCTTAAACCCCATGCCCATCACCTCACCTAAGTCACCTAAGGTGTAATAAATTGGAAAGGCAATGGAAACCAACCTGGAAAAATTCCAATCTATCAGTGGCTATTTAGCCAGAGCCTTGTTTGGAGTGAAATCAACAATAATAATATTTGAATCATTTATTTTTCAGCGTGCACCATCACCATTAGCTGCCCGAAATGAACCAGCATCAGTAATTGATACTCCTTATCAAGGATCGAAGTTAGTTGGTCCATCTCACTCTGTCCGTATGCCGGTCATCAAATGCCGGTCTCCTGCTCAACCGATAAATATTTCTGGAATTGATGCATTCTCTTGGCACAATACTTTGGGTGATCCGCGAAGTGTGAGTATTTGAGAAATAATAGTGAAAGTTGTTTGATGGGTCGGGTACCACAAGCGGAGTGAATAACAAGCTAGATACAGGGGTGGGAAGGGTTTTTGGACCAGAGGCCGAAAAAATTTTCCACCTAGACTGGCGGACCATGTAAGTGTGACGTATTTACAGTGTAACGAAAGCAAAAGTGGAAAACAATAAGCCCCATGCCGAAACTAAATTTGATTGCAATCTCAACAAATTCCTTGAGCTATTTTTTTAGCTAAAACGTCAAAATTTGGTTTTAGTTTGGTTGTGGCAGCGTTGGGCGGGCCAAATTGAATTATTCAACGGGGCGTGGTTTGCCCCTGCCAGAGCTAGAAGCAAATACGATACTTGCCACGCCACACACATTTATAGTACAGGTGGGCTAACCATCTTCACCCATGGCCCTGGGACGATGCTATAGGTTCCTTGTCAGTTTCACACTAGATGGAATAGAATAATGTATAATACATTCCACTAAGAATGAATGTTCATGAACAGTTTCTGTTAGGTTTGCATTGTTGATTAATATTGCATTATTTCTACATTTTAAGAAAACCCAATAAAATAATGAATTTATATTGTTTTATTTTTAGTACTCGCCGAAGCCATCCTTATTCATGCAAAGACAGCATTTGCATCAGGCAGCATCTCCAAAGATGTCACCAAAGACAATGACGGGAACGGGAAGGTAAGAATATATTTTGTGGGACAAAATCATTGTCTTCGTTTTTAAAAACTTTTGTCTCAGAATATATGATTTTTATTTTGGCATCCGCACCGCAATAATTATCTAGTTCCCATTTTGATATGCGGTTGATATAGTCGTAGTAGATGACCCAATATATAATATATTAATTTTCTGATTCCAGAAAAGTACGAGGTGATGGTAAGAAATGTCGCAAGGTGTATGGGATGGAAAACCGTGATATGTGGTGTACAGCATGCCGGTGGAAAAAGGCTTGTCAGAGATTCCCGGACTGATTTTCTATTTTCAATTTGTAAGTAAGAATTGATTTATTTTTTATAACGACCAAATGGCGTATTTGAACACATATTTGTATGTCACATGAACACTAAGTAATGATTATGTGAATGGACACATCGGCCGAGTGTGTAAAATATTAAGACTCAACTTGTCGCAGGTTACACATCTTGGGTTCATATCCCATGCACTCTACCTCACCCAGGATGTACCGTAATAAACTGAGTATCATATTGATCTTTAATGCTTTTTCATATAATTTTAGATTCCATGTATGTAAGAAAAGGGTGCTTTGCCTCGCAATGGAGGGAAAGTCAAGAAAGAAGAGATGGAAAACCCAGGCAGAAGGATAGCAGTGATCGTCAACTCATCCCGTGTCGGCACTGATTTTCAATATCCTGAAAAACACAACTGTGTATCTATCTACCTGGGGTTATATCGAAATTTTAGTAAACAGAGATAGCTACTCATAATGTGCCTTAACTATCTATCGATCCAAACGTTGCTTCTTGATCTTGACAATGATCTCGAAAATTATATAGAATACTTTACTGATTACTAAATTAGTTGGTTAATTGTGTCTAAATTTACCTGTTCTGTACATATATTTTTTGCATTTGTGTTTCGATTTTTTTGATGTTGGATATTCAAAAGACAGAAAAATGCTCAAGCTGTGGAAAGAAATCCTATTATATTTTGTTAGGAATGGTTTCAGTTGATACTCTAAATTTTACTAAATTGTTCCATTCTGGTTTTATATATTCCTAGACAATCTTGCATGAAAGTCATTATTACAATCATGTTCAGAATTATTCTATTCTGAATTTGGGATCATATTGAGTTTGTTGGCAACCATGATGAAAATAGACCACTTCCAACAAGAGAACATTGCTAATTCAAATGGCTAACATGGTCACTGCACAGTCTAAATTCCAGCCAAATATTGATAAAATTGCATCCAATGTTATATGAAGGTGCCGATTATGGAAAATATTATAATTTGGGGCGAAATATTCAGGCTCGTTGGACATTTGAAAACAACTTTTTACATCCCCAAGTACTAAACATTTTTAAGGCGGGAAAAGTGACTTTTTCAGCAAAATGATCCATAGATCCACTTCATGTCCAGTAGAGATTTTTTGGATCTCATTTTTTTTCTTTATTTTTATGATTGTCTACGATGGAATATGCTGAAGTTTGTTACGACAATATTTAAAAAAATTCAGTATTAGATTTTACTTTACAGGGTAAGTTGATTGTGTTTTTCATTAAACTCTATTTCCATTGTGAGGTCCATAATGACAGTAAAAAATGTAAGGAACCAAATGATGTACCGGCCAAAGATCTTTTTACCTTTATCAACTCAATTAAATATTATAGTTCATGCAAGTTCCAGAACGCAATCACATTTTCAATCAAAGGAGTGAATTTATATTTATGAATGCTATAGTATGGTGCAATGGTTTAATTACTGCCTTTTTGAGTGTTTTATTGAATTGTTTTTGTTGATTATAGTTTTGTTTAACTTTTCTGTAGCAAAATTGAATGGTTTTTTAGGGTTTCATTTCTGTTATAGTGTGTCGGTAGTTCTATTTGATTTGTTTAAAGTTCATTCTTGAATTAAATCTATTGCATCAAAGGAAGGTAACTAAAACTACATTAAAAAAAGTAGGGAGAAATGCCCTAGCTGGCAATTATTGGCTGAAAGGGAAATTTTTGTGGTTTCTAACTGTTCCGGCAATGATTGAAAATTGATGATTAGATACTGAAAGAGACACTTCTTTAATCTTGAATTAAACTAAATTTAGTGAGTATTCTGGTAATTGATTGATATAAAAACTGGCCAGCATTGAAAAAAATATATCAAAAACATTTTCCTTTTCATCTTCGTTTTCTGTCTCGTACTATAAATTTTTAGCCATATTATATGCTTATTAACTTGTGCATATTGATATTCTCATTTGTCACTGTTATGCCCTTTTTTTGTTTGTTATTTTGAGTACTGGTTAAAATTTTGCCTGGTTATTTTATTTTGTGCATATTTTTTGTTTTATTGGTGGCTTTTGCTTGAAATATTTTCAACTATTGTGATTTAGTTTTGGTTAAATTGCATTTTAATTTCTCAAGAGTTTCATATCACAATGAGAAGTTCGTTCAGTTTTATATAAGATAGATAACCCGTCCTTTATAAGTTCCTTTGCACAGTTTTTGTGCCGAAAATATGTTTAAATATATATTACAGGGATTCATTCCCTTTTTTCACATGTGGTAAAAGTATGGTTACTGTTGATAATTATAATTTAGAATGTTAAATTGGTCTTAGAATTGTTAAATACAATGAAACTTGTTCAAACAGGACCCTGTTTTATACATATGCCCATTAACGCTTCCATATCCACTCATCAGTATTAACTTTCTTCTACTGTAAAATAATACCTTTTATTTTTGTATATTTTGTTTCTCTCACATTCTTCTATCTCCTTTTCCTTCATTTGATTCAAATATAAAGTTTAATTGTAAATTAAAATATGATGTTAACAGGTTTGGTTCAGTTACTATACATTATGTCTACCAGAACCATTTATGGATTTTTTCTCATTGTTTTTGGTAAACGATAGTTCAAAGGCAGTACCATACTTATTACCAACCAACTCTCTTAAATCTTCCATTCTAGTAACACCTCTTATTTTCTATTGACCTGTCCTCTACTAACCTCTTAAAAAAACTTTTCTCCTTGCAAAATTAATTTCAACACAAGAGGTATTAAAAAAATTCAGTGTGTGCCCAGGCTTCGAAAATACCAATAAATAGTTATGGACTCTATAATTTTGTTTATCTAAAACTTTTACATATTTGATTTCTTCAGGTCTGGTTTAAATTGTATCGCTTGTAAATTTCTCTTTTAAATGTTTCCCTATAAATATACGAGTTCTTTGGAGATATTATGTTGTTGTTTTATGTGTGTTTTTCTTTTCAGGCTCGGGTATAGGATATTTTGCACAGACCTGCACAATCTAATCCAAGTTATTACGTTCATGAATTTGGATGACAAAAACAGTTAACGACTACCTGTCTTTCCGCCATGTAACTTGGGAGAAATTCTCGTAAATTAAATCGGCATCAACCGATCTAGGGTGTGTTTTCTCAACTTGAGTATGTTGTATTTTAAATCTTTCCAGTTAAGACAGTGCTGTTGTGTGGTCCAAACTCACCAATTCATGTTTATAGGAATAACATAGTATTATAGAAATAGATTGATAGAAAGGAACTTTCATTGTGTGTATGGCTCAATCATCTATGGTTGAATGAAATGCTAGTAAAAGTCATGGGATTGGGCTTCCAGTGGTCTGAATGCAAGGCAAATATAATGGGAGCATGTCAGAGAGCGGGCATTTCAATCAACCTTGTCAAGCCTTTCAATAGGCAGTGGGTGATTCAAGGAATCTTCATTGTACAGTTATAATTAATTAGTCTTATAATGCTAAAAAGTAGCGATGTGCTGCACATGCCTGAATCTTTCATATGCAGCATATTCTTAAATGTACCACAATTACCCAACATACAATTTATTCAACAAAACAAAGCACCAAAAAATAAGATGTTAAAGAAGATAATACCGATAGTTAGAAGAAAACAAAAGTAACAGGTAAAACTACGCATGTTGCACTGCACTATGCATCGCTAAAATATGACACCAGGCAAATATTGGCAGCAGAACACTGAGCAAAGCACAGATACAATACTATGATACAGTGAGGTAACAACACTTAAATATTAATATTTACAATGATAAATTGCAACAAGCATTCTCCATCACAGATGGAATATGAAAAAAAATTGGCGACTTGGTTATGTATCAGTTTTAACCAGTAATTAAAAAAACAAACATTTTAAATGATTGAGTTTATTTATCAAGTTTTCAACGAACTTATCATGGTTTTATCTTCCAAATCTTCAATTTGAAGCCTAGTATTTCACTGATGACGCCTGAAAAGGCAGATAACACAACCACTCTTGTGATATTATATAGAGAGGATTCATCGCTAGACCGTAAATGTTAAACGGCATCTCTATTTCCTTTATAAGCTTTGAAGCAATTGAGAGAACGCTGTTCGCTCGCTGTAATTCCTCTCTTTTATTAGGCTTCTGCTTCATTTGTAAATATAAATTTATCTGCTCCGTCAACAGCATCGATGTATTGCTGTATTTTCTGTTAATTTGGGCACCGATCGTCATAAAATTAAGTAAAAATATAGCCAAGGCAAGTAACCATGCTGTCATTTCCCAGAAAATTAAAGAAGAGAGGTATAGATCAGTGTCATGGAGTAACTGAAGCGATATGAAGCAAAGCAAGAAGAGAGAAAGAAAAAATGCTGAAGAAACAATCACGTCAACTGATCTTTGTGGCCCACGACGTCGCAGATACGATCTCAGAGACAGCCATAATCGAACATTTTCCACTTTATCAAGTCTGAAATGAGGAACGTCTGATTTCTTTGCCCGTCTTGATGAAGTGAGGTGGCTGAAATACTTCGCAAATAACAGTCTTTGCCTAAACGTTTTATGAGCAGCACAAAGCATAACAAAAAAAGTGAAGCTGAAGATAAACCGTTTCATTGCAGTAGCATAAATAACAAAAATGACTTTGAAGTTAGTGGTGTTTCCATGAGTAACCATGAATAAACTTTCCGCCAGTCCTTTCACAAACTCCATTGTTGAACCAGTGTGGCTGGTTGTACTATTGTTAGCATTTTGATGAAAGCAAATGCGATATAAGGTAGGAATAGATGAAATCAGTATCGCAAAGCAAAATCCTATGAAAAACATATCACTCGGCGAAAAAGCATTTTGCACTTTTTTTCTGATAATACCTCCAATGTCCAATAACGATGCTTGAACCTTTTTACACTGATTAGACTCCCAAATTTTTGCGCTAATTCGATCAACACGTGGACCAGAGCCCGGAAGCAGAACAGTTGCTGAATAATTATCTTTTCGTGCTTTCTTGTTGTATCTTGTCTTATTGTCATTTGTGCTTGTACTTTCTGAATCCGAGTCACCAGACTGTTCAGACGAATTACTACTGGAACTTGTACTATTTAGATTTTCAAGGCGATTACCATGGTTTTTTTTCAACACTGTCAGTACTGATTTCGTCAGATTCTCTATCTACACTGGATTGTCGTAAACATTTAAAATCGTCTTTTTTATTATCAGTAGATTTGTCACAGTCCGCAACACTTTTATGCTGTATATCACCATTCTCAACATTGGTAATGTTAAAGCTTTCCTCAGACTGTTCCACTATGGGCAACTGTTCTTGACTTGCATTTATTTTTCCATTTTCAAGGACTGTGCTGGATTTCACATTTTCATCTTTTAACAAAGGAGTATCACTCTCTGCGTCACTATGTTCAGATGAGCATTTGCTTATTCCATTAGGACAATGGTTATTGTTTTCTGTACTATCTTTACCTTTATTAGTGAAGGTTGAGGTGAGTAGGGAGAGAGTACTTTGATGTGAAGTTGATGAGGAGCATACAACAGGTTCAAGTAAAGCAGAAGAGAGAGTTCTAGACTTCTTCATTTTTCGAGAATCATTTCGTACATTCAAGCGAAAATTTGTGGATACGACATGACAATGCACACTTCCCAATAAGAACATAACAATGGATGGCATCATTATTTCTGAAGTTGAAATATATTTAAATTCCTCTTCTGTTCCATTGAAGTAAATGAAGAAAACAACAAACTGAAGAATATACATTAAGAAGAATAACAATGTGATTGGCTTACTACTCTGCTGAATCCACCATTTAGCATACAGTGGTAGGAACGATACTCTGATAAAAGCTTGACAAGTTACAACCAGCCAACTATATTGTGGCTTATTTTTGCTGAACGTTGATCCACGAACAAGGTCAATGTCGATGAGGTCAGGCTTCACACTAGAACTTCTTTTATCCATTGATTTCATTCCGCTGTCTTGTTGTTCTCGGATCTCCACCGCACGTTCCCATATTTGCAAGTCGTAAGCACCAATTTTTCGCTGGTACCAAGACAACATCGAATCCATAGCTTACTTTTTTTTTCAAAAGCTTTCACGTCACAGTCATTATTGAATAAATAAATAGTTTGTACAATGTACCGCAGTAGGATGTTTGTCAGTTTATGCTGCAGAGCATAAATGCCCTGCTATTTTATACATTCATCTTCACTTACCAGCTGAAAAAATAAGTAAAATTTCTATACTTTTTTGGACAACTATTCAAGATGAAAAGAAGTAAAATAATTAGAAAACCTTGCTCAGATACGTATATCATATTAATACACTTCATTATTTCGAGAGGTCACTAGTTATATAAATGTGTAACGAAGTTAATGACAATTTTCTCTTGAGATTTTTCGTTAATCATTATCCAGGAAAAATTAATTGGCGAATCGATGATAAAGGTAAACAAGAATGAAAGGAAAAGATATTGCCAATATCTGCTACCTAGTTACTGTTGTCTGCCAGCATTTTAACACAGAGAAGTATGGTATACACCAGAGGTGCACAACACGGGGCACGCGTGCCAAATTTGGCACGCCATTCGCTCAAACGTTGCACACAAATGGTTTTGTAAAAAAAAATATTTATGAGATACATTAAAATATCACGTTTATATCAAAATCAGCAGTTTTTCAGGACATTAAATTGTTTCAATAAATATATATTTGTTATTATGTAATATTATTGAAATTTGTTTGTTTTACGGGAGTTAATTTACAATACCAACGATTGTGCGTGGCACGCAAAAAGATTATTTTGAAAAATTTGGCACGTATCCTCATTTGAGTTGTGCACCCCTGGTATACACAACCACATACTGTAATAAATATATTAATACCGGTAAGTGGCATAATAAGCCAATGATAAGTCTTTATTACTTCTACTAGCCTAATTCATTAAAATTTCATTTGAATTTGTGTTCCAAATATACAAGAATGAAGAATGTGTTTTATAACTTAAATTGCTACTTCACTATTTAGGTGGTATGAGTGGATTTTCATGAAGAATCATAAATTTAGAAAGTGGACAAAATATCAGACTATATATGGTTATATGTAACAATAATAACTAATTATTTAGCTTCAAGACTGTAGTGCTGAGAAGTAAAGGAATAAAATCCTGTCCCTATTCCATTCACTTGTTTATAATTGATGGTAAAAAAAAATCATTCCACATTCGCATAAATTAAACAATTTATGTTACAAGGAAAATATTGATACGAATCAATGGAGGTTAGTTGAGCAATTCAGGAACTTATTAGTGGAAATTTCTACAGTGAAAATGCTATATTATAAATAATACTTGAACTGAATCTTCGTCACAGCCGAGAAATGATAAGTGTTTTTGAGAAGTCAAATCTCTTACGTCCATTATTTCTGTATTCATGGATATGTTAACTACATACCAAAACATAACACAGGTTTAGCAGGTGCATTATTGAGTGAGCTACTTCGACGATGTTCTGAATTTTTGGTGACAAAAAACTATATTATAGAAGCAATATGAATTGGGAAGAAACTTGAAGACATGTTTTTATTTATTAACTATTTTTCATTTATCTGTTGATTACATTTTTTATTTTCTCTCATTATTTTAATCTGTATTTCGTTGTAATTATTTCAGTATTTGTTCCTAGTTTAATTATACATTTACATTATTTCTGGCTTGTTTTTGAAATCCATCTATTTCTTTCTAGTGATGTATTACTTTTGATTTCATAGTACAGTAGTAGTTAATTCTCAATCTTCTGAAGTTATTTCTTTAACACTTGCATGATACAAAAACTCACAATTCAGAAACAGTACTAAGCACAGCCACGGTCAGACTGGTTCAAGAGTGAATAACAGCACAATGTATTGCTGTTGAAATCTATAACATTCTTTATGTCAGTACCGCACTGCCGTGTGTTGAGCTTTATGTCAGTATGTCCGTCCGTTGCTTCAACTGACAGGAAATGCTTGATAAAGATAGGCTAAAACAAGCTCAACAGCAAACGATAGACAAAAGCATCTAATGCGATGTACAGATAGAATAGTAGTATATTTACATATTTATCCCGGGGGAGAGGAAACCAAATATAACTGAAAATTGGCGGAATCATTAGCGAAGAACAACAATCGATAATATATAATATATATTACATACGTAGGTCGCCTGTCTATTGAAGACAACCCATTCTACCCCTTGAACTTGGGGTTCAAAATATCTTTCTTACTGCCAATTGCGAGAGCTTTTCATAATACCAGTTCAGTTATTTACATAATAAAGAGTTTGCAACTTAAAAACGGTAATTCCCGCGTTGTAAAATCATAAACCTGACGAGGAAGGCGACCTCATGGCTCAAAGTCCTTTGTTTCATAGCAGATTCAATGACAGTGCCGATTCTCGGTTTCCTTGTCTGTAATTTAATTGTTCGCTAGTAGTCGCTATGTAGCAGAACTCAATTGTAATGAATATCTGAGATTTTGCATTGGTGCAACTGTGCAAATCCTATTTCAAACCTAAAATGATTCAGTCGCGATTTACCTGATTCGTGGGTGCGTGTGGCATAGTTTAGGTTGAAGATCCACGCAGAAGTTTAGAACAACTTAATTACAGAAGTCGTCGTTAACGAAATCGTATATTTTATTAATTGCAGAATGAATGGATGGAAACATTTCATATGTATTATAAGACTTAGGTATTACATCAGTACATACATCTGTACATGGCGATCAACAATGGAAAACATATGTCAGAATGTGGAATGGTCAATTAAGGGTTTTGTAATAATTTATGTCATTATTTAATTATAGGGTACATTTTTCTATAAAATTTATGCTCCCTACCCTAATTTTAAGTGATCAGAGATCTTTAGTAATTACTGAATTATGTAGGTGCTGTATCCAAACTATATTTACGTTTAATTTTGTTTTGTTATTTTTTTTTTATGATGGGTGATCATCATGAAATTTATTGTGTTGTTTGTTTAAATTATATGCTATTCATTTGAAAATGTTGCGACATGTAGATGTCAATCAATCATTTTATTTTTCCCCTCTGGCGCAAAACAATGCAAAAAGTAAACAGACAAACAATGCTGCAATTCAAATAAACTTAGTATATCAATGAAAGGTTTCCAGGTTTATGTATGTAAAAAAAAATTATGCCTTCTTTTCATGTTCTTTGCAATATCTTTTAATTCCATAAACAGAAAAACATTCAATGTATAAATGACTGTTTGTATAGAAAAATTTCCAAGCGAAGGTGTGCATCATTTGGAAATTACTAGAATAAATTTGGAGAACAAGATACATTGAAATACAAAATTTGCAAAGTAGCTTATTTTTAAGACTGTAAGAGGTTTAGCTTCACAGTCATTGCTATAAATAGAATGTTTTCATAAATAAAATAACACAGTAGCTCCTATGTAGGCCTACCCTAATTATAAGGCATTGGTAAATAAAACCTATTGTTATGTTTTTATAAATATACAATCAAAAATCAATAAGGTCAAATAATCAATCGAAATTTTTTATACAACATCCTTCAATTAAGTGGTTCCCAACATTTTTCATCAAATTCCTTCCTGTGTATACCTCTTTATTCCTCTCTTACTATTCCTCTCTTTATTAGTGTTAGTTCAGTCTTTATTGAATCATTAGCTAGTGATACTAATGATTTGTACTATTTTATACTGTTTGAATAGTTAATTACAATGATAAAGTAAAAGAGTAAGTAAAAAAAGAATATTAGTAATACTACATACAAATGCAAAGTGACATTTTTCCTTCTGAAACAGTGAAATCCTTCGCTGTTGGGAAACACTGCTTTTATCTTTTGTACCTTTGAGACCAAATACCAAACTAACTGCTTCTGGGAATTGCTATTTAATTGTTTTGAGAATACCATAATTTAATATCTTTTGAGCCTTGCATTATCAAAAGTTATTCAAATGAATGTGTACCCTAGTTGCATTTTGTTAAAAATTAATTATCAGCCTTTACTGAGATTTCATATGTTCTGAATTTGAACATAGTGTAATAAGGTATGTTTTGAATTCGGTGTAATAAATTTTTACATTCCATGCAATGCATATTGCAGTATTGTTAGTCTTTAAATAATATTAAAGCAGGGATGTGAATGCCGTAACAAAATAAAATATAGAATTACAATTTCTATCTTCTAATGTCTATAGAGGAAATTAACTAATTGTGGAATAGTTATGAGGTCATTTCCTTTCCGGAAATAGTCCAAAATTACTTGTGAAGGAAAAAAATAGAAACAGCATTGTTGGAATAGAACCTGATTGTAATAATACATATCTGCAATGATTCATGTTATTATTCTTTGTTTATTTTATGCAAATGAAGGAAATTGTCTGTGCAGCTGCTTGATTGAAAGGAAATTTTCCCTACACACATTGCAGATATGAAATATGTTATAACCTATATAGTAATTGGTGAGGATTCAAAGAGCCTCCGAATGCGTTATAGATATATAGAGTTCTTTTTTATTTTATATTACTCGAATAATACATTGTGCTACAAAATCACTATAAGATAGGCCTGAATTATTTTATATATATTATTCCATATGAAGTTGGCCACAACGATTGAAATATTGGAAATCGTTTAAAAATTAATTAACTAATTAGGATAGTTTTATTTGAAAACTTACCGTATCATATTGAGCATTATGACCTGCATTCAATTTCTCAAAAACTAGAGAAAACTGTTTGACTTGGGCCATTCGTGATTCAACATCAAAGAACCTTAACTTTTTGATAAAAATAATATCTCTTTACACATTGCCTGATATCAGTAGCGGCTTGCACAGGTTCTTGCTTTGGGTGGAAGGCGTGAATAAAAAAGGCACCATATAAAATTAATACTAAAAACATTTAAATTTCGTTTACCTAAACCTTCGACACATCTATGTTAATTATGGTTCTAAGTGTACCTTATCATTCACAGGTAAATTGGCAATGAAGACTCGTAGCCTATTGTAGTTCAATAATGACAATATTGGCAAACCAGCGTGGTTTTTAATCATTAATGTTTGGGTTAGTTTACTCAGCATATGTAAGTGTATTTGATCACCTTAAGACAATATGGCACAAGATCGAGTTAATGCGAGGGCAAGGAACCGCCCTTCATTTGATCGCTTGGATACAGTGATGTCAGACGATGGTGAGGGATATGAAGTTCTTCCATTGCCATCGCCAGGAATGGAAGAACCTGATAGTCCCACTTATCCTTCTACTACAAGTGCTTTTGGTAAGTTGGGCTATTTATTACTGAGATCTGGATACAGATAAAGATAAGCAAAGCGAATCTGTTATGAATAATAAATGAATTTATATAAATAAAAAAATTAGTCAAAAGCATGTTTTTACAAAGGATGTCCAAATCAAAGATATTTTCAAATTGATTAAAAATAGATTATATTCAGACAAACCTTTGAGTTCAGGAATATTTGGGAACAATTTTATTTTGAAAGCTGTCTTTTAGGGATGTACAAAGTGAATCAAATGGTTAAATAGATTTGAAGTTAGTCATATTCAATGCTTAATATTAGAAATAATTAAAAGTACGGTACTAAATTTGAAAAATTTGCCATTATAAAGATGTTCAAAATGACTCGTATATTTGAATCGATTCATAATGAGTTATGAAATTTCTAATTTTTGGGAATTTTTAGGAATCGTTAGATTTGAAGAGGAATCGAATTAACTTGAAATAAATTATATTTTAAATTCTTCACTTGCACCAATAAAAACTTCTTTTTCATTTTCAGCAATCAAGCCAAGAGTTCCTTATATGTCAATATACAGCAGTCCAAGTCGACTTTTGCTGGATTGAATCAGGATTCCTATCTGGAACGCCAATTACTCTCAAATTTATTGAAGCATCAAAGAGATAATGCTCTTCATCATCCATTGAAATCCATACTTGTAAGATGAGTTTGTTGAATTTTTCAATGTTATCAAAACTTGATTTTAGTGTCAGCATACACTTCGCATACTAAACATGCTATGAAGAAACTCATATATCTAAGTGGCATAATTGACACCATCAAATATCAGAGTGGCTAATTTGAGTACTAGTATGTTATTATTTTAACCTTCATTGGGCATAGTGGCTGGGATGTTTGTCTACCGGCTTTTTAGATTTTAACTTAAAGATGTCTGATAGCCAGTCTATTATTCCACTAGATGCTACTACTCAGATTACAACCAAAACAAATTGAGGAAATTGAACATGCTTCATTGGAAATTCCAGTTCTTCTCACCTCAGTATTAAGATATTCCATGCACATAGTGTTAGATTACAGAATAAAGCATTTCCCACTTGCAGCTAAGATTTTGTATTTATAACTGGACCAATGATCATTATGTATCATAGTCTTATTATTGTCCCATGCATATGCAACAATCAACAGAATATCTATTCCCATACACAATCTAGACTGGCAACCGGATGAGAGTTTGTGGTTTGCTTTATGAGTAATTTATTTATTGACTTTCGTCTCTTCCAGAATGAATTTCAGAAATGCTATTGGTTGTTTTTAATATTAGTATCTTTTGGATTACCGGTATGTCTTTTCCAGAATATGTTGCTCTCCGGTTTAGGCATCATTATAATGTAATATTCTGTTCTGTATATCTAAGATGATGATGATAGTGATTTGATATTGACTTCATTTTCTGTATACAACTGTATTCTGTATAGGTATACAATTGAAGTGAGTCATGGTCCTTTTACATGGATTGTTCACAAACGTTTCAAACATCTTCGTGAACTCCATGACAAACTATGGGCTCATAGAACATCATTGAAGATTCCACTGCCTTCAAAAAGGTAACAAGCTATGGTAATAGGTTTGTTTGGGCCTGGATTTTCATAGAGCATGGGTTTCTCGTTGTTATTGAATTATAACCAGAGCTGAGAATTCGGGAAAATTTAACGCTTTGAAACTATCTGAGCCACCTCAAAGGTGACTCTGACCACAAACTCCTGGTTTACTGAATATTTGACTTCAATGCTTGACTCTAGGTTTAATAAAGTTATTTTGACTGCATCTCCCAACTTCGAAAAAAAAAATTTTGAAAGCTTATGGTGCATGCATTTCTTTTTTAATTGTCTACTGAGAATGCTTGAAGCTCAAATGCTTTTTATACTTTCTGTCAGAAAGTTTGATTTAGATTATCACCACCAGACAGCCTGATTGGCCTAAAATGTCTACTCGACTCTGGAGAGTTTGAAATCAATATATTTCATGTAGGCCTAGGCTTATTTAAATTAATAAAATTTTGGGTTCACTTTTTCCATGTTTGATATTTTTTACTTTGAAAAAATGAGTCTGGTAGTTGGTATATGAGTTATCATGTTATTGTTGATTCGTTTATTTCTTAGTATCTAAAGCATACCTCTTTATTATCAATCTATTTTCAATTTTGCTCAATTTGCAGTCATAAAGAAAGCGAAAAACAGTAAAAGTAGACAAACGGAAAGGTGAGGCAGAAATTAAATTACCAAGATTTCCGAAGAGGCCTGATATGTGGGTATCACCAGAACAAATCACAAAACGCAAGGTGAGTTTGGTAGACAAAATTATTTATATATCATTTATTGCTTGAGTATGCATATATGACGTGTTTGAGTCAGGCTTTATTTTATATTGTAAGTATCATTTATGCAACTTGTCAGATTTTTAAATAAAAGAGGTTTGCTGAAATATACAAAGGTAAAATGACTAATATTATGACCACTGCAATATTGTTGAAAGAATCCTACTGTATTTCATTTAAAAGTGAGCCAGTAAATTATATGAAAAAAAAATTTGGGGTTGAATATTGGGCCACATACGACTCCGATAGAAATAAAAGAAATTGGCTTCTACCCACTTTTCCCATTTCCAATTGCTAAAAATTGAGAGTTCAGTGGTTACCTGTCTAGGACCTTGTGAATAAGTGCGTTTAAAGAAATAGCAATACTTGATTATGTTTCTATCTATTTTACACCACAAATATACATTCAAAGCTTCCAAATTGCCACACCATGAATTTATTCGTAATATAATATTGTTATCATATGTAAAGCCTCTTCCATGTAATATTGACCTTCTCAGTTCATTGTTAATGAGGATACAGCAAATTGCTTGATAATGTAAACTAACTGCAATGTCGTAGCTATTTTACCTCAGGGCATTTTATGCATTGGAATTTCAAATATCAAAACAAATGACACGTAATTTCATTATTCCGACTTAAGTGGATCAAATATCAAAATTGTGTATGATGTATACAATTTGCAAAAAAATTTATAAATTCATTGTGGTAATTCCTAGAAAAATTCTTGAAACTACTGCTGAAAAATGTTATTTTGAAGATTGAAACAAGAAAATTAACCTTTATGTAGATTTTTGTTGTATGGTCTAATTATGGATTTGGTAGGAACGATACCCATTCCACCGAATAATCGAATCAATGTGAAATTCTTGATTTTAAGAATATTTGAGAATATTTTATTTTAAAAATTTGTCATAATGTATTTGACATGAACAAAAAAAGCAGACACGATATATATAATCTCGATAAATAAATTAAATTTTCATGAATTTACAAGAATTTTTTCCAATTTCTCTGTAGAGCATGAACCAATTAGAATATTCATATTTCATTCCAATATCATTGTAATTTATTTTGATTTTGACTCTGCTTGGGTGTAAGCTATTTGCTATCTTTGCGCCCGCCTGTATTACCAGTTTAGGGCATTGTTGCTTTAAATGTAAACATTTCTTCTCTGCCCACTATTCTTTATATTTATCTATTTTTTGCTGAATGCGCGTGGATTAATGTCATTGTTACAATGTGCTAATGCTTCCAAGGGACAAACTTGATCCCACCTCATTAATTATTAGTAAGTGAATGATTTTTCATTTCCCTGTTGTTTTCTTGAATTTTAGCCTTTAGGCTCATTATTATCATTCATATCATCCATTTTTTAATTTAATAATCTTGAAACTAAAAATTATTTGTCATCTCATAGTTCCAATATCTACCTAGTTCCGAACTTCAGTTCACATGTAAAATTATGATATGCAATTGAAATAAAAAATTTCATTTTTTCATTATAATCAGTCCTTCTCAACTGGGCCATCAGGGCCCTGCCATGGGGGCCACACAGATTTGTTCTCCGAAACACATGAGCGAAAGCCCACACTGTATTATTCTTGATGACTACACTAATTTAAAGTATTTTGACTGTAATGTATTTTTCTTTTGCTGCCAATTGTTGGCTTTTCATTATTTAATATGGCAAACAAAATAACTGGTAGAAACGCCTTAAAATCATAACTAGGTAATTTTATAAAAGAGCTGCAGGCAAAAAATATTGAGAGTTTTTGAACGGACAACGGATCATGAAAATTTCAAAACTACTGAATTCTAAACGACATTGAAATGTACTGACATTTTAGATGCCATTTTAATAAAGCTTCAACATCTTAGACAATGGTGATAGATATGTCCTGGTAACGGTTTTAGTTTCCAAAAATTAGAAATTAAATTTTTTTTCATTCAGTCATGTACATTCCTAGTTATGGCCTAGAAAATTAACTACCGGTAGTATGTCTATTTACGGAAGGAACCAGGAAACATCTTAGCTAAAATAGCTGTGGACTTTATCCGGAAATGATTCCACCGTTCTGTGCTTGATTGTCTGTTTCCATTTCCGTTATATAATGTTGTATATACTGAAACTATTTTGTCATGTCATATACTGTATTTTGTAATTGTGATTTCCAAATAGCTTTGAATCATTACATTTGCAATATATTGCTGCGAATGCTGAAAGTGAAAAAATATAACAATACTATTTGTCAATATACAACTTTATGAATAATAACCGAAGTTTGAATTGTTGAAGTATGCCTATTTATACAAATTGCTATTGCACAAAATGTTTATTTTCCATATAAATAGATTTGATTTTTGATTTTCAAAAAACTAGATCAGTCCAAATATTTTGTTTTTTTATAGACAATCTATGACAAGCACATATCTTTATCCACACAATTGACTCATGTGATGCAGTACATACTATGCAATAAACTTTCTAGCTAAGAATTTTGGCCAAGCCATGTTGTATGTAATTGAAGCTGATGTTTCACAAACTTTGAATCTAAATGATATTTCCTAGGTTACTTCCTGGCAGGAAGTGGCTATGCAACATGCCCTTTGAACTTTTATTATATCTTGAGGTGTTGTTACTCTATGACCACCTTGTTAGTCACTGATGACTCCCAAAATAAAAGTTTATTTATTGGAATTTGAAGGTTTTGGGAGTGCAATCAGCAAAATGTGGAAATAATTAGGTGCTGTGGCCTGTGGGATTCATCTATGTCAATTTACCTTGAAGATTTTTTGCCAGTGTAGAATATGTATGTATACCAAGAGAAATGATCAATATATTTTTTAACAATGAATTTTAATTGTGTTTCAGGAACATCTTGAACTTTATGTCAACAGTTTATTAAAAAGTACAATGTATAAGAAGCACAGTTCAATGGTAAGCTATGTTTTTCTCTTTGAGTAGCTTAATTAACTATTTTCTAATTGTATTCCTATGATATTTTGAATTTTATTCAGTCTCCTATAATAATAATCTCGATTGACGTCATGTTCATTAAAAAATATAATGTAGAGCCACAGACTCAAAGTTGGTATGTACCATAGATGTAAGTCTCTGAGAAGGAGTCATTTCAGACTTAACGCAGTTGGTATTCCAGACTTTAATCAGTAATAATCTAAGTAAAATTTACTGATGGAAACTCAAAAAGTGTGTGTGTGTGTGCAAAATCTTTATTATTTCGAAACAATCTTATTTTCTGAAACCTGAAGTGTAAAGTTTTCTCAGCTTTACAGTCCAATGTACTAGTAAAACTCAACTCTGTCATAGTGTATTTTCTTGAATTATTCTCTTATTTCACACTTAATTAAATTTTATGATTTTGACATTCCAGAAAAAGTTTTTGGAAGTCAGTCGATTCTCATTTATCCAAGATCTCGGGACCAAAGGAAAGTAAGTGTTCTGTAAAATTCTTTAATATCAAAACAGCTAGGCATTGAATATTTCTCCTAGTTAATATTTAATAAACGACCATATTTTTATTTGTTTTGGTGTGCCATGTTTATAGACTTGTATGCGTTGATGTTTACTTAAACTCTATTTGTACAATCTATCCGAGTCACCCCACCAATTTATATCAAAGGATCACTTATATCGCACGTATAACATTGAAATAACTTTTGGTTTTGTCAAATATAAACACATCTAGAAATTAGACACTTTGCCATTGCGAAAGTTTCGATTTCGTTTCAAATTGATTTAAAGCTTCAATATCACCTGTATAAGTGATACATAAAACCTAATGCTGTCAACCGGAAATTTAAAAAACAGTGTTGTACTTCTTACTTGAAGAAAACTTTCAGACCAACAACTAGTTCCATGTAATGTATCTACGTATTTGGTATTTTATTATAAGGTTGAAAACGTCAAACAGATATAGCCTACTATAAATCACAGAGATGTTGTGAATATTTTTTTTAATAATTTTTACTCTGAAATAAAATGTTATGAATTTTATTGCTACTATTTGTCCTCATTTTTATTACGAGAATTCTTTATATGTTGTTTTATACTCTTTTCACTCTAAACAAGGCTGTGGGCAAGGGGCCACTGATAAGTACCGATTCAGTCCTTCCCGATTCAGCATTGACAACCCAATTTATAACCCTCTGGGTAATGTGGTGGGTGTGGGATTAAATTCACAATTTTTTATCTGTAATACCAACTGGGTTAATTCCAGCACGATTTATTTATTTTTTATGGATTTTATTATTTATTTTTGTCATCGAATTAGAATTTAGCAAATATTTAGGTAGATCTATGAAGCTAACAGAATGATTTTCACAAAAAAGCGTTTTATTATGCAATCATTTACACCAAATTTCTCTATCCATCTTTCAGTTATTTATTTTTCTCCCGATGTCATAGGATAAACAAGGTTATTTGTAAGAGGAGGTAGTTTCGGACAACCTATTCAAGCAGAAAATTTCAATGACGTCTGACTTTTAGTTTAAGGATTGAATCCATGCATAAAACGTCAACAATGCTAAACATAATGCTATTAAGTGATGTTGTGCATTACTCATAAATGCAACTGTCATATTTTTCCTGTGTAAAATGGAAGGAAAACGTTACTCATGTCATTCATCTTTTAAGAAATTTTTATCTTTTAAGAAATTTTAAGCTTATTCGCGGAATTTATAAGGCAGAAAATATTGTTTTAGTATGGTGAAGTCATACATGGGCCATGGATACAGTATATTTTTATGGGGAAAGACATCTATGGCATGTCGCTAGCAAATAATAATTTTATGACTGGTTTTGTGTACTGATGTTCAAATTCTTCTGTCATAGATTTGATCCATTATGATGTGTGGGTTTCTAATATTGCATGTTAAACATGATAATGGCAAACCGGATTACCCTCTATTAATAGTACAAGTTTTGCAGATTTAAAAATCATGATAAAAATATGTGCGGCGGTGAGATTAAAATCTGTGTTTAGATATATTTTAATTTGATTTATTGTTAGTAAGATTTCCAATTCAGATTATTTTTCTTCATTTTTATATTTAGAGAGGGAACACTGAGAAAAAAATCTGGAGGGCACACTATCAACTTATATTTTTGTGATAAATGTTGCAACGTGAAGTGCAGAGAACTTCTTAAAAAATGGAGTGACAGGTCTGTACTTTATTTTTTTCTGCATTTCAATATTTGTGTTCAGTTTTTTTCTTTTATAAAATGTGACCCAGAATCCAATTTTTATACTAGTCTGTTATAAATTTGTATTTATTTAATTACTGAAAGCTGCAAAAATTCAAAAAAAAAAAATTGGGTTTTTTTGTTAAACATGGAACACCTAAGTTGGATACATTCAAGATTCAATATTTCGTATTCAAAAATATTTTTTTCAGAATGTATTCAAAATAATAGAGTACCGTATTCTTGCATAACACACACAATAGATAATACGGGGGTGTATTTTAGCACCTGGATCATCATTCATACCCCCCTTATTTTAAAAGTGAAATTTAAACTTGAAAGTGCGTATTATACGTAGATAAATTCGGTATTTTGTTTTGACTGTCCCAATTTGAGATATTACAATTTATCAACTGATATTCTATTTTTCAGGTGGTTTGTTGTGAAAGATACTTTCATTATGTACTTGTCTCCTGATCAATCAACAATAAAAGGTGTTCTCTTATTCGACAACCAATTAAAGGTAGATACGAAAGAACATTCCAAGAGATTGACAATTTCTAATGCATCAAGAAAGTAAGTTAGCGATCATAAGACTTCATTCTGATATTTTGAATGGTATTAATAAGTAAAAATTCCTCCTCAATGCGTCATGAATTAAATCACAGAAAGTAAACATCCCATGAATTTATAACGATTGTTAAATTTTAGGAATAAATTAAAATGTTTTTATTTGACAAATCACCATTTTGGGGAATTGACATTCGGTATTCAGACAAAAAAAATGAAATATTAACTTCTGATGCTGTAAAAAATACAAAATCATCAATCAAAGTAACATTTTTCCCAACTATTTTGCATCACCAATTTCAATCTCTAAAAATTTGAGATGATTTCTGCAATTTTTTCTCTTGAGCAGAATTTTAGTGAAAATGTATTCTATATTCTCTATTCCAAAACGTTATTTCAACTTCGAAGTACTTGATAAAGTAAATTGTGATTTTGGCCATTTATAAGCATAAAAGGTGAATATTTTTCAGTTTTTGATATTCTTTGTGTATACGAGATTGTACATCAAAATATTCTCGTTTATCTATGTAACAGTAAAAAACCCAAGTATGAAAAACTGCAAATAGCATCAATCCAGAATGTTTGAAGTTCGAAATGTTTGACAACAAAGCATCGAAATAATAGACTATTACCGGTACATAAATTGGAGAGAATCGTACTATTTAGACCAGGGGTCACTAAACTTTTTCGACCGCGGGCCAGGTATGACTCAAACTGTGTTGAAACTGGCCTGACAAATATTTTTGTCAATGCAATGCAATAAATTCACAAAAGTTGGGAAATTTCTTCAATTTATTCAACAATATAACTTCTACATTTCTGAAGACAAAAGTGTCTGAGCGGATGAGAAAAGGCCTATTGTTACGTCACTCTATGCATCTTTCTGATTGGTTAATGTTACGAAATAAACAAGAAAGGTAATGCTCGAGGAAACATTGCTTGGAAAAAAATTGCCATTTTTTTGTGTTGTTGCGGGCCAGATAAAAAGGACGCCACGGGCCGGATACGGCCAGCGGGCTGTAGTTTGATGATCCCTGATTTAGACCATTATTTATTACTATTTTTCACTTTCGATTTCCGTGACTATTTGCAGGATTAAAATCAGAAAATTGCTTTGTGGGACAATAGGAATGAATAGTAATTTAGTTTTTCCTCTGTGTTTCCCACTATTATATAGGTTTAGGGTGATGTATCACATGCCAGCGAATGCCTATAGACATGAGATTTGGAGCTTTTCAAGTTTAATCTAGACAGCTCATTATTGCCACTATTTTTGCCAGGTTAACTGTGAACTGCTGGACAGAGAGGCAAACAAATGTATGGAAGGATGCAATATTAACTACTGCCAATGAATGTGCGTCAGATTTTGTAGGGAAGAATCAAAATGGTTCCTTCGCACCTGTTAGAGAAAATTCACCTGCACACTGGTATGTATATGCATGCGTAGGTTATTGATATGAAACAATTCTATTCTCTCCCTGTCTCCCACATCAATCAACGTTTAGTGGTGCTGCGTAAATCTATATATTTTCAGTAGCGCTTGGAATTTATTCGCTGGCCTCTAAAGATTGCTCAGATATGAGTCACTTTAATACCAAAGTGAGTGTGGCTTTTAGCAAACAGCATTGATAGTTCTTTTGTCTATGGTTATGAGGGTTTCCTTGAAGCAATGTCCCGGGCACTCACTCGGCAAGTAGAGAAAAATATAATCTAAGTATGCACTCAGATGCAAAACATGACAGATCGGAAGCTAAACCTGTTTTCAAACAGATTCGATATAATGCAAGTTCAATTTGCGTATTTTTTTTCAAAGCCTTTTCTGACAAGAAAACACTACAAAGTTGAATTCTATATGAATATTTTAAATTTTTCTAAAAATAAGATGATATGACTGTAAACACCCATATTCAAACCATCATTTTTTATGATTTCCCAATTTCTGTGCGTTATGCATTTTATATCAATTAATAATGATTTCTGCAAATTTTTTCAGTTGAATATGACCCAATATAGAGTATATTCGATATTCCTTACTTCAAGATATTGTTTTAAAAAGTATTCAAGAGTAGTACATTATTCGTTTTGGCTATCCCCTGGGATAACAAGGATAGTAATTTTAGTCAAACAGAGTGGAATTTACATACATATGTAAACTATGATAAACATAGTCATAAGACATCTGGATAAAAAAGTTTTGTACGGTTTGTGTGGCATGGATGAAGATCAACTTACTAATCTCTCGTAAAATGTTCAAAGGAGCAATGAAATTTTTTTACACACCACACTGCATTACAGAATTCATGACTTATTCGGTCTTTAAATGGCTATAATCAATACTAGAAAACTTGTTTAAAAGGAACTATATTTTCCTGAATATGTCATGTACATCCTGTAATTAGCTCAAGTCACCTTATATGATTTTCCTGACACATGCAACATTATGTGTATTGTGCATCATGGATGCAAGAAAATTTTAAAATTAAACTCTTTTTGATTTTTTTGTTCAATTATATGTTACAGTAAAACAATATCAAGCATTACTGCTATGTGAAATAGTGTTGTTATCATTTTGAAAAATCTATTTAAAGAGTGCAGTGCCATATAAATATTATGCTATCATTTTTAGGGCACTAAATTTTACTTTTTAAATACTTTTTTGTTTATTTTTCAAACATCTTTATGAGCAATTCATCTAAAATGGCCTTGAAATGCTGCTTTGAATTTGGACTTTTTATTTCTTATGAAAATGAATAGCAAAATCAGTTTTACCAATGCTTTTGTCGTCAAATTTTTTTGTTATAGGTTTTTTGTAGAGCTTTCCATACCGTGTTTCCACATAGTTACTCTGAACAAAGGTTTGACAGAATAATTTAAATTTTTTCTAGGTTTGTCGATGGTTCTTCGTATTTTAATGCTGTTGCAGATGCAATAGAAGACGCTAACGAAGAAATCTTTATTACCGATTGGTGGCTGTCACCTCAAATTTATTTGAAACGACCAATATCTGACGGTGGAAAATGGCAACTTGATAAACTATTGAAGCGCAAAGCAGTAAGTGTGGAATGTTTTGAATAAAGTAGAATGTGTTTATGTGGATTGCATGTGTGGTTGAATAAAAAACTATCCAGTTTGATTCTTGACATGTGAAGAGGTATTGGTCTTTTGTGAAATACTAAAAATATAATTTCTGGTTGAGCTGTTTGATGATAGTCAAAGAAATGGTAATCAAAATAATAAGATAAAAAATTGCAAAAATTGTGCAAAACTATTTGATAAAAACAACTGAGCATTGTCTGTAATGCCCAGCCTCAAATGTTTGTCATATTGGTATGGCCTTCTGGATGCCTCCTGACATAGTGGTACAGTTATAAATTTTTTATTTTAGATCACAAGCTAAACTGTATGTGTTCAGTATAAAAAGCAGGAAAAATCCATCCTAAACATTTCCTTCATGGAATATTCCACTCAGATATAATTCAACCGTAACTGTAACTTCCATTAAACTTTTCTGAATGAAATATTCATGCTTTGTGAAATTTTTTTGCTAGTTTTTGATATTAAATTAAGTAGTTGAAGTTGTTAAAAATTGCAATAAGGTGCATGGCACAAATTCACAATGCTGTATTTGTATCTCACTGGAATTTGAAGCATCCAAATATTGAATGACACTGCTCTTTCCTTAGCGCCCCAAATTTGTTCCATTGTATTCACTACTTGTTCCACCATTGTTCTAACAGGATGCCGGTGTAAAGATCTACATTCTTCTATACAAGGAAGTAGAAATGGCGGTCGCATTGCAGAGTAGATACGCCAAAGACATTTTGCAAAATTCAAATTTGAAAAATATCAGAGTATTACGTCATCCAGATCATATTACAAGTACGATATTACAAATTTATGTTGTGTTTTTAAATTATAAAAATGCAGAAGATATATAATATGAATTCAATTATCAGAGCTTAGAAATAATTACTACTTTTTGTAAAATTTCTATACAAATGTATGTTCCTTTAATAATTTGCCTTTGCATATAGAGTTCAATGTGAATCCTATGCATAACAGTGATTATGGGGGAAGCTAACGGATAGCCATATGGTCGTATCACTCCCGGTCTTCACCAAAAAAACTTTGTCTCTTCATTGTAGATGTGTTTTCCATTTTGTTTGTTTTTTGTTGACAAATCAATAAATCTCTCTCTCTCTGTATTTTATTCAGGATAAAATGAATGCATTACAATAAAAGAATGAAACAAACCCCAGCCAATTTAAATTATATTAATTGCAAATGGGACCTATTGTAGCCTTTGTGCTCTTAAGAGTCAAAACTCCTTGTAACATTGCATAGCATGGTTTTCCACTTTCATGATAATATATCTTCTCAACTACTTGAAAAGCTCTTGAAAAAATATTAATTTACAATTTCTCCTACTTATGATTACTACTTCAACTTCAGTCATTTTAAATTTCATATTCTATAAGTGGACACTTAAGACGTGTTGACTTTTGAGGCATGCTTCAATTCCATGTTGGGGATTTTATTCGGCGCTGCTGAAGTATGTGGGTAACTAATTTTGTTCGCCTACTTTACATCAAGTTGTGTAAAGGGACTTGAGCCTATGGGCAGGGGGTATATTTAGTTGGCTAACACAGACAGTCCCCTAACTGAACTCGTAATAGGACTAACATAAGGAGAATCGGAATAAAATAATGGACTAACCCCAGCCTGGTACATATACTACGGGAGCACGTTTTATTCAGCTGGTATAAGACACCTATATGGTTAATAGAACCGGCTTTTTACTCGTTTTCTATTTCGTTGTATGTACATGGTAACAAAAGATCAAACTTTCATCCAGATTTTGCTCCTTTTTCGATGTACCGTAAACCAGCGATTCCTAAACTCTTTATGTTCATGCGTCTCGCGAAATTGCAGCAAGTACTGTCTACCTCTGTTTTTACTAACAGTTAATAAGTAACAATAGAGGCAAACATAACTTAACAAAGTTAACAACATAGAAAAATAAGATGAATTTATTGATCCATAACATTTATTAGCACAGCATCAAAAATAAGAAACAATAAAACATCCATAATACAATATGTGAAATATTTAATCATATATCAGTTAAACACAATTCTGTTAATTTTCGAGGCGCATTTAGCAAATTCTTTGGGAATCACTGACATGAACTATTGGCATCATTTCTTTCAAACATTCTTGTAACATAGCATATGCTACATACAGATCCGGCAGTACCTGAAACATAAAACGAAGGATAGAATATGATATGAAAACGAAGGATAGTTTTATATGAATATGACACTTTTTGCGAATTATCACATGATGTCTGATGAAGAGTATATGATATAAATTACCAATCATTTTATTTTTTCACAGCAACCAAAGATTCATTATTATGGGCTCATCATGAGAAAATTGTCGTCATTGATCAGAAGATTGCTTTTGTCGGTGGTATTGATCTATGTTATGGTAGATGGGATAATCATGAACACAGGCTGACTGATATGGGTTCGGATAAAGATAGGATGTTGTCAGTGGCAGATGTTACCGACTCACAGGTATTGTAACGTATGAATTATAATTTATAATGCTGGCCTATTTTATTTTTTCAGGATAATTTCCTCAAAGCGAGGTCACATACATTCGAGTAAAAAATTTTACCCCAGATCAAAGTTGTGGATGACCTCTAAGAAATGCTGAGAGCTACTGTCAATCCGGCAAACTGCTAAGGGAATTAATTCCACATACCGTTTGGCATGAATATTTTTTTTGATATGAGGGCATATACTGAAAGTCGATTTTAGACAAAAAGCAGACATATGATTATTTTTCTGAATTGTTTTTCATGCTGTTATTGTTGGGACAAAAAAATTGCATTTCTGCTCAAATATTGGACTGATAGATTTAAAATTGAAGTGTCTCGAGGAAATTTAATTGCTAGTTAACTATTGGTTTCTTTGTTAATATTCCATTACGGGATAGTTGTAGTATATTTGCAATAAATTTTTATTGTTGAGAAGTTTTGTTGTGGTCATTTTTATGATTTTCAAGTTGTATTTTCAGAATCCCTCCAATGAACAAACTAAATCTTCTGCTCACACAACATCAGCACTTCTCATGTTTCAAGCTATGACTGTAGCTGTTGTGGAAGAAGTTTCCAAAGAAAAGGTTACTGTTTTATAGTTACTTAATAAGTATAACATTTGGTTGGAAGATTAGAATTTGGAATTGTTCAGATGAAGTTGTCATCTATATTATATCTACGTTGTCAGTTAGTAGATTTCTTGTATAGTACTGCATCCCGTTATATTGTTTACTGAATCTCCGCTCTAAGAGATCCTTATTCTCAGTTGTTCTGTCTGTTTGTTTAGCTGTAGTGTCTGAACAGCTGGACACTTCTGGATTTCTCACATGAGTTATCCTGTCATCCTTATAATAAACCGAAAGTTTAAATTTATGTTTCATTTCCATGGTAGGAGTGAAAATATGCTGATCAATAGGAAATTTCCAATTTACTTGCATTTTCTCGACAACCAAGTCAAAAATTGAAATTTCGAAAACGATACCCTCCGCAGAAAAAAATAGTCTTTCATCTCGAAAATCCATAAACTAAATTTCAGTGAACATGTTTGAAAAACTGGCATTAGGCACATTATACCACTCACGCAGAGAAGGCTGTTCAGGAACTCACTCACCACAATAAGCTGCCGTTATAAGTCGGCGATTTTAATAAGATTTTAACGGTTTGCTGGAGTGTGGACCTCCAGCGGAGATCCTGGGTGCCTACCGACTTGTCTTATTTTTTATCTTGCAAGCCGAGGTTTTCCGTCAAATTATACCAAATAGCATAGACACAACTCAGTTGAATGGTACAAATTTCGATTTAGTATTTTTTAATCGCCTGATAAAATACCCTAAAATAATATTCAGGTTTAGATTTCATCACAAAAACAAAGGATGTGTAGTGTGAATTAAAAATTATCTTACCCATTGTGGGGTGATTCATATGATATCACACAAAATTTTTAATTTTTCATTGGTCAACTTTTCCTTTTCTGTAAGCCTTTAACAGGATTATCTTTTTTAGACTGAAGATAGTGAACTGCAATTGAAGCCACTGTCAACATCTTCTAGTGGTGAGTTGATTAAATTTACAGATTTAAATTCAGTTTTACTTTTCAACCCTTTTCATGTGAATGATTGAAACGGGTAGGGTAAAGTATCTGAATAAATTTAACATGGGTGGTATTTGATATATTAAATGATTTAAGCTTCTTACAGTGTGAAAAATATTCATTCTCAAGTGTTATATTTAATTTTCGAAGTTTTAAATCCTGATTTAGCTTTTTTTTAGTAAAAAGCTAACATAACATTCACTGCTTCATTCTGTTATTCGAGTAATTCTTTATCATCCTTTATTTTATATTTCAGATGATGGAACCTTTCAAGCTGTGGTAACTTATTTGTATTATTCTTGTTTATTTTATCGATCGAGTTTTATAATTTCATATTTTGTGCTCGATTTCAAATACCTGCTTCATTATTTTACACAAGATAGTATTAAAACGAACTTTTTCCACAAAATAAAAAGTATATTTTTAACTCTCGTAAGATCATAGTTCTAACTTTTTCGGACAAAACAAGGCATAACACCTCATAACCACTTATTTGAGTATTTGAAGTTGTTATAAGTTATATATTGGCTGGTCTCAAGAAGTTAGACTATGATCTGATGAAAGCTTACTAATATACTTACTATTTCATAGAAAGATTTGTCATACTTATATATTTCTTTACAAAAATTGTTTGTCACATGCTACGATTAAAATGGCCACTGCGGTTGAAGTTATGATGTAAAAGTTTTAGCCACTTTTCCAAATTTCCACTCTGTGCATTTTTCTTGTGGGCTGTCATTTTTTGTACCATGGCGAAGATTAAATAAAAAGAATTGTTTTTAAGGATGACGAACCAGATAACAGAATAGCACATGACAATGATATGAATATGACTTCTAATGGTAAAACAACTATTACTGTCATTCAAGAAAGCAGCACTTTATTGTCTTCAAATGGTGCAGGTTTGATTGGGTGTTTTCACTTTTTATGATTTGGGAATATTAAGGCATTAAGCATGCAAAGGACTTTGATACTAGGGATGACCAAATCAGAATAATGACCGATCAGTATTTACTAAACTAATGAATACATTCTGAAATATTATTTTTGAATATGAAATATCAGTTATATTCTAAAATTGGTCATGTTCAACAAAGAACAATTAAAAAAAGTAAATGTATCTTCAAGAAGTTTGAATTTGAAAATACATGAATTTGAGATTGGTTGGTTCTCTTTTTTCATATTTTTCAAAAATTAAATAAACCAATTGCTTAAAATGAAATTAAATTCAAGTGTTCAAAATACCAAATATATTTAATTTGGAATCAATTCAAATATTAAATTTGTTTTGGACATTCTTAAGTCAAGCCATGCATGATCAAGCCATATTACACAGTGTAAGGCGATTATCTGCAGACTTGCCAATTTTAATACGCCAGCTTATATTCTTAGCGTATAGATAGATTTTCTGTCATTTCCTAATCAATTCTAATTTGCTTAATGGAAGTCAAGGTGATATAATATGCTAATATTAATGTCTGGACAGTTTTGACAAATTTAGGTCTTAGCAAAAAATATACAAACTTAAATATTTAAGCGAAATGAATACATTCTGGAATATTTTTGATTTTACGAAAAAATTCTAAAATATTGAATATATTCTAAATTGGGTTATGGTTAGTTAATTGATAGATTTTAAAGAATCAAAATAATTTATAAAAAAATTTGTTTCGGTGATACAATAAAGTTGATACAAACTCAGTTCTGATTGATTTTCTATTTTTACACTATCAGAAGTTGAGTGAAGTCTATTTTTCGTCTTGAGTACCAGATATTAGTTGTTATGAAGAACAAATTTTCAAATAAAACTATTTTAAATTATTCCTAAAATAAAGAAAGTACTAATATATCACGTATATCCAATGTCGGATATATTCGAATATTCAATTATATTAGATGTTCTGAAGAACAAATTTTCAAATAAAACTATTTTAAATTATCATATCAAAAATCAAAAAAGTACTAATATGTCACGTATATCCAATGTCGAATATTCGATTCTTTTGGACATCCAAAAAGAATGTGTATAGGTGATTGCATATTAATATTTGAAAACAAAATAATTGCAGCTTTAATTTTACTTATTACCACTCACCTTACTAAACTAATATTGTAATTTGCCTAATTCTATTTGTCTTCTATCTCAAATCAGATATACCAGTAGTTATTGATGAATTGATGATTCCACTTCAATGAACATTTGTATTTCTGTAAATAACAATAATTTTAAGATAATAACTGCACCGATAATGGTTTTATGCACACAACACAAGACATTATACGAATCTTATTATTTTTAAAGTAAAAAAAATTTGATTTCATTATGTCATGCATCCTGAGGAGGACCTACCGTAATTACCGTATATTCAAATCATTATTTCTCATTGAAATAAATTAATTATTTCCAACACAGACATAAAAACAATGTAGTATGTATAGGTCTGTGCAAAAAAGGAGTAATAAATTCTTTTGTTCCAGCTACAAATCATAAAGTTTGATGAAAGTATTGATATTCTTCTTTTTGAACACGGTATATCTCATGTCAGAATGATGAAAATTTATATTCATATATCCATTTGTTGAATCAAAGTTTTATGCAATGAAAATTTGACTGTTTTCACATGTTAGTTCCATCATAAATGAATTGCTGTTTTCATCAGATGGTCTGTCTCTATTTTAGTACAAATGTCTGAAAAAAATTTGCTGAATGATTTGCTGGAATTAAATTTAGAATTTATTTTTTGGGGAAAATTGTGATAAAAGCCAATCTGTGAAATGATAATTAATTTTGATGTTTGAATATTTGAAAATTTTAGATTACCCAAAAATGCAATCAATTACGGGTGATAATTTATAAATTGAAAAATGATTTTGGCATGATTTTGTGATACATTACTTGATATATCAGAATATTGATCAGAGTCGTCTTGTATGCATGTTTAGGAAGATAGTGTAGAATGCTATATTGTAACATTCAAAATATGATCAAGTCATCGTGAATGAATCACACCTGAAATATTTTGTAATGTTTTCTAAAAATCCTCCTAAAATTTAGGTTCTAAATCTTCAAATCGAATATATATTAGAACAATATAAAATGTATAGTAAATTAAGTACTATCTACCATAATTATCCTACTGTAAAAATCCCATATTGCAATATATTTAACATTGTAAGGTCTGTCACTGCATGCCAATCTTCATGTAAAACTTTATTTGCCAGAATATATATTAAACTGAGTCTTAACATAACCACTCCAGCTTTAGAAATATCTGAACATGTTTATCTACTTCTACATTGCATGTATCACTGGTGTTTGGAAATGTAATTTAACAAGGAAAAGGGAGATGTAGCCAGTGCTTTGACCACTCCGCCATGTATGAATCTACTATATATAGGAAGGAACAGAATTTTTATAATTCGGCATTGCCTTTCAAATTTATTACACTCTGGGTGGGGAGGTAGGTGTGGAATAGGGACATAGTTGAGTCCCCTATTTTTATAACCACTGGTCCATTAGACCCACGATCTGACAAAAAAGTCATATAGCTCTATGATTGGTACAATTCGTCCTGAAAGCAAGTCTCAAGTCACCCCTAAGGCTAATGCCTTCACCTTTTTAGCTCTAAGTATACTGCACTTTTTCCTATTTTCAGTACGGTAATTATCAAAACCCTGTTAGAACTGATTATGTAACACAATGCTTCATTCACATTTTATGCTTGTTTGAACTTCACTTTCAATTTCACTGTGTTTGTACTTCTTGATAGTTTTTCGAAGAATAGTACCGTAAGTACGGTGATTCATTATAATTTGATCGAAACTCTGAAAGTGTGGTGATTGTCCTTGATTCATGCTCTGTACTTTTTAAATTTGGAATTATTCAAGATGTTTCCTTCAAGGAAATCTTTCCCCGAGGGATCAAAATTGTCATTGAAAATAAAAATAACATGTTAATTTCAAAATAGAGCTGAATAGGGTCTGATTGGGTTCAGAGTTTTTGCCAACCTAGAGTTGAATTTTTTTCTAAGAAAACATAGGTAACTTAGACCTCATTGTCTCGATTCTAGCTCATTACTTCCCGATATTACATCACTACATGCTGTTCAGTCTCACAATTATCTAAAAAAGACTGTTTTTCACTGGGGTATGTGCCAAAGTAAAATTTTCCAACTCCCTGGTGTCTAGAGTCGAAATTCTAACTCGTCGGAGTTTATATTGCAGATCTTCAATGGTGTTAAAATGTGTACGCCAAAGTTCTTGTTATCACCATTTGATTTTTTCATTTGTGTGGTGCTGGAGTCGGGGAAAAATTCTTCTTTGTCGGGAGCCCAAGCCATTTTTCACAGTCTTGTCCAAGTCCACAGTCTTGTCTCATCCATTTAATAATAGTATTAATATTGTCCTTTCATCCTACATTACAATATTAACCTTATAACCTGGTGCAATCCTTTACTTATCATTCTACTAATTCCTTTTCAATGCTTTATTAATTATTGCTTGCCTTTTTTCTTTAACCATCACATCACACAGGCTATGGATCATTGAATGATACGAGTCCGTTGGTGCCGAAAGAAAGTCCTGCATCCTACCATTCTTATCAATGTATGTGTGCTTAATGCTTGTAACTTAATTCAATTTTTACGAGTTATAATTATGTATATAAATGGTGATTGTAATTGGTGATTTTACTAATTACTAATAACTATCTAGCGAATGTTATCAGTCTTTGTGTGATATACGGTATGTGTCTGCAATCAGAAAAATACAATAAATATTATACTCATTAAAATTTGAAATGCGCCTGCTTTCTGTCCAGTGCCATAATCACACTTACATTCAACAAGGTTTGATACATTTGAAATAAAGGTATAATGCACATTTTTGCAGTCATGCTCTCTGTTAAATGATCTTTAGGAAGTGTTTTTCATTATAACTCCAAGCAAGGCATGAGACAAGGCATCACTTGTATATAATCAGCTAATAAATAGCTAAAACATTTAAAATCTTTTAGTTGTGTCCTGAATCAAATTTGTTTTTTCTTGGGTGAAGTTATCATCGCTCATGTACCTAAAAACACCATAACTTTTACCCAGATGTTTTCTGAATCATCTATGATTGAACTACGAGATATAATTGCTATAGTACTAACAAAACCTTGTGGAAAACATGCTTTATCATGTTGGTATCATTGAGTAACTTGCATGGCTAAATTTGATTATTCAGATGCTGGCCCTGCTAGCAGTGCTGGAGCTGCTTACAAAGGAATGGTTGAAAATATGAAGTTGGCTGGACAAGCTAAACTGTGGGTTGGAAAAGATTATGCCAACTTTGTTGCAAAAGATTTGGCTCACTTGGATGATCCATATGATGGTATGATAATAACCGAAGTTTTTAACCATTCTGAATAGACAATTGAAGAAGGCTTGCATAAGCCAAAATTCTTGTTATCAAAATAGTTTTTCCTGAAGTTCTAGTAAAAATTTTTGACAACCTTCATTTGCATATCATTAAAATATTAACGATCAATCTATTTTATTGTCATTTGCATAGATATGATTGATCGTTTGAAAATGCCAAGGATGCCGTGGCATGACATCGCTTGTGTCACTTACGGCAAAGCAGCCAGAGATGCTGCTCGACATTTTATACAAAGATGGAACTTCACCAAGATAGAGAAAGCAAAGAAGGGAGAGTCTGTTCCATTTCTTCTTCCTAAAGCTTATTGTGAAGATGCATTCAATCTAAGACAGAGTTCCATACATCCAGATGCAGTTAATGCTAAAGTTCAGGTAAAATGAGGATTTTGACAATACTCATCGAAACAGTATCTAAGTCTTTGTACAATACTGATATGCAACAGGCTACCCTAGTTTGTTAGTGTTTCACTTAGATTTCATTGCAAACACTTTCATATGTAAACACTTCAATCAACTCGATCTAAAGCACATTGTACCAATCATTCCTTGTTAGGTTGTCTTAGGAGTCTGTTGTTGTTCATGATTAACATTATTTGTCACAAAGAACTTGCGTGTTGTATTCGGGGGAAGGATCGTATCAAGAACAAAATCCTAATAATATTCTGCCTTTCTGTCGCTACTACCAGTATGACGCACATGAGGCTATGAAGTCCATGCTTTTGAAATAAAACCGAAATATTCTCATTTCTGAAATGAACTGTCATCTGGATGAGAGACTGTGGTTTGCTACCTGATGGCCAAGTGGTTAAAGCGTTAAATTTCAGTGTTGGCATTCCAGATTGCACGTCTCTGGATCAAATCCCATGCTCTCACCTCACTCAAGGTATAAATTGAGAATAGTGGCTTCTTACATATAGTTAGATACCAGTGGCTTCTTGTATAGGGCCTTGTTCAGAGCTTTGGGTGTCGCTGCTCGGTAACCAATCCTGGTTTTCCACGACTTCCCTTCCCCAGTAAAAATGTGTGTTCAATTTTGTATTTTCGTATGTTATTTTTCACTGGATGGAAAAAATAAAGTTGACTATGATTTTTCTTTTCAGATGTATATGAATATTTTACTACCTTGTGTTTTAACTAAATCTGTCATTTATTTTTCAGATTCTGAGGTCGTCTGCTGAATGGTCTGCGGGGATTAGTGAAGCTGAACAATCTATCCAAACAGCTTATATCGATGCTATTAATAAAGCAGAGCATTATATTTATATTGAGGTAGGATGGATTAAAATTCCATCTTGTGTGAGACAGATGGTAGTTGGTAAACTAAACAAACAAATCATCACATGACTCATTATTTGAGATGCTGTAAAATCAATTTGAAAAGAATTCAAAATTAATATTAATTTTTTTGCCCCAATTTTAGTCAATCAAGCATATATATTCATGTACAACAAGCAACATATTACACATTACTCTATTGTGCCAACTAGTGTGGCCCCAATTAGGGCTTATGGATCATTGTTCTCACAGAGAAGCCCACTCGCAGCCCTGGTGATGCGATGATAGTGATATAATGATAGAATTTTGAGGTTGGGAAAGTTGGAGAGGCGGCTTATTCATATGGCATGGTCATGTCCTCTGGCTAGTTTATGTTTGGTATGAAAATAGTTTTTTTTTTAAATATGCATAGACTTGATGGTAGAGGAAGCCATAACCAACCAGCAGTTACGTGAACCACTCTATGATGATCAGGTGTTCAGCAGTCTCTATGCGCGTAATTATTTCTCACAGGATACAATCTTCCCCCCCCCCGCCTATTTTGAACCCTTCATTCCTCCGAATGCATAAAAAGTATTTTGTTCATTCAATCTTTAATGGATCCTTGTCTAGTGTTATGCACAAGTCGCGCCACCACTTTTGTGCAGTTTAGTTAGTACTAGTTTATAATGTGTTCATAAATATATATTATAGTAACAATATAGAACTAAAGAATGTTAGTAATACTATGTTGTATAGCAAATACAAAGCAAAATTCCTTCCCAATTTGAAAACAGTGACCTGGTAGGTTGCACTGTTTGTTTGCTGACTAAACACAATCTTAAACAGTTCAACTCTCCATGTCAGACATATCACATCTCACTAAAGATTAACTAATAATTTTATCTTTCTTTTTCAGAATCAATTTTTCATTAGTGTGCGAAATAATCCTGAAATAAAAAACAACATTGTCGATGCATTATTCTATCGGATAATGAGAGCTCACACAGAAAAGAAGAATTTTCGAGTTTATATTGTTATGCCTCTCATTCCTGGATTCGAAGGGGATATCAGGTCAGATGGCTGTTGATACAAGACTTGATTGCTAGGGAATCGACTTGGTGGAAAAATCCTTTTTTTTTATTGTTTGGAAAAGAATTTCAGTGATTCTAAACAGATCATCGAGATAGTCACACTGTTTATATGTCATAAATTGGTGATGAAAGTGAACTAAATATCTATATTATATGAATAATATGTGAGAGTATTTGCTAATTATGATATCCATATTGGTCAAATTATACACAGCATATTGGTCTGTTCTGTAACCCTCACAAATATGGGAAGATGTAATGTATCTATCAAAATTTCAGACTTCATTTGTATATTGTGCTCCATACCTACTGTGTACTCTTACAACAAAATTCGATACCAGACTTTATGTGCCTTCAATTGTAGCTATCATTGTATGGATGTTCATTATATGAATATTTTCTTATTTCTTTTCACCATTAGTGACAGTAGCAAAAGTCTTGCAATTCAAGCAGTTTTAGATTGGCAATACAGAAGTATGAATAGAGGTGATGGATCACTAATGGGTGACTTGACTAAACAAGGTAAATGTCTTAGATTTCAGCCTTTATATGTTTATATCGGTAATAGTTAATCATGATGGTAGCTTTATTTTATCCTGGTAATTAATTTTTGTTTTTGGAAAAAAACTTTCACAATGTTCCAATTGATTTTAAAATTTTAGCACTCAGTAGTTTGGCTGGACTTCTGCTGACTTTGTGATGTATTAGTCATTTTACTGTTGTTTCCATATATTTGAGCAAACCTCTTGTTATATTAATCAATTTCAGAACGAACTAGGTTTCGCATGTGATAATTTAAACATGGATTTTTACGCAGGTGTGAATTGTTCAAATTATGTGAGTTTCTGTGGATTGCGAACTCATTCTGAACTTGAAAATAAACCAATCACAGAGATCATCTACGTACACAGCAAGATGTTGATTGTGGATGATCGATATGTTATTATTGGTGAGTTGTGCATTGAGCCTTGGCTCTTTCTTGTAAGACATTTTTGTCTAGTACAAACTAAACTCCTACAAATAATGTTGGATATATGAGTTTTATTATGTGACTTCAGACGAGGCCTAATACAAGCTATCATTTGGTAGTCAACCACTCTGGTTTAAAATAACTTACATTAATTCTTATTCCTCGAGTGAGACAGTAGTATGGTGAGTTAGTATTTTCATATTTATACCAGATAGGAGAGCAAATTCAAGTCCAAAATGGCTCAATAGCTGGCCTCTCGTGTTCAAGTTCATTATCGGGTATGAAAATAGTAACAGTAGATCGTTTCAGATGCATTTAATGAACGGTTACAATAACCAAGCAAAAGTACAGCAACATACTTGCAACTAGTAATCTCCCATGAGATTCAAACCAAACTCATACACATTATTCAGTGTTGTGATGGGAAGCGAGTTTGTGGCTCTGAGCACGATACCCCAACTATAAAGGACTATAATTCTAGACCAGGGGTCGGCAACCTTTTGTGGCTCGCGGGCCAAAATTATAGTTGCAAGTCATTGGCGAGCCGCACATATTTTTAGAAAGTTGAAAAACCGAACGGATGGTACTTTTTATTATAAAATTCAAGCAGTGATACATCTCTCGAATAGAATATAGATTTATTTCCTCATTGCCTCTCATAAAATTCCATTCGAATATTTCCAGCGTCATTGAACCCTTTGCACTTAGCATCAACTATTCTGCGTTTTGTTGCCATTTGCTTAATTATAATTAAATTATATGCCTATTAAACGAGTAATTGTGAATTATATAATTGTTAGGTTATAATATAATTTTGTCTAAAGAATATATTCGTCAAAACGAATGTTTTGTTACCATAATTTAGTGAAAGCGCCGCAGGTCGTATTATAGTGCCGGATCCGGCCCGCGGGCCGTAGGTTGCCAACTCCTGATCTAGACCTTCAGCTTTCAATAACATACTATGTCTGAGTAACTGATACTAAATAACTTCATTCAAAGAAACATAGAAAACACAAAATTAAGTATCATCCAATTTATGCCTCTTATACTGCATTGATCTAGCTTGTCCTCTTGTTCATATTCAAAAATTTTATATTTATATTTTTACAATATTAAATAACCAGGTTCAGCAAATATAAATGATAGGAGTATGACTGGTTCACGAGACAGTGAAGTTGCAATGCTAATTGAAGATACAGAAATGATAGATTCTACTATGGATGGAAAGTAAGATTCATTTTAGGTTCTAGAACAAATGACTTTCACTTATCCAGTTTTGCTTTTTGAGTCGGGAATATTAATTTCATATTTGGGTTGCACTTGCAGATATGATGCCAGTTACTCCAACAACATCATATTTCCAAAAATAAGTGTTTTGCTCTCTTTTTTGTAGGCTATAACCTATAACAGCACTATCAAATCTTTTGAACAGTAAATGCTTTTTACTTTTAAACAATTACTTCTGCTCTATTCAAGTCTATTATAATAAAAAAAAACGCAGACTATTGTGTATTCTTCTTGGCAATAACATGCATCTAAGATTTGTGCGATATTTTGAATAAATGATTATCTCAGATCTCAAACAAAAACATATGTTATAGAGGATTCATAAGATACTCGTCAAGGGAGGCATACCTCCATTCACTTGTAATATTTGCGCTGAACATCAGCTTTGTATGAACAAATCGATATTTGCTGTTTTTGTCCAAATATTCCGAACTAACATTGACAACAAATGATAGAATTAGATCAGTGTATATTTTGTATAATGATTGTTTGTTCATTTTAAGGTCATATCAAGTAGGACGATTTGCATCACGTTTGAGAAAAAGGGTTTTTGCTGAACATCTTGGATTACTTCCAGAGGAATTAGTGGAGTCAAATTTTGAACCAACTGAAAATATTGATGATATTGCTTGTGATAAATTTTTCAAGGATGTTTGGTTCAGAATTGCTGGAATTAACACAAATGTCTATGAAAAGGTATCAAACTGATGTAGGATAAGATTTTTATCGTTACTTAGGGAATGGAAAACGTGGTAATGTTTTTAACCACTGTCTGATATCATGTTGAGAATGTTTGTAATGAGTACTGGTGAGATGCACAATTCCAGATGCATAGATTAGATTTATAGAGGAAAACATAAATGTCCAAAAGTTACACCCTGTGACCAGGCAATTTGTATATTTCCAAATGTAATTCTCTTTAAACTTATCATATTCAATTTCGCTTACATTCACTTACATATAGACAACTCTTTTAGATCAAAAAAATCATTAAACTTCAAGGGTGTTGTTTTTGCCACCTCTTGAAATGTTCTGCTTCAAAATAGGCACTCTACATGCCTGCCAAACTTAATTCAGACCTTTTTTATCTTACAAAACACTTCCAAAGTTTTGCACATTATTCACATTTGTGCGGTTTTTCAATTACAATTAGTCGTGTTTAATGTGTTTATTCCAGAAGAATTAGTATATTGAGTAAAAAGTTTACCTTTTTGTAAATCTGTTTTGATAAGCACTTCTTCTAAATCTTATTTTGAAATTTTTCAAAGAGAATTTAATCAAAGCAAGTTCATGCCCACTTGCACAGCAATAAAGGAGAGTCCTCTATGGCGAAAGTTATGGGTGATCCAGTGGGCAGTGACCACTGAAATGCCAAAAGCCAGTTGAAGTGTACAACTTCATGTTAGTACAATATTCAACAGATGTTCAATTTTACAATGAGATAATATATCCTATACATTTTTTAGGTATTTAAATGTGTGCCATCTGATATTGTTGCTAAATTTTCTGACATCGCCAACTTTCAAAGTCATCAAATGAAAAATGTAGATCAAATGAAGAAAGAACTTGAAAAGGTTGGTACTTTGGTTGGTTGGATAATATAATTTTCACTGCTATAATTCACAACTCACAATTGGTGATAAATGTAGTATATGAAATCCCATGCATTGATGTTTTCTTCGCGTAAATTCTTAAATATTATTATGTTGTGAAGACACGTTCAAGTATTATTGTGATACCTATTTTTAACATAGATGCATTGATACAACTTGTATAAAGGCTCTCTCTGGGTATATGAGGAATAGAATGTAATGAATTAATGAATAGGCTTAACAGATTAGTACCACTTCATTTCAACAATAGCATTTTTGTATCTTTCATTGGCTGCTAGTCAGTTAAAAGTGACGATATAATAAAATTGAAAAAGCATAGCAAAATTATGATTTGGATAGGATAGGATTCAAATATTTATCCCGGGGTAGAGGAAATTTGATAAGACAGCTCAATCATATGGGAAACTACGGCCCATCGTTTATTTACCACTTCATTTCGGGTATGGGATTAGTTGTAAAGTTATTTGATTTCAGATGCATGGACTTTGTGGTATGGTTGAGGAAGCCATAACTGACCAACAGTTATGTGAACAACCCTGCAGCGATAAGGAGTCCAGTTCTCTTGCACATAATTATCCCCACACAGGATTTGAACCTGTGAACCCATGCAGGGTAACCAGAGGTGTGGTGGCAGGCATATAACTAACGCCTTGTGTGACGCGTCACATCGCAAAGTCTTGTTTATGTATGTTTGTAAACCATGACTAATTCAACTTCATTTTGTGATTTTGAGCGTTTGATGGCTGTAACCTGGTCAGAGCTTACCACTTTAAAGTGGAGTAGATGTTGGACATTGCTGGGTGACCAAACTCAGCTTGGTGTTAAATCCAAGATCTCTTCATCTCCAACTATTTAACATTTTGTTTTAGATTCAAGGATACCTGGTGCTTTTACCATTATTTTTTCTAAAAGACGAACCTCTTCGACCAGAGGGTTTGACAAAAGAAAGCATGGCACCAACTGCATTGTGGACATAGTGCATAGGCCTCATATGATGATCTTATAAACTAAATTTATATTTTTCAATTTATATATGCATAACAGAAGTTTTCCACTTTAATAAATTTTTAAACACTGACTTCTATCACAGCCATTCCTGACGATATCATGTTCTTCTTTGATGATTTAAAATGTTGTTTTTTGTAACATTTTTTGTGTTTTTGTGCCCAAAAATGGAAGATATTTACTTTTATAGCATTTGTTTCATGATGAGTATAGAATGATTCTTAGTATTATGCCGAGACAATGACAGTGGTTTTGAAATTTTTTTTTTTTTAAATTTTCCATATCATACTAATAATTTGAGCTGACTATGAACAGAAAAATAGCCTGAGGCTCTGGGATGTCCAAAAAGAAATTTTGATTGTATTTGATTATTGATATTCTTGATTTTTGAAATAATTTGGATTAGTTTCATTCAAAAAAGAATTTTGCAGCAATTGATTTCTCACAGAATGACTGAAGATGCCTTAATTTAAATCCTGATATCTGTAGAAACAGGACCAATCAAGCACTGTTTATCTTAATATTTCTTCCTATCCCAATTAACAAATTCAAATTCTTTGTATATAAATCGACATCCATTTGTCTCTTGTTAAACATGGCAGTTTAATTGGATATTCCAATATAATATTTTTGAGTGTATCTGAAATAGCAGATAATTTGGTCTTGGTCTTCCATAGTTATGCAAGTGTAGGACCAATATATGCCACAAGGACTAAAATATGCTGCGTTATCCATTGCCTCAACCACAAAGGAGTGTAATTATGTCATAGAAATTTTAATTAAAATATCTGGTACATGAGCTAGTTCTACTGCTGTTCGTTTAGTTATGATCTCTTTTTCCAGTAACCTGTTTTATAAAATTAAATTAAACAGAAGTCTATAGAAAAAAAATGCTTCCTAAACTTATACCCTGAGAAAGCTTTTCCACGTTTCATCATGATGGTGCTTGACTTTGTTATACATTTTGTTATCGTATAAACAAAAAAATTCACATTGTTGCATTTAGTGTGCTAACAGAGAATCAATTCTAATATTAACAACGATTGTTTTAGGTGTGAACTTATCATATTTACTTTTGCCAATACAGATAATAATGGTACTTGAACTAGAATAATTAAAAGGCTGCAATTTTTGTGTTTATGGTATATATTCAAGAACTTTTGTCCCAATTTGTAACCCTGTTGCACAGTTTTTTAGTAATTTGCAATGTTTTATAGAGTTTCATGTGTGTTTTCAGAAACAACTTCAAAAACGGATGAATAAGACTGCTTTATAGGATATTTAACACTTTTGCTCTGACTTTGACATAATGAGCTACTATGATATTAAAAGAATTATATCTTTCCAATTTGGCATAGTCTGCCTAATTTATAAAACACAGGGCAATTTTGACAAAACGGGGTGTTGTTTTTCAAACTATGACTTCAGTAGCCTATAAAACCCGTAAGTTAGGTCCAGTGACTACAAAACTGTCAACTTCAATCACTTCTGTTGTGTAAAATTCATCTTGATCAGCTTGAACAGCCATGAGGCCACTGTCACTGCATCATTTAACTGAATTTCTGATAATTCGGCGCACCTCAGAGGGTTGTGGGTGGGTCCTTTTTTATTTTTTACCTTTATCTAGATCAGTGGTTCTCATGTGGCCTTTTAACTTTCTCATGCAAGGGAAAAACTACAAAAAAAATTCTTTAGATTAGATAGATAGATAGTTTCGAAAACTCCACAATATGATAATTCTCGTTCTCCAGAATTCTCCATTTTTAATTTTCTTTGTATTTGTATATTAAAGTTTAACTAATTTATCAATAACTCTTATCATTTTCAATATGTTTGTGGCCCACCTGAATATGTTTCTGTGGCCCAGCAGTGGGCCATGGCCCACTGGTTGAGGACCAGTGATCTAGATGCTTTTGGCACCATGAAAAGGATTTGTTTTTTTCATCAAAAACATTATTAATTGTTACCATTATCAAGCTTTTTGAAATCCTACTTTAATTGTGCATCAAGAATATATGAAATGATTTATTAGCCAAATTTTGTTGCAAACTTAGTTGCATTTAATACCACCATGTTTATTAGTATATTTGTTGATGACATTCAGAGTAATAGAACATGTATGTTGCATCTTTGATTTTTACTACATACACAAAGATATAGGAATGGATCCCTCTGGGTGAGGTAGTTCCTAAACTAATATGAGAACCCTCATATATATATTTAATTTTTACAATGTTCAAAATCAAAATGGTGTTTTTCAATAAGTTCTATGAAACATTCAAGTGCTATATCTACAGAAATCTTTCCTGAAAGATTCAATACCTTTATGTATTTTTCATTTTTTAATCTGCACAATCACTTTTAATCAAATCACCTTCCACAGTTTCCTACTTAATCTACATACCACTCTAATTCATTGTTAATTACCTTTCAATCAAGTGAAAATACTTCTAAGCCATCAGTTGGTAATTGCGTGATTTCACACTGGGTTTATTTATTATTGGGTCATATCATAATTAACTATGCATCAAATCAATAATTTAATTATCAATATTTTTCTAAACCTAATGAACCAAATGTATACTGTCCTCTAATTAATTGAAAATTAAGAAATAATTTTTTTTTGTTTTGTATTATATTGAGAGATGGTAATAAATCACTGATAAAGATGCATTTTTTGTACTTTACGGGGAGAGAAAGGGTATAAACATCTGGTGGACCACGGCCTCTGTTCTGATCCAGGTTCGAAACTTCCATAAATGCAAGGGCCAGGTTAGAACCAAATTAGCCTAAGGTACATTTTAAGGAAATCGTCTTTTCGTAATTTCTGTACAGCCTAACCTGAAATTGGACATTAGCCAGTGGCTAGAATTCTAATTAAAACCAGTACAGTTTTGGAAACCAGACCAAAAGATGGCTTCTGTTTCATTGAGATAGAAGGCTGGAAAAGGTGCATTTTGGAAAAATGTGGTATAAACCGTTTCCGTTTTACTGTGACGTAGTATCGACTAAAAGTCGACCAGCGGTCAAATAAGCCACTCACCGAAGGCGAGAAACACTAATCCTCTCGTGGATAATCCCCAAGTGCATTTAAATTGTCAGTTATGACATGAAAGGGGCATTCGTCGGGCTCAACATGGGGACGCAGACATTTTTGTGTACAATCCTCCTACTTTGTAGAATAAAATAGGACAATGCGCATGGCTAAATCGAGTAATTATACCGTAGTTAATACTGCAAATGACAAAGTTGAATACGAGCGCAATCGATAAAACTGGCATTTTCGAATACTTGGAGTTTTCAGAATTGGATCGAATATTTTTTCGACTCGAATCTCGAATATATATGCAATATATGTGAATTTTATTGTTATGGGTCCTACATGCATAAATTAATCAAAATATAGAAATCACTCAGATAGTTCGCTAAGCGTTCACACACATTCGTCGACAACTCACTAGATATGTTATGTTAGAATAATATTGTAAAATTAAAGCTTCAATGGGAAAAATTCACCTCAACCTTTGGCGGACAAAATAAAACAAGATGGTGACGACTCGAAATATTCATCTGAGCCGATTCGAATAATTTACATTTCGATTTAAAATGTCCAGCTCTAGTCGCACGAACACATTGATACCAGTAAAGCGTTGAAGTGAATTTTTTCAGGTCTGAGATATGTCAGTATTTTTTGGCGGCGGGTGGGCGAAGCTGAAATTTCGTGTCTCGAAATATAAATGCATATTGGCGAAATGATTAAATAACATTTTAACAAAAAGTTTCTCGAGCGACATACTTCCAGGAATTTTCATATTTATCTCCAAAGAGAGACAAGCCTGCCAGAGTATAAATTATAGGGCGACTCACGTCCTTTTTTCTGAGCCATAGGGCTGGTATAGTAATAACTGAATAACTAACGATTCCATATGCGCGGTGTCACGGTCTATTAAAAAATAAAACGAACATTCCGGAAAGCCACAAATCCATTGTGTAAAAACTATATTTAGCTTGATGAACACCTTTTTAACAAATTCAATTCGTGTCCATGCATGCAACAAGTTTATTCAACACGAAAGATGAGGTCGGTAATGGCTTCCTTTTATAATAATGAGAGCACATTCTCTTTTCAGATTAGAGATTCTGATTTCGCCAAATGCTTTTTTATGCCAGCTAATGTATTTTTTTCGACTGCATTGAATGGAAGCTCATTCGCAACGATTCTACATCACGACGATAGTATATATCTACCAGACAGTGTGTATTGCATGGCTGTAAATCTTCCGCAAATTGTTGAATCAAATGTATTCATGAATTATTTAATGATTCTAGATCATACAATCTTGAATAGAATGATAGCACAAAAAGGAAATCGTATATTACATTGAATATTATCGATTGCTCGTAGCTAATTTTGCTTAAATAATATTTCTCAGGTACAACTTTCAATAAAATAGCACGTTTCAGCAGTGATTGGATTTAGTAATTTGATACTCCCGAAGTATGTGAACCAAGATGGCGGACACCGGAATGTAGTAGGCTATATACATTAGGGCTGGCCATAATTTCAGGTACAAATACTACGAGAGTCGCTTGGCTAGTCCCCGAACTCGTAATATGACTAAAATAAGGAAAATTGGAATAAAATCATGGTCTAATCCTAACCTGGTACACAGACTACGTTCCGGTGTCCGCCGCATTAGTTCACATACTTCGGGAGTACCAGGAATTCTACAAGATAACAAAACTTGCCTAGCAAAAACCACTAGAAAAATGTAGCTATGGACAAATAAGAGCCAATATTTACAATCCTTGCATTAATTACCGTTTCGAGCTTTCTTGCAATCACAGGATATATGTGGGAGACAATCAATATAATGTGGGCTAAAACAATACGATATTTGAATACCAGGATGACTTGTTCTATAGCGATTATTATTGTATTACAATACGCTACATACGTTGCGACATTAGCTTAGATACAGCACAGTGTGTTAGTAATTTATTTGCAAAATTAAAATGTATGTAGATATCATTTTACCAAACAAAAAACGCCGATGAAGAGGGCAAATCAAGAAAATTCAAAAATTATAATTTGACGGTAGTAGTTCCATTAGATATTGTTCATCTTAGATTAGTGTAAGTTAGAAGATAAAGCAATAATCTAAGCAGTTAATCTCAGCAAAACAGGCTAGAAAATTAGTCGCGTGGCAAAAACAGTACCCGAAATTATTCTTTGATTATTTAATATCCCAACAGCGTTTGTTTTATAATAAAATTATAAAGTTATCTGAGAATTAATTTTTATAAGAGACTTCATTTTATGGATTACAGTATTTGAAATGACTTCATTACCAACCATTCACGAGAATATATATCCGGAGTTACCGTCAACATCAAGTTTTAGCAGCGGACAGTCGTTGTTTAAAAGAACAAGTGAAGGTGAGCATTCAAACTTTAAAATATTTTTACTTTGTACGCTTTCTTGTTAAAAAATTTATTATCCGCTTTTTTGAATTGCAAAAATACTTTGAAAGAAAATGTACCAACCGTTTCACAATAGTTGTAACATCGAAAATAAAGAAACGATGTGAAAATGAAATGTTGTCCTCAACGACACAGGTATACGTGTCATTTGAATAGGGCAAGTGCATAGTCTAAGTCAGACTATGATTAGAATCCAACAGATTTTTTCAGTGTTTTATTAACCCAAAACTTGACTACTATTGGTATCGCTGACCAACAAACTTAACTTAACATTTCATATAAATTGATTCCGCCGCTATATAAAACGCTACACTTAGATATTTCTCAAGCAATAACAATTTGAATTCTTTCAGATATCGTGTCTTTGGGTACGGGGACACATTCTTCTTCCTTGTTTCATCAGACCTTTTTTTACTATTAGCTGATGGCTCGCGACGTTTCTTTTGTGAAATTTGTATAAAAATCGCCCTGTAAATAAAGGATATATATATATGTATATAAATGCGTCCAAATGTCTTGTCAACTTACTCTTTACATTTGTTTTACAGCTGCCTTAGAAGAGTATGAATTCCTACATAACTTCTTTTCGACCGAGACTACACTTCAAGTTGTTTCTGCCATTGAGGACATTGACTCTGGAAATATATGGTATATATTAATAATTAAACCCCAAAATGAATGCTTTTGCCAAGTCGCTGATTCAGAATTAGTATACACCACTTTTTGTTTAGGTATGAAATATTCATTACACATGGACAATTTGAATGGACAATACACAAAAAACTTACCGACATTCTGTTGTTGGATTGGGATCTCAGTATATACCGAGCATTGGGGTTTACGGGACCCGATAAGTAGAAAAAATATTTTATTGTTGTTACAGATAAATATATTGAAATATCATATTGTTTTGCTGAGAAAAAATAACTAGAAAAATATAATTTTTTTCACATTAATCGTTTTGGCTCTACTGTTAGCTATTGCCATAATTTTTTTTTTCTTGAAAATTAATCGTTCAATGCCATATATATGATGCTATTTTACGTGTATACTGGATTTAATTATAGTTTGTATGCTTCATTGAATAGAAAATGTAATCGGTACAGTTCCATTTAATATGACTCCAAACTATCTCGTAACTAAATAAGTTTATTTCTTTATTTTCTCATCTATTACCGTTAGAGACTGCTCACTTGTAATAATTAAATTTGATTCTACTTTTACGTATGCGTGAATATTACCTATTATATTTACACCAGTTTTATTTACTATATTAGTCCGAGGGAAGGAAATGCTCTGGCTAAAAGTAAAGGATTGTCCGAAATATCTAACTTGGCTTTCATTTTGAAGTCCAAAGAAGTGCTTATGAAAGATCATATAAAGGTGGTACCTTCTATTTATCGTCCGATTGATGAATTATAGAATCCAAAAGTACTTCCTAATAAACAGTGCATAAAATCTAACAACATGTCGTGAATGCAAGTGAAAATATACTGTTTTTAGAGCGTCATCGCCGATTTTTTGAATTCTATTTTGGCTGTGAATGCTTACAAACGTCTTTCAATTGTAGTAAGTATTTTCTTAGATCACTTTTTATTGCAATAATAATTAGTCAAATGTATTACCTCTCTGAAGACCGTATTTGCAATGTTTTTAGACGATCAATTTTTTTTTCTTAAAACTAAAAGATAACTTTAATTTCCAGATTAACTTTTTTGAAATCAGCAAGTTTTCTTTTATATTGGCGTTGGGAAATAAAGAAAAGTAAGTTTTAACCCCAATTTCAAATTTGAATGAGATACGTAATAGAAAAATGGTTTGTTTTCAAATAAATACACGTTTATATTCCAGAGAAGGATTCCTTCAAAAAAGATCTTCTTGCTGTTTAGTGAAAAATGCATCGTGGAATAAAAGGTGAAATCGATAAAGTTTAAAAATTAGAAATGCTACTTAAATTTTATGGTAAATAAAACTTTGATCGGTATCAACTAGCAGAACAGGGCCCAACAAATGAACAATATTCATTTTTAAAAATGAAAGGTTAATAATTGTACTGTTAAAATCTAAGTAAAACCCAGCAGGAAAGAAAATAAATTGCAGCGCGAACACTTGCGAGGTTATGAATTTTTGTTCAAAGAAAAAATCAATCATGAAAATATTTATCCTCAAAATGAATTTGATTGTTAATCTATATTTTATTGTATAAATCCTAAAACTGACAAGATTTTATTACAAATTTTCAGATGGTTTATTCTGAAGAAAAATTTTCTGATTTATCTTGATCCATCAAAAAATAATGTCGAAGGAGTTTTTCTTTTCGACACCAACACAACCCTAAAACAAAGAAATGACAAAATTGCGATAAAAAATTTCTCACATAGGTAGGTTGGATTGGCTTTTTCAAGAATCAGGATTTATATGTTATGCTATTACTCACATTGTTTTAGGCACGAAATGTTATTTTAATTTAAAAAATAATATTGAAATTTTTCGTGACTAATACTGACTTTTAAAATATGTTATCAAACTGGATTCTTTGTCTCGGAACAATAAAATCGTTTCAAAACAAGACTTGTGAACCTCACATCTTCAAATTACTGTCCAATACAAACCGGCTTTCCGGTTATTCATAGCTTACACAGTTAATTGGGCTACATAATGAGCATGGCGCTGGGCATAGGCGGATTCTTTAATTTACCAGGACCAATGTGATATTCTTAGCCTCACGCCATTTATTGATCAATACTGATTAAAGTAATATCTTCTAATGACAGAATTCTCCTGGAGTGTCCAAGTGCTTACCAAGCAACAGTATGGAAATCGGCAATAGAAAAGAACGTTGCTAAGATTCTAGAATATGATTGGAAGAACAGTAGAGAAGGCATTGTTTGTCATTCACCAATCAGAAATGCACGAGCTCACTGGCAAGTTCAATTACAGTACATGTATGGTTTACAGACTTTCGGAGAATTGGAGTAGCCATTGAATAAGTACAAACTGTCTTAAAATCATTAGCAAATGTATTCAAGACCACTTTGAGAGGGGACTTCGGGAAAAATATGACGCTGTATAGAATAAAGATAAATTCTATAATTATGTTACAGTATTATTGTAAAACACAATTTGACAATTGCAAAAGTCTTATTTAGAATATATATGTTTAGGTTCGTCGATGGATCTGACTATTTCTCCGCCGTTGCAGATGCATTGTTGTCCGCAACAGAAGAAATTTTTATCTCTGGGTGGTTTTTAGCCCCTCATATTCACTTAAAAAGAAGACCCGAATTGAACAACAAATGGATGCTGAAATCTATATTGAAAGAAAAGGCGGTAACCCAAATATTCAATGTTTTGACTTTTTGATCGAAAATGTAGAAAATTAAATTTCGCGTGATATTCGCTTTTCTGATATTAATCTATCTTTTATTAAGTTAGAATGGAAATGGATATTTTTTTTAATCGAGGTTTAAATGCCCTCTTGTCTGCAGTGGATTTTCGAGATGCCATATAGAGAGTGTTTAGTACTGCAATTATAATTTTTTCACAATTTTCTTGTAATTTAAAGATTTTTGCGAAAAGGTTTTCATAATTTTTTAGGACGAGGGTGTTAAAATATACATTTTAATTTACGATGGACCAGATGGGTTTATCAAACTTGCTGATAAATTTGTGGAGAACACATTGGAAACATTGAATAAAAATAATATTACAGTATTGCGTCATCGAGGCAAAGAACTAGGTATTCAATATTAATTATGTAATTTACTATTCACTGTATATATACATTTTTATTTTTCAAACACAATAAGTTGACCGCGTAAGTTCGCCAGAAAGGCGAAATTGTACGAAGGTTTAACCCAAAGATGGATAGTACTACCACAGTCTTATTTATATTTATTCTAGGTGTGATACGCAAATAAAATGATGCCATACGGAATGATGATATCCAATTTATGCCAACAAAGCGCGTCGAAAATTCTAGCTATCTTTTTCAAAATTCATTTTCAAGTGGAGGATATAGCGATCTGTACTCTAAGTCTAGACAGTAATCGAATCTCAACTATTTTAAACCCTCTAAGTTTGAATTTAGAAAAAGATTAGTAAAAAAAATAATATTTATTTTACTAAAAATTGTAAGCTATATAGAAATATGTCTCATATGTTCGATATTCGGAACACATGTATAAGTCCACTTTGTATGTAACATGTTGATAACCCCGTAGATTTGTGTCTCTCACGGTACATTCCAAATTTGAAATGGATAAAAATCAGACAGTATGGAGAAGCTTCAATATTTTTTTTAAATACACCTTTTGAAGAAATTATTTCATTTGATCAGATATTCTCTGGAGCCATCATGAAAAGTTAGTAATTATTGATCAACGTGTAGCATTCGTATCAGGGATTGATTTAACTTTTGGTCGATGGGATTATGAAGGCCACCCATTGACGGATTTGGGAAATACAACAGAACATTCAGTTTCTTCCAAAGTAAGAAATCTCATTTGATATCTTTACATTGATCTATTCGTTGCCATGCTTCATAACATCGTAGACGGTAAGACGGTAATCAACTGGAGAGTTTTAAATGCATTTGATATTTCAAGAATCTGATTTGAATAGTACTACTATAACGTGGGGTCAACCGCACTATAGCGTGAAGGAGGCTGCGGTACATCTCAGAAAACATCTGGGTTGGCAACATAACGCCGGTGTAGCACAGTCGCTTTCTAGGATAGCAGATTCAAATGTTTTTTTTCTAATATCAATATATAACTATATTATCTTGAAATACGTTCCTAAGTTTCTTTTTCAGACGGATAATGAAACGCCATTGAAAGGGCAATTATGGCCTGGCTTGGATTATGCAAACGAGTATGTGTCCGCTGGAGTAGATTTCACAAAACCTTTTAAAGGTATAATAATTTTCATATATTTGCCATTTTGATGGTATAAAAAGTGACAGAATGGACAAACCTATATTGTAAATTTTGGACTATATCAGTGTATTTGATTGGAATGCTATATAATAAAGTCACAGTTAATCCGGAGCGAGAAATTCAATAAGACAAATTTATTAATTAATTTTATTAATTACTGCTTAATATATTTTTAGATCATATAGATCGCCAGACCTGTCCGAGAATACCGTGGCATGATATTGCATGTGTGACATACGATGACGCAGCAAAAGATGTTGCAAGGCATTTCATCCAAACGTGGAATTTTGTTAAGGTCATTCCTTGCATATGTCGTTATTACCGGTTTTTAATTAAGCTACGGCTCGCCGAAATTCATCGACAGAAAAGCCGACACCAAATTTTGGAGCTAAACCATAACCTTCCGGTTCTAGTTAAATATGAAAAAATTGTAACAGTGTTTCAGATTTAGAAAACATTGCATCTTCGCATACTGGCTCAAATACTTTGTAGAAAATAACCACAACATGAAAACAATAAACCGAAACGATCCATTGGCTCAATGTGTCTCATAACACTTTTTATTTGTGTTTGCATATTGCAATGCTTTTAGGCTACAGAACACAGAAAAGAAGATAAAATATCATTTCTAATTCCGAAAATCGTTTCTATACCTTTTGGCGATAAAAATCTTGATCCAAATATATATGCTTCTAAAGTTCAAGTACAGGTAGGTGCTCCACTTCATTTTTTTTTGGTTTTTGATTTGCTTTTGTCAGTAATTTGTATTTACTTATCCAGTACTTTTGTTTGCAATTAGAGTCAGAAAAACACACAAACTAATAAAGCAAGAACAAATAAACTAAGCATAATGTAGTGCATGCTCCGTTTCACGAATCCTATTTACTTTTGATATTTTTTGGGGGGGATGGGGGGGGGGGATTAATCACTGATAACTGTTTAATTATTACTATAAAACTCCAGGTATTGCGATCAGTATCAAAATGGTCAGCGGGACTCAAAGAGATTGAATCATCTATTGAAGATGCTTATGTGAAAACGATAGAGGAATCCGAACATTACATATATATTGAGGTGAAAATAAAGATAATTGGTACTAATCATTAGGAATTTATCTGATGGTTATGTTTTGAACTTATTGATCCGTTATTAATTTTATTGCTTACATTGGAATTTGTATTATTGTATTTTCACTCGTATTTACAAAATCTTATCATTATCTCACCCTGAGTAAATACACCCATTCTGTAGTTTTATCTCACTCGCTTTATGAGTGGTACATGTTGTCGCACCGAAAGCTGAGATTTATACTCATATTTCATTGGCATGTTCGCACTCGATCACTCTCAACGAGGCTCTTTAAAAGTACCCATCAGGAAGCTCGGGTGTTACTATTTTACCATAGTAAATCGGAATATTTCTTAGCAAATGATTTTATTTGATAGCTGCACAAACTAATGCCTGACTTGACAACTCGCGATGTGAGTAAGATCAAACTGCAAGTAGGCCAATCAAGTAGTATGCAACTGTCAAGAAGCACAAAGATTACAATATAAAATCATTTTAATTATCCCGACATGTTTTTTAAATTCCACTAACAGCCCTACTCCAATTAAAATTTGTTCCAGAATCAATTCTTCATCAGTTACCGGAATCAGGAAATTGTCAAGAACGGAATTGTTTCCGCTCTTTGTCGTCGTATTGAAAGAGCAGATAGAGAGAAGACAAAATTTCGGTTATACATTGTTCTCCCACTGATTCCAATGTTTGAAGGAGATTTCAGGTGGAATGAAATTTCGGGGAAAATTGAATTGTACTGTTCATGATGTAATATCAAGCGTAAAATGTATTCACAAAGTTATAACAAAATAAAATTCGGATGCGGTATTTTTAGCAAAAGTGTAAATCGACGATTTCAAAAATATAAAACCTTTTTCTATGCATAAATTTTAATAAATTATGATAAGATAGCATACCTAAAAATCAAGAATGATCGTAGCAAAGTCCACCTGTTTCCACGGGCCGTATCATACCGTCACTCCGACGAGGTATAGGCTTGTGCTATTACGGTCCAAAGGCGAATGAAAAAAATGATGTATTTTCTAAAAACGCCTATACCAGTACATAGAGACTGATTTTGTGGTAAACGGTTGTGTTTCAATGAAATCCGCTTTTCAATTTATCTTTTTTTCAGTAAAGCAAATAAAAGTCGACAAATCCAGGTTTTTGCTAACTATCAATATCACAGCATAAGTAGAGGAGACGAGACTTCGTTGATTGGATCGCTACGGAAATTATGTAATGTTTTCAGAAAATGTATTTTTATATTGAGAATTTATAACTAAATGAGAAATTCAGCAATTTTTAATATCGTAGAAATTTAGGAATTTCTACAAATGTAATGCATTAGAAACAGAATAGACTCTCAAGAATATTTATTTTCAAAATTACGATGTATATATATATATATGTGTGTGTGTAAAGATATATTCTCGCTCGCCTCACTCGCAGCGCCAGGTACTATTTGACTTCGAAATTCTTTGTTTTTCGTTCAAATTTCGAAAAAACAAAGACGTTCAACCGTAATCATTCCAGTTGAATATCGGAAATTTTTAGAAAATTACAATTCAAAATTTCTTTTTCAGTGACGGAAGATCAAATAGATGAATACGTTTGTTTTTCGTCTCTCCGAACCTACGCTGAATTGAATAATGAGATGATTTCAGATATTGTTTACGTTCACAGTAAATTGATGATTGCAGATGACAGAGTTGCAATCATTGGTATGAACAATCGTTTAATTCGGAGTAGAACATTTTCCAAAAATGAGTTCCTATTTTTATAGCTTTTCGAGTCAGCCCGCAAAACTCGAAATTAGGCAGCTGACTAACAGTGGGAATCACCTGTCCATTCTTCTGTATTCAAGTTGGCTGTCAATATTTTGTTATACTTTCACGACGAGTTATTGGTATTATAGATTGCATGAATCTATTTTTCTTACGAACTACTTTTATGAATTCATATTTCATCAAAATAATAATATATATATATACTATATGTAGAATTCGTAACATTGCTATTTCACAACAGAAAAGTAGACAATATTACTGACAAAAAATCAGAATTCTTTTTCAACAGCTCCAATTAAAATATAGTTCAAACTACAATCTTTGGACACACCTTGTCCTAAACTCCTAAACCAAATTTAAAATGGTGGACACATTTTGCAAAAGCTCAAAGTTAATATCGAATATTATGACTAAATAATACAGTCGAAGAAAAACACCTTTTTTCCGTCCTAGAGCATAGATGTACTTCAACGAAAACAGCAATAAAATTGATAATCTTCTGTTATAAACATTATTGTGTATTATTTCTCCAGTTCATGTAACAGTATAGTTTTGTCCTTATGCAGGTTCAGCCAATATAAATGATAGAAGCTTGCTTGGTGACAGAGATTCTGAAGTTGCTCTTTGGATTAAGGATATGGAAATGGTGGATTCAACAATGAATGGACAGTAAGAAAATTTATATAAAAACGGCAAAATTCCTTCAACTCATTTTTATGTTCCAAAAACGATGGTTAGAATTATGATCAAAATGATACCATACCAACAATAAAAAATTCGGCCCCCTTAATTAAAATTTGTGCATAATATGTGCCCATATTCCAAATGTACATTTAAAAAAATACATGCTACTATTAAACAATAGTATATATATGGAATACTTTTGAGCTCAAATAGTACAGATATTCCTCGTCAATTTATTTTCAGACCATATAAAGTAGGAAAATTTGCTTCTGGCTTGAGAAAAAAGATTTTTGTCGAACATCTTGGATTGTCGAAGGTCGATACACCTGTTTTAAATGACGTTGTTTCGGACGAATTCTATCATGACGTTTGGGAGAAGACTGCTGACACTAACACAATAGTTTATGACGAGGTTAAGGCTTGTTTATAGATTATTTTAGAACACGATGAAACTTCCATATATTTTCCAATTAAGAATTGTACATGTTACACAGAGTGTCCTTGTTTGCTCGCGAAAATGTGCCTAATCCATTTCAAGTTCCATGGAATTACATCAGCAAGACTGGCGGGAGGTCAGAAATTGACCTTTCCAGATAATCTTCAACATTACATATGATCACTTCTACTATCTAATGTAAACAATTTTTGTAGGTATTCCGAAGTATTCCTTCAGATGTGGTCCGACGATTTTCACAAGTACGCAGATATCAGAATGAATCGTCTGATGAAAGAATGAAAAGTCAATTGCTAGACAAGGTGATGTATTTAAAACTTATTTTGTGTATTATGAAATCGTGATATCGATTTGTTGGTTGGCCATGGTATTATGAAAAACTGCAAAACAAAATAATAATAATTCAAGCAGCAGTCGTTAACTGGACGACGATGGACACACTGCCTGATGATGTGGCAACACTATTTTTTATTATATATTTCAAATGCAGGTGAATGGATACTTGGTAAATTTTCCTAAACAATATCTAGAAGATGAAGACTTATCGAAAAAACAAAGTCGATTGATTCCTGTTTCTGTTTTTACTTGATACCCACGCATTTCTTTTATTTGTACAAATTATACTTAAAACAAGGTCAGAATGCATTAGTGGAAGAGTATGGTTTTTGTATATACTCATAAATAAACGTTTTGAAGCCAATACACGTTTAATTTTATTGTAATAGTTTATGAAAATAATTATATAAAATAAAGAAAAATGAAAATTTTGGGTAACATCCAAGATCCACATATCAAAAATTTAAACTATTTCCAAATACCGCACATTCACAAGTTGGCGTCTAGTCTGGTCGGAAGCAAGTGGTATGTCTTCTATTTATAGTATTTGAGGATAGAGCTCCTAGGGAATAGTACAACCGCAGCAAATACAGAGCGTTTCCGAACAATGAAGAAAAAAGTCACAGTTACACAGTATTTGAATAAATGAGTGCTATCTACATATCAATGATTTTTAATAAGTTGATGCTTTCATTGATTGTTTAAGCGCACTATGATGGGGAGCTTGAGTGTTTATAGTGGGTATGATCTCACTCTCCCAAACCGTGCGTTCATGTATCTGGAACGCCGAACTGGTGAGGCATTTCCAAGCTAGTCGCGGTCTGATGCTGGTGATCCGATAGTATTAACAAACGCGTTATGTGTATTCCATTTTTTGAATGAAACTCCATCTTATATGTCAGGATTTGCTCGCAAAATTCACGGGGAAATGAGAACGAGAGAGGGAGAATTTATTTTTTTCGTCAGACCAGAAAACATAATGATTGTGTAATAACAATAATAAATCAACACATAATGCAGTTTTCGGTATGTGACTGGCTGATAACGACACGACCATATACGGTCATCTGAGTCAGTTACCAGCAATGCAAATACTAATAAGGTCATGCAAGTAAAAAGTTCATGGGCATCTTGAATGAATTAGATGAATCAAACTTTCTCATGTCACGTTTCAACTTGTGTTGAACATGGGGAGATGCATGACGAAGTTGAAATTGACAAATACCAGGATATTGATCAGTCACGCAGTGTTGCCATACAATACATGAAACGGGTTTCTCAGATAAATATATATATTAGAATAAATATATATGGCCAATTACAATAGCACTACAGCTGGTTGGGTGATTGCGGAGCTTAATAAGTTGATATTAATATCACCCAATATAATATATATTTATTTTTGTCAAGTGCCAGATGGTGTACTGTAGGCCCTGTAGGGTATTACTAAGAGCGCTCATAAATCCAGATTCACTGGATCCAGGGTATCGATGTACAACCTCAAGAATAATGGAAGAAGACTTTTCACAATGAATAGGTATTTCAAACTAAAGTTCTTCGCGAGGGTCGACATTCAGAATACATTTGTGTACCAATAACGGATTTAAATAGTACTTTACATATATCCCAACCCCACCAGCTTGAGTTTTTGTCGGCGCATGAAGGAATACATAACTTTAAATATCTATATTAATCAAAGGGTCTGTTTTGAGTTACGAAGTAGAAACGTTAGTGACCTGTATTACGTTATTATTGATTGACATACATCAAAACAAAAAAAGAAGAAGCCGGGACGTATTACAGTTTTTTGCGTACTGTGGCTTGCACATTATTACAACGCAGCATGGTTAATATAGGACAATTCCTGTAAAGATCAATTATTAGCTCATCATTCCCGTAAAATCCAAAGATCTTGATGTATTTTTAGTGACATAACAACCGAATGGTTTACTTCAAAAGAAATGACATATTGATCACTTGCATTCATGCAACATGCATTCATTGTTGTGTCACGCGCGTCTAACACAACGTACAGGAAAATGCTTCTGGATCAGTAAAATTCGTTTATTATAGAGTGGAGTGTTATTCCATTAGCTACGAATGGAAGACAACTTCTTGGTATTTTTAAGAAATCGAAAATACATAAATGAATAGAGACAAATTTCCATTTCTTCTCGTAATATGCATGCAAATGTAGTTATAAACTGTATATATATTACAAAAATACATTATTAGTTAGAAAGCGTAGTGATGGCAGAGCAACAAAGGTATGATCCGGGGACGATAGTGCAGCCAAATGAACCACTTCCAAATAATTTTTTACCTGAACATCCTGCCAAAGTCTTTGTAACGGTGTGCAATACATCAGACTTTAGTTCTCAAGAAATCTGGTAAGTAGAGTGTTTTATCTTGTCAATATTGACTATATATACTAGAATGCTGATATTACGTTTAAATGCTGAAAAGCGTTAGTGGGGCAAAAGTGTGACAAACATATTCAATGAATTTACTTGGAAATATCTTACCAACATTAAGAACTCTCGTTTTACTATGTAGTTTGTATAAAACTGTTCTTGAATGAAGTAAACTTTATATGTGTAGCGTTAGTTTGGAACTAGCCTGCATATAACCTAAGGTTCTGGTGTATATATTTGAAATAAAGCAATGAACTTTTGGCCCATCTAATAAATCATTTATTTGGCATGAGTTCATGAAATGAAAAACTGATTATGGAAATAAAATCAAATGTAGGTATGATATTGAATGCAAATTTTGCAGCTAAAACAGCATAATTTAAAATTTTACTCAATTTAAAATCTTACTGCATATATATCTATAGAACTGCGTCACTGATGGCCTTGGTTATCAATTCACGCATACATTCTAAGATTTAGATATATATAAATATATATACTAAATATAATAGATAACTCACCGTACATTATACCAAAATATAAACTTATCAAACCATTCTGTTGGTTGATTTACGACAGGTATGATTTGACAGTTGAACACGATTCGTTCCAATGGACGGTTCGACGAAAACTTTCCGATGTTGCCAAACTTGCTTTTGGTCTCAAAGCTTATTCTGCTTTCAAAGATGTATCAGCAAGCAGGTATGTAATATAAATGTCATTGGGTTTTCGTTGCTTTATGCGGCACTTTGTAATATTAGTTATCCTTATATTGGTACCAGGTTAACAGACGTGGATGATTTCGATGCAGTAACGAAACCACCAAGCATTATGAACTTTTTGCATAGCGCAACTGGGGAACGAAAGAATATTGAAAGCGTTAAGGTAATTGAATATAAAATGGAAAGGGACGGCTGAATATTTGACGTGTAGAGCAGGGCTACTCAACTATTTTTATCGAAGGTCCGCAAACAAAACATCATAATTATTTGGGTCCGGTCTTTCCAGAAATGATATTTCGGCATCCTTAAACGAGCACTTCTTCGACCGACTAATGATTAGTAGCAAATTAAAAGTGTTTATTATGGTGGTATAGTTTTTTTCGTATACATTCAAAACTATGAAAGTCATTTTATAACAGGAAATTCAAAAAGTGGGGCTAATGATCTAAAATAAATAATTAGGTGCGGTCCAAATCCAACACTCGAAAGGTCCGGATTCGGACCGCCAGTTGAGTAGCCCTGGTGTAGCGTATATTTTAAAGTAACTTAAAAAGATTTCTATCATTACTTTCTATATAAGCTTTATGAACTGATTATTTTTGACTAACGCAATACTAGGACAGCGAAGAAACCTACTAATTTGCATCGTCGTTTGTGCACGCGATTGCTGAATGATGTCTGAAGTTACCTGGCAAGCAGTATAAAAAGAATTTTTTCAGTCACATAATAGACTTTTCATCAAATGATTCTCTTTTCTACTTTTATAAAGTTGTAAATATACGAGTATATGCAGAACAATGAGCTAATGATGTAATTGGTTTTTTAACAGGAGGATATGCAACAGTATTTCGACTATATTCTTGCTTATGAAATATACAGAGGTCACAACAGTTTGGTAATTTTTCTTTCGAACCTTTTATCTAAAATAAAGATGTAGGCCTACTGTTTTTTTTTTATATTCACATTCCCTGTAATAAGGCTTCATTTGATTGGCACCTGTGGCAGAACTCATAGGGATGATTGAACAATAGGCAATAAAAAGTTATAACAGCAAAAGAACAGAATCTCGTTTTACACAAGAAAAGAGCAACGCGCAGCTACCGGCATACTACCAATCTCGCACGAAACAAAGCTTGCCAGATATTCATGCGGAAAATCCACATAGTGGCACAAATTTTTAAATTAGCAAAATTCCTCGGGAGCCACAGTCTTTTGTTCCCCATTTCTCAACAACAAGCACGCTCACTGTCAATTTTTTGGTCCAACATGCTTCATGTTGGACGTACAATCACTTAGACAAGTAGTGTGTGGGTTCAGTTAAAGTGGGTTCTACCAAACATTATTAGCTTGTAATATGTGTAAATACTAGATAGATTCTGTTTTTTTTTTCGTTTGCTTTTATTGAAACATATACTTTTGTATACTTTTGCTTACAGGCAGACTTTTTTGAAGTGAGCGGTTTTACATTCAGGAAAGAACTGGGGCGAAGCAAGAAGTAAGAATGATTTCCAATCTGATGTTTTCATTCAATATAATTGCACACAAAATACAAAGTTAATTTTATCATACATTTTTTAGGGAAGGATACTTGCAAAAGCAAAGTGATAATTGTTGTGTTTCTACCTGGAGTAAAAGGTGTGTAGAATATTTTTACCTTGTTTTGTCCATTATTTAGACAATTCTGCAATAAACTGCAACATTTGTTGGTTGATAGCGTGATAGTAAAGAATGTACTGCAGTACAAATGTTTGTTGTTATTGCTTTATATGGCAAGCAGAATTTATTGCAGCGGACTAACTTGTTGTTACGTCAAATTCTAGGAAAATTTTCGGAAATACTGTTATGGTTATTGCAAAAATCGTCGCTTTTGTATAATAACGTACCGCGTTTTTTTATTCATTGACGTTTAAATTAGGAAAAAAATATAAATTTCTGATAGTGATAGGTATAAACTACGATAGGAAGTTCCCAATCTAATACTCAAATGAAACATGACATACAACAACTCAAATTTCAATTTCTCACAACTTTACAGATGGGCTGTGCTTAAAGATAAGTTTTTGATGTACCTTGATGAAACAAAGCAATATGTCGAGGGAGTGTTTCTGTTTGATGGAGTATCATCTGTAGTAGTCAAGAAAGGGGTTTTCTTGAAGCTCAAAAATTCTTCTCATACGTGAGTTATAAATATTCTGCTATGTCTATAGGTGATAAAGATTAGTCTTCGCCAACTGTTGAAGTGTTTATACTAATAAATTCATATACACATATATTCATATTTTGAGTATGTTCGAACCGGATTATTGGCGCAACTTTTTGTACACATCTGTGCAGTGAGTTTCATTTTTATCTATTTTATTTTTTATGAGAAGTTTCCGCGCTCTCACACTTGACCAGGCTTTATGCAATTTAGTATAACATGGTTGAGTTAGTTAGTGGAATAAACTATATATATGTTATTTTCCTTCTCAAATTATTTTCTAGAATATATTTAAAATGTATGACTTCAGAAGAGGCGATCAATTGGCATGATAGCATCGAAAGTAACATGGAAAATGTGATATCTGAATTCGGAGGTGCAATGGGAAATGTGCACGGAAGCTTTGCACCTGCAAGACCTTCAGTTGCACATTGGTATAGTTGTTAACATTTTCATTAATGGTAATTAAATGAGTTATTTGAATCCACTCGAGTTTTTCTATTCGGGTTTGGTTTTGAACCTACAGACCCGCATCTTTATCTTGTCACTTCTATTTCATGCTTTATTTTTCCGTGGTCGCGGAAAGATTTTGGTTAAGTATGCTAACGTTTCCATGATATTTTCTACCAGGTGGCTGATAATAAATATTTGAATAATTTCTTTGTAGGCTTGTTGATGGTTGTGATTTCTTCGCTGCTGTAGCAGATGCACTGGAAAGTGCAAAAAGTGAAATCTTTATTACCGGTTGGACGTTTTCTCCTGCTATATTCTTGAAGCGCAAGGGTGAATTAAAAGATGAATGGCTCCTGAAAACTATCATAGAAAAGAAAGCTGTTAGTTCGTACTATATTATAAAAAGGAAACTGGATTCCGTTTCCTCTAACTTCCCTATTTTCTTTCACCCCGGGTTCTGTGAAAGGATAACAATAGCGATAAATCTCGTGAAAAAATATGCAATAATAAGATATTAACTTGAGCTAATGCAATTTTACAAGGCATCTGGCGTCAAGATATACATATTGCTTTACAATGGTCCGGGAGTAGTTGTGGATCTCGGAGAACATTATGCAAAATATATTCTGGAAAGTCTCAATGAGGAAAATATTCGAGTATTAATTCACCGTGGGCTAGGGTTGGGTGAGTTGTACATGATTTCTCGATGAGTAGTCTTAAAATATAACAGAAACGTAAGAAATAAGCATACACAGTATATATATGTATCCTAGGTATACGGTCTCATAGGTTTTCGGGTAACACATCAGTCATCAGTCTATTTCCAGACTTATTTCAGAGTTTTGTATTCCCGCCAAAAGTACATTGGTGTAGAATACTCTCATTGCTGTAATATTATTGCAGTGAATTTGAGCCTTTGAATATTGAGAATCTAGTAACATGGCCCATCAATATTTTAAATTTATTTCTGTTCTTTTCAGAAAATAACCTATTTTGGTCTCATCACGAGAAACTGATAATTGTCGATCAGTCAATCGCATTTGTTTCTGGCATAGATCTGTCGTTCGGAAGATGGGATTACCACAAACATCCGATGACGGACCTTAAAACATCGGACGATAAGGAGGTTTTTACTTATGTCTCTGGTGTAGAATATTATTCAAAAATTTGTGAAGCAATTTTCAAAGCAAAATCTGTAAATATCAATAGAATGCATACGCCAATTGTACAAATCAATCACACGCCTTTTAAATAGACTATGTATAGAGTATTGTTGTCACATCATGCATCTGAAACGTTAAACTGTGCAAGTACCTATTCGCATACCCGTGACTGTCAATCGGACTAGTCGCAGACTACAATTTCTTTTGATTGAACCTTACCAGCCTCCTGTTTTTTTACTTTTCATTTTTTGGAAAAAATTCCATTCCATTTATGTACTATTAAATAAATTAATCCTGTTTAGAAATTGCATTCATAAATTGTTTAAATATTCCCCATAAATCTCAAAAAGTTTCGAAACATTGTATTGCAAAATATTCAACTTGACTTCAGTTTGATACAAAATTTTAGGAGTCGCATCATTGGTCAAAGTGCATATGTCATCCAACGTGGAAGGGAATGGATTACGCCAATGATTATGTAAAAGCAGCTACAGGATATGACAAGCCATTTGAAGGTATATTTTGCGGTCTGGCTTGGTAACGTTACATGTTGGGAAAAGTGAGAAGTGTTTGATTTTCAACTTTTTGTCGTTACTTCAAACTGCTTTAGGGAATGGTAAAATAGGGTATCAAGAGATGCTATATTCTCATAGGGTTATACAAGTTTGTGTAGAGCGTTTACATTGTTTCTCCCTCTTACTGCAAAATTAAATTTTAAACATGTGAATTGTTATGAAGAATGGACTATTACATAGACTATTCATAGGTAAGGATGCTAAGTATGACTACTTACAAGTATTCGATTCTTACCCGATTCCTGAATTTTCGATTCCGATTCTCGATTCCACGACATATTACCGAGAAAAAGTAACCACATAAACAATACCATATGAAATCAAACACGAGAGCGATGTTCAAATATCTGGACGGACAAGAAGGCCAAAACTGAGTAGTATGCGTATCCAATCTGTCACGAGCGATAAAATCGCACAAATAAACGAATTCCTCAGAACCCACAGAGATAAAGGAAATAAATAAACGTAAAAGTCTTCTAGCGAAAAATATATATGAAGTGAAGTTTTCGGCGTCGTAGCAACTCAACATAGCTGTTTATACATATATGTGAAGGAATTGCCACAAAACGTTACACATTGTTTACAATCCAAGTTTTAAGCTCGAGAATCGATTCCAATGCATCGGAATCGATTCTAGTCGATTCCGCGAAGAATCGATTCCGTAATCGAATCCGGACTCGATTCCGCCATCCCTATTCATAGGACGTATTAGGTATTGAAATAGGATATAATATGTGGGCAAAAATAACAAAACATAATTACAAATGCGCACTACTTAAGTTATTACAACTGAAATGTATGTTATGATATGACGCGAATCAATAGTTTTTATTAATTTTTTCAACAGTCAATCCATTCGAATTTGAAATTTGACTGCTATAAATGTATTTGGTGGTCTATGTTAACTTTAAATCGCGTCCTTTGTTTAAAATTTGACACTGTTGCGCAGTAGAGTGTTGTTGAAAGGATATGACGTTTGGTTACCAAAACAAGTTAAGCCATGAACTATCAATCAATAATAATTTGTATTTGCAGACCAACTTGACAGACGTATTAATCCTAGAATGCCCTGGCACGATGTTGGTGCCGTGACATATCATGAAAGTGCCAGAGACGTTGCTAAACATTTCATTCAAAGATGGAATTTTGCAAAGGCAAGTTGTGCGTCAATAATGCAATACAAATAAATTGAAGAAAATTGTCTGTGCGGCAGACGAGTGAGACACGTAAAGTGTTCCAAAGCAAATGTGTTTTCTAATATATATATATATTGAATGCAGTATTCAAGTGACATTGAAAAATGCCCGTTTCATTGGAGTTTTTTTTTGTCATGTATTTGCCCAAAAGAATTTCATATTCAAACTATAGCAGAAAACAATAAACAAAAAATAAGGCCACAAGCAGTCCAAAAATGTTTATACATAGCCATAAATTTAACGCGTGATTGTAATTTTAGGCAAAGCGCCACAGGAAACAGGCAAAATATGCATACCTCCTTCCAAAAGTTAACCCGACAGTGGAAGAAAAATACTCAGTAAAAGTTCATCCGGACGCAGTCAAAGCAGAAGTTCAGGTCGGTTTCAACATTATTAAATTCTCAAAATACTTTTGTTCGTATTTTTCTCGGTAAACAAGTCATCAATAACACAACGTTTATGATTTTCCAAAATTTTCTATTCATCAAAATTTAATTTTTTTGGTGCCTAACCTTATCAGAAATTGCCATAGCTAACAGAAACTATCATACAAGCAAGCAAGCAAGTATACATATCAAGCAAACACCACTAAATATAATCTATTTGCTACCCTGATCTTTGATATTGTAACAAATAGAAGGTTTAGAGAGCGTAACTCATTGTTTGATAACAATTTTTTGAAAGTTTGATGTTCAAACTATGTAAAAGTGCATGCGACAAAGCTATATTTGAAATTGAATAATTTTTTTTTTTACAAATTTTTCGTCTCTCTATAATTTTATTTCTTGTTAATGTTCTTTCTTCATGTTCTTTCTAAAAAAAAAATTTAAATTCGTATGCTTCTAGGTTTTGCGTTCTGCGGGAGCTTGGTCAGTTGGCTTGACAGAAACTGAATCCTCGATACATGAAGCTTACGTACGAGCCATCAAGACCGCAAAGCATTACGTGTACATAGAGGTATAAACACTGCTACAATTGAACCTCAATACAAGTCGGTTATGATGTTTGTGGCCGTCTCTGATAAGCTGATAAAAAGCTATTATTTCTTCTTATTTTGTCATGTTATTACTGCATGCCGCTTTTGAATTGTCTGTTAGAGATTTTTGTCTTGGTCTAAATTTCGCTGAAATTGTTAGAGCCGGGAGTTGGTGTCCTGAGGTTTGACACGAAATGAATGAGATTTTACAGCGCGAAAGTATTTAAAAGCAATGCTGGGTTACCTGGTTTCAAATTTCGAAATTATGTCAAGTGTCGGACTGTCGGTTTTCAGGTTTTGATGAGGAGAGTGGATTTCAACGTGTTTGGCGTGGTTGTTGTTTATTGATATTGAAAAAATGTTTTCATATTAACTAAGAAATGTCCCGTTCGGGTCACCGGTAGAGTGTGTATATGGCGTATAGCACTTGATCGTCCAGCGAGCAAAAAAAAAACTCATTTATTAAAATCAGCGAAATTCAGGGTGTAACAACGAGTACCAAAAAACTAAAAACGATCGTAGCAATACCCTATCAGTTAATAAAATGACAAAGCGCTAAAACATTTTTCGGCAATAACAAAAATCATTTTTCAAATAGAGATCCATATGCCCATTTCGTGGCTAAATATAAATTACACTTATATTTCTATTTTTTTGATAGAATCAGTTTTTCGTGAGTATCAAAGACGACGACCTCGTTTGGAACAAAATTATTGAAGCTTTGATTGAACGAATCACGGCTGCGAAAGGGACCAACTTCCGCGTTTATGTTGTACTTCCATTAATCCCAGCATTTGAGGGAGATTTCAGGTATTTCAAACAGAAAAATCTTCGTTTTTCCATAAATAAATATTGTGTTTTTTGTGGGCGCAGTGGTTTAGTAGTTGAAGCCTTGGCATCGCAGGTTCAAAGGTTATGATTTATGATTTAAATACTATTCCTACGATCTCACTCAGGGTGTAATAAACTTGGCTGGCAATGTGGAAGCGGAAAGATTGCGTTTCTTCCGTACTTTAGTAGCTCCTTACCTAGCAGTTGACAGAGGCCTTTTGGGGCAAACTGTACATTACTGTGTTAGGGCTGGGCATTTTTGAATACGTGGTGATTTCAGAATCGAATCGAATATTTTTCTCGAATCGAATCTCGAATACTTGGAAGTCAATGGAAGATATGTAATTGCAATGACTTTTTTCATTGCAATTGGTCCTGTCAACAAATGAATTACTGGAAACATAGAATACATCTCTTGGATGGCTCAGATTACTGAGCGTGCACACACAATGAAAAACACTTATTTATCAATAATTCACTACAGAAAATAGTCATATGTCAGAATTGCAATACAAAAACATGGCTTCAATAAAAATAAATTGGGAAATTCACCTCGACCATTGGTGGGAAGAAAAAAACAAGATGGCGGCGATTCAAAATTCTGCTCTGAACCGATTCGAATCATTTACTATTCGAATCGATTCGAGTAGTCGATTCGAAGTGCTCAGCCCTAGACTGTGTACATTACTTGAATGGCTGTATATCTATATCTGATTGGATGTATATACATATGATATTGGCTGTGTATGTACATCACTAAAATGGCTGTATTTGTATATTAATTGGCCGTAAATGCATATCACATTGGCTGTATATGGATATTTAGTTGGGGCTATATGTATATTTAGTCGGCGCTATATGTATATTTTTGGCTGTATATGTATATACGGTAACCAACCACTCTAAAACGTTGTTTAAAAACCTGTAGAATGGAACTTAAAGTAACCATTGTAGGAACTCGAGTTTTCAATGAAGAAAACAATAAGAGCGAGTTTACAAGTGATCTTTGTCACTCGGAACACCTTAACGAACGAGTCGAGTAATAATATAAATTACTTTTGCTCTGATGTTTGTTGTTGACTTTTACTCATCACAGTAAGGATGAAACAAGCGAAGATATACAATTGGTGACTTACTATCAATTCAGAAGTATTAGTCGAGGGGACGGATCGCTCGTGGGTGCATTGAAAAACAATGGCTGTAAGTATTGCAGATTCGTTATTGAATTGAACATTATGTTTTCTATTTTAATAATACAAAAGAGCAATTTGCAAATCCATGAACAGCAGGTAGGTCTAATCAAATGACTTCATGTCCCACTGCCTTCAGCCAATTTTTATCAATACTGGTACGACAAATTGACTAGTTTTTATTAAATTCATTTGCTTCTCCTCTATGGTTAGAGAAACATCGATATAAAATGAATCGTTATGGAGACAGCGATTCCTATAGTTTATGCTCATTTTTATATCAGAAGTATATTTCCAGTTATTTTGACAAATTTTAATGCTCAGTTTCCGATGAAGAAATCAAGCATCACATTTCTTTTTGTGGATTGAGACAACACGACGTACTCAACGGAAAAGCAATCTCAGAAGTATTGTACATTCATAGCAAATTAATGATCGTTGATGATAAGATTACAATTGTTGGTAAGTTGAAGTAATAATTATAGACGCGCATGCATTTATATTTCGAGTTTGAATATCTAAATTAAATGTGCCTTCCGAATCAAAAATAATACGATTTGAAAAAGTGCAGTAAATGAGATTGTCTCACTACCAGGTTTCATAGCAATTTTTTTGTAATTCCACTAAGAAAATTTTGTAGATACTTACAGACGAATTACACGTTGCAAAAACGCAGAATAAATACTTTTATATTCGTTTCCATCACTTCGAATAGCGACAAAACATGACCGATTGGAACAAAAATAACCAGCGCATTGATGAAGCTGTCACAAACGACGTACATGCGCTTCAATTCACGAGACTCAATAGGATGTGATGTGGCTTTATTTCGTACCTAAAGCATTACCTGCAATCAGGGCCTGATAAGACAGTTCATGTTAAAATTCTCTGAGCGCAATTATAACATACATACGAGAAAATATCCCCAAAATTCTCCCAATTAGGCATGATAATAAATTCTATATATGAGCAATATATGCCCTATTGGGCGCTACAGTTTCTTGTTTAATCAATTAACTTAGGCTAAAGTTAATTGCAGTGATTTTCAGGATTAATCATTTTTTTATACACTTAGGTTCCGCAAATCTTAATGACAGAAGTATGATTGGCACAAGAGATTCTGAAGTCGCTTTGTGGATGAGAGACACGGAATTGATACCTTCAATGATGGATGGAAAGTATGAAATAATAAAATGAAATTTCATTTAAATGTTAACTAAGCTTAAGATTCTAAATTATATTAGGATAATTCCCGAGAACTTGAAACTTTTTTTTTATCCCGAATACATGAATTTTGTAATTTCTGTGTGACGAATTTTATCAAAAATCACCATTTCAGTACAGAAACTGAAATAAAAAACTGATTCTTAAAACTTAAATTTTTGGTTAGTACGAATGTTTGCTAATCATTGATTTGATATTCAGACACTACCTGGCTGGAAAATTTTCTTCCAACTTCAGAAAGAGACTGTTTGCAGAATTTCTTGGATTACTGCCACAGGATTATGACGACGAAGTGTCGGATTTCAGTGTTGAAAGGAGCCTCAGCGATATAACAAGTGATGAGTTTTTCAACAATATCTGGGAGAAAACGGCAAGAAACAATAACCAAATTTATGAAGAGGTCTGATTCTAGTTACTTTAGCTATTATCTCTTTATTTTCTTTTATTATTATTGTTTTTATCGTCTCATACCACACTGCGTAATCGTTCAAATCAATTTTATTTTATTATCTTTACTTATCAGTCTAAAAACACAATTCTCGCAGGTATTCAAGCCGGTTCCAACTGATGCCGTTGCAAGATTTTCCCAGGTAGATGAATATCGTAAGGACATTATAACAAATGAAGAAGATAAACGCGAAATGCTTGAACAGGTATAAACACTGCTCGTATTCAGTTAAATTCCGTATCACTTAATTGTAAAATACGAATAATGGTATTACAATCATACTAATTTATATGCTGTTGGAACGAGAGTGAGATTTTTATGAGGGCGAGCGGCCCTGAACCTTCATCAAAATGAAATTCGACTTCCCAAAGCACGTCCTTAGCAATTTGGCCAACAACTATATTGTTGTCACTATACTAATCTACTATACTCCCAAGTGTTAACAGCACACACCCCAAAAAATAGAATCCATCTTCCCAATTCGTTGTTCTAATATGGGGACTCACGGAACTGCACAAGTATTTTGATTCAGAAATTTAGTATATTATGATATTTTATATAATTCCTACAATGCTTTTTAAGGTACAAGGCTATCTTGTAAAATTCTCTACGGAATACTTAAAAGAAGAAGATTTGTATCCAGATGCCGATTCATTTCTTCGGTTAATTCCAGCAGAAATGTTCACTTGAGAAAACTTGAGAAATAATTTTTAAAACTAGGATCTAAGCAATTTACTCCAATATTAATTGATTTGCAAATTGAGGTTTGAATTGCAGCTGCATAATTTGTAGGTTTGCCAAAATACAACTTAACTGTACTACTGAACGATAGTCAGCATACAATAAAAATGTATTAGTTGGATTTACTTTTTCTTGCATGTATATTTATCTATGATTATAATGGAATGTGTTGCCAGCATAGAGGCGACCAACTTTTACTGATACTGAAGTTTGCTTTCCAGTACCAATAACATATTATACTTTTCATTTGTGTCGCTTACCTGAGACTGCAGCAATACAATGTAACTAACATAAACTACTACTTAAATACTTTCAACCTGGATTGTTTTTCAGTGTGTGTCAGAATATTCTAATAGTGTGGTCAAGTAATAGATAGTAATCGATTCAATTCCGATAATACTCCTGCAATATTATGTATTATGTTAATGTAATATTTCTACCGCTAATCTATTTACTGGGCAAATCACCATCGTATCAAAACAAACTTACTTGAAAATATATACACACAAGAGTAAGAGATAAATTTTATTTTCGAAGTATTATAAGAAAATGGTCAAATAAGTGCAGACTTTTTCTATCATTTACCTACAAAATAATATTTGCAAAATGGCTTCCACAGAAAATCATAGTATATATGTATAAATAGAAAATATCAGTCCAGGGACGGATTCCGATTAACAATAGTCCAAAGAGTGGGAAATACTTTCAATAACGATATAGGTATATTTGATTTTTGGTGGTGAAATCAATCAATATTCTGTAAAATACGTCCAAAGTAATCAATTTGATCTAGAGGTCTATACAAATTCATCTTCGAACGGATCATCTACGCATGTATCTTTCACTTCTTGAAGTTCATAATTCTCATGAAGTTCATCGACTAATGTTCCCCCCGATAAAACAAAAACTTCAAGACTTTCTGGATCTGGGCATAAAGCCTCGTTGAACGAGATCACAATTCCTGAAAGTTAATGAATTTTTGATTACGTAAAAAATTATCTTGGGTGGCCTGAACCGAGACTTGATTGGTCAGTAAAAGCGTAGAAATAACGAGAGTAAGAAAACATTTTCTAAAGCTTTAATCTAAACAGACAAATACAAATTGAAATAAAGTGAATCTTAAACACTTCAAAGCGCGCTTCACTAGTAAAATTGAATTCTCTTTTTAATCATTTGAAGTGTGTCGACCTTTTCTATCGAATTCAATGGAAATCGCAAACCACTAGCATACCACACACCGACAAGTGAGAGATTATTGCAGAATGTGATAGCCTGAAACTCACTCGGAACTAGATTTATACTTCTAAGTTAAGGCAGTAAGTCAGTGGGTGACGAGAGAATGGAAGAAATTTAAGTCAATACTTTCAGTGAAACATATAGAAAGAGGGTAAATTTTGGAAATATTTAAATCTCAAAAATCAAAGTTAAAACATTTAATACATTGAACTCATTTTGAGATATTTTTAAAATATTTTCTTTTCAGAATCAACAGAAATTGGGATTAACTAAATATCATTTTCCTGCATTGTTGGCAAAAAATAAGCTTGCTTAATCTGTCAGATGAGTAATACATCTTTAATTCGTTCACGTCATTAATAAAAATGAGATTAAATGCTTGCGGCATAAAGTAACCTTCATATTAAACTATTAATAGATATGGAATAACAAAACGTACCAATGTCGTTAGTCCACCAGATTCTTTGAGGTTGAACAAAGTAGTAAGTATCGTCCCCAGAATCAACGGTAGCGTTATATACTCTGTCTATATTCCAACAGTCCTAAAGAAATAAGATGAAAAGATAAAATAAAGCATTTTACTTCAACAAGTCAATACTATTATTTGCAATGTTGTCAAAGCATTTTGATTTGGTATTAATTCTATTCCAAACATCTTCATCAAGTGAGAAAATGTTGTACCTGCATAGTCAACGCAGAGCAGTTTGCTCCCAGGGCGATTTGAATCGCCATTCTTGAAGGATCGGGTTTTGGTTCTCTGGTATCTCCTTCTTCGGCAGCCTGAAATATTGAAAATTTAGTGATCTTATATGTTAAAGTTTTATGCGAATATGACAGTAACTGATGGACTATAATTTGGATTTGGTTTTGATTGAAAATTCCCCACACATATAGTCCAGACAATACCTAAAGATGTAATACTAAAATGTATGCTAATTTTGCATAAAACATTTTATAAAATCGACTAGGGTTATCCAGGTGTAATGCACATGAATGACACACAAACAAAACATGTCTAAAATGGAATGTGTTATTGAAAATAAAACGTTGATTGTGGTGGAAATAAAGAGCATACGACAACTATATCATATTTATCATTTCAATATTTCATACCTGATTTGGGTTTCGAAAGATTTCATCCAGTTTAAGAGTGAGGATTCCAGCACCGCCCCAGTCACTTATGTCATATGGAATATCTGTAAAAAATAATAAAAATCGTGAGGGAAACTGATTCAAATACATAGAAAATCGTATTTTCGGAAATATAAATTGTGAATAAACTTTGAATTTATAGGAAGTTCAATAAACGTATCATCTTCCCGCATCTGGACCACACGCGCCAATGTAACAAGCTCAAATGTAAACTTACTAAAAGCCATAAAATTTGCATAATTCCCTTCCCCCTGGGTGTGAAACAGAATTTAAAAAAACTAAAACAGCCTGATGTGCGGTTTGTGCTTAAATACTAATGTATGAATTTAAGTAAATTGCAAATTGTATTCAAATAGAGAACTGTATAAAAGTGGGAATGCAGGTTGATAATCTCGAGTTTAATGTCCACAATCATTAGCACTTCATCTAGCAGTGGATGCTTTATACTTTACAGAACCACGTGCGGAGTGAAAAAATGGAAAAAAAGCATCATAAAATGGTTATTTAATGGTTAAAGAGTGTAATCAATTCTTACCAAATTCAAAGGTTGCTTCTTTCGGTACTGCGTCACTTCCATAAGTTACTTCAATGGCTTTTGGATCGAAGTCACAACTGAATAGATTTGAATCAAGTATTTAAATAATTTTATCATTTCGAGTTCTAGTTGAATAGGAAGCACTTACTCAGATTCAAAAGTAGTTTCATTGTACACTGTGTAGAAGTTAAATCCGACTTCATTCTTATTCTGCATCCAAATTTCATCTTGAAGAAGATTGAATATACCTGGTCCAAGGTCAGTGGTGTTGTCAAGTCTCGCTTCCCACACCTGAAAAGTTAAATCAAAGTACTCTGATCCGCATTTCAATATAGATCAAAAGTACACGATAGTTCGTGGATAAACATACATAACTAGGTATATATACTGGTCAAAGATTTTTTTCATCCATGTATTATGTCAATAGTCATCTATCGTTTATGATAATGCATACTGTAATTAACTGTTGACGCGAGAATGCATTAATATTTCTAGAACAAAAGATTTCTCATGTAAGAAAAGGATTTCATTCCTTCGAAATTATTATGATGGACATCACGAGTTCTGTGAAAATATTATTTATTATGATCCAAATTGATACGATGATGTAATGACGCTGGGTTGTTTGAATATATAGCAAGATCCGTTCATAATTTGCATTTATTCAGTTAAATTCGTGAATTTATGCAATTGGTTATTCTTATCATTGTAGCCTACTCATCCCTATCCCTTCCGATATGAGAGCGAATCTGTTCAAATACACGAAAGCTATATTTGAAATGCTAGACGAATTGGTTCCCAACCCTTTATGGGCCGTGGTCCTCTTCCGGACGCTTTCAGCACTCACGTCTCCCGTTTGCAGGCTTGTCCATGGGACTTATTTTTATGGGACATTCCCTTTCCATAGCAATTATGCCTGTCCCATCTCATGGGATTCCCATTGGAATTCAATTCAATAAAAATTGTTAAATTTTGGTTTAGCGTCTACTAAATAGGACTACATGTACGTATAGACATGCAAAACAACAGAATTTACGGACTTCGTTAACTTTATATTCATAACTATTATACATGAGCCCATCAGCTCCTTAACGAAGTATATTGTTATTGCTGAATATATTTTGCTCTTTATAACTGACAAGAGAGCTTTGCTCAAACGAAGTTCATAACGGATTGTTTTACGATCATTTCCCCGAATCTCATACGGTTTTCGTGTCCCACGGGAAATACAAATGTGTGCTGTCCCATCCCATGGGACGTTTCCCATCCCCATGGACAAGTCTGCCCCCTATGCACGGGCCCCGGGTTGGGAACCGCTGTGCTAGAGTATTATAAAAGTATGAAATAGCAGCATCCTAAAATAATTTCACCTCAAGTTTTTCAAGTTCACATGGAAATTCTACGAGTATGGAGTACGGTCCATCTGGGTGATCTAAAGGTCTTGAAAATAAAACATGGTGTGTTTATAAAGAACAATTTTATTTTTAATTTCATCATGTAACAGTACGTTCCGAAGAGAGATTTTGGGTCTAGTGTAGGCAAAATACTACACTTGCTTGCATAAGAGAAAATCCAGGTGTCAGAACAACTTCAATGGGAGCAAAGTGTGATAAATATTATAATTATCATTTTTATTACAATGCTTTACGTTATAATGAATGGTTCTTAATCTCAAAACATAATCCTCCAAAACCTTCATAAAGGTACATTTTGATCTTCTAATTGATTTAACCAGGTCTCAGTATAATGATATATTTCATACGTATGTCACGGTACATATAAAATTACTTAATGTGGGTCTAAATTTGAAAATTCGATTTTATGTCATTGAAAACATGTTTAAAACTCACTTGAAAATAGTTCCTGAGCCACCAATAACAACTCCATTGTGATCTTCCCATAAATTGTATAAAACAAGTCCTTGTCCATCAGTCCTTGCCCTGAAAATAAACGATATTAACGAAACTTGATGAAACTGATATATAATTAACCCGTCACATATGTCACGGGTGATATAGCTTCATGTATATACAGTATGAGTATGTTCAACGAACCAACGGTTTTATTGCTATGAATCCAACTTCCATGGAATCCGATTTGAAAGTGAAACATAACGTGAGATTGGATGCAGCTTCATGCAAAAATATTCACAAAATTACGGCCTCGTCTTATTTTATATTTGAATAGATTGGCTACTAACCTGATTGTTGACGTTGGACCCAAGTCAGTACCTTGCAATCCACGAATTGATATTTTGTAATAAGTCATGGGTCTTAAACCAGTTAGCCTTGCACTGGCATCACCGGTCATACGAACGCTTGGAATTGATGGAATATCAGCTGTAAACATAATTGAAAACCTTGAAATTCAAACAAATGCTGAACCTTCGTGAAAATAACATATCATCGTTGTCAAGACGATAACAATCACAATGTGTAACTACTGGTTTGAATGAAATCAGAATTTTCAACCAAAACTTTGACCACATTTTTGTACCATGAATTTTGAAAACAATGAAGAAGAGAGAAATGCATTACACAATTAGACACGATTATATCAACAAAGTACACTAGCTAATATCATTCTATAATTTGCTATAGAAAGATGTAGACATTGTCACTCTAGATGTAACAAGGCAGGTATTTAGCGGCGAACGACTCTCGATTCTTTCCAAATATTACCTGTATCTGATGTATTGACCAATTGGATTGGAGGCATTGATGTGTCTTCAATTGGATCAATAATGTAACTTTCAACTCCGTTCATGGGGTCCCATTCCAATGTCATCAGAGATGCAGAGACAGTCACAACCTTGAAGTTTGTAATTTCACCGACGCCTGACAAGATCAAAAACAACGTTTATCAAAAAATAAAAGAGATACTTTTTTGTACTTTCGCAACCAGAATCAAAATTTTCACGCATTTTCAAGTGAAGCTCATACCTGTGGTGAACACATAAAAAGATGGTTCTCCTTCATTTCCATCTTCATCGATTGCAGAAACAAATACAGTGTATTCTGTTAGCGCCTCGAGATTTCCAAAATATAACTGAGGGTCGGGACTTTCGACGGATGACGACTCTTCTGCTCCTAATACTCCCTGAATTAGTAGGAAAAGATTCGGGGAAAACACAAATATATTTGCGAAATACATAAAAACACCATAAAAATTGCATACTGCTGAAATAGTTCAGCCGTAATCACATATTTGCTTGTATTAGTATTACTTTTTTATTCCACAAACAATGTCACAAATCATCATTGTGCATAGATGGTTACAACTTCGCCACCATTGTGACATTTTATTTCACATTTAAGAGCAAATAAAAGATCCGTGTGCAATTTTTTCTCTGCTAATTTTACATTAGTACTTACCAGATATCCAATGGCTCCTTCTACTGGTTCAAATCGGATAAGAGCACCGTCATATTCTGAAAAAGCTACAAGCTTTTCTGGTGGAGGTAGCTGAGCTGTTGCGAGACCAGCGATGTAAAGAAAAGCTACAACTACTCCTAACCTATACATTATTGCAGTAAAGGTAAAAATAACTGAGAACAGATATAAAAGTTGAGTAATTCTATATTTAGGTAAAATATAGAAATGTAAGAAATGTAAGTTTCCGTCTCACAGTCCTTTTACTTCCATACCAATTAGATAATAGTTTCTGAGCAATTTCTTTTGCCGTTCGCAAATTTTCATAAAACAGAATACAATTAAAAATCACTACCATATATTTAACCCATTTTGATTACTCATATTATTACAATATTACGTTATAATTTAAGAGCTGATACATTTACATTCATATTAACGTTTTTCATAAATATTCAAATAGATTTCTACATTCATATTAAACAAATTATAAATCATTAGAACTAAGATTCCGATTTGCTGATTTATACTTTATCAAAAGTAATTAAATTTTGCGCAGCAATTACTATAATTTAAAAAGTAATCCATGCAAGTTTGTCCCTTTCACAGTACATAACTGTTTTGCACATTTCTCAAAAGCCATGCTTTCAGCAGCTTACATGACCTCGGCAATACACGGGAAAAACTAATGATATTTGACGAAATTCTATGCATATTCTCGGTAAAAGTGGTATGATGACGAAACGTGGGAAATAGCCTCGCGGCGGAATTAACTCTCCACTTGTAGAACAGGTATAATATGTCACTTGCTCATGTTTTCGCCCTGATGCGGAAGCGTGATATATGATTCGAATATATCGCCTCGAGGCCGAGATGTTTCAACATAATTATTCCAAACTCAATAAGACACGTATAGTATTCTTGTAACTAACACGAACTGATTTCAGTGGAATAGTTAGAGAAAACAACGTCGTTCACAATTTATCAATTTGAATCAGCAAATGAAATAACTTTGACACTATCCATCATCAAAGAGGCTATATCGAATTGACTCAATATTCCATGTATTTTGCTGCAAATTATAACCATGAACGTCAGGCTATAATCCCTTTTTAAGTTCGTCTATACTCTATAGCGAAATACTATTCTTGATAGGGCAATCAGTTAATCTTTATTCAATAATAGACTGTATCGATACCGTTATTAGTATATTTGAAGAGAAGTTGCAGAACTGGATTTCTTCATGTAAGTTGTATTCCTAAAACTGTGATAGGTTATACAGTGTGTGCTAGTTGTATAAAGTAATTCAATATTATAACAATAACGTCACTTTCTTATCACTAACATCGATAACATTTTTTAATGAAGCGTGTTTTGGAAAACGGTTAGGTTTCACATTGATAAGACTGTTCTAAACAAACAAATAATGACCTGGCAAAGATTGGAAGCAAAAAACACCATAAATACTTGAAGAAGTGTCGCTTGCTACCTTTACTGAAACAGCAACTGATATCTGCACTGAATCATTCTAGCAATGTAACTCACATTTATAATTTTCACCTCGCCCGAAGGGACACTTTTAAACGTTGATGGAAAATCCGATTATTGGTCTTATACTAGGAAGTCACGTGCTCAAGAGAAATAAATGTAAATATTACCGAGTCAAGTGGCAATAAACTACTGGAGACCGCTAATTTGCAGGTTGTTAATCGTGGGCAGATGAGAAGTGAAACACGTTAGGCAACATATACAAGATTCGCGTCGGAATTTATTAAGAAAAGTGCTCCAAGTACGCCAATAAAATTGTCTGAGTGCTATTGATGGGAGCTGTTTCAGCGAAATGGACATGCTTTTCACTGATGATAAGCCTGTAACTGATACACTTATTATGATAGCCAAAGAAATACGTATATTTAGGCGTATACCCAAACTGGATATAAACCAAGCAATAAATGTTATTTCTGAGGCAACAGGAAATATCTTTTTAATTTGCAGGACTACAAGAAAGACGGACTAGGCACAATTTATACAAAACAAGCTAAATTTGATAAGACCTGAATCTAAGATCTATGAAATGAAGTGAAGAAATGAAGAATTCGTAATAAACTGCAAAAGAATGGAACTATATGGAGGAAAAAGCAGCTATGTGGAAAGGAAATTTCACCCCTGATAAAATAGCAAGCATGTCTTAACAAGTTACAATTGAAAATTAGGAAAAAGAATAAGCCGCCTAGTGTTTGGGACTCTGCAGAAATGTACTGGATGATCGGGGTTGCAGCCTGGATAGCATTTTCAGCATAGTAGACCAGGGGTGTTGAACTCGCGCCCCTCGAACGCTCAACAACGAGGCATTTAATAAACCGAAATCTAAGATTATGCTGTAGAATGTAGATTCATAATCGCATTTACCTCCCTATATGTATTTCGGCAAAGACTGCTTATGTAAAATATGCATGGTGGAACAAACATCTGAAAATTTCGATATTGATCATTGAAGACCGTGTTATTGGCTTCCGTGGCCATGAAATACGTGAAAATATCTGCACGCTGTTTAAATCAAAACAACCCGATGTACGTTTCGACACATCTCCAATGATATTATTTCGGCAAAGGCTGCTTATGTAAAATATGCATGGTGGAACAAACATCTAAAAATTTTGATATTGATCATTGAACACCGTGTTATTGGCTTCCGGGGCCATGAAATACGTGAAAATATCTGCACGCTGTTTAAATCAAAACAACACGATGTACGTTTCGACACGTCTCCAATGATATTAAAACATTTTGCATAACGCCATTGTGTTTCTGCCAAGATTGTTGATCTTATTTAAGCTCTATCTAATCTACAAATGAGTATCAAGTATGCTCAGAATCTTCTTATTATAACATTTAAACATATATAAGGCATAGGTTATGCGCTCTTTTAATTTTTTTCCGAAATCAACATTTCTGGTGGCACATAAATAAATACAAACATTAAAAAAGTTATACATATTCGTCATAATACTGATAAGTAAATGTAAAAACAGAGTTATAAAATGTTGGTATATTGAGCATTCTTAATACCGCTAGAACTGATTGCAAGATAAAAATATATTGAATACACTGATACACTTGATGTGTAAATTAAAAAATTGTTTTTTTCTCTCATTTTTATGGTTGGTTAGTATTGACGCCAATTAAAATTAGCGGTCTCCAGTAGTTCATTGCCCCTTGACTCGGTAATATTTATATTAATTTTTCTACGACACGTGACTCTCTAGTTCTAGTATACGACCAATAATTCGATTTTCCATCAACGTGTTCGTTCGGGCAAGGTGCAATTATTTTAACTCGCAGTTTCGCGAGCAAGGAAAAACGAGAATATCGGTCGGAGACCGAAGTCTTATCGATCGAAACTGCGGTTTCGATTCATGTCTCTATAGTGACATCACGTGTCCCATCACTAATTAATTAATAACTCGCTAATTATACGACATAATTTATCCAAAATTAATAGGCTTCTGGTCCGAAATATGATATGTATTGTATATGTACCGATCTAAAGATCGACAAGCAACGATCTAAAGATCGATAAGTAAAAATACCTATCAACATACTTATCGATCTAAAGATCGATAAGTAATGAGCCGACAGGCCCGCGGTGGCACAAAATTTAATACTCGTATAGAGAGATAATTGTGAAATAAGAAAAAGTGGCGGAATTCAACATAAGGATGTCGATGGGCTAAAGCTAGATGACACTGACGAAAAATGTCAGATATAAAATTAGCCCTATCAAAAAGTGTGTGCGTTGTTAACGTTGATTTTACTGTAGGATTTAAATATTTCGCTGGGCATCTAGTTACTCGTCTTTTATTGTGTACTTTCCCAGATACACAGCAATACATATGTATAAATAATGTAGTGTTTGATAAATCTCTATACCCTCTGAAGAAAGAGAACCACAAATTTGAATCATATCACAAATGCCATTTATCGGATTTTAGGATGTATTTGGAATTCCAGATTCGAAAACATATATTTAGAATATTTTCGAAATAGTCAAGTATTCGGTTATGGCCATCCCCGGTTACACTCTCTCTCAAAAAGTTCAGTTCAGTCGAAAAGTGTCAGTGATCCACACACTACAATGAATGAAGCATTGCTGTTCTACAGTCGAATCGTGGCGTATTTTATCTTCAATTGAATGTAAACAGTTTCTTTTCTTCATGCTGCCGGAACATGATATGATACGCACTCTTCTTCGAGTAAAAAAGATCTATTCAGTCAAATGCGATAATGCATTTTACATATCGTCACGCTAATAACCGAATTGCGTAAGTCATTTTAGGCAGTTTTGAGAAAAACGTAAAAAACTTCCTAATGATATTGTTATGCCATTGAGAGTCAATAATTTGCCATAGTTCAATTTTTTGATCGTAGCCGGATTCAAGTTAATTTGTATGACGCAGTTAAGTGACGTCATAATGGCGCACTGTGACTTAGGCAGAAGTGTATCTATGACTTGGGGACATACGCAATTTTATATTTATAAACATTTTATAACTCTGTTTTTACAGAGGACAAACGCAATAAGATCAACATGAATATTTATTTTAGTTACAGCAGTTTGTCAATAAATTCTTGTTGCAGCAAATTGTTACTCAATTTATTACAACTTAGTTTGGTGTCTGATGACTGGGGATTCGGGTTGATTGTTTCATGACTCGGGGATACTTACCGGGAAAAAGATTAAGAACCCCTGCACTAGAACAGGGATGGCGAACCACTGACCCGCGTTTTATTCGTGACCTGACCCGCCAAGGTACGATTAAAATAAAATAATGCTAATATATCAAGAATAAAAATTGATAAAACCGGCCTTAAATTAATCTAACAATAACTGAACTATTATAATGTACCGTCAGTTGCTCAGTCAGGGCTGCGATCGTTCATATTCAAATTGTTAATTTCGGGCCGGTAATTTTCAAAACCCCTAATCTTGGACACATGTCTGCACTGCTGGGCGTGTACCGTTATTCAGCTATCGGCTCCGACATTATTTATGGCATAACAATGAAATTGATCTGTTCATTTCTCGCTACGTCTCGTCTCTTTTGGAAGTGCATCTGCAGACTGTTTTAGGGGTTATACGAAATGCTACTTTGCATTTGATTAGTTTCTCGCCTACAGTGCCGTTGAGAAAACAAAATCTTTCAGACTTGAAATAAAAACCTAGAAATCTGAAATAACAATGGGGCAGTGTAAAAGTGCCTTAATGCGATTTGAAGCTGATCGGAAAATATAACACTATCAGAGTGGAAGGTTCCATTACATTTGAACCCACGGACATTTGAACCCGTAATTTGAACCCACGACAATTGCACCTGCATACTATTGCACCTATGGAAACGTTTTTTACGGATATTTGAACTCATACTAACCCTAACCCATGGGTTTCAGCACCCACATATAGAATGAACCCGCGGACATACCGGTTAAAATGTATGCGTTCAAATGTCCGTGGGATCAAATGTACGGTCACCCAGTGGAATTCCCTTCAAACTCTTTGGAACGGTGAAATAATTTGCGGCATCATCCTGAACGTTTTTGATAATTCATATGCGTGTTTTCGTACTCTAATTCCATAAAATCGAGTGCCATAGAAAGTCTGTGATAGACGTGCTTCATAAGTAAAGCCCAAAACTACACCAACACCAACAGAAGCTTAGAAGATTTGTTTCAGAAGTTTCTTATATAGATACTAACATTGATTAAATATCTGTGACCCACGCTCTTCTGTTCCGCAATAAAAATATAATTTTTGAACCCATTCATTGAAAAAGGTTCGCCATCCCTGCACTAAAAAAATTCAGTTATCATAAAAAAATTCAGTTATCTCTGTTCCTTCCCATCCGCATAGTATTAATACAGAATGCCAATAAAATTTTCTTTGAAAGCTGAGCTTTATTGCTTTTTTTCGGAAATGAGCAAATTTTTTGTATCACAATTCTGCTCCCTTAAACTGCCGTATGTTAATAAATTTTGTTTAGAAAATTATCAAACATTCATTTACAAAATACTCCACAAAGAGGTTAAACGATCGATTCCAAATATACATAATTAATAAAAACCTGATTAACAAATAGATATAATTTTAGTTTTGAAAAATTCAAACAGGCCAAAATCTGCAGAAAAATAAATAAATATTGATATATATTTTAGTATTGAAAATCGAGACGTGGATTTTGAGGCCCGAAGCTTCAGCTTGTCAAGCTTTTTGCTAAATCTAGAATGTACAACACCACCGTCCAGCTGCGCAGCACAGTCTTTGAATATCAGTGTCAAAGTTTTGGCGATCTAAAATTAGAAAATATATATTTAGGAGAAAAGAGGCACCTATATCTGAAAATAGTATATATATGTATATCTTGTGGAAATAAATATTCATTTTTATTATCCTACGCTTAACACATCAGAACGAGTGTGCCGCAGAATAAGATTGATGAAAGTTTTACCAAAAATAAATATATATATGTCTTTGAAAGTAGGTATCTATTTTTTAGAAACACCCAATTAATTTGCATGAGATTCTCTCAATATTTTCTCAACTGACAAACTGGTGATAAATCGTGTGAGTTCGAAAGATCAATGAATTATGCCACTCTCCCACATATCTCGCAGAGTTTTAAAGAAAAATCGCAATCTAACTTTACCTGTCATTCTTTCCGCTAAACTCAAACCATTCGCCAACCTGGATAATATATAAAAAACGTTTATTATGCGATATTAAACTAAATGATATGTAGGTGCTGCTAAAGACAAAAATTGAGTATGGAAGAATGTGACTTGACATGTGTTAGAACGCTTGATTTGTGCATTTCGAGAGAAAAGAAAAATCAACGCAACAATGACGAGATATCCCCCAAAACGAACACGGGAAAAATAGGATTACGAAGCACGAAGCAAAATTAAATAATATATAATAAAGAAAAATAGAGGCTTTGCGCCCTGATATTTTTCATTGTAAAATTTACACAATTTGCTAAATTTTATTTTATCATTCTCCATGGTGCTGTGTTTGTTGATAGTATCAGCAAAGTAAAACGCCTTTATTTAATTCGTTAACGTTTGTTTAATTCACAACAAACGTTTATTGAGGGGATTACCAAATATATACGATGCAAAAATTTAAATTTGCTATGAAGCCCTCTCTTTAGATTGAAATCTGAATATTTCAAAATTGAGAGTTGTAGACATGCTGCATTTAGTATTTGAAATAACATCTACCAAGTCACGGTTGTAATTTTATCTTTATTTTAAAAATATGCCATGCTCTTTGCATAGTTATCTAGCCGAGCTTTGATCAAGCTATACATAAAAACAAAACACTACTCACCCGATAATGTAAACAAGAAGAAGCAGGAATAAAAACAAAACCTTGTTTTGCATCTTGTTTGATTGACAAGTTGAAAGATCTTGTGTCGTTTTTTAATAAACTTATCTTGGTCTAATGAAAACAAAGTATGCCTGACAATGATTATTATTCCGTACTGTCATAAAATTGCATCCAAACAAGAAAGAGCAATTCGCAATCTCGTAGCTTAGAAAACGAGATCTCGATGCACTAATTAGAAATTCAGCAATAATATTTGATAAGAATGCCAATTACTTTTTTTTTTATTATAAATAAGTAAAAATTTGAATTTTGCCCTGATTGAGATCACCTAAACATCACAGTACAGAAGTTACACTCTTAGGCTCACCAGATTAGCTGTTTCGCGCTTAGTGCCACGAGTCTACCAACAACGCTAAGCAAATATTGATTGTTTTTCGATTCGCGTTGTTTATCTCAAATTTAATGTAAACAGTCTTTTCTACGAGCAGCAGAAACAGGATATGCATTCATATCGAGTAAAAACATTCTATTCAATACAGTGTAGTCGTGAATAACAAACATGATTGAAATATGGAATAAGTATTTGCCCAAAAAATCTTTTCAAAAAATATCGAATAAATTTAATATGTCATATATATCTGAAATTCAGTTACGAATTTTTTTAGTGTTATTATTATTTCGACAAATATATATGTAGATGTAGCAAATAAAATAGTATTTGCTGATTCTGTAGTTTTCAGCTGATACTGAATACTCATAGTACTTCCGAATACATGTCTTGCAATTGTATATATTTATAACTACAAAGGACAGTTCCAAATCATGACTAAATAACCACACAAAATCCAAGTTTCAATGCCCGTACTGCAGGTCGATAATTCTAGATGCCCATTGTTCTTGGTCTCTCTCCAAACGAATGGTCGTTAAGCATGTTTTGGTATCCCGAGGGCAGGACGCTGTAATGTAATTGCGGCCTACGGGACGTCTAATTGATGTGTTCTTATCACTATGGGCTTGTTTCCAATTTTAAGATGCGCGGAAGATTAGAATGATTTTAAGTTGAAACACTTACAACTATTAACCAAAAGCAGCTAAATTACCCAATATCGACCTATAGCAGGGTGTCCAAGGTTGTCGGCCTCGCGGGTCAGATTATAATTTTTATATTGTTCGCAGGCCACAATAGTACCAAGAATAGGTAAACAGTGCAATACAAAACAAACACTTTTATTGTCCAAACACATTGGTCATTATTTGTCATATCCATTCAAAAATCTGTTTAAATTGGTCAGCTTTCTCTTCAAACTCACGTTCACAAAATAACTCACAAATAAGCATATATTCCCGACCGAAAATATTGAAACCAGTTCACAATTTAGACTTGCCAAGCACATCATTCAACTTCGCTAGTTGCCTCAGCTAACCATAACTAAGTTACGTCTACTTTACCATACGTCCCATTTTCAACGTCTTGTCCCGACCGAATGTCCCGCTTTGGCGTTGTGCCAGCATAATACAAGAATATTACCAATTAGCATGTTCTCGTTACTGTTGTTGCTTTGACAGCCGAGATGGTTTTAAATGTAGGCCCATAATGTGGAATCGGTAAATTTAAAGTTGATAAAATCACAGCTATGATCTTCGGAGGCGTCCCGCTTTGAGGTCACAAAAATATTGTAACCCTAGCCATTACACTAGTCAATTCAGTGAAATTAGTGATGTAACAATATGTCAGAAGATTTTTCTGGTTATTTTTTATGACGAAACAACACCAAATGCGATTTTTCGTTTACCCTCACGCAAATGGATGGAAACGTGTATGGATTGTCTTATTTTATGGATCGTGGTGTATTTGTTGGTGAAAAAAAGCCTTTGATCGTATTTTATGTCATTAAAAAACAAATCGAACGTAGTGTTTTGACTGATAACAACATATAGCGGATCGCAAACACGTGTGCAGAACAGGCAATGGTGACAAACCGGTGATGCGAGTGAGTTATCCGGGTTCGATGCGAAAAAAATCGATATCTACCCTGGAAGTCCTAAGAGCAGCGATACGGTTTCGCAAATAAGTATGTGCGTCAAATTAGTCACACCCTTCGAAGGATCCGTGTGCTGCAAAGTGATACAATAGGTTGGACAGTCTGATGACAAAAGCGAAGGGCTTTATTACGCGGCAGAAAGGCACGGAATGAACGCAAAAAATACAGAGCAACGATTCAACGAATAGCCCTTTATCGCAATCCGGCAAAAAAAGAGAGAATGACATGTGAAATGGGGGTCACGTGAACAAAAGTACTAGCCAAGAATAGTGAACGCTACACCGTTGAGGCCGACTATGGGTACTCCTGTGAAAGATCCTACAAAAATCCAAAGCAATGGAAAGACCGAGTTACAGTCACGTCACATATCGGTTAGAGATAAGCGATCTATCTACTCTTGGGCGCGGGGTGGAATCAGAGGTGAAATGAATTCAATAATATTTGATTTTTTGCTCCTCAGACGACCCTGCAGGTCCAATATTTCTCACTGCAATGCGTAGTCCTGGTTATGATCGAAAATAAATCATATTATCTACCCGAGATTCTCTAATATACCGTACACTGGTTGTTAAAGAATAAGACACCGGTTCTTAAAAGAGAACGAATGTAGAGCATCGGTAGGTACCGGCCATTAAGGTCTTTACACCTCGATGGTATTGGCACGTAATGAGTGATGGCACTGAGTTTGAAGAGATCGGAAAGTGGCAGTCGGAGTAAAGAGTGTTCCATCTTTTATATTTGTATTTATTTTTGTTGAAATATCGGTCCCATCAGGACCCCATAGAGCAGGGGGTCAGGAACCTTTTTGGTTAAGAGAGCCATAAAAAGTACATATATTTTCAATTGCATTTCCGTGCGAACCATAAATGCATTTCTTAACTTAATCAGGCCTGAAATTTTTACTCAAAAGTCAACACATATATGTCAATATACATTTAATGTGACTTCTGATGCTGCATGTTGTCGCTGCGGGCCTTGAACGGCTGTTCACATGCAGCACAAGTTGAAATCTACGATACTCATCTCCCTTCTTTCGTTCAGGCATCTCCGTAGTATTTTAAAACACTAGCTTTACTAGTCCGATCTGTATATGACAAATACTGTACAACCAGTACGTACAAAAAGCTTTCTCAAAGCTTACTATATCGCTTTGTGAGGTCACAAAATATGTTCCAGAATCCCCTAGTTTCGTCAAAATGCCTATCTGGTGATTCTCTTACATAACATAGACATGCGCTGGGAGCGCCTTTTCAAACGTATTGGCAATTTTTCTGCCAAATGTGGCTATAAAAGAGTTCGAAATCTCGTAACAATAGTAAGCATAGCATAAGTATATTAGATTCTTCTGGGAGCCATATGCCGTCACTAAAGGAGCTATAGGTTCCCGACCCCTGCCATAAGAGAAATTTCAAAATAAAATTTCACATATTCGATGTTTTGAAAAACTGAAAATTTAAAATGGATTTCTCATTAGATTGTGGAAAAGGGCCTTTTATTCCAGAACAACAACAAGAATTTAGCAACACTATTCATTTCCACTTCCTGTCCCATCATAAATACCAGCAGAATGGTACTGAATCAGCGATTTGGTTTAAGCAAATATTGAGATGAAGTTGGCCTTTTTTTAAACAATTTAGTAAGATGTGCTGGCACAAAATGCAGAAGCATAAAATACTTTTTAAAAATTACAATCGTGTAAAATTATTTTTATTTTTGATTCACAATCCAGACAAGCTTCTTAATAAAATATCCCTCAATTTTATTCTCAACGATTCATTTCCTTCGCACACAATATGAGTTGAATCTTCGTCAATTTGAATAATTGTGTCTCGAAGAAGAATCATATGACCAGAAGATGTATCCTCCACTTTAGCATTTGTGTAGCCTTCTTTAATCAAATTGTCAAGCAGATTATCAACATGAAGTTTTCCCCACATAAGAGGTCGGTGTAAAGCACTTACTTCCTGAAATTTTCTTTTTTTGCTTCCTGGAGTTGGCTTGGTGACTAGTTTTAACTTATGCTTATTGTCTTTGACTACAAGTTCACCTGATAATGCGGCAAGCATTACTCCAGGTCTAACTTCAGCAGGTAATAATGTCGCTGACAAATCAGCAGAAAGCTGAACCTTTTCAAATTGTCTTTTGACATCAATTGGTAAAACTGATTTTCTGTCCATGCAAAGCAGAGGTTGGTTCAACTGAAGACAGAGATCAGTTCTATGGGGATGCAAAACAGGTGGTTTTGTATAACTTGTCGGCACAATAACATGTTTTGCTTTTAAATCATTTAATATTAAATTTGCTGCCGATGGATTTGTTCGAGTATCAATTTCAAAATGATAAGCTTTCATTTGGAGGGGTTGAAATGGAGCCAAAACTTCTAGATATGGAAAATTTGGTTCAACAAATATGACAGAGTTAGTTGCTGAATTTTTCCACATTTCTATAAAATGTACAGCATCGCCAAATCGTAGTGATGGATGGCCAGCAAAGACAATACATGGCTTTTTGAAAGATGCAGACAGACCTTCATGGATACTAGAAAAAACCTTAAGTTTGCCCATTGCAATCAGTTCATCATGTGGAAATGGTGGTTCAGGTAAGTATACTTTATTTTGCTTGTTTGGATGAAGCCATTCAGAATAAACCTGTGAAAATGCCAATGAGTCTTTAGCGACAGGTGATATAAAATATATTGGAATGTTTGTTAAACCAGCTTGGTCTAAATAAGCAAGAAGGCATTCAAGTAAATCATAAACAAGACCAGATGGAAAACATGGCACCAAGACATTACCACCAGCTTTCAGCGTTACAGCTAAACAACTACAAAATTCACTTATCATATTATCTGGATTATTTGTGGGCATTCTACTTAATCCAGTAAATATTAAAGCATCACTGTTCCTCAATGGTGTAATATCCATCGGCTGCGGATGTGTTGTTAAAGACGAGCTATCAGACATGTATACTATCTTTTCATAGTCTGAATTTATACACCAGTTACAGCTTCCAATCGCAAATCCAGAACTGTACGCACTTATTGTTAAACTTCCAAATATGCTGATTTTTTCTGCGTAACCAACAACATGCACTCTTGAAAGTGCATTGTGTAAATCATTTTCATTATAACACTGTCTCCATGAAAGAACATCGTTATTCCAAACATCTTTCAATGATGCAGGTAGGTTGTTTTCTAAATCCTCATTTTTCCATTTTGTTGCTTGGGACGTTGGTGATAATCGATGACAGTATTGCACCATTTCTTTCATGAACAAACGTCCGATTTGGTGTGAAGGATCCGTTGCATATACAGCACCTTGAAATCCGCAATATTCAGTTAGGTATGGTACAGCAAGCATATTGAAGTAATTTGAAACTAAAATGACATCAACTGTTGACAGGTCCAAAAGATCAATTTCAGGAATACAAAACTCAGGGCTACTGTCAACAAACACTGAACCCGAGCATTCTTTCAGTTCATTATCAGTAATAACTTGCCCATCCGAGTCTCGTAGCACCCATTTTGACAAATGCTTTCCACTGGTTCTCTCAGTAGATCCACAAGGTAAAAACTTCAGAGAAGATAATAAATCCAAGGAGCAGTCGAGCATAATAGTGCAAGACTTGAACTTCAGCACAATGCATGGGCATGTATCACTTGGTGATAGATTATAAACCCGCATTATAGCATTCAGTTCACAGCCAATATCACCAATTTGTGTATAAATTATCACAGTATTATTTTAATTCAATGGTCCGATTGACCTATTTGTGTAGTGTGATAGCTACTTGACAAGAAGAAAAGGAACACTTTAGGCAGTTTAGGTAAAATGTAACAATTGGTGACAAGAAGAAAAGGAACACTTTAGGCAGTTTAGGTAAAATGTAACAATTGGAAACAACTTCATTCAATCATTTGGTTACAGTATGGTACCATAAAAGCATACTCGTACTGCTGTATTGTACAGGTTAATTTTGTGTTCATGCTTGGTCTATTTTCTGATTTCAGTCAACACTCAAACTATGGCTTGGCAGTGTGGCTTATCGTCAGAAATTGCTGAGCGTTATGAATACGCGAGGTCGTGGTTCGCCATATGATTAAGCTGAACAACCTACCGTAACCCCAGAACCGTGTGGTACAGCGAGTGTCCCACTTACATCAGTACATCCTGACATCTGTGCACTGCCAAACATCAACACTTCAAAATGTGCAATGTCCTAATAATTTCAGAATTATCACCTGTGGCTAGTCATTCAATCTGCACGTCATTACAGCATTAGTACATTACAAAATTAACTTTTGCGAAAAAATGGTCCCTGCAATCCTGCATAGTCTGATATTGCAGTACTGTACCTGTATAAGTTTATTTTGATTTCCCCGAAAAAAAATATACCGGCTGACCGTAAGTTATACAAAACAATGAACACACAAAAGTTTGGAAAAATTGGTTGGATACTGGTATCAAAATTTTAGAACATGTTCCCCTGAACCAAAGTACGAAAACTTTGCGCTTCTGTCTAAATCAGTGTTTCCCAAACTATTTTTTACCCGCGCCCCATTTTAACTTTTTAACTAGCAAACGCCCCTCTGACAAAAAAGTCAAAGCAACTTTATTCTCCATTTATCATTAGTATATATAATGTGAAGGTTGAGCCTAGTGAAATGCCACTAGATTGATATTATCTAGCATCATTTCAGTTAAATAAAGTCTTATGTCTCCTCGCCTGACACTGTCGAGGGAAGCTCTCTTGATATGTAAAAGTGCGGTCACTGCAATAAATACACGCTCTACCAGGAATGAGCTGGCAAGAGCAATAAAAAAACTTTCAACCCGATCGCACACATGAGGATATTTAAATTTGATTCTGTTCCAAAAAAGATGGAATACTGAAATACTGAACATGGATTTGAAAGTATAAATCCAATGGTAGTGGTGCATGTTCGCTTCTGGAAATTCAGAGTTATCTAGAGAATGTAAACCAAAAATTTCTATCTCCAAAAAAATTATTTAATTTTATTTGCGGTTGAACTTCTGTTTGTGTATGATTTTCTCAGATGTTTCGCAAAATTTTCAACCACTTAGTTTTCTGCTGAAGCGCAGGACATGCAATGGAAATTAAAGCGTTCAAACGGTGAATACAGAACATTACGTGGTTGTACCGAGAAAACTCTGGGACATCACTTGAGGGATTGATGGAGGTGACCAGCAGTGTTTCCAACATAACGGGGCGACGTCCTATACATCAAATCAGACGCTTGCTTTCCTGAGAGAGAAGTCAGCAATGACATACAGTGGGCATCTTAATTATCGGACTGAAACCTCTCAGATTTTGATATGTTTTGATATTTGTCGAGGGACAATTTGTATCAGGACAATCCTCAAACGAGTGGTTAACTCAAGGCTTCAATAGCAGAAATAAATAGAGAGATACCCAAAGTAGAGTGATTGACAATGTTGCAAAAAGAATGCAATTCTTATTTCAATGCCGAGGAGGGCATTTGAAACATATTCTAGAAACAACATAATTTTTGTGCAAAACGCCCTAGATTTTCCGACACTTTTGGGTACAAACAGTAGTTCAAGTGTAGACAAATTTGAATAATTCACTCCATTTTTGTAGAAGTAATTGAGAAATAGATGGTACCGTTTTTTTTGGGACCACGATGTACCGGTATAATACTGTTTTTGATATAAATCAGTTAAATATGCTGCTTAAATCACTATATTCGTTATTTTGAACTTACGCAACACAAATGATAAACCGACAATAAACAATGTCAAGCACAGCATGATTTAACAGCAAGCTAGATGTTTACCGTTTGTCAATTTATGTATTAATTATGTAACCTTATTATTCAATGACTCAACAAATAAAAATGAACCAGTTAAGTCGCAACATGGAGACGGTCCTACCCCAGTCTGGATTTCATGGCCTTTTTGAACGAGAAATCGGGCGTGCAATCAGAAATTCCCGCGTGCAAATAAGAATTCCTGGCGTGCAATTATAGCTCACGACGTGTAAAACAACTGCACTCGCGTGCAACTGACTTTGACATCAGATACCTCTCAATACATCCGCGTAAAATTACCGGTATCGGATAAAAAATACGTTGAATCAGAGAAAAAATGGACGTTTGACCTTTGACCCCAAACATTATTTCTACAGTTTGTCGCTAATTTTGAGAGTGTTTGTGCGACTTTGGATACCGGTACTGTTCAGTACATCCGCGTAAAATTATTGGATAAAAAATACGTTGAACCAGAGCAAAATGGACATACTTTGTCATTAATTTTGGTAGTGTTTTTACGCAGAATTAATGGATAAAAAATACGTCAAATTAGAGCAAAATGGACGTTTGACCTTTGACCCCAAACATTATTTTCATACTTTGTTACTAATTTTGGGAGTGTTTGAGCAACTTTAGATACCGGTACTGTTCAGTACATTCGTGTAAAATTATTGTATAAAAAATACGCTGAATCAGAGCCGTACTTGGCCATTGGTGCGGAGGCGATCTTTTCGTCCATAACTATTCTCACGGGATTCCTATTTCCTGTCATTCAACACGATATGGACCTTTCCCCGAGCATCGACTTCCTTGTTTACTTCGTGACATTGGCCAATCAGCAAGATGCAAAAAAGGACGTAACAATGAGAGGAATTTTTCGCGGGTCAAAGGTTGGGGAAAGGTCCATGGTCTTTTTGCTTCGCAATATTTCGATCAGACCAAATCTTGCAAGCTGGTATTTGTCGACAATTGTGGAGTTATAATATTTTGGCATCTTTATATTACTGGATTATTGATTTTAAAACCATTTAAACCGATTTACATTGGTGAGCAATTGCAAATTTTCGGCGTGCAAAATTGATTTCGCTCGCGTGCATTTTTGCGGAGCGCTAGCGCCCTCGGGCGTGCACCTGCCATGGAATCCAGTCTGGGTCCTACCGGTATCTGATGCTCAGCTCTCACGTCTTGCTCCTAACAAACCCAAAATTATAACATAAGGGTGTTGTACTTACACTACCGCTTCAAAACACCATAGAACCAGTGATGTGATTCAGCCGGTTCTATAGAACCGTCTCACGGAATTTTATGAGATCAGTGAACCGGTTAGCATTACTGGTTACTGTCAATGTTCTGTTTGTAACAGAACCGGCTGAAAAATATGTCTTTTGTGCAGGAACCGGCTGACAAAAAGTTTGAATCCCACCATTGCCTAGTACCCGATAGTAAAATGAAGCTGTTATTCAAAACAGTACAACAAAACGCGCAGTGCATGGTGAAGAAAGCGTATGCCGTAGCGCTAGACTAGTATTATTATGAAACAATACGGATTTAATATTCTACGTAAAGCGAGAAATTTCCAACACCGAAATCACAAGCAAACTAGTTTGAACCATAGCATAGTAAATTATATATAATATCACACTTCTTGTGAGTTCCCCTATGGATGTCAGCGCCCCAAATCGCCCTGTTTGACATCCAGCGCCCCTCAATAGCCTAAATCGCCATCAGCGTCCCCCAAGTTATTGCAAACGAACACAAGGGAGCGTTTCGCCCACTTTGAGAATCGCTGGTCTAAATGGTTTCCAGCAAGTTGTAAGACAATCGTTATATTATTACTGTACATTAAGAACACTGGTCACACTCACGCGTTCCTTGCGTTGTGTACCATACTATACCACATTCGCCGCCACAAGATTTTATTAGACTACGGGTGGGCAAGATTTTTAGATAAGGGGACAAAAATTTTGCCCATTGAACCGGCGGGCCATGTTAATGAACGGAATTTTATTTACAGTGCTACAAAGGCAAAAGTGGAAAACAATAAGCCTCGTGTAACAACTAAATCTAATCGCAATCTCAACAAATTCCTTGAATTTATTTTTAGCTAAAACATCAAAATTTGGTTGTGGCATTTGTCAAAACAGTTTTAAGGTGAGTATCTATTGATAATTTTGTTTAGATTTGTTGTAATTAATCAGACTGAACATCTGTTCACTAACTCGTGTGGGCAAACATTAGATTTTATTGATTCAGCTATCAATTTACACGGATAAGGCTGCAGAAAAGGGATGAAGAAAAAGGCTATTAAAAACCTTCGGGAAAAGATAGACTAATAAATTACATGGTAAGAATGTAGCGCAGGCAGAATTGAATAAAAGCAGAAGTTTATGAGAGCACCAGGCGGATTGAATCACACAACGGGCCAAATTCGGCAGGCAGGCCGTCGTTTGCCTATGTCAGTATTAAACAGATTCAATTTGGTGCCGCCACAAGTATCCGGTTACATATTTCCTGGCCTATCGTTTTCAGCTTGTACAACCAATAGAGTTGACAACTATACTTCCAAATCGACAGGACATCTGTTAGCGTTCTAATAAGCGGTCGAAAATATTTTGCACTTCACAAAACCTTGCACAAAGACCGCAGTCATTGCTACAGGACGTCGGGACTGCACAGGAGACAAACCCTGCCACTGACCCAGCTAACCTTTGAAGAAAGGGCCGTGATTTGACAGGGAGCGTACTCAGGAAAGATTCTTTGTTCATACAGCGGTCAGTGTATAACGTGAGAAGCTCGGGACAAAACTCCCCATATTTGTCACAATTGACTGCAAAGCCCACAATAGGGTAGTCTCCGAACAAGGCCTTAGACAAGCAATCATGTTGTTACCAATTAAGGCAAGCCCCCAAGCATTCGTGCTTCCTTCGTTGAAAGCAATAGACAAGCATTCTGTGCTATCTTCAAACAATTAGGACGTTGAACAAGCATTTGTTTGTCTCTAAACATGGCCTTGAACAAGCATTCATTTTGTCTCCAAACGATACCATGAGCAAGAATTCATGAAGTATTCTGAAAAATTGGGCGTTTTAGCTATAATATCAAAATTATAGGCAATTTCACAATTACTTGTTTGAAGATATTAAATTTTGGACAGACGCGTGATGATAGTTCACAAGCAAATTTATCATGATTAGTTTGTCGTGATGGCCTGGCTATAGTTTGACAAAGAAAGTGGACACTATCATTGATGTTACACAACAAGCTGCTGTCGTCGGATATTATAACGTCATAAATCGTCTTTACCTGTACGTATTCATGAACCACGGGCGGCTGATTATGCATGTATCTTAGCGCGCTCATGACATGCAGAAGCAACAACCGATGAATGATGCTCAAATAACATATTACATCTACTTTCCACTTATATAAATTTATATATATAATTATATAGTTATAATTCACTTATCATATCACACACTAACAAAATGCAAAGTGTGCAATGGTATGGCCTCTCCTCCAGTTAGCGGTCCATGCCGGGTATGGATTAGTTAGGTTAGACAGTTACTTGTTTTAGGAAGCATGAACTTGATGGAGAAAGCCGTAACTGACCAGCGGTTACGTGAACCACCCTACGACGGCGAGGAGCAGCTATACTCTCGCACATCACTATCCCCGCATGGAATTCGAACCTGTGAACCCACGCGTAGTAATCAGAGGTTGGGTGGTGAGCGTATTCCTAACGCCTAGCACGATGCGCCAAATCGCCGAGCACACTTTAACAAAATCCAGCGAACACTGGAGATGTCAAACACACTGCCGTGTAAGTACAAAAATGGTTTGGCCGTGTATTTATATCGTGTTACCGACCCTATCGATTTTAATAAGTTGGCCTAGTGTATAAGTGACATTTTTAATTCTTTTTTCAGTTTTATATTCTTTAAATTTATTGCATTGCCTTTTGGTCTAGATTTTTATCCTTTGCGTCATCAACCATGCTAGGGAAATTTTACACATACCATCTTTATAGTCATAAACAACAGGAGTCGATCCTGGAAGTATGATATCGATACTTCGTCACATCGTTAATACTGTTTTTGATATTATGTACCCTCGTTTTATTGACGTTGGTTCTCATGAAAAACATTGTAATGTGTCAATTGGTAAATATTGAAGCAATAAACGAATTTAATATTTTGATCCATCAGAACTTGACGTCTTGAACTCAGCGTGAAAACCTGCACTAAAAATATTATGAGGAACGAGATTCTTGTGCCGTACATTTCTGAGATATGTAATTTGCTAAATTACCTGACTGGGCTGCAGTACGAAGTAATTTCGATGTGTGAAAAATATATTGATTGTAGTATTAGGGGGACGATTCACACCAATCGCAACCTGGTAAATGGAATCCACGTTGTTGCTGAATCCACTTAGCAACACAATTATTCTAGCCATGAAATATATGTATAGTAGGAGAAGAGATACAGAAAGGTATTTAAATATTGGATCAATCGCCTTCCAATATAAGAAAATTGTTATTTTCAAGAAAAGATATTAAGAATAATGATATAATTACATCCGGAATATAATGAACCTTAACAGTAAAAACGAATGTTGTAATTGTTGACGAAAACTTGGGATCACAAGGGAAAATTGTGCGCCCCGCGAAATGTGTTTTTAATTTAGTTTAATTAATCTGGAACGTGCGAGTATAAGCTAATTTCTTTTGCGTTGCAAAGCCTATACTCGAGTCCAATTTATTATCGATACCCATGGCGTTACAATGCTCTAAAAGCTAGCTTGTGCGAAGCGAACAACGCATGTCATAACATCAATAGCCAAAAATTTTGTGCTCGCAACTACTAGAAACTCTATGTTAAAAAAAGAGCTGCCCGCGGTTTTACTCAGTTATTTGTATCTGGCGCTTCTATTTAAAGGTTGCACAACCATGTGACTTTATATAAACTTTAACAGGGGTTTATGTAGTTCCTTATGGGCTTCAAATATGACGTTGAAAATTGCCTGCTATCAGACATACATTAGCTTTTCATTTTTAAAGATTTAAAAGCGTTCTTTAAAAAACTACAACAACATCAATTCCAAATTAATCAATCTCTTGAAGAGATTTCACGTTTGAATCAATTCGTCGACCTTCTGGTGACAGCCGTTCGAGGTAACAGATAGGATCAAATTACCAGAAGGTCTTGAGTACCAGAGTAAACATGCTGATCGATGTAATTGAGTCACGTCTTTGATGTTAATGTTTTCAATGCAAGATCACAATTATAGTTCTGAAATACGGTATTAGTTGAATATTTGATGTAATCGACTTGGAATATATCTGAATTGATTTCTTCATATCACTCGTGTTTATTCTATTGATTGAAGAGATATGTAGGGCGCTATGTACAGTTCAAGTCCAAATCTTTTACTCCGCAAGTCAAAAACCTTGGAAAGATATTTTTTACTTTAGTCTTCTGTAACAGTCTTAGCTACAATTATTTACAGGTTTGCCGAAAGGAAAACTTTGCAAAAGGTCACTTTGCAAAAAGTCAAAACACCACCGGCGGAGTCTTTGATATATATCCGGAATCCGAAAACGGATGGATTGTATGTTATTCCTTTTTCCGTAAAAGCCAGCTAGAGCAGTGGTCGGCAACCACCGGGCCGCGGCCCATCGCCGGTCCGCGAAAAGGTTACTTCCGGTCCGCAGAAAGGTGACACAAAAACGGACAAGGCCGTAATAAAACCTCGGCAATCTAACCATAAACCATACGACTAAAAAACAGCACCCAACAGTAAACCAGACAAACACAACACCAGGGGTCGGAAAAAATGCGGCCCGCGAGCTAATTTGTTGTGGCCTTTGAACGACCCGTCATTTAATAAATAAAACAAAAATTAATCCCAAATTTATCATTGTCTCTACACGGATTTATGTGGTGACAATAGTCCGGCAGATAAGGGGACCTTTTTGGCCCACCAAGTTTGATTTCAGACATAAAGTTTTTTTTATCTGTGATTATTCATCTTGGGGTCATTGCCCATCATTTCTACATGGGTGTGGAGTTTGCAGCCTTGAGCAATTTTTTTTACGGCTCGATATTTGTAACAGTGTTTTTCGTCAAACCTGTGCATCATAATGACGCACAACCTGAACCATAACCTGTTGCAATACTATGTTCAGGTTGTGCGCAATATTGGTGCACAAACTACGCAAGCACCAAATTTACTAGGAAATAAAATCAATAACTTTTAGGTATTTATTGAGATATTTGTATTAGTGTTTTTCGTCAAACCTGTGCATCATAATGACGCACATTCTGAACCATAACCTGTTACAATACTATGTTCAGGTTGTGCGCAATCTTGGTGAACAAACTACGCAAGCACCAAATTTACTAGGAAATAAAATCAATAACTTTTAGGTATTTGTTGAGCCCAGCTTTGGGTCGCGACCCATATAGAGTATATGAAAATACTGTCGAAACATACGCGTAAAATAAAGAGTACTATTTCAAAATACTCGTTTTTGTTGTAATTAACAATACAAGCCTGGTAATGCAGTCGCCAGTGGTTCAAGTGGATATACACCCGGTGGAGAACAGTCAATTATTTGTTAGCGAGAATTGTTATGCAGCGGGATGATCACGACGACGCAGTGAAAGATAATGATATCACAAGAACAAGAATGAGAAAATTGCTACATTTTATAGTATATCCCTGGGAAAGAATGTAGTTCATTCTTATGTTCCATGCCAATGCTTTTCAAACTACCAAAGACTCTCAACACTTTTACTTCTTCTCTTCCATAAAAAAACATTATATTATTATGTATATGTTATTATATATTCGCATTTCCATCTGTTTGTTCGTGCTCCCAGATAACCGATCAGCGGCCTCCAAGGAGGACGGGGTCCCCTATTAAGAAACCCTGTCATAAGCTAAAAAATGCGACCATGCTTCTCTTGCCTGTTGTCATGCTGTCCCTGGAATTCAGCTACAACAAAAATTTCATGAAAACGGATTTTTAAATTTTATGACTTTATTAATATTCTCAACAATGATGATATACGGGTGGTAAAATGCCAAGTTATTCCAACAACATGATCATGTTTTGCAATTTACAACCAATATTTTGTATGTAACTTTGTTTGACAGAGCCCCAAGAGCTCTAACTACAAATATCAAAAATGTGAGGCCAAAAAAGTCACACTACAACATTGTCAAATGTGCTGTATTTACGATAGATAACAGGTTTACCAAAAAGAATTGGAAAATGAAAATGAAAAATGGTAAATTAAAGATCAATTCAGCAATATCTACTTGGTGATATGCATCTGTTGATGATTTTATGTGTTTGTTTCGGAAGTTTAATAACAGAATTAATTGTGGTTGTTGGGGATGTTTTAAAAAAAGGTTGCATGGAAAAAAGGTTTCACAAAATGTCAAGGTTTGATAGTAGTAGAGAAGTAGAAAAAATACTCCCATGTTTTTTTTTCTCATTTGATAACCACGCCACAAAACTTCCCCGATAAGTATACGCAGCAATTGCGAGAAGCAGAAATGCCAAGATGGGATTTCATCGCATTGCAAACCAATATTAGCAATTCTTATATATATTCGCGCATTCCCATCTGAACAGCGTGGAAAAGATCATACCCATCTACACACTTTAAGAACTATGTCAGATGAGCATCATATTATCGAATATCAGTAAAGGAATAATGCAATGGGAAAAGACATATGAGGAGGATTTTTCAGTAGTATGCAATCAAATAATCTTATTGTAGAATATAACTTTAAAAACATTTCGTCACGCCAACTGCAGTCCGAAACTTTTTTTCTCAGGCTAAGCGCAGATACCAATTGGCACTTATGTAAACTGGTAAGACTGTAAGAGGCACGCGATGGATCAGATACTGAGAGTATCCATCCCCCAGCTGTTATTTGAGTGGGTACTGCTGTTTTTATTGCAGATGTTACTGATCTTTTTGTATTAAAGATTTACTGGCATCACCGATTTAAGGATGTTGGAAACCAACACGCATTATTACAAAACTTACTTTCAACACGCGGTTTGAATGAATGAAAAAGCTGAAACTAATATTCTTTAGAACAGCATACAAATTCTATGGAATGGAATCATACACAAAAACTCGTCAAAAACCTATAGCTCAATAATCAAGTGGAATTTGATGCATGTGCGCAAAAATGTGCGCGTTACTACGTACAACCGAAGCACACAGGAAAATGTGTGTGATGTACTAGTATTCAAAACGTTTGACTCAACTATGTTGGCATAACAGAAGCACATCTCGGTTTCGCATACGCATACCTTCTATCTCCACAAGGATATATTAATTTTGCCAAAATCAATGCAGCTCTGAAAGGTTGCGGTTCTTCCAAAAGAAAACACGTTACACATCTTTAGATACCAGTGAATGGTTTTACATGGCCTTGTTCCTTGTTCGGAGTGAAAGACGAGGTCAAATATTCCAATCCAATTCAACTAATAAAATATTTCCCAAGTCCCTAAGCTTAAACTAGGAAAACGAAATGCGCGCGGCAACGCAAATGTAGTTTGAAGAGCGCAATAGAAAGTGGCTAAATACTGTCGATGTATCTTGGCTTGTATTAGCGAAATAAACTACCATTTATTCTACTAAAATTGAATTTCTGACATTGTAAGGAGATTCAATGTTACTATGTATGCAAAACTAAACCATGTAGTTATGAAATAATTGTTTTCAACAAAAGGGCGCTCCTGAAGTATTCGTACCAAGATGGCGCACAACCTGAATATTGTATGCTTACCAGGTGGAGGTTCAGGATGTGCGTCATCTTGGACCGAATACTTTAAAACCACTTAAAAAAAATTGCTCAACATTATATACTCCACACCCACCTGTGTATCATTATATATGTCATATACATTATATCTAAACAATAAAAAAAACTTTATGTCCCAAAACAATGTTAAGGCCCGATTCTGCCGGACTACAAGTGCTGCTGTACAGCGCTTCTTATGTAACAAGTAGCGTCAGTTGTATGTCGTTCGCGGGTCGAGCATTCCAAAGTGCTTGAACGGAAAAATATATTTCTTCTTGTCCATTCCAAAACCGGTTTGCTCGATATGCCCAGTCAGCATCACAGTTGTTAAGGGTTTCAATGTTAAACTCGTTACGAAACGAGTCGTCGAAAATTCGACCCCGAGACCCGGGACTGCGCCACAGCTCTTCTGTGCGACAGTGCAAAATGTGTAATGTGCACGTTCGGAAGAACATATGGCCTTGAGCAGCTTCATCTAAAATGCATTACACTTACATAAATTTTGTAGCCTACTCGCTTGTAAGATCATCAGTTGGACGACGAGTTGCCATAAAAACATCATCTTTCACATTGATTATAAGTACATAAAAACAATGTATTGCTGGATAATAAAAAAACGCCACATATACATCTCATTGGGACAGGCTTTCAACACAGAAATAGAAGGGTAGCACTGCGAATGCGCCATAATTTAAAGTTTAATTATGGTAGCGATTGTTCGAAGGCGGAAATATTGCGGCCGCGCGCTACCAGAAATGTTTATATTTGGCCCGCAAGTACATGAAGTTTGCCGACCACTGCATAACACTATTGAGCAACATTTCTGATTTCATAAACAATTGCCATGTCAGTATGTCGCAATAATGCTGGGTCAGTTGTTTTCTCTACGCCCGTATAAGAATGTCTCTCATCAGTTCGACTAAGATCTCCCCAACAAAACGATACAGGCATTGTTAACTTTTCCGAAATCTTGATGTGAGGCCTGATTTTCAATATTGATAACTACAAAAACGAAATAGGCTGGAAGTAGGAAACACGGTACATGTGCCAATGTCAATATCTCGAATATGGGGACAGTTAAAGGCCATCGAACAAATACAGACATCACATTAAATAGCATCACCGTCGTGTTTAGTATATTGTTAAAATAAATTTCCTAATGCGAATAATTTATTGCATAGGCTTAGTTCGTTTGTATAAAGGTGGTCCACCAAATGTTTGGTCAAGCTTTACCGGTCCGTCACTTGAAAAAGGTTGCCGACCTTTTTCCGAGCCGAGCTAGAGTATGTTTTCTCTTTGAACCCATTCTCTCGAAACTCACAAATGAAGATATAGTTGATGACCAATCCGATTCATTTTAGAAACAAAATCGATTCGTTACTAATGAAAACAATCTTTAACACTATTTGTTATATATTTTTAAGGTTATTCCAAGACGAATGGATGGAACAGAAGACTTTTACAGGGGATGGAACAATTATGTCAATGGCTTCGGAGAAAAAAATAAGGAAATGTGGTTAGGCGGTGTAGTTCGTTTTAAAGTTCGACGTGTAGCGAAGTATTCGGTTATGAGTGTCGTCATGTTACAGTTAATAACAGAGAATATGGTAGGTTTAGCTGATAATCTGATTTGCTGCCATCGAGTTCTCGCGATAAATGTACGAAATTGTAAAGAGGAAAAAACTTTGCAATTACGATTCTTGTCAACATGTTTGAAGAAGTGGTCACTGAGGCCACCAACCATAAATGGAACAATATTCAAAATCCTCAACTCAGCTTGGGTGAGTATTCCACCGATTCCGTTGAGCGTTTTAGGCAATTTCATGAGATATTGGGAGTCGATGCATATAAATCGCTATATTGAACAATTTAAAGTCATCGTAAACGTTTTTCTTGTTTATTTTTGAACATTGATGAAGTATGAGATTTCAAAAGATAAATTGATGATGTGTTTGTAATGGAGTTAGCTGTTCATGTGTGTTCTCCACATTCAGGCCTGGAAACAATTCATCAACTGCCTAAAAAGGGAAGTTACGAACTCAGAGTTGATTTGGGAGATTTCAATGAAAACATCACTTTTGCTGAATATGGGTAAGTAGTACGGTACAATTGACACTTATAAATGTGTCTTGGAAAAACAAAATAGTTCTGCTCAAGTATGCAGTTATTTATTTGTGTTTCAATAATGTTAAATGACAGCCAACTAAAGTTTCTTCCACATTTACAAAATTTGAGGAATAGAACATCAAACAGTTGTTTGTCATTGAAAAATTAGTTTTGTATCATAACTAAATATGAAAAACAACGTGGAAATATATCGATGGTAAATAAAACACAACTGGTGTTAGCATAATGGACATAAATATACTAGTAATCAAGGATGTCGAAATTGCTTATATACTATATAATCTTGATTTTAGGAATAATGTATTACATTAGGAATAATATTTTTAAATTTGAGAAAGTCGTTTTAGGCATATATTATCTTATGCTAAACAGAATCTTAGAACCTACTGACAAAATAAAATAGAGAATATTGATTAAAACAATGTTTATCTTAATTATTCTGCATGACTAAATTTGATTCTACGAATTTATATATTATCTTGCGGAACAGACCAGAATATATTCGATATTTAATATTCGGAGAGATTAGTTTAGATTTAGAATGTATTTCATGCCATGCGTGCCTATAATTTAACGGTGCCAATAATATCATTAAATCAAGTTTTTTTGTTTGTTTTTGCAGGATCTTCTCCGTCGCATCTGCAAGCGATAAATATAGGATGACGCTTGGAGGGTATAATGGGACAACTGGAGATCCATTCACATATAATAGCAACTCGCAGTTTTCTACTAAAGATTTCGATAATGATCGTAATAATGTCGACAGCTGTGCGGTAGATCGGAAAGGTGCCTGGTGGTACAATTGATGCTCAAAAACAAATCTGAACGGCATATACTTCACATATGGAAAAACTGATCGCACCTCAATTTACTGGCATAACTGGAGGCAACTTCAATCCTTGAAATTCACGGAGATGATATTTAGACTAAAAACTTAACTTTACGTTACAAAGTCGTTGCGTTGCGAACATAGCTATAATCGTTTGTATATGCTACAGATCGGCCCAACAAAATGATTTTTATATTGGTAAATAGATATAAATTAATTTGGTGACATTGTCTCTGTTAATAGTTGGTTAAATTACTATGAACATATTTCAATCAATTGATTGATGAAGCACTTATTTTTTATTATGTACTCGTTGTAGTAAATTTCAATATAATTCTACGGAAGTTAATTATTTACTGTATATCACGATGATACAAATGAGAAAGTACACAAGCTATATTTGATTATGGAGTTAGCTTAGTTTTATTGTTTGTTTTCAGAGTTTTGAATGATTAAAAAAAAGACGACTAAGAGTAAATATTTTATCAATTTTATGATAAGTTTTCATACCTGCATGCTCCGCTGCAGCCACCGACTGCACAAACACTTATTTATTTGGGCATTGCCTTCCGATATATTATGATTTGGGCGAGTTAGTGGGCACAGGAATATTCAATGTATTTCCTAATATTAGTTCTGAACAACTTCAGATATGTATTTCTTAACATTAGGTCTGAACAACTTCAGATAATTTAAATTGTATCAGCCAAACTATAAAAAATATTGAAGAAGTTTAGGTGAATTTTACAATTAATCTATGTCATTTTCATTATATAGCAAATATTGTTCCAAATGAAAAAAATAACTAAAGTTATTATTCCAATATAAAGTCTCCAATTACTGTTTCAATATTGATATATTATTGGAATAACTAATAATATAAACCAGGGCTACTCAACTATTTTTATCGAAGGTCCGCAAACGAAACTTCAAAATTATTTGGGTCCGGTCTTTCCAGAAATGATATTTCGGCATCCTTAAACGAGCACTTCCTCGACCGACTAATGATTAGTAGCAAATTAAAATTGTTTATTATGGTGTTATAGTTCTTTTCGTATATATTCAAAACTATGAAAGTCATTTTATGATAGGAAATTCAAAAAAGTGGGGCTAATGATCCAAATTAAATAATTAGTTGCGGTCCAAATCCAATACTCGAAAGGTCCGGATTCGGACCGCGGTCCGCCAGTTGAGCTATAGACAACTACTTATATTGCTATTGTAGCCATGTTTTAGTAAGTTCTTATATTATACAACTATAATTCCTTGCTTAGTTGGAATAACCAATTTCTCGTTTTATACGCGTTTTTGATTGAAATTGGGTTTTTGAATATCTTTTCATATCACCAATTGACGCTGGCTATATTTAGGTATACATTTATATTCTTTGCACAACGTTTGGCATTTTATTCCGTGCATTTAACTCGTTGAGTTTTCTTTCATGTTTCTTTGACTTATTCTATTATAAAAGTTTTTCAAATTCTTCCACCATAATTACCCTTTTTCTCAAGTCAGAATGTCAAATATATGTTTCATCGAGTTGGCGCTTACAAACTGGTTTGCAAGTTTTTAATACTCATTCTTATTCTTACACGGTACCGTGTTATAATACCAGTAAATTTATATATGAGTGGTTATACATGATTTCTTTTACCAGGTATTACACAACAAGCCAGGAACCAAATAATACATATAAAATACTGTGGCTTATCTTTATTAGACACAGATAGGTATCACCAATCAGTTTCTTTTCGCCAGCTTCTGGAACATCCAGATCGCAGTTGCTGTTCAGTAATTCACATTCTTGTGTTTTCGGTATTGAATAGCTACCAAAATTCCGGAACAAGTTTTCATGCGACAAGACCAAGTTCTACAAAAAATTAACTTCTATATAATATATTGTTCAAAGTAAAGAAACTGTTCTTCGCAAAATTGGCCGAGAAACAAGACTTAATCTAACCTAAATTATTAAAATTGCTTACTTACGCTTCGGCGAATGCGATCTTAAAGTGGCCTGATGTTCAAAACGGTTTTCTTCATTCCACTTTTCATTTTTCCTGCTTAGGATTTAATGTACCCGTATGCATTACAATATTAGCTCTTGCTAGGACGTCTATAGGGACACAGATACTCTCTCTCTTCTATTAGCTTTCGTGAGTTAGGGACATTCTACTCTTCAGACATTAGTTTTCAGAAACAAAGGGTGCTTTGATGAAGGGTGCAAACAAGTTGAGAAAAGATTAATAGAGATGAAAAATACCTGCGATTGATTAACTATGTCATCGTGGGTGCAACAAACTTCCATTGATTTGATAACAAGTTTCAAGCCATCCACGGAACCTGGGACATAAACGTGCCATTAACTGACTATTGTACATATCGTGGTTGTGCCGTACTTATTTGTCTTGTGTATGTTACTGAATTTTATTGGTATATTTCATTTCTATTGACCTACTATAAACGCAACAGTTCCAAACTTCAGTTATACATGTTGGGGTGGATGACCCACATCCGTGGTTTAGGCCAGTAAGGTCTTGAACATGTATCCCGTCTCTGTTATACTGTTTAATTAGTATGCAGATACCGTTACATTTTTGAGGCAAATAAACTCTTCTGAATAAATAACTTCACAATACACCTATTATGATTAGCTGCAAAACTAGCCTGCGACGGGCTGAGCCAAGCTGGAAATTGGTAGAAATGAAAAATCCAACAGGTTTCAGTTTACCAGTTTCCCACCAAAGAGCCTGACACGTGGCTGAAAAATTTCGCTTTTGGCCAAATGATTTCCAGAAAGGTATGCCCTGTGTTGTGCATTTCTGGTCCATAACTCATTTGCTGGCACTTTTTTATGAGCTTAACTTCTATTTAAGTTAGCGTTCTATTTCAAGCGGCAGAAAATATTTTGCACCTCACAAAACCTTGCACATAGACCGTAATCATTGTTCGTTTCGCAGTAGAACACAAACCATGTCACTGTTAAATAACCCAGCTAGCTTGGGACGAGGATTAGAAAGGAAGCGTACTCAAGAAACCTACTTCGTTGTTATATATATAGACGTATATAACGTGAAATGTGGGAACAAAAACCCTACAGATTTGCCAAAGTTGATTAGAAATTCCAGAATTTAGTAGGCCATACACAAGCACCCATGTTGTCTCTGAACAACATTTAAGTCTGAACAAGATTGTAGACCAACAGGCAATCATGTTGTCTGCAAATAGGGTCTCTAACCAACATTCGTGCTATCTTCGTAAAGGCATTACATTAACATTAGGCATTGGACAGGCATTTGTGTTGTCTCCGAACCAGGCCTTGAACAAACAATGTTTCCCAATTTCCACAACGCGTTTTAGTTATATTTAAATATTTTCTGGGGATATGCGATTTTACACTTACTTACTTTTGAACGAACGCGTAATGATAGTTCGAAAATTTAATATGATTAGTTTGTCGCCGGTTCACTATTATGACATCATAAATCGACTTTACCTGTACGTATTCAAGGGCCACGAACGAATATGTGTGCATCTGTGCACGCTCATGACATGCAGAAAGGATAAACCGATGGATGGGGTACAAATATCATTTCACACCCACTTTACACTCGTGATAATATCACTTGACATATTATAATCATTAGGGACATTCATACCCTTTGCATTCGCCGAAGCAAAATGAGGTGACGCCTGCGATGTTTCTTATAAATACTGGAATACAACGGTGTCGTGTGTCGTTGCGGGAACTGAAGGATATTGAAAAAAAACGAAACGTATTTTGAGGGAGTATGTCATTTTGGTAAGTTATCGTATTGAAATGAGGAGTATGGTTGCCCTATGAATAGCCTACAGGTGCCGATGATGGCAGCTCAAAAAGTATGCCAAAGTGAAACAAAGTTAGCCTATTTACTTGTGCAAATGTTATAAAAGGAGCTTGAATGTGCTTCATGCTATAAAACTATGCCCAGCTGAAAGCTGTGATAATTAATGATGGCAGACTTTTGTTGTAAAAGTATATCACTTTTTTCAGATGTTCACGATTCGAATACTTACAACAGAAGACTTTATCGATATGTAGAACTTAGAACATCTTTTTTTACATCACAAACTTTTTGCTCAAACAATTGCAGAACTTGCTAGGTGAAAGCAAGTTCAGAAGTGTTTTATTCTGAACTTTGTGCACACGGCCACGTAGGTACATACAAATAGATTTGCTGTGTGTAAATCACTAAAGTAACTGACTTAAGATTGAGTTGGCAGTAATTGGATAAGGAACATATTGGCTTTATATGTATATGAGTTGGCGGTATATGCACATGTTTGGCTGTATATGCATATCATGTTACCGACCCCATCGATTTCAATAAGTAGGCCTGGTATCCCAGTGACATTTTTATTTATTTTTCCAGTTCCATATTATATAAATTTATTGTTCTTGATATTGCATTGCCTTTTGGGCTGGAATTTTATCTTTTGCGTCATCAATCATGCTAGTGAAATTTTACACATACCACATTTAAGATCATAAAAAACAAGAAGTCGTTCTTGTAAGTATGATATTGAAACTTCGTCACATCGTTTCGAGAATTGACTATAAAATACTGTTATTGATATTATGTACCATCGTTTTAATGACTTTAGTTCAAATAAAAAACATTGTTAAAAGTAAGTAATGGGTCTATCGGCAAATATTGACGCAATAAACGAATTTAATGTTTTGATCCATCAGAATTTGACGTCTTGATCCCAGCGTGAAAGCCTGCGCTACAAATATTATGAGAAACCAGATTCTTAGGCCGTACATTTCGGAGATAGCTCGCTAAATTATCTGAATGAATTACATTATGAAGTAATTTCGATATATATGTCAGAAGTATATAAAATGCAATATTAGCTTGAATAGTCATTGCTGAATTTAGCAACACAAATATTCTAGCCATGGAATTAAAGTACGAGAAGAGATACAGATAGGTATTCAGATACTGGATTAATCGCCTTACAACACAGAGAAATCGTTTTTTTTTTCTTCAAATGAACATATAAAGAGAGTAAAACGTCGAAAGTGTTACACGCACCGGTAAGCGTTTTGTGTAGCCCCCGGAAAAATCGAACTTGCCTACGTGACAGACCAATCGCTTTTAGGGAAGAGGTCATTCATGCGGAGATTGGGATCATACATTTGCTCATAGCCTTCGTCTTTCGCCATAATTTCTAACGACAAAGCAAAGGTGCATATTTATAATATAAGGTTACTCATTATATTTGATTTAATGCTTCAAGTAATCCATGGCGTGAATCAAATACAGATCGATATCGGAATATAATGAACTATACTATCAAAAACCAATGTTGTAATTGTTGACGAAAGGATATAACTTTTATGTCCGTAAACTTGTACAAACATTCCCACTTTTTGTTCAAACTAATTCAACAATAAGAAGACGCCGATAGGATTAAGCATTATACGATCCGTTTTATGTACGATGAAATATTTATTCTTTAAATGCCACGATTTCGCAAGCACTCCGAAAGGGTGGAAAGTCTAAATATATAGAGATACCTTGCTTCAACCGACCCAGTATCTAGAACCGACTTTGTGCGTCAGTCATTCTTATTAAAATATGCTTTAGGTACTCACGTGTTCTTCGCTTTTATTCTTTCAGTAAAATAGGGAGGACATCGTCAATCGTCATCGATTTCATACTCAGTTAAATTCGATTTCATACTCAGTTAAATTCGATAGTTGTATGTGTAAAAATTCTACTCCTTTTAGCATTTTCCTAATTTTATCTTACAGATTAGTATTTGATTAGAATTTTATTTTCAACGATATACAGCCAATTAATTCGGTACCATGGTACGCCGAAAGGACTTCAAAATTACGCAGGTTTGGCCAGACGAACTTCTGAGGACACGAACCTATGAAAATGCGTTGACGGAACGAAGAGATGCAATGGAAAAGTAATCAATTACCTTTTACATAAAATATAGATACAGAGCCTTGCATGACCAACTAAACTTGAATAAGTTATGCGATAACGATGTCCCAATACTATATAAAATATTATAACTGAGAGCCAAATTGAAAAACTTTCTTTGTGACCAAAATGGATTTGCAAGCAACCACCGAGATGTCAAGCAATTACCAGACAGATATGAAGATACGATAACGATTTGCAAAGCAGTAATATATTAGTTTGACAAACCAACTTCCATCTGTAGTTAGTACCCAGTCGATGGCCCTGCATCAAACAATGAAGTATACATTATTAAATGATAACAGCATAATCATATCAACTAGATTCACATATTACGCACAAGGACACGTTGTTCCTCATGTTTTGCTTATGGTTAATATTCATGTTATCATACCAGAGAAATCCTCCGTATGAGAGAAGAAGAAATATTCAACAACATTATGAGGAGCATGGAAATTGGACAAAAAGCGGCACGACGAAGATCAAGTATAGCATCGCGTAGATCCAGCATTGTTGACCCACCACGCAGACGTACGAGCATCGTCGGAGAAACGGATAGAAGAAGGTGATCAGTAAATAGATGAGCAATCATAAGGCCTTAATAATTCAATCATCAATAGTAGTATTTGTGCATATTAAACGAAGTTATTCTTTTCTAAAACGAGAATTCAAACTTGTTTGGTATTTAGTTTATTCCAAAAATGAGCTTCAACTGTGTTCATTTGTATTTATATAGTAGGCGGATGTCCAGAGTTACAGGATCAAAATTGCCCTCTATTCCAAATATACAAGAGATTCCATCAAGACCACCAACACGAGACGCAGATCCAAACGAGACTGTTCATTTTATATTGCCCCCACTGGTACTGCCACCCGTACATATGGGTAAAAAATTGGATTTGAAAAGGCTCCACCAAGATAGATTGTAGATGTGAATATAAAAGTTGCCCAAAAATAACGAGAAATTCGGTAATTCCGTGGCGGTAATTCTAATATTTTAAAGTACTCTGACTTATTCACTACATGCTATTGTGCTAAGTTTTACATGCTAAGTTTTACATCTTTACATAAAGAATACATCGCAATGAACATTATGATACAGTGTATTAGAATTTCGACAATGCCACTTAAAATGTACAAAAGATAACTGTATAAATAGGTAATAGAATATGCGTATTTTGAATCGAAGTAGGTTGACAGCACTTTGAACTAAGTTATGCTGCCGCCATAAGCTTTTTTAAGTAATCTGTATAGTTTTATTATTTTTGCTTCAACGCGCTGTAGTATACTTTGTTTTCTCTATTTGATATTTTCTATGTTCATATTTTTAAGATGTGTTATTTCTGACGATAGTCAAAAGTTTAGTAATCGTCAAACTGAAGATATTAGAGCGTTTTTTGACTAAGGAAGGAAGCCATATTATAAAGTTTCTGATCATTGCATATCGTATAAATAAATATTTGAAATTAAAGGTACTTGGACAGTGTGATATTCAGCTCATTGTGGGATTGCCCATGTTGGTCAGACATTGCAGATCGTTTTGCGGAAAACTTATAATGTCGCTTTCGGAAACGATAGAGAGTTGCAGTCAAGGATAATTATAGTAGCCTACAGCTGCTATCACTATTATAGTTCTTGTAAAAATCCTGAAGCAATTTATTCTAAATTCTTTTGATTTGGAGATGAGTGGTGAAGATTTTACTAGTTGTGATAAACCTTGGAACTAATAAAAATATGTTTCTTTGAATCGTGAGGTATTTGTCGTTAAAAAATGATAGCGAGATGAAATTATTCAAGCAACTTGCAATATTTGAAAACAATAAGATTGTTTCACTTACTAACATTTAGGGTTAAAGTAGTATATATTTCTATTTGTTATTGTTAGCGTGGTGGAAGATAGCTTATCGTCTGTCGTTAAACGACGAATACAACAGCAGCGCCTCGATTGCCCAATCCCTCAAAACTTTATAAGACACTTAACGAGAGAAGAATGTCTTCATTATCAGCTTCCAGCTTACAATCGCAGTACAATACGATACGATCCAATAGGATAATTAAACGGGGAAAAATGTGCTGATTACGCGTGCAACTGAGATAAATTATAATAAAACTGGTTAGTCATTGAGAAATAGTTTGGGGCCATTTAACGCAATTATGTCCGGTGAAAAACAAGCTATGATGTTTTATACTTCTAAAAAAGTCTATATTAGCTGATTTTACTCCAAGATTATCTATACAAACACTTAAAATAATCTTCTGTGATGTTTGAAAACGATAAGAAATTTCAAATGTGTAGATGAAATTAATTCCAAAGCATCAAAATGCTTTTGGAAATAATTTAATTCAAGTAGGATATGCCAAGAGCTTTTTTGCTGTCTCATTAATGAAACAATTGAATGCAATCATATCTTCCCAACAGTATTGACGTTATGGCAAATACTGACGCTTTTTGCAAAGATTATTGAAGTTACGGTGAAATGCTAACGAATTTAACGACTGGCGCTTTTTAATAGCTGTTAAATAAATATATAGGCAAGGTCCTAATTGCCTCGGGCCCCTAAATGGCATCCATATGATTAATCACTTTGAATACGTTACATTGGCAAATTGGAGTTTATATACAACCTTTTGTCTAAATATTTTACCGAGCTTCCACGTGTCGATTTATCCACTCGTTAGCCCTTGTCGATGGGGTCCTGTCGCGCTCCAGAAAATTCTGAAACGCCCTATGCCCATATATAGTAGAGTGTATATCAAAGAATGAATGAAAATATAAATATAGCACATTTGATGGGAAAATAAAACATTTTACAATTTCAATAATAAACATGAAAAATAGCGTGCAATATAAATTATATTTTGGCAATAATGTTATCAGAAAATGTATTGTCACTAAGCTATGGAGGGCGATCTGCAACATAAATTCTATAATAGTTACTGTTACCAATCATCGTGGTTTTCAAAAATTGAATAGACAAACAGGTATATACTACATGGAAATGTTTAATTTTTAGTGCCAAATAAATTGAAAACATAGGAAGCACGGAGCGCGATTTATGCAAAAATTGGCAAAAGGCATAACCTATTGTAGAGACAGTTTATTACGGGAAAATTCTTCATTTTTAGTTTAAATAAGTTGTAACTATTTTAGGAAACGAAATGGGTCTTCATCAATAACGATAGCATCGATACATAAAACTAATATTGTCACTGAATATTTGTCACATGCACCGTTCAAATTTTAGTACATTTGAATTTGTTGCGAAAACGAAAACATTACTGTATATCAGAGATATATCAAATCAGATAAAAGAATGCAACCAGTCAGGATTTGATTGAATTTATAGCAAACTTGAAATGGAGATGAGATAATCATTACAACTCACAAAATTAACAAATTAATTGATGACAAACAATACAGATATAGTAGTACAAGATAGTTTCACAAAGCATAAATGTAATATATATTCATTGATCCAATTATTAGGTTACAAATTTTAATTCTTATTGGCTCGGAACCCCCCAATTTATACAATTAAAAGGGAAAATAATACAAGAACAGTAAAATATTAGTAATCACGTACATTTTGCTCACCTGAATGCCGTTCGAAATTAGCGATATCGTCCCGTAGCCATAGTTTGCGACGAAAGCAACACACATGCCATCACGCACCTCGAAGACTGTTTGAGCGATGTACAGCGCTATGTTGGCTTCCCGCGAACAGTAATTAGTGACACAAACTAATCAACGATAATTAATTATCAATCTCCTGATGAGAAAATCTTTTCGGTTATCTCCATGCATCATCAAACAATTACAAAACATAAATTATAAAATGCAAAAATCAGATGACATTTTCTCCATGCCAATTTTGATCGTTTAATGTCTAGTTTGCACCATTTTCTCCTTCAAATCGAAAGTAAGGGTCATAACATTGCATTAATATTGATTCCGTTTCTTTTCGTAACTTTCAACCGATTTATACAGACAAATACAGGCTGACAAAAACAATTGCTGATGACTAGGATAGGATAGGATTTACATATTTATCCCGGGGAAGAGGAAAGCCTGGGAAGAGGAACCACGACCTCTCGTCCGGTTACCATTCCATGTCGGATATGGGATTAGTTAGTTATTTGTTTTCGAAGGCATGAACTTGATGTTAAAGCAGTGGTTCTCAAACTGGGGCGCGAGATGCTCACATGGGGGGGGGGGGGGGGGGGGGGGGGCTTGGGCGAGAGGTCACAAGATGGAATCGGAAATTTACATGTAACGGCTCCTGAAACGGTCCCCGCGTTCGTTAAAAATACCAGCTTTTTCGTGTTATAATAAATTTTTCTGTCTCGTAATAACTACAATAATTCAAAATGTCTCTCTATTTTAATTCATTTGTGTTTAAGGTAACTCACGGTTGCGGCGACTCACGACAAAATAAACTCATTACCTATCTAAAATACCACGCCAATCCGCGGACATAATAAAGTGTGATCAACTGCCCGATTATATTTAGTTTTTATATATATTGCACTCATGCAAATTCGTTGTCGTCATTAGAAAGATCTGGTATATATAATATCCCAGAAAGTATATTTAATTTAGTACAATTAAAATACATAAGTATAGTAAAGTATATTAGTAGATGAAAAATACATATTCATCGAAACGAAATCCCCGCGGTACGGCTTCTGAGTCAGTCCACGAGATTACGCCAGTCAATAAAAGAGCCGACTTTTTCAACTGATATGTAATGGTTTTTCTGTTGAATAAAATATTTAATTCATGATTGATATACTCATTTAAAATGGTTGCTTTATTCATTTAATTGTGATAAATTAAATTTGCGATTGCGTCGATAAAATAAAAGCACCAGAATTCCAAAATAACACGGTAATCCGCAACCATAAAAATGTCGATTACATTTTGTTTTGATTTGTATTCTTGTCAATTTCACCAATATGAGCTGTCCCTGCAAGTCTTACTCCGCTCTATCGCAATGCCGCCAATCGATTAATTTCAAGATATTATCGTTACAGATATTCCTAAGTCTGCGATCCCACGGAGTAAAATTTATATCAAGTCTGTAGTTTTAGAACACTACTGGTGTGCAGCACGCAAAAGGAATTTATGAGATTTTCATGCACAAGGAATTTATGAGATTTTCAATGTCTAAGAAAGTGTTTTTAATCTGTCGCGGTCCACCACAAAACAAAACTCATGGCGTTTTCCGTTTTATTTTTAGTATTTTATAATGCCATTTTTACAATAAAGAAATTTTTAGTTACGGATTCACTTCTTCATTCTATCTTTAGCATCTCGTCGCTGATGATTATAATAAAAACTAACTCGTGTTCCTCTGAGGTGTCATGGTTCCATTCGAGACCAAAAAAAGTAATTATAATCGTCTTCGCGGCACAATAATATGTCGAGGGAAATTTCGGCTTTAGGAATAATAAACACCGAAATCAAGATTTTTAGGGCTTAAATAACACGCCACGTTGACGTAAACAATGGAGATTTAAACAAAATGCAATCGCAAACGCCTTAGCGACAACAATTGATTTAAATTTCACGTGTCTTATGTAAACGTTTAAACAGAAAATACATTAAAGCATAGGTTTATTGCTTGTTTAGTTTTACTTAATAATTAGTTCGACTTTGCCAAGTATTGCAAACTGAGCGGAAAAACGAGAATGTATGACGACCAACCACTATTTGGCTTCATACATACGACAGTGAATGGCGAAGTTGTACTCCGAAGCGTTTTATGCCTAAACAATCTGAGCAATGACGCTATGAGACCAACACTCAGTTATAGCGCCATCTTAATATATAGCAACCTGCCCATCACAAAAGCATTTTTTCAAAGCAAAAATAGGGGGGGCACGAAGTTTGTAAATTTTTTTAAAGGGGAGCGCGGCTCAAAAAGTTTAAGAACCACTGTGTTAGAGGAAGCTGTAACCAACCAACCACCATACGGCGGCGAGGAGTCCAGCAATCTTCTCGCACATAACCATCCCCGCTTGGGATTCGAACCTGCGAACCCACGCAGAGTAATCAGAGGTGCGGCGGCGAGCGTGTTCCTAACGCTTAGAACGATGAGCCACTCCGCCGCGCCACTTCGTGTTAATCGAACATTACGAACATTAGTTATGCGAACAGTCGACAAGATTTACCAAAGCCTGCCCAGTAGAGTACCTTTGCATGGGTTGCGTGGGGATACTAGTTGTGATAAAAGATTCAACATCGCGACCTGTTTTCAGACACACCTAAAGATTTCGACAAAATTCTATACAATCGGTATTATCGCGACTGTTTGAAATGCTTGTGACGAGAAGATCAGCTGCTTTGAAATAGGGTTTTACCAGACACCTCGACTTTGATTATTATAGTATCCCTTATCAAAGTTTTCTGAAAAACATGACCATCGTTGTCTTGCGTTCGAGGAGAATGCCTAGGCGCACTCTGTCTTCTGTCACTGAAAAAATAAGGCGATATATGTACGTACAATGTTTTGTTACGATGACTGTTATTTTATTTTATTTGACCAACAAATAAATCTTCCTCTGTCTCTACTCAAGTTCAAATGTAATTAGAAAGAGAATTGTATAGAAGGGGACATCTGAGGGGATAGGCCTACTCAATATATGTAGTGAATGCATTTAATCGTAAATGTATACTACTACGATTCAATACTATACAGTAATCAGTAATCAGTAGTTTATTTCTCATCATACTTAAAATAGGCACAAACATACAAATTGCGATAAATTAAATTATAAATAGGCCATATTTCAGGGTGAAGGAGACGCGAGAAACCAATACTGGTTATCGAGCAGCGGTACCTATAAAATAAGTCAAACACTAAAGTATAAAGGTTGTTATACGGTTGTTATCTAATATCTATTCATCTGATAACCCCACGTGTTGACAAATAACGCCACTATGTAGCATAAAAGCATATAGAAATAATAGAATACTATAGAAAACACCGCATATAGAGACCTATAATTTTGCTGTGACTTTATTTTCGGTAATTCATTTATCAATCTCAAAGTAATTTTTTTGAGTCTATCAACTTCTCTCTTTGTATTTTGTAAATGATGTTCCCAAAGTGCCTTTACTGTGGATTTTTTTCGCTAAATCATTCATTGTTCTCAAAATTATTTTTTCGATTTATTTAACTTTTCTCTTTGTATTCTGTACATGTTTCCAAATTGTCTTTACTCCCAAAATACTAACTGACTGACTCTTTGACTTTCAGTTTCACCTAGTGACTGCTGCAATAAATAAACATTTCTTGTCAATGGCGGGGAAACCCCACATTTACACTTGACAAGGTCTTCCTTGCTTTTTGTTGTGTTTTGTCATAGCCTATTCCTTGATTATTGCATTCATTTTTCTGTTTTTTTCGAGCCAGGGAGTAGAATATATAGACTACACCTGCTAAAATGAAGAGGGTGCAAGTATTTGAAGACGAAACTGGAAAACACGGGAAGGTAGGTTTTTCCTGTGTACGTTATCGAGCTTATGAAATATTAAAAATAGCGTATCTAATACTGTAACACCGGTATAGTAATAATTTCTATCCACTGATTTAAGCTAAGTGAATAGAATGTTAGGGTTATTGTAGTTTCGTACCTAAAGTACTTCTAGTGCAGTAGTGGGCGTAGCATAACAATTTTTGCATATGTTAATCATAACCTCCACCTGGCCGCGCCATTTAAAAATTACATCACTACGAAGTGACGTAATACTGTAATAGAGCTCTTCAAACTATGCAAACTGTGATCCAAGACGAGCATCCGAAATCGAAAAGCTATTTCTCTTGTTTTCCTGTTGCAACGATCCCAATACGAGAGAGATCGCTGACGTTAGTCAGTTCTTCAACGTCGGCGCAGTTGCCATTTTGGGCAGTGACGCCGTAGTCTGGTAGTGACATAATTTTTGGATGATCCGGTCAGGGAGGGGGGGGGGAGAATATCATATCTAAGAAACGTCATGCCAAGCCCACTAGAAGTAATTGTGGGACAAAACAACACAAGTCTCGGCCGTGTGGCGCATCGTGCTAAGCGTTAGGAATAGGCTCGCCACCGCATCACTGATTGCCCTTTGTGGGATTGCAGGTTTGAATCCCATGCAGGGATGATCATGTGCGAGAGGATTGCTGGACTCCTCGCCGCCGTAGGGTGGTTCACGTAACCGCTGGTCGGTTACGGCTTCCTCCACCATCAAGTCCATGCTTCCGAAAACAAATAACTGGCTAACTAATCCCATACCCGAACTGGACTGGTAACCGGACGAGAGGCCGTGGTTCGCCATATGATTAGGCCGGCTTATCGGTTTTCCTCTTCCCCGGGATAAATATGTATATACTATCCTATCCCCAAAATCTATTTCACATATTTCACTCACTTTACAGCTTCATAAGCATTGTAAAATCAAATACTTAAAAGTTGCATCAAGGTTTTGTTTTTGACACAGAAAATTTAAGTCATTGGAAAGTTATAATGAAAATCTTCTTTTCAAAGGTTTTTGCAGTTCCTAGAAGAATAGAAGAATTATATTCATCAATATGTAAAGTGTTTGGTGTTTCCATCAGTACTCTGTACACAGGAGAAGGTGCTGAACTGGATGATGTGAATCTGATAAGGTAAGCTTAAAGCTTGACGGTTGCAACTCCATGCATAAACAAAACTTGGTCAGAGGTCCTGTGTTCATTTCAAACCCTGAACAACTGGATGTTTCCATGAGTCTATGACGGTATAACTGCGAACATCATAAAGAAGGAGTTCATGAGCACAGAATACACTGCTCCACTTCGCCTTGTGGAACATTAGAACTGTGTAGGATATCAAAAAGATAGCAGCAAATTTTGAATTAAATTGAATTGTCTGCTTTTGAATTGCATACTTTTGTTGTAATTACATTCATTTTATCCTGTTTTTAGATTTTGACATTTTAGATTGATTTTGAAAGTTCACAAGTCCGCAAAATTATTTTTAAAATTTTACTGGTCCGCAAAGTAAAAATATAAAGAATCACTGGTTTAAACTATATACTCTGTGCTACTATTACATGAGGTTTACTACAGCATTTTTCATCTCTAATGAATCATATTTATTTCTTACCTCAACCAGGGTAGGTGACATATGACAGTAGACCTAAGGCTATAGTAGCCTAGAGTGTATGATTCATTTGAATAAACTAAGTTTGAGGTCAAAATTAACTTCTGAAGGTTTGTTACTAATCATCTCCCATTGTAATAAGAGGATATGGCTGCAGAACAAATTGTATGAATTTAGTTTTTGTTGATTTTGCTATAAAATATAATAGTAAGATTTCAGTTTTTATTTCACCAAAATTTATGTCTCACTATGCCTTCAAATTGTTTGGTCCGATACGCCTCCAACATTCATATTTATTCTTATCACAGAGATAATGAGCCACTGTATATATTCAAGCCTACTGGAAAAGTTTCAGAACAAGGTAGTATGAGTAGTATTTATTTTTTATTATCAAAGTTTACTGACAAGATTGATTGACTGGATTTATTTTTATTCATATTTTTTATGACCTCGGAAATACTGTGATAAATTGATTTCTGTTCATAAAGTAGTCTCCAATTTTTTGTTATTATTCAGTTTAATTCTATAATATATTATGTATTGTTTATTCTAATTTCTTGTTATACATTGTTTCGGAAATGTAATAAAATCCCAAAATTGAATGTTCTTTTTTTATTATTTGCTTATTTATTTATTATTTCATGTAAGTTGTAGCATTGATCTAGAACTTGAAAATGCAAATGTGCTGAAAGGTTTGATATAATTTTCTTCTAATTCATTTCATGTTGAAAGTACCAAGTCATTATATTATTGTCAAACTTTCTACTCTAATCGCATTTCTTCATTTGTTTCAATTTTATATTTTTACCTATTTTCTTTGTGAGGCATCGCTGGCCAAGTTTGCAATTTTTATTTACATTTTAGAGCACTCACAAAACCCTGATAATCAAAGTGACTGGATTAGTCTCAACGTTGGTGGGAAGAAATTCTGTACGACAAGGTTGATATTTATCTGTTTTAATAGTTTCTCACAATTAAGAATAGGTATTTCATTGATATATAATTTGCTATCGGGGGTTTACTGTGAAAGTGGCAAATTTCAGAGAAAAAACAGCAATTTTACCACAGATTTTCACAAAAAGTCTCATCAATTTTCAACCTGGACAATTGTGCTTTATTAGAAGGATTTTTAATGAATTGTGTTCCTGAAACCTAAATTTGTTTCAACCAAACTCAAGTGATAACATCTCATTTGTATATTTCTATTTTATTTAATTATTGATCAAATAATGTAACTATAATGGTATTGTGAAGTTCGGGAATTGATAAAACATGACTTCTGATTGGACAGGATTTACATATTCATCCCGGGATAGAGGTAAGCCAATAAGCGGTTACGTGAACCACCCTATGGCAGCGCGGAGGTCAGCAATTCTCTCGCACATAAATATTCTCGCGTGGGATTCCAACTTGCGAACCCACGAAGAGTAATCAGAGGTGCGGTGGCGAGCGTATTTCTAACGCTTAGCACAATGAGCCACACCGCTGCGCAGGACGCTATATACAAATAGCATGTATGGAATTCAAACAGAAATTTTCCCAGTATCAACAGAAACTTATTGCAATAAGTGGCAATTCTATATCTATTTCGATAAAGTAGAGTTTGGTATTAGAAAATGCATAATAATAAATGTATCAATTTCATCACATCTTTGGATATACAGGCAAAAATGTTAGTAATAAAAATTTTCGGTATTCCTATCAAAAAGCGGGTATTGCTTGGTGATAGGTTATGACTAACTCGTTAATGTGTTATCATGTTAAAAATAAATCAATTTGCGATGAATATTCATTCCATTTATTATATCTACGTATATCATAATCAACAGCCCAGTCTTTGTAGAAGTAACGTCAACTTATTTATTCACGTGTTTTTTCAAAATACACTATCCCCTGTACATAATCTCAAGTGCTGTATTGTTTCGTTTCTATTTTGCTGAGTAAATAGCGATATAATATTCCAATTGATGTAATGTGTAGATATAAGTAATTTTGTGATTTCTTTGTTTTTATTTTAGGAGTACATTAGTAGCAATGGAACCAGAAAGCATGCTGGCAAAGATGTTCCGAGATGAAAGTGAGTAGCTAGATAGATAGTAGATATCGTAAAAATATTCTTTTAATAAAAGTTGTGATGAACATAGGATGTCTATAAAGTGTAATTCTATATTCAAAATGCCGAAGATTGATGATTCAGATTGTTGGTATTGCCAAACCAGAATGATTCTGGTCGTTTCAAAACATAGTACCTCCTCACATATCACCGAGTGCAGAGCCTTGTTTGGAGTGAAAGGCCTGTAAAAATGTTATATGAGAAAGTTTGCAGTGTAATTGTGATATTATCCAATTTTTGTTAGTTGTCATTCAGCAGTGAAAAGAGTTATAGAAACCTAATATAAAAATATTATCCATATGAGGAATTTGTATTACAAGACATATGTCCATGTTGAGCTGATGTACATATACTGGATTCATTTTGTTTGCAGCATGTTTCTGGTCATATCAAAAATAAAATGATCAACCTAGATTTTTTTACCAAACTTGCGGTACTACCAAATTACTATTTTGAGAGCAAGGAAGTTCCTTGTTCTGTATACGGTACATTCTGTCACACTCTGAAATATGTGTCATATCATGTTATCATAATACATCCTGTCCAATATATAGGTGAATGTAGCAAGCTGTTTATGAATAAGTACTATTTCCTTTTAACAAGTCCCGAATGAATAATTGTCATTGCTGTCCGCATCATCGAGGCTGTATGTATGATTTGCTAGGTTGGAGTTATGCAACTCGTTGAATATTTCAGATTACGTTCTGTTACCTTGCATGACAAAGATTCCCAAAGTTTACAAACTATACATTTACATGTAATACAGGTCATGAAATTGGAAAGAAAATTTGAATTTATTAACATTAAGTTATGAAAAGGAATAGCTTTGCAACACATTCACACTTTCACACTAAATGTGACACATGAGTTGGTTTTTGTGCACGTAAACGATCAAATACCAACTAAATGTCTTATATCACAAGTCATGCTTTAGTTACAAGTCAGTATTTTTGCATTAATTTTAACAGTTTTTATTAATTCAGTCCAAATTGATGTTCAGGTGATGCTAATGAGCATTATAATTTATAATAATATATAAATTTAAACCTTCATTTTAACAAATTTGAATTATTATCAGCGGGCCATCTGTAGTGTTTAGCGCAAAGAAGATCCTGAAACATTTATCTCATTTACGGTCTATTAGGTGTTTTCAAGTACACAGAAACTCACCTCTAGGTGGTGCAATTGAGCAATGTAAGAATACTTTGACAATTTGGATCTACAAAATATTGTGCTGTGGTTCTTATTATAAATGTTTATTGTGTCCTTCTGAAGCACTGGTCTTTGAATCTCTAGAACATATGTAAAACAAAATAAAACAATATTTTTTCAGGTCAATGGAACAACACTCGAGACAGCAGTGGGGCCTACCTTCTTGATCGAACTCCTGAATATTTCGAAGTTATTCTCGGTTATTTAAGGCATGGTCAACTCATTATTGATCCAAATATTAATCCTCAAGGTAATAATCTTGTATTTTATATGTTTATCTTATTTTATAAATTGTTTATTTATCAGAAATTTTGTACCGATTTGGGACGTTTGCTTATATTTATTTTATAATCACAATGTAGTAGCACGCTTTTTTGTTCCTATTTTTTTTTACGTTTTAAATGTTTATGACCTTGTTTCTGTAAACGAGAATCGTTTTGTTTATATCAAACTGTGATGGCAATACTACAATGATAACATAATCTCTTTACACTAAATCATACATTTGAGGTTTGGTATAAATTAATTACCGCTGGTCACCTATTTTATGTATTAAGACTCAAATTATGTTGTGTGATTTTACACATAAAACCACTACCCACGTAGTGAGCAGAATGAGCGGAGCCTTAGTGATATATTTCAAAGGCCTCAATAGCAAGCAAGTGTACATACAAAAAACACACTTCATGCTGCATATGTACAAAATTTTGATGTCCATCACCAGATATTATTGCATTTTGGAGGTTTCTAATGCCTTATGCCGAATCTTAGTTATTGGCAGCATTGAATAATGCTGCAAACTCTAGGTTCATTACAAAGCCTATACTTGAACTTCTGTCTCTCCCAACAGCCAATTGGCAATTGTGAATGTTTAGTCGGGTATGTCAAGCGCAGCTACATCTTTGAATGCCACACAGAATAGCACTACGTACTACTCATTATTTTAAGGCTAATGAATCATATGTCAAGTAGATAACATCTGCACTACTACTTCATCATTATGCATCGCGTGACTAAGTATAGAACAGCCATAAACCTATTACAGAATACCACAGAAATTTGGTACCAGATATTCCCTAAAATCAAGATTTATTATGATATGAATGTATCGTTGGCTGAAGGATTAATATTTCAACCCAGATGAGTATTTGTATTCTATAACTGTGATGGATAAAATGTGTTCCAATATACAAATGCTCATGGAAAAAGTTGTGACAGAATTTTTACAATTAATCTTTTATTTGGGTACTTATAATTTAAAGCCTTGCTTCTGTATAAAGTATTTTTTTTAATTCCATTTAATTTTGAAATACCAGAAGAACATTTTGTGTCTGAATATATGTCTCAAAAAACAGCTTCTGCGTTTATTAAATTGAGGTTTAAATGTTACTTTGGTGTGAGTTCATTGACTTATATATTGTGTATGATATGATTTCAATACTTTTTATTATATACTATCAAAATATATGTGGTATTTGAATTTTATTTTAAAATAAATTTTCGTTTCACTCAAATTCAAAATTTTGATGGACAAAAATTAAAATTTATAGTATTGTTAATAAAAGACGTTTTTTGAAGCTAACACATAATTTAGATCAAAATATATTTTCTCAAATTTTTTTCATATTAATTGTTGCATAGTATCAATCAGACATAGCATGAATTGTAGATTTAAATTGCGTAATAATAAGCCTTCTGTATTTAAATCTACAATGTCAATTTCTCACTGGAAATGCTAAATCCTAATAAAACTCGTAAAATTTTACGAGGTGCCCTGTCTTGTTATCCAAAACTCATAACAATATGTAACCATATTTCTAATCATGAGCTTAGCTACTGTCTCGCAAATTGTTTATTGTCAATAAGTTCTGATTATTAGGCAACACAGCGAGTATCACAGCTTCAGTGGGGTCTTGGTTTTTGGCTAAATAGAAAGTTTGTTTTACGTAAATCCTACAATGGCTATTTTCGCTTGCATGTAATCGTGTTTGCGATGCAAGTTTTCATAATAGATTTTTATGATTCATAACAAACAATTATCTGACACGCAATTTTGACAAAGGAGCGTGGCATGGACATGAATCAACGTAACTAAAATAATATTTTTTCCCGGTAGGAATTATTTTTACGAGATAATCCTTTTTATTTTTATTTGTGTATTTTTCGTTGAGAATAAATTTCATGACATGTATTGGTCTAGTTTTTCACATAATTTGATTTTTATTTTCATTTTATTTTACTTTTTTTGCTATGAGAAGCTGAAAGGAATGTGACTTATGAGCACAGAGTTTCCAGACTGCTGAACAACGGGTAATCCAATCTGCGATAAATGTTTCGTGCGATGGGCTAATGTGCCCTGGACGATAAATTTCGTTTCTCTGTTTGTTTTTGTGCGTTTAACCTAACGAAGCGATAACCCACGGACGTTTGGCCTCTGTTTCGTAATTTTCGTGAGAAAGCAAACGCAGGAGGAAATTTCTAATTGGTGATGATGTTTTGGCAATAACGCTCTCATTGTCTTGCGGCTCTGGAAGATGATTTACTATGTTTGCCACTTAGAAATCCGACTCCACATCGATACAATAAAAAAAGATTTTTATTTTCAAATCCTGATTTTGTAACTTTTGAAAATTAAATTTGTTTTTAGGGGTCTTAGAGGAAGCGAGATTTTTTGGATTAGAAACTCTGATTGAACAACTGGAAATATTAGTCGAAGTAGGTTTCTGGTATTTCTCACCATTGAAAATTATAATAAAAAACATCAATTCTATACACATATTTTTCACTCTGAACAAGGTCTCACACAAGCAGCCGCTGTTAGGTAATGAGCTACTATGGTTTGCAAGGTCCATTAACACCCTTGGTGAGGTGGTAAGCATGGGATTTATACCAGATAAGTCAATCTGCAATCGTAATATAAAGTCCTACACTTTAACCACTGGGCCACAACGCCTATATTCCATTCAACAAATTTATATTATCAGTTGATGCAAAGAAGTCAATATCTTTCAAGAAATAGAATTTTTTTACATACAATAATATGGCCTAAATAGTTAATTAGGCATCTCCAGTATTTTGAATTAATACACCAATGCTACACAATAATCTGTCCGAATTGAACACAGCAATCATACCTAAATATTGCATTCTGTGTCTAAAAGTTAGGTATTTTCAACTTTTTTATCCCAATTATGCATTTCAAATAGTATTAAATTAAAGAGAATTATGAAGTTTGGTATATCGTAATCTGATTTGGATTTTACTATTCTTTAGAAAAATCAACCAAGAACTGACCACAGTCCTCTTACAAGAAAAGAAGTCGTCAATGCATTATTGATCAACCAAACTAATTGTGAACTCAGATTTCAGGTTTGGATTTTTTTCATATTTCTAACAATTAAACCAATCACATTCAATTTACTTTGAATTATTGTAAACATCTTGATAGGTACCCAAAGAAGGCCTTCGCTCATGGCCCCCAGGGACCCACCCTGGGGGCCCAGTTTGGAAAACCCTGGTGTAATTATTAAATCACCCAACTATTTGTCCTACTATTTTTCCTTTGGGGCTGCAAATTTTTTTGAAGTGCTACGAAATAGTATTAATTTTATAATTGCAACAACTCATGAATGTGTTATTAAAAAGGGATAATTTTTTTGTCTTTTTAATATTCTAAATGACATGCAATAACAAAATAATTTCTCCATTTTTTGTCACTTAAACTAAATTCTGGCAAAATTTCAGTAATACTTATTTTTTGTTCAACTGCGTATTGCGTGTTGTTCCATTTTCAGAATCTTAATTATTATATTTAGTATTAGATTTCCTAGTTGTCTGAGATTTTTCCAAGAAAAAGTTTTTTTTTAGTTTAAGAAATTGTTCGGCCAAGCCCTAATGCTAGATAAAACTAATCATCTACACTTTTTATATTCGTTTTATCTTTGTAACATGATTGGTATAACATGGAATTATAATAAATCATAACATGGATTCAATCCTCATTATTTTTTCTTTTGATCTGCAAAAAACCCGCAAAATTATGATTGATTCACTTTTGGGGTACATTACAACCCCGATCTTTGCTCCCTTGATGGATTTTTGACATGAACAAAATTAGCGCATGGCCGTTTTTGAACTATCAAACACTGAAAGCCCAATTTGTATTCTCTCTATCTTTAAATAGATGTATTTGAACTTATTTTGCGTGGGAGTGTAGTTTCTCGGTTAATTGGTTTGGTACACAATTTAATTCGAGAAGATATACTCTATCTGAGTTTGCGTTAATTTACTAATTTCAAATTATTTGTATCTCATCTCATGATAAAATACAGAATATAGTCCATTTTTGTTCACTCTAAATCGTTTCTTTAATATGACCTCATATATGCCAACTGAGTTGCGGTGATTTTATATTAACGACTAAACGCAACTTAAGCCTATGATCTGCACAATAGAGCAAATGGACTAACTGCTAACCATCTAGCTTTCAAATGGATATAAGGGTAGAATGCCGCATTTGCAGTTCTTGAACCCTAAAATTTTATTTGAGTTGAAAGGTTTTTTTCTAATTATCATGAAACTTATCCAGATTTTTTAAAAACTTCCAAAATCTATGTGTCAATGTCTGACAACCATATACCAACAGTTTTGCCTCGACAACACCAAATAATGAAGTACATGATATAAAAATTGAAAATCACCAATGTGTGGGTCCCTTTCATTTTGTTTTCAACTCTATTTCAGGAATCGATGGAATACATTTTTCTCATTTATTTCAGTCGAAATGAAGGAAAGTCGTAAAGGATGCTTAATCATATGTCAAACCATGGCCTCTAACCTGGTCACCAGCCCATGTCAGATGTGGGAATGGTGTCCAGTTATTTATATCAGATTCATGGGCTAGAATAAGGTTTCCCAAACTTTATAATTTTGTTACCCCTAAATCGAATTACCAAAAGCTCGATCACCCGTTTCATAAAAATATAGTAGTTATATTTTTCTTTGACCAAAAATTGTGAACGTCTGGGTTACACCCTAAAATTGTAATTACCCCCAGTTTAGAAACCACTGGCCAGATGGTGGAAGAGGCCGTAACCAACCAGTAATTAAGTGAAACGAAACTCGAAAATAAAGTTGCTCTTTACATGCTTATTGCTACTTACCCAAAGCCTTGTTTGGAGTCTTGCTGAGCACATATTCTTGATTAGCTTTTTGACATTGTGACTCAGTTTTTTCATTTCAGTTATTCTTGACATTATACAATCATGATTCATTAGTTTTCATTCTTCTAATCCTGTTTTCTGTGTCATCAATTATCAAGTATTTGTTTTTCTAGGGGATGAATTTTTCTGGAGCTGATTTGTCTCAGCTCGATTTACGATATATAAATTTTAAACTCGCAAACTTGAGTGGATGTAATTTGATGAGAGCAAATCTGAACTCATGTTCGTTTGAAAGAGCAACATTGACTAATGCTATTATGGATGTAAGTGTTTGTTCACCCAATGTTCATATCCAAATCGACTGATTTTAGAATCTTGTCTTACAAAGTTTTCATTTCTTTAGTGTAAATGGATCGAATATTGCAGCTGGATCGTGATGTTTATCTATATGTATATATAGGTAATAGAAATACTAGTTGATGCAATTTACTTATATGTTTGATTTGATTTTGACAAGTGTACTTTAAATTCGATAAGGTATAATAAAATTTATTTTGAACTTCGCCATGCTACAAAAAATTACAATACACAAGACAAACACACAGAATGGAAAATAAGAAAAGTTGTCAAAACTTTGATGTTTACGACATGATAGGATACTCTGTAATAAGGCGATACACTACCTGGAAGCATTGTGATAATAAATGGTGTATTCAAAGCTCAATGCCCCAAAAGGCCCAAATACATCTCTAAGTGTTTGTATATTCGTGACATTTTTTTTTTAAATCTTTTTTATTTTTTCAGGGTGCAAACATGCAAGGTGTTAAAATGTTGTGTTGTAATGCTGAAGGTGCTTCCATGAAATGCTGTAATTTTGATGACCCATCAGGATTGAAGGCAAATATGGAAGGCGAGCTTCTATTTCTAATAATAAAGTGGTCTGTGACATTTAACTGACTGCTCTAAATTTTGTGACTTTTCACTTTATGAGCGTACTCTATTTGCAAGGAATTTTTTTGTTTTCTGAATGCGAGCTGATAATTTTATGCTTCTTTTGGGCTTGATTTGTGACGATTGAACAGAGCTTAATTTAGTTTAAATTCCTTTGAATTTACCATGTTTTTACAACTTTCTAGTCTAAAGCTCCCCATTTTAAAATTGGTAAATGTACACCTATTAGGCCCATAAATCTGGTTCTATGGTTGTCCAGATGTAATCCCACTGCCCAGTTGAAAATTTATCAACATTATTTTTAGCACTAGTATTAGTGATTCATATTATAAATCCATTTATCAATGTCTACCGGCATTATTCCACACTTAATTTTAAATAGGGAGAAATTGGTTTGGTAATGCTAAACAGGTGGGATGATTTGTGTATTGAATGTGGTTTTGTGACTTCAATTAGGCATGCCAGCACTCACTTTAGATGGTTTATGGCTGTGTATAGATGATCTATTTTGTTATTTTAAAGCGTTTTACCTGATCGTGGATAAAATTTGAATAAACCTTCAAAAATAATAGTTTGTTACATATCAGTCGGTACTTGAACAGAGCCTCGAAAACGTAAAAAAATTGTGATCACATCTTAGTTTTACGGAACAATGTATTTTCGATGGTCACTGGTTCGAGAGGTGTGTAGCTTTGCTGCTAAGTAAATATGTACCGATAGGATTTCATAATAATCATATTGTGTAAAATTCGATACGTTATGACTCGTTGTGAACAGCTGTATAAAATTAACGATTCATGAAATCACTGTTTTTTCTTATATTTCACTATGTGTGGAACTAATTTGATGATAATGGTCTGTTCAATGCGTTTTATGGTTCTCACCTAAGCCTAACCAATTTCGATAAAATTTCCACCATCACTTGTTTTGAATCTTTTGCTTTTTGTGGTCCTACTAATTTGTTTATATCCAATTTATAGTATTGACTACAACATACAACTTATCTGGTATAATGCCATCATTTCATTGTTGCCGCCAACAACGAGATCTAGACCTATAATCTTGTTTATGACAGGTGCAAATATGAAAGGAGTCAACTTTGAAGGAAGCTTGATGGCCGGTGCCAACTTACGTGTGGCAACTCTCAAAAATTCAAACTTGAAAAATTGCAATCTCAGAGGAGCTGTTCTTGCAGGCACTGATCTAGAAGTCAGTTGAATTGATTTTTTTGGGCTTTTTTTCTTTTCAAATTGGTGTTTACGGGTAATAATTACCCAAAACACAAGGTCGACCCAAAAATGTCATTAATCCAGGCCGTGGCACTTACTGTAGTTATTTCATGGTATTCTTAAGTGTAGAGGATTTCCACTTGGACAGTTTGGCACATTTTTCTGTCCGTTAAAGAGTCGACAGGGTAATTGGTCTTGCGACCTCATTGTGCATCGTCTTGGCGCACCCGATTTCACAGAATCCACTCTGTCTACGCACGATGTTTTATGTAAATACAGATGTCAGGGCAGATCCTGAGGAAATTAGTTTACTTAAGTTTGAATTCTGTAGGATGATAGATTCCCTTTTACACCATTTTTCATTCTATATCAGGATGCTCCACAAATAGATTTTCCACTCTCCCACACTTTCTTACGTAGTGGAAATGACTTAATAGCCAGCACGTCACAATTCTCAGGCTGTAATATCTTTTAAACCAGTATAGGTGATATTTTGCATAAACATGACCTGACTCATTATGATACGCGCAGTATCATTGAAACTTTAATTTTGTGGGAATGAAAGAACTTCCGGAAAGACCAAATATGAGCATTCATTTTTTTGATTTTACACTAAAATACAGCGAGATATACAGCACGATTTTCAACTATTTCATCATTTAAAATACGCAATAAATTTGATTGGTTGCAAAAATTGCGCAGAGTTGATTCTGGGTAACCCTATAAATAAAAATGTGTGAATGATGTTCAAATCCGTTATCCCGCCATTTTAAATTTCATATTTATTTTTTTCAACATTTTCTTTGCTAAACAAAATTCAAAATATAAAGGTTTAATTTTTCCGATATAAACCAATTAAAAACTTAGATTCATCAACTTTTTCCAGGACATTTTTATTGCAAAAGTTTATGTAGAGATTGAACTAAATTTGAACTTGTTCATGATGTACTATAGTAGCGAGTCTGTTTTAATTAGATTAAAGGTGAGCTTGCTTGACTTACAAGTACCATATCTCCCACAAAAACAGGGTAATCCCGATGTTTAAAGTTACAAAATGGCGGTTTATCATCCCCCAACGTAGCCAAAATTTTGTTGTCATTGCCGCCACGAATTCCAGCCAGGTAGGCATTTTCATTTTCATTTGATGTGGGATCCTGTCTCTTGCACGCGATGTCACCTATTTACCCCTCCCTATTTTGACTGTTTCGGGGCGTCCTTTTCGTAGCGTGGGAGCTTGTTGTATTAATGGAACTCGTTTCACTTGGGCGCTCAGTCGAAAACGAAAAATCGCTCGACAAATTTGATTCTCGATACAGTAGATGTTACTTTACTCCACCCATCCCGTCCATCAGCATTGGGTCACGATATGGATTACCCCATCTCAGAGATCGATTTAGGTTCTAGGAATTTATCATCTTAACACAGCTGCATGCGTGGTAAAAGATATTTAATCATGGCCCACACATGATCAAGGATGTAATTTTTTTTCACTAGTGATTGATAAAAATATACCTCAAAGATTATTTCATTCTACAACCCCGTGCTCCGATGATTCAGTTTTGTGACATTTCGGGGTTTGGTAGAACAAAGACCAGTCATTATTAATCCTAAGAGTATCTAATATCCATCGTCCATTTTTTGTCCAATTACCCATTAGCCCGTCGTAAATCTAGTTATCGATGGATTTTCGGGTATTAAACAAAGTTTACTAAGTGGTTAGATTAAGTGTTCAATCTTACGTCATCATCAGCCGTTTTCACGATTCCAACCTTGTTTTGTTATTCGAGTATTATCGAAATAATTATCGGTGGTGCGATTTTAAAAATATACAGTTCAAGATTTATTTTATTCAATTTTTCCACTATATACAAATTCAATAATTTTTAACTAACTTCCACGCATGATATCATGGTTATGATTTATGAAAGTATTTTGGAGAGACTATTGCACACGAAAATCAAAGTTAATTTAACATTTTTACTACATATTTAAAGTAGAATAGTTCCGATGTATACCGAAGATAAAATACTACCACTCTATTATAGGTTCATATATTGTTTGTGGTACACGTTAATACCATCGCAGCATTAATGTAATGGCCAGCGGGGTGGAAAAGACAAATGGGGCTAATGAGGTTCCTCGACGTGCAAATTGCCAAGCGATAGAAGCAGCCAATTTTTGAGTGCTTACAAAAAGCGCTTTCTATTTCAGTTTACTACATCGCTAATATGAATACTTAATGGAAAATCCGTTATCTGATTAGGGCCGAATAAAACCATGAATATACTGCCGGTTTCGTGAACTTTTTACGCTGAAAATTTGAAAACTGGTTATTTTGCTTTGTTGCTCGCGAACAGAGCGAAAATTTAGTAAATTTTTATTGATATCGATTCGTCTTTTAGGATAACTTTTCATTAATCTCACTTGCCTTACCATATCAGATTTCCCGCTGAAAAAAAATTAAAATTTTAATCTCAAAACTCGAACAGATACCGCTTTCATTAACGGAAAAAGCCTTTGAGTGGATCGTTATCCATCGTATATACCGGTACTTCGCTTTTCGGTAAAATTTATCTTTCACTCAAAACACGTACGTTAATTTAATCCCAACCACTTTCAAGGTTAGTTTTTGGAGACTTAAATATGTTTTGTGGTGCCTGAAAGCTGTCCCCTCTCTTCCGGTGTTAGAATTTATATATTCAAGAAATTTTTGTTAAATTACAAATGGGTCGAAGATAGATAACATAGCTAGGGTAGCAGATAAATTATTGGATAAGTTGGAAACGATTTTGGAAATTTACGTCACAGAGAAGGCACGATTCAAATAGCACTTTAATATACGATTCGATTTTTGCTAGGACATGGCATTATGTAGGTGCTATAGAATGATAAAATAAATGAAATAAACTTCAATTTACCATACCCATACTGTCATAGACACATTAAATAGCATCGGGAGCCATCTAGTGGCGATTTGTGAAACTACCGAAGATATCAACCATCATTTTTGATCGTTTGATGACACTTGCGAGCAATCCTTTGTTAATGTTTGTCATTTTATGTATGACGTATGTTAACCCATTTCGCTCTGAGCAAAAGCTACTTCCAGAAAATCCATGAACATATTGTCGAATTCCATTCGAAGCGTAGTAAGGGAAATTACACAAATATCGAATATTTTCTGATAGAATGCTCTGACTTTTGGCGTCCACCGTTTCCATAGTGTTTTACACAGGGCCGGGGTGCCGGAACCTGGAGCCGTGTCCAAAAAAAATCTCAAAGGGTATGGGGCTGAGCTGGATCCACAGTGACTGCTGTGACTGGAGGCAGTGACATTGTGATTTCAAACCCGCTTTCAGCTCTGGTTTCACATTGCCATTCTCATCAAAAAAGCTATATGTCTGATAATTACTCTGATAGACTACCCGAATTAAACTGCGCCATGGCCGTGATGTTTCAACCCCCGCGCATCTTTCACCTTTGACGCCAATACAGTGATGCTAGACCTCCCAACCACAAAGATATCTTGTCGGAATACGATAGCATATTTCTCCGACTGTTTGTGTATTCTCAAAAAATACCGAAGTCGGTTACGTGATGTCTACTTTGTTACGTAGTTTCAGGATATATACGGTAAATGCTGAATACAATTGTTTCGAATATAGTTTAGTGTTTTGCTAAATTACTCAAAATATTTATAAGAAAATTGCTGATATGAAGGTTGTCATATATTCAGAAATGTAAGTTAGGTAGTTTCAGAGAGCGATTGAATAATATTTTCTTTTTGTTCTCCAATTTCCAATTATAGAACTGCAAGGCAGTAGTTATTTAAGACGATGTTATTGGACAAGGGCTAAAATGGCGGCGTTGTATAACCAACCATTTTTTCCTTCGAAATTGTCAACTTGAATTATCTAACCTAAATGCCACCTAAAACACTTCTCTATAGAGTCCTATTCCTTTATGTAACGAAGTAAAAAGTGTACTCAACCAAGCATGATACATATATGGATCGCGCCATTGCGTCATTGCCCGTTTTTAATCAGCCTTTGGTTTATACTAAATTTCAGTAGCGTCCTGCGTGCCTTACATCGGTATCATTTGAGGGATGATTATTGAAATTCGAATGTTTTAAGATTAACGTGCATATTTTGGAATTTTAAAATGTTGAAAAAAAATTATTTGAAACAAAATTATAAAAAAAATGAATTCGGCTTTAGCTAGTTTTCTGATCAAAGTATGACACGATATTCACCAGAGTATTCCAATAAAACATTTAAAATTTATAAAAAATCTTAAAATTTATACTTCGAAATCAAAATTAACGTTTATGTTTTCTTCATTTCCTCACGGCCGTTTGTGTCGAGTATTTGCCATCAGCCCTCGATCAATTAGATTTAAAACTCATTTTTAGTTTCAGTAAAAAGATCTTCCCAATCATGCACGGCCCTTATTATATTTGCCATGTGTGTCTATTTTTAACAAATTTTGCTGACATTTGTGGACTCCCTATTTCATCAAACACAATGTGAAAAAATTTCTCGTGTGTAACTTTTCATCGAAAAATTTTAGAAATTACTTTTATTGTCGCGCTACAAAACCACCAGTAATATTATTTAAAAATCGCCGTGATTGCCTAATATCATGCCAGATAACAGTGATTTACTATTTCAAAATCATTGGTCGTATTTTTTTCATAATTACGGTAGATGTGTCCACGGCAGGACCATCATTTTTAATTTGTGTATAAACTTCAACAAATCACTTAAACTGTTTTGGTTGCATTTCAAATGCAAGGTGTTTCAAAAGTAGGGTAACTGTTATTAATAATTATTTAATTTAAAAACTGTTTCTCAACTTCTGGCCCACACTATATATATTGTATTTTAAAAATTCGACAGAGAATCTAAATTTTTGTTATCGTTTTTATCATATCATTTTATAACGTTGTATAATCAACTCATTTTCCACGCATATTTAAATGAAGTGTCATCTTCACAACATAAAAGAACTGTATCATTATTTTAAATTCGCGTTCTGGAAATCCGATACCTTTCTTGCAAACAAGAGAATTGTTTTAAATTTCATGCAATCGAGATCTAACAAGTGTTCCCTTAATTTTTTTTTAGAATTGTGATTTATCCGGGTGTGATCTCTTTGAAGCTAATCTTCGCGGATGCAATGTTACAGGAACGAAATTTGAAGAAATGATAACGCCTCTACACATGACACAAACGGTGCCGTAGCTCTGAGAGATGAGATACAAAATGTATCGAATACCTGTTCAAAATATACATACATGATTGTGTGATGTAATCCACTATAAAAAATAATTCACGTAATGTTCTATCGTATTTTTGTACGGTTTATACATGTTCTATTATGCTTGACCTCTTCTTTGAATTGGGTGCCACATGTCCACCTAGAACAAAGCTCTGAACGGAGAGCCATCGGATAAAACATATTTTCTGTCATAACCTATGCAAAGCATTGCAACTAAATTGGGAAGAATGAAGTTTTGCGTAGTTTTTGAAAAAAACGTCTTCACGAAAAATATTTTATATTAATTTATAAAATTAGAATTTTTTTTCTTTTCAATTCCATCTGCAATCAAGTTGAATTCCATAATTATGCTTTCTCACTGACTAATGCAATGTGTGAAGTATTCAAAGAGCCCATTCAGAACCGACATTTTCCACCTCCTTTCTTATACCTAGTGTGAGGTGATGAAATTTAAACAAATATTGGATTTATTGTGTTAAAACCAGAAATCGAATCGTGCTAATATGATAAATTATTATTGTTATGGTATTACTTACATTTGCTTTATGTACCTTACGTTTGAGGACTATCAAAGAACTATTAATTTTTTACCTTATTATAAAATACACTGTACAGTACATTTTAATTGTCCTTTTATTTACTTATTCTTAGACTTACGATATATATATATTGTGTCGACTCGAAATTCCAAATTTTGTTTTGATTGAATATTGGATGAAAGGAATGTGACATAAGGCATGATTTATAATGTTAAATTTTGCCCCTAACAATTTTGCCATACAGTAAATAAGTTATAATATTGTAATCGGAACATATTATGGAATAAAGTGAGGCGACCATCGCTATACATGCTAATATATATATTCTAATCAGTGAGCAGACGACCTTTATTCATGCCCGACTCGAACCTTAATTCGTGGTGAATTTTTAATGTATTATGGCCATTTGGCAAAAGTGTGAAAAACCTATTCGGGGAATGAATGGCCAAATGTATACTTTATTTATTACCTAGTACCCATTGCGGAAATGTAGTTAAGATTATTTTGGGATGATATAAATAATAATTATAAAAATCGCCCCCATATCGCTTGAATGTATACAACAGAAGTGTACTCGTAGGAACGCCAAATTTATAATTAAAAATTGATAAAAAAAAACTTCTGCCTAATTATAAGAATGGCATTGTGGTATGATTCAGACATCGGTCCGCCTATGTTTGTGTTGCGCACTAGATGATTGTGTAGAGACTATATTTGGTTCTTCATAATTAAAAAATATTGTTTTCAGAATATATTTGCTCAATATGTACGATTATTTTTCAATATTGTGGTGTGGGAAAAGGGATAAGACAATTTTTGCGCGTTTTGCGCATTTTGGAGACTTGTAAAATAGTATAGTGAGGAGGGGATGTATCATAGATATCTATCGACTGATATAGGACATTTGCCACAGTTTCAAAATAAAGCATCCAACGATAGTTCTGCAAGGCCGAGTTGTATGTGAATTGTGGAAAAGTGTCTTTGCAGGAAAAAGTTAATCTCTTGATTAACTGTGAATGAGCAACAAACAGCATGTCGGTAATATTTTCACGAGCGCGGTCATATTTGAATAATCATACGTAATCCAGTTAGTATGTGGAAGTACACAAGATTTTGAGGCTTACGAATGCACCAAGTTTTGGTTACGTTAAGAATTGCACTGTGCTTACAGCGAAGCGTTTTGTGGTCTTGTTAGATATGCGTATCCACTAGGTGGCGTAATTGAACGACTAAGTAGCCTTGTTCGGCAAGCGCCATTTTGTCTTCGCATGGCTTCCAGATTTAACGTTTAAAAATCGAACGCGCAGAGTCAGCTCACCATGTATCAAATAATTTTATTTGGTATGAAAATATAAGAATGTATGGAAACCAACCGTTATAATTCAAATATATGTTAAACCAATTTTCTGCGCGGTATTTTATTCAATATCCAAAATTTCAACTCAAAATAATATTTGTTTAGTATTTTATTATGACGTCATATAAGCTATCAAAATATGGTTACGTATAAAGACGGAGGCGGTAAAAACTAGCAATTGTCGAAGCATCAAGACGATTTGATAAACATGTGTCGAGATAAATATATTCCTAAATTAAATTGTTGAAAACGTTAGCACGGTAATGAAATATTCAACCTGTCACCGGTAGGAAATGTTATGAAACAAATATGCGTTCCCACTCAGCTTAACATGCATCATTTATGACAGACGATCCGACTGCATTTTAACTGTGTCTGTTACGAAGGAATTAAGCGGAGCGTTAATCGTATTTACACTCGAGTCCATGCCATAAGGCGTTTAGGATTAAATTAGATGTAAAGAAAGAAAATGATTCTTCTTTGCCCATAATTACACGAACTGAGAAAAATTAAGACGAGTTTGTTTATTCGATTTTTATCGAGTAAACCTCGATGCTGGTGGTAAGGCTAGGAATGCTGATCTGTTAACCACCAACCACCAACCATGTTTCATATTAAATTAAATTTACGATTCTTTGTTTAATTAATCATCCTATTTTATTCTTTGAATTGAATATTTTGATTGTCAATAGAATAGAATCACCTTTTAATGTAGTGTTGTATCTGTGCGTTATAAAACGAATAAGTTTTGCTTATACGAATTGATGCGTTTGAAACACTCAGTATGAAAAATTTAAATCACAATAAATATGCGTCTAATAAAAACGAAAATCATCGCAATGAATGTATTCATTATTTTTTGTAGTAGTTCATTCATTGCTAATGCGTATCTCCATTTTAAAATAACGGTGAAAATAAAAATGACGTAACAGACGGACTCTTCAACGACGTACATTTTGGATGCCAGTCAATGAGCTCCCTTCTTATTTATTTTGAGCCCCTTTAGATTATAAAATTATTTTGGTCGAATATGTGACAAATTTTTACGGTTGGTTGTCTAATATATATTTGGTATTAGAAGCACATCAATACGGTTGGTAAAATTGAACACAACACCACGTTTGTCCTTGTACTTTATTGCATCCAAACTTCAGCTCACAATGTTTGTCATCTATATGTGCTTTTCCATGCTTACTTTTGAGATATTGAAATATATCGAATTATAGACAAGAATTCGGGAGTCTGTGCTATATTTTTTCAACACTTCCTAAATTTTTGAATGTCCATTATGATCTTCCGTTGAATCGCACGAATCAACACAGTGTACAAGCAACCTGATTTCGAACTAGCTTGTGTTGGTGCGTATTTTTGGTGTGTTTGGACCTGGGGTGGAAATTTCTATGATTTTCAACCGTTGGACTTTGGACAAATAGTAAGCCTCATAAATGACATTGTACGCAAATTATGGTCGGGACTATTCAAAAAAGTTCGCACTTTTACAGAAACATTAAGTGTTATTTTTTGTGCGCTATACAACAAACATAGGAAATAATACCCGTTATTAAAATGTGTAGACTTTATGAACTATTGTAGTGGGTAGATTACGTGTAAACGTTGTTTGATAAAGCTATTTTGGAAAAATGGCAATGCTATTAATTCCAAGAAGCGTACGTGGTTTGTGGATGTGGTTTTGCTATCAAATACAAAAAACTTCGAAATTATTTCAAAAGTATTTTCCATCCATCTGCATGTACGTACTCATCTTTATAAATTAGTTAAACATTTTTATGTATGGACCGAGCTTGGCTGATAATCTGCTTGTTGCGGCATTGCCCTTTCTTGCAAAACCAACTAAATGTGCTAATATTTCTACCAATTTTCTGATTTCTTTTTACAGCCTTTTCCAATTTTAATACGCGAATAATTTTCATCTTGTAATGTTTATATATTGTATATTTTGTCAACACAGCATAAACTAATACAAAAACGCATGCAAAGATACTAAATATGCTACCAAAACACAGCAAAGTTCACGCATAATGATAAACTGGTTCACAAAAAAACCTTCACTCAAACAAGTTGTTGTTCGTTCCGCAACAAAATGGTAGAACCTTATTTTATCAAAAAATGCTAGTACCGTTGGGCAATAAAGCTAACAATAACAGCAGTTTGTGTCGGGCAGTTCGACTTCCTATGGAAAAGGGTCGCCTTACACAAAAATATTTCTGGACTTTAAAGGGTTTTAGGGAGAAAAGCCACAACGTATGAAAATGTTGAATAAAAGCATCTAAGTGATCAAATCGACTTTCAACGCACACTGCATATGATAATCGTCATTATACATCAGAGTTTGTGCCAAATTTACGCCCAAAATGTTGGCCCCACATATAGTCACCAGCAGTGCCGGAAATTGAGCCGCTTTAGATAATAAATCAATGTATTCAACGCTTCTGAATCATACCACTGCGTACATTGTAGAACAAGAAGAAGTAGGTAAAGCGTTCAGTCAAATGTCGCCAATCAAATTTGTTTGATGTCACACAGAAAAAAACTATGACATTCCGACAAACAGGGGTGGACGTTTATATGTGGACCAAATGTTCTGTAATCATAAGTACCACATTTTAACTAGGAAGCAAGGTTCCTATGCCATTTGCTTTCAACACAAACTATACTCTGAGCAGGGTTACATTGACTCAACTTATCATTTCTATTGGTTCATTTGGCTTGGTTTTCAAATTTGTTGCTGAACTTTCATATTTGGAACTTAAGAAAATTACTTTGGATACAGGATGTGTGTCATCAAATTAACTCCAGTATTCGAAATAAATATTATTGATTTGTATTAGTTTTCATATCCCAAGTACATAAATGGGAACAGACATGTATGGAATTGATTATTTGAGTACTATGCTTCTCCATAATTTCACGAGTAAAACATAAAAAATAAAATTGAACAAATTTAAATCGTATCAATTTCATTCGTTTGGTGAAATAGTTACATTTTTGGATAGGCCCTGTTGTGAATTAGGTTACTCACGGTGAAATTAAATGGATGAGAATTGAGTCCAACGGGGGAAGAAACGCTCGAATTTCTGCTGTTTGAATTGTACTGGGAATGCTGATGATTCAAATTTGATGGAACGGATCCATCATACACCATACAACTCATGCAGTCTGAGCCTGTCGCTCCTTCAAGCGATTCCGACATATGGCTTGTGCCGTTCGACATATCGTATCTCGCAGATTCAAGACTGACACTCGGTAATCTACCGTTGCGCCCACTTGGACTTCTCTGTGACGTTGGGGATCCTACTTGGTGGTTTCGCATGGAATCTGGAACTTCATGTTTAACGTGCATTCCTGACGACGGGTAAATTTCGTCGTGTTGTTTCATTCCGTGGTCCAACAGCGAGTCGTGATGATGGTGATGGTTTCCTAGATCCTGGGCAACATGGCCTCCATTGTTGATACGATTTTCGACGTTTCCGTTTTGCAAAGAATTCAACATCGATGCAGGCGGTGGAATCTGTGGTAAATTGTAATCTGAAAGCTTGTTGCTAGCATCTCTTGCACATGATTCCCGACGCTTGCGTTTTCTTCTGCAATTGAAAATTATATTTTGGCTTCATACAAACCCAATTTTGCTATAATAAAGCATCAGTAACATTTATAATATTTTACTATAATAGCATAGCGACGAAAAATAAAAAATTATCAGAGCTGCCATCCCAATACAGATTGGGACTTCACAGATTAACATTCATCATTATGAATTATCTTTTATTACTCAATCTCTAACTCAATTTCATGGTGAGAGCCCAGAAAGTAAGAGTAGAAATTGAACGATACTCCCCAACGCGGGTGCTTTTTATGTCTAAGTGGTTTCTTTTTAGAGCCTTCTTCTGAGCGAACGTTTATATAGTATAGTTTCGTATATTACTATACGGTCAAAATCATCATCATTCACCAATCGTTCATACTTCTAAAGTGAAAAAAAAAGTTTTTGTAGCATTATTTTTTCGCAATATTTTTGATGATTGTTTTGTTTGGTATTGTCATGGATAATACTTGTATAAAACCAGTGGCGAATGTGATTTTTAAATCAGCGAAATCTAACTCTAAATTAGTTGATTGAATGAGTAACGATATATGAGAATGGAACTCTTCGGGCGTTGTTCGAAAATGCTTCGTATTCTATATTTTTCTATATTCAAGATGATGTTATCATTTCCAAGAATAGGAATAGTTCTTTAATTAACTTATTAATAACTTTTGCAATATTTGCTGATCCTCTAGCTAATGTGCGACGCAAGAATTTGTTAATTTTTCATGTTTTCATCAGTTATTTCGTGGGATTTGCTGTTACCAAAGATGCATTTTGGTACTATTAATGTTTGTAATATTTCCCCACCCCCTTTTTCTGATCTTTGTCTTTGATTTTGTTTATCCGAAGTTGGGAAAATTTAGAACTTGGGGCTAATTTGGCCCAAGGTTAACACATTCGAATAAAATAGATTGGTAAATTAGTGGTGAGGCAATCATAGGAAAGCCCTCTATTTCTTATTGATAACATTTGATATGTACCATTTGAAAGTTAATCAAAAACATATAGGAATGTCCATATCTAAAGTTTTATTCGTTTCCTCCGCTACCGGATAAAGTGACTCCGCAATCGTTTCCTTGCGAATGTCCTTTAACTCCGAATTGCGTGATTGGTCGCTACTTGTGATCCATCGACACGGTGTTGCCAGGATGTAAACCCGACATGGTCTCGACAATATTTTGAGTCGAATTACGCCCCGTTCAGTGATTATCACGTCTACTGGAACCATCCACTTGAATCGTATTCGACCTGCGATACGTTATTAAGCGTTTCTGTCTCAAGGTTATATGGGAATAATACAGCATTGCCACTGAAGCATATTTTTGATTTAGGTAAAGTCACGCTTATGCTTTTACTTGTGTACGTATTAGTTTGGCGACTGGGGTCTTGGTGCAAGTAAGAGTATATCGATGTTGATATATAAATTAAAACTTTTCACGTATAAAGCCACCAACCTCGTGTACATTGTATATTACTTTAAATCCGTTTAATTTTAATTTGATATAACTTTCGCCAAAGATCTGCTGTGAAGCATTTGTTTCGAGTAAACAGAGTATCAAACATGTGTAATGCGAGATTTTTTGACGAGTTCGGTTCCGAATAGGAAAACATACTGAGCAATAAAGTAATATGAATACTGCTGCTAAAATTTGTATTTTTTACGCTTTTTTTAATATGCATAGAAAATTTATTTTAGTCTTTATCTGATTTTTGATTCGATTTCCCCCTCAAAATGGTATCTGAAATTAAATCTTGAACTGGACTATAACCATCTGTATCCGTTGTTATAGTTGTTTTTGTTTTATATATACATCAGAAGAATTAAGGACATCAATATGGCACTACAATATAGATTATTATTATCTTGGTTCGGTACAGAACAACTCCAGCACCACTCCAGGTGGTGTAGAATACTTGATTTTCGAAATGCTCCAAATCACGAACCGTCTTTGTAGTCCACTATTGTTTATTTGACACAAAGCCGAACACATTACATCTCGGCGACAAATTCACTAATGATTGGAATTTGAAAATCCATATACAAATGAATCACATTGCACGATGTGCTTTGTAGCCACCATAAAACAACTAAACATTTTTTTATGATGTGGTGTATCTGCAGTGAATCGCTCTTAGTAAAGCTGTTTTATACAGGTGCAGCACACAGATCATCATAAAAAGACTTGTTGTTTGTTACATGAAATTTGAATTGAACCATCACACAGTGCGTAACATTTTTGGCAAAGTTAAGAATTAGCCGCTGAATCGTTTTTAAAGTTTGTTGACCAAACAAGACAGCTTGAGCTTTGAATTCTAGATTCGTTGAACAGGTGTTTAAAAAGTTTGTTATGACATGGTAGTTTTCGACACGCATCTCCAAACTTGTAATAAACATTATAACCATTACATCTGCACCGTGTGCGTGGAAAACAGCAGCAATTTTTTTTAAACTCTTTTTGATCATTGTTGAGATCGTACCATCTATCTCAATAAGATGGTTAAAATAAGGGATTAATCTAATTTAAAAGGAGATTGAAGGTAACTCGACAATTTTATCAGCTCGAGCCAAATCAAATCTGATTTAAGACCGAAAATATTATATTTTAGGTTGGTATAAAAATAACGTAATTAGCGGCAATATATATGATTGTGAATAAGTATTAGGAAAGAAATGATTTACAATATGAATATTTTCCCATATAAAAATCAACAATTCCAGCTCGATTCAAAGACGAATGTTGGAATTAAACATCTCAATCGCACAACTATTCATTTTGTTAGTTCAACACCAGTTCCTTGTATCATTCAGGTACAATTTCGGACGACGTATCATTGGTTTTATAGATTTTTACTTTACGTTATTTGAACAATATATTTCACCCATTGGCTCCAAGGTTTGGATTTTACTATTTCACGTTTACAGAGTTAATAAACACGCAGTTCACCAAAAAAGGTATGACACGGTAATTATTTGCAATGGTGCTGATTCTAATTAACTTAATTCTAATAATCAAAATATAGTTTTATGCAGGGTTTATGCAGACACTCATTTCTGAATCAAGGTATACGTGAAACCACTGGAATGGCACGTGCTCTCACTCAAGAGGTAAAAAAGGCTCATTCCTGAGCCAAGTTACCATCAAAATGACAAGAAATACTGAAAAACTTTATAGAATTATATTGGAGCAATACATGCTGATTGAAACAAGACTTAAAGCAGTTTAACGGAATAAATATTCCTTTTTCTAATATTCATGCCCGCTCGGACAGAATGTACGGCATGAATACGGCGGAGTTTCTTGATATATCACAATTTTGATATTCATTGTTTCTATCGGCGTCAAAGCTCCAGAATAAATGAAAATGACCTTTCAAAATATTTGGTTGCTAATTACCGAATCGATTTATAACTTATTTTTTTTTCTTGCCAGAATTGAGCGTTCTACGTCGCATCATCGACCTTGTTACAAATTATTCGTGAAATGTGGCATCGGGCAAGCGCTACTGTATAAACGTCAGTGACCTCCTAATAGGCGTTGAGATAAATATCTTACATTATGTATGAAATACTCGCAAGCGGGTGTCTAAATGGCTGTTTTCGTTGTCACCGTAATCATCTTAATGCGACCGATTTAAAACCGACCTAAATTTAGGGTTTTAACTGTACATTTCTCATATATAACTCTTTATAAACATCTTTATTTTGTATATTTGGTGCATTTCGACATCGTTTTTGCGTTCTAAATATACACGTTAGACTTTTACATTGCTTTTAGTTTCTCCACTGACTAAACATTATTTAAAAATTTAATTATTAAACTACGTATAGTGCTGTTCTACTACTATGTGTGATAAGTTATACTTCCATTGTAATTCTAATGACGCATATCTGTGATAAATTCCATATTTATTCTTGTCAGAAAAAATCAATTGTTAGGTCCTAGAGAATTCACGATTTATACATACTTGTATACGCAGAAAAAAATGGTTTAGTGGCTCTGAGTAGTTGATTGGTATTTTGTATTCAAATTCAAAAAGGTAAATTGGTTCATATAAGATTGGTATCTGCATTTTGAAACTATTTATCGTCTTTTTTAATCATGCGACATAACTATCAGTGTGCGCCCGTGACTTTGATTTGTTCGAATTTGCATTTAAAGAATAAAATATATAATGTATTTACCTGAAATTTCCATTGTCGAACATTTTCTCACAGTTCGGATCCAACGCCCAGTAATTGCCTTTCCCTGGGTCGTCTTCATCACGAGGAACTTTTTTGAAACAGTCATTCAAAGATAAATTGTGTCGTATAGAATTCTGCCATCCAGCTCTGCTTTTCTTGTAGAAAGGGAAATTTTCTGCCACATATTGATATATTTGTGCTAAGGTAAGTTTTTTCTCTGGAGAATTCTGAATGGACATGGCTATCAATGCTGAATAAGAGTATGGCGGACGCACTAGTTTAAATATATCAGATTGACTGGATAACGAAAGCCAAGCAAAGTCAGATCCAAAACCACCGGGGCCAAAAAGTTGTCTTTGTCCTGCCGCTGCAGCGGCGTAAGAAGCGGTTTGCATGTACGAAGTCGAGTTATAGGGATTTCCCGTGGCTGCATTTATGCTTGCCGTTCCTGCAGCAGCCGCGTTCAACCATAAATACGGGTTGGAAGCGCTCGAGGAATAATCTAAGGGTGACGGGTAATGGTGATGTCCTCCGGCGGCGACTGCAGCGTGGGGACTCCGGGCGGATGAAACAGATCTTGCATTTTGATTATAAAAATTATCATACATAGGAGGAGCACCAGCTGCAACTCCTGTCCCGTCCAAGAAATCTTGTTGTTGGTGATGAAAGGACATGCCACCGGTGTTGCTTTTTGTATATTTCGAATTTCCTTTGTTTACAAATTCGTATGGATAGCTTTTACTTGCTGTTGCAGTCGCTGTTGCTTGAACAACCCAACTACGAGAATTTGAATATTTGTTTTTTGATTTTGTTGTCGGAAATGAACAGTCGACGCTCACACTTAAAACCAAATTTTTGTTAAGATTATAAGTTCTTTTGTCGTGCTTCTGCAAGTATTCGTTACATGTGTCGAACTTAGGTATACTTCTGCAAACAGCCGTTGTAGATAGATCGCTGCAGTTGTATTGCATACTATAGAAACCAACCGATATTCTTTTCTTCACTCCTATCCTGAAACGAAAAAAAAATCAACAATTATATCTACTCAACGTCCAGTATAAAATACCATCCCGCTCGCATCGAAAACCCTTGGCGAGGTATTATTATATTTTGGCTTTTCAAGGTTATTTTCACCTCGGCATCGCCTAGCAAACTGCATGTTTGACAAATTTACTTTTTCTAATAACGTCACACAAAACGGCGTACCAGGTATATTGGAAATAATACATACCGTGTGCAATTCTAAATTTATATATCAGTAATCTTAGCTTATATTTCGAAAACTCAAGCGAGCGAATCAGCAATGTCGGAATACAAATACACAAATTATAGAATCTTATTAAACGGAAGCCACGATGAATAAAAATTCATGATTACGAACTGAGGAATTGCTTTTATTGAATAATCTCCCAACTGCAACCCGCATTCAAAATATAACGCAAGCGTTAATATAATACAATACAAATGAAATTGAAAATATTTCCCTCATAATATAGTTTACTTATGGTAGATCCCTCCATCTTCTAAACATGCGTTATAAACGACCATGTATGATGCGAAAACTTAACTGCTACATGTGTAAAGTACTAATACTCTCTTAAAACGTTTGAACGATCATTGCATATAACTAATAACCTATACTAATAATATGTTAGGTATTTATGTTTAAACTTTACTATCGCTGTATGCAACACCCTTATCTTCTCGTAACTGCCAACAATTGGAGTTATCTATCTAAAATAGATGCTCAGTCAGGCGATTTTTACTACGTCTGCATCGGGTAAACAACACAAAAAATAAACACATTCGAGGTTCCATAATAAGCTGCACGAGTTTATCCAAAAACCCGTCTCGATAGTAAACCCTGAACTATATTTGTGGTGGAAATATCCCCCTTTTGGTAAAATAGCGGCGATTAATTCCGTATTTTCATTCGGCTAGAAATAAGCCTGTAGGTAACGTTTTCCGGTAATGTAGCTATAGATGCACGTTTGCGATATTGCATATTAAAGCTACACTTTATTGAGGTAGGTATGTTATGCTTAATTTAGATCGCAGAATAGTATTTGAATTATAGTTGCACTCACCCAATATGAAATAGTAGAAGTTGTCTGTGACACCGTCTTGTAATTGATTGTATCCGTTATGCTCAACGATAGCGACTTACGTTGGAAGGTGATGGGGCGTCGTTTCCTGAGGATTGGCGCTGGTCGTGTTCTTTTTTTACGCAAATCTTTTGAGAGATACGGCCAGGGAGAGAATACACTAGCACCAAATTTGTCAATTAGGCGAGGTTATGTGATATATAAAATTTTGGTGATATATTCTGATACATAAAATATTCTAATAAATTAATTTAAATTTTTTTATATTTTTTTGTGAATTTACAGTAATTTACAAACCTAATCTATAAATCAACATTTTCGGAAGATTTTCTTGACCCATGGTCGCTTAATGTTGATATACAATTAAAAATTAACGGCTGGTTTTGTATGGTTTGTCGACATACCAACCATATAATAAAAGTACAAAATAATTAAAACGATAAATAAACAACTGTCAAATTTTCATCACCAGTTCGTGACATGGGAAATTATTAATGAGGGCTTATGTAGAAGAAGAAAAATGACGTTTCACCGAATTTTACTGTTATTTTAGGTTATATTTCACTGAGAATTACCTATAATAATTTATATTTCATCAGTAATGAGTTTCCCCTTGACAGCCCAAGTTCTATTTACTACACATTACAAAAAGATATTACCAGAAATTTAAATTTGATTACTTTATAATTTTTTTAATTGTCTGATTTTTCGTAACACTGAAATACTTGTAAAACATGAAGTCTCAATCGTCTAACCATGTACAAGAAATTTAGGAAGCATCACATTTGTCTAATTTGATTATGATCTTATTCCCCGGAGGTGGCCATGCAGATAACGAGGATTAAGCATCTGTAAAACAATGATGTTTTAACGTTTTATTTACATTTTGTTGCCAAGATTTCTCGTTCCGGATCTAATATCTCGAGATCAAATCAGTACGAGCTAATGAAACAACCAAATATTAGAATTCAATTTTTATCATTTGTTTAAATCTTTCATAGTCAGAAGAAACATTGTAACATGCTGTAGCATGTTTTGTATTACAGCAATTAATAAAAAGCTTCTGAATTACGCAGAACGCTGTCTGTATTTGGTTAAGTGATGGAATAAACCTTTTAAACGGAAGGGCCTGACTGACAGGCGTACATCATCACCGTTGCCCTTGGCGTTGCTGTGACTGAGTAAAAATAAACTACGTGGTCAGGGTCAAATTCTTTCTCTCTTGGTGACGAATTTGTAGATATTAGAGTCACGCGTGCAATCTGTCAGTTTTTATCCAACTCCGCATATCGCGAGGGGGTATTTTGTTTTTGGAAACATTTGGAATAATTAGTAATTTTTTTATGTGTTTTTGAAAATTCGTGTTTTGATTTCCAATTTTTTTTACCCCTCTTAGAATTGATTTCATTTTTCTGCGCTGGAATTTCGTTCGGATTGGCATACTGGTGGGTTGTTGGGACAGAACAAATCGTCTTTTCAGAGTATTATAATGTAACATCTATATTTTATGAATTTTAACTTCAAAACCCCTCATCGAGTGTTCAAATAACTTCCGAAGTTTAGACAAATGTATTGTCAGTGATATTGGATGATTTTAGAAATACAAAATGAATTAAATTAAGGGAATGAAACTATATTACACACCAACGTTTAAAACTTTTCAAATACTACGAAAAGTAAGCAATAATATGTCATTCCTACAGTCTCCATTTTTTTTCTTTTCATTTTTTTAAAAATTTTGACCTTAATACACATCCAAGTAATTATAGTTATTCGGTGCTCAGATATAAATAGCTTTCCACTGGCGCTTGCTTCTTGTTGAAAAAGCGAATTCGCGAAAGAACAGATACCGTGCCGAATTGATTCAGACGGAATAAAGTACATGTCGACTTCATCAATTTCTCAAACGCTGTGCAAGAGGGTTTGTTTTTTCTGGCGACAACACAACATTCTTCATTTTGTTTTCGAAAATAAATTATTTCAAGATCAAATATGGACAAGACTGTGACTGGAGAGTAATAAGTGCGCGTATTTTGAGAATATTTCGTTTTTTATATTTGTTTCAAGCATAAATTTTATTATAAAATATAGGTACCATTTCCCCGAACAAGACTTTAATTATAATTAACCCGTGAAAATAAATTAAATTTGACCGTTTTTTCAATTTAAGAAAATCTGTCGATATAACTTTTCTAATGAGATGTAGGCAGTGACCTGTTTTTACACGACACTTTCGCAACTTTATTTCGGCTAAAGTTCTGAACATGCATCCAATGATATGTGAGGAGATAGCTACTGGTTTTGAAGGAACTGCATTTTTCCGGTTTAGAATTATTGCCCGCCCAAATTATCACGCTCTGCTGGGTGAGACGGTGGGCATGGAATTTAACCATAGATTTGAGGTTGCGATGTAAACTTCAACGATTCAATGATTAGGGAAGATCAGATAGGTTTTTTCATAATTTATGAAGTCATATGTTTTAACATTTTCTGATAACCGACTTTTCAAATCCATTACAAATGAAATAAAACAAAGTTTTGTTCTCACGCATCAAGAAATTCTAAAATCTTATCTGAACAAAGTTGTGTTTTCTGTAAACTGTGACGGCAATTCTGGAAATTCCAAAATGTTCATGTAATTACTTCGTTTATTTTGACTAAAAACTTTAGGCAATGAAAAAAACCAATAACAGTCTTTGTGGATTTAAGAAGCGCAACAATAGTGGGCGTCCGGTAACACCCCGCACTCGACGGTAACAGAATTTGAACAAAGGGTTACATCAAACATTCCCACCCTTACCGATAGGCAAGTGTAAGCAATGATTTGTGTACAGTTTAGTGTTGATAATTTTTACTAGATTGGTTCGTTTTCAAAACACTTTTATTGTCTATTTTATTTAATTCCCCGAATACACTTTAACCAATTACCGAAAAGGTGACGTAATTATTAATGTTTCCCAAATTCTACCGATTCTGTTCTGAAATTTACTCCTCAGGATTTCTAAATTTAACTCAATGATACCCAAATCAAAAAAAATAACACTCACTCGTGAATAAATTTGATACTATTTAAAAAACATTTTTACTCGTAGAATATTTTATTTATTAAAATACGAGCTATATAGTGTGACTTCGAGTCGCGATCCATATTTTGTCGTGGACACGAACTAGAACGGATTTAATAGAACAATTTGCGTCGAGCAGACAGTCCAATGTATTTTAAATTAAAACTTCCCAATAAAGATGGATTATGTCCAGTGCATGTGTCTTTTTACACAAGAGCAAAAAAACATTAAATTCGAACATTTTAGGCATAAAAAATTTGCATAGCATTAGTTAAGTAGATTCGACGATTCGTACTTTTTTATTCACATTGCTGTTGCTTTCATTTCATCAATGTATTTGTTTTGGTGAATAACACCGATCTATATTTTTGTGACATTAATTCTTTTGTTTTATCCGCATGGTCGTTGGAGTATATAATTTCTGATTGGCGGTAAATTTTACAAATTGACAAAATAAACTGAATTAAACAGAAAGGAATATGTAACGAATCATTGTGTTATGCTTCCATCTTCCTGTTGCTTTGGAATTTATTTTATCAATGTGATGTTTTGGTATGAACCACTGAGTGTCGTGTAATTCCTGAATTCGATAGTAAGGAATGTTTGGATCGTTTAACCTTTGTGTTTATTGAATTTACACAAAAACTTCTATCAAATTCCTATATTTCTGTATCTTTTTTATATTATTTTTTTTGTTGCAAGGCGGTTATTACGTAGAATTACGATACTTGCGACATCATACTATTTGATCGTTAGAATGAAAGCCTATTGACTCTTTAAAAATTGACTAGTGACGATTAATTAAAACCTTTAGTGTAGGTCTGGGCTAACGTTGAATAGCAAGTTTCAATTCGATATTCAAGGATTTTCTATAGAATAGAATATAAAAACTATAAAAATAATAATCAGATCGGTCACACTTTGTATGAATCACTCGGTGCTCGGATTGTTAATATTTTTAATATCAAGTTTTCAAATTGATAATGTTGTTTAATTAACGACGTTTTATGATTATTGTGAGGGTATAGGGCCCCTGTTGCTCGTTCGGTCCACAGCTTAATCCGCTCATTCCTAAATAGAAACCACGCAATCTGAACTTCCGACACTGTAGTCTGCTTGTATACCTGTTAGAAGCTTTTTTCGTCTTTTTAATTTTCTTTTTCACTAATTGTTACGTTTCAACGACGTGAGACATCGGTCAAAAACATTGATAAGTTACTTAAACGTTCAATTGTCAAAACTACAGGGAGTACACCTCGTGCCGATTTCTCGACTGATATTTTGCAAGATTTGTTTGTAAGGGGGTGTTTCCACTATTACATAGCGCTTTATGACTTAAATTGTATTCAGTCGCGCAATACCCTGAGCGTCATGTTAGGTGCTATATATCCACTGTTCGTCCCTATAAAACCGCTTAACAATATTTGTCATGACTTGTAAGATAATTTTTTTTTAGAATTACTTTAATTAAAGCATGCATGACCATCTGTACTCGTTATAGGCTTTCAAATTTGAAATACTGAAGCGGTGGCGTAGCCAGGGGGGTGGTTTTGCGGGTCGACCCCCCCCCCCCCTTTTTTTGAAATGTAAAAAAAATAAAAATAATTTTTCTGTATCATAAATAGCAATTTTTCGTAGCTTAAAATGCTTTTTAGACCCTCAAGACTAATAAAGACAGCTGTTTCGATCTTACTTGGCAAATATAAATTTCAGTCCCCCCCCCCCCCTTTTGAAAATTTCTGGCTTCGCCCCTGTAATGAAGCTTCGGTTTGAAAATAGCTTTTGAATTGTTATTTTTGCATTTCACGGTGTTGTTTATTGTGAAAACGTCATTGAAACGTCATAACACAAACAGAAAGTATAAAATATGAGTGGAAAGTATCGCAAATAGGATTTGAGCGATAAAAATGTAGAAAAGAGCTTCCGTAAATCGCCGTTGGTTTAACATACCGGTGTTATAACTATGAATGATAACGATAAGTTATCTCGAAAAAATGGGTTGAGATTTCACAAGGATTGTTCTTTTAATCGAATTTCCGTGATAATTTCGCTTTTTTATGTATTGTAAATTTGGTCATTTAGAACATCAAAATAAAACAATATTGTTGGACAATATTAGGGTCGCATTTATGATATGATGCACACATTCAATCTAAAGAAATCATTGAAAAAGTCCGGGATTAAACGTGTGGAAATATCTAATTGCTTCAGAGAATCGAAATCTAATTCAGCGTAGTCTGCCCAGTTCATTACGGCCTTATGTGAGGTATTTGTATGTGAGCTTATTTAAAAACATTTTTGGTCAATTTTTCACGATATTTTAATTCAATAATGAAAAGTAATAAAATATGGCAAAACCAATAACTTTTATAAGGTGTACATATCTTCGCTTCCAACAACGTTCTGTACATAACAACCTCGTCCACGTCAAAAGCGTACATATAAATGAAAATGTGAATTTAAAGTTGAGCAACGGGATGAGAAAAATTCGAACCGGAAATCCATAACCAGTCATGTCAAAATAGTTAAACCAACGTACAAATGGCTGGGAATTTGAATGGATATATAACCCGAATCGTTGAATGGAATATCCTATCTATTTGGGCTCTCATATTTATATATAGACAGCGGGTTCAATTTTTACAACAGCAACACAATGTGGTACCAGACCATATGTCTTCGTTTGTCGCTCAAAAATTATCATAAATAGTCACGGAAGTGATTGTTTCGGTCACTTTTTTCCTTTTTAGTGGAAGATATTATTTTTAAAAATGAAAATGAAAATCGTAATAAATTATTTTTATTTTCCTGTGTAACTGCTTACGTAATCAGCGTACATTTTATACATTTAATAAGACGTCAAACGAACGACAATTTTTTAGACATTCTTTCGTTTGTTTGGTTCTGGCACCTGTTGTTGACAAACTCAAGAAGTCGAATGGAACGTTCCAATGAGTTGGAAAGAAGTATTTAGTTTTATTTTGACCATGATGGTAATGACCGTTCATAAGTCAAACACACCTGACGATATATCGAACAAATGTGGTCTTTTGCGATTCGTCCAAAATAGTCATTTTTTTTAGAAATCAATACATTTTATAATTACCCATCAGTTGGGGTTACGAGAGACTACTTATCTTTTCTCTATACCTTTGTGCTATTGAACCCGTATGAGTATTATACAGGGTTGATGTAACAGAAATAAGATGACTATTTCTTGTGATTCAAGAGTCTTGCTAACACTAATATAATCGATTGGAGTTCCGCTTACCCGTTACTTATTAATAGGTATATGTGAATGATTGTAATGGATAGCCTTGATATTTGAGATGAAATGTAGCTATTTTTTCTTCTGTTAACTGTATATATAAATTACTGAAATCCTCTACAGTAAGTCTTCTGCAAACGATGTTGACATCTTTTGAATTTATTTCTACCGGTTAGGCAATTGTTCTACGCCGCGCCCCGCCACCTTCTTCCGTTTGTAATAAATTAACTACCTCAATTCCAAGTCAGCATCACAATTACTTTCAAACCGCAATATCTTCATTCATTTTCATAACCAGTTCGAACTTTTTTGTGAATCACTGTACAAAAATAGGTCTGTGGCTCGAAATATCCCGATATGTTGTCTGTATGGCGTATTTCTAGATGAAAACAACACATAATAAACTAAAATTTTATGTTTATTTTAATGACTTGCTACCTGTCACGCAACAAACAATTTTAAACAACTTGAATAACAAGTATATTCCTGTATTAATTTTCTTTTAAACAACATTTATAATGTTCTGTAAATCTCAATGAATACACGTTTAACAAACAAAGCGGTATATCTGGCGATGATAAAATAAGAAAGGAATAAGAAGATTAATTTTATTTAGATTACCGGACGTTAAGCTCAGATAGTTTACATATTTAAACGATAGAGTTAATTTTGTAAGAAGGTTCAAGACGTCAAATAAAGGACAGATAAACAATATGAAATATAACTTCGGGTGTTTATAAAGAAACCAATTAGCGATCTTTTTAATGTATAGATAGGTCTTTGTTTTGGGTGATATTTAATAAATTTAGTTATTTGAATACTAAAACCGAACTTATATTTGGTTGTCTTTGGTTAGTAATTTATGGAAATTAGAATCAATTATGTATGGTTTTTTGACCATTAGCACTAGGTGTAATGACATTACAAAAATATTGCCTCTGTTTCATTGTGAATGAAAGCTGAAACTGTAAGGTTCTATAATGTCCAGTGATCCGCAGAGTGAACTATAAGTGAGTTCATATATATTCACCAAATTGAGACTTGTTTCAAAAATTCATAGAAAAGCATGCAAAAGTTTTGAAATCAGTAAAAGTAAATAAATTAGCAACAAGAGCAAAATTTCTATTCGAAATCCAGAACTATGGAAGAAATTGAATTGAGTTTTCTAGTTTTACAAACGTTCTGAAGCTGGCGACTTGAATTATTTTTTGACATGGTTGTTGTTCAATCAAGTCAGAACCTGAATTATATCCGGAAAATCGATCTGACAATTTTGTTGCGTATATTCGATTTAATTTCTTATTTCTACTATTTCCCTGAAAGTGAAGATTTGTGTTATTTCGCGCAAATTTGAAGCACCCAAATTTTTGAGAAAATACAATCATTAATTTTTTATATTTTTCATTCAAAGTTTTTATAATATAGAAAAATCCCGTAAATTTTTTTTAAACTGTAATGCAATCTAAACTCGGCTTAACGCAAAAATAAACTGCATCACTGCTTGCCCTATTGAAAATATGTATATATTTTCTACGCTTAGAAACAAAATACTTTTAAAACTGCGTGGTATTTGGTACCATATCGAAGGCCAAATTCGCATATGTTGGTTTGAAATCTGATGTAATTTCTGACATCTTTTGTATAGATACAAGCTTTGATAATGAGATGAATTGTTTTGGTAATACAACGGCAACTTGATGTTTTACAAGGAATAGCAATCTGTCGTACACGGGACACATTTGTATGAAGTGTAGTATTTACGGAAGAGGTTAGTCACGGTCGATCACCATCGTCTCAACAGACTTCCTTATAAACTATAGCTGATTTCAACACCGTTTTTTTACTATACATGTAAAAATAATTTCCACCTCACTTCAACTTTTGTTAGTATTATAAATGTAGATGAGTTACAATATGTAGATATATTATTTAATAAATTTCAGATAGGGATTATTTCAAATCGAATTAAATTATTTAGTAAACCATTTAGTAATCGCCATTTTGTTTTTGCTTCCTATTCTCTCAATGTGCCTCTTTATCTTGCTGAATATTATTTCCATAACATTACTTTGACAAATAACTTTAATATATTCATTTGCAACATCATTACTGAATAAATCCGACTCTACCAGTATATAACCTTTCATAACATAGACACTTTTCGAAGTGTTTTCCATTTATTAAGATAACAAATAAATTTTATTTTTATGGCAATTTGAAATATTCAGCTCAGTATTAATTCAGGTAATACTCAATATTGTTTCTTGTATATATTCAAATATAATTATCATATGACTGATCAGTAGTGAAGCAGTCCATTGGCAACCACTACTTGAGGCTCTATTCGGTTCTGCCCGTATCAATAACAACCATATTGCAACCAGAACATATCAAAAAGTAATTCAATATTTCGTTAAGGGTCAGAAATTCAAATGAACCGTGACGAGGCAGATCACGGGGCAACAGAGAAACTATATGGTATGGATGGTGTAATGAAATTTTATGAAATTCAATATTTGATATATATTTAAACGATTCAGTCATGTAATAGTAAAAGATACGTAATTGTACCCATATTTCTCGGTAATCAAATTGAGTAAACTCTTGCATCCTTCCTCTGCTAAGTTTCAGTGAGAGTTACACGGCTTTATCGGCCAATTTGACAATATAGGCTGAGCCTATTATTTTCAAATAACGATAAACTCAACTTGTTATCGTATTTCAATATGAGAAAGAACTAATGAACCGCGTGGGGGTCATCTCCATTTTTATTTATTTTAATAAATATATATGTATCATAGGTTGGAACATATCAGTTTATCTGATGTTACAAATACCTGAACAAAATAAGCAAATGTGAATTTTGGAGGCTTTTTCTGGAATGGTTTGAAACCAATTTGTAGGATGGGGAATGTGGGATTGAGTTTTTTTTTTATATAAAAAATCAAAATCTATGTCACAAAATATTTCTAGACAACAATTTTTGGAACATATCACACACACTGCCACAAACTATAGCAGAGTGATTATTTTAATTCAGATTTTGGACATACTTCGGATCTCCATATAAAGATCTTTAGCGTACCTCAATTGTTTGGGGTTCGGATCAACCGAAATTAACCCATTTACAACTTGTTTGATAGAACTTGCCCAATCTGGCACCTCATGCACTATGTATTTGAATGAATAACACTATGAACAACAACAATATTCCATTGAGGTTATTAAAAATATGAAATAGAGGAAATAAACAAACACCAGAAGATGATATCTGGAACAGAAGTACAAATGTTTAAATCTTTTTTTTAAACTTTTGGGAATCGTTGTATAAGGTGATTAACACTGAAATTGTTGGGAGGATAGTGGTGCGCATATTGTCCGTGTACGTCTGTATTTGAACCGCCCGACATCGAATAGTTCAGAGATGATGACTGTGGGTAATAGCCAGCGTTTGAACCTGAATTGTAAAAGGCAGAGTAGCGGGAATCATAGGCGGCTTGAGATTGTCCCGAAGATTGATAGTCTGTGCCGACTTGGTTGCCGACCAGACGCGAACCATTCGAGAGCATTGCACTTGCTGTTGCAGAAGTTAAACCTCGACCTTCCACTGATTCATTTGGCATTTGAGAAGCAAGTGCATTTTCGTGTCCAATACTGTATCTGTGTTGTTGGCCTATGTTGTTGGGAGTCATATCGACCGCAGATCCCTCTGAAGCCGAGTTAGGAGGAGACGAGATATCAGACATAGATTCTGCAGCTTTCATACCAATTCCAGTTGGACTAGAGTGCAGTGGTGACGTGTGCGCCCTCGAGTGGTGTTGATGTCCATTTTGTTGGTGATGAGGAGTAACGTGATCCGTATGATCAGAAGAAACTTCAGTAGAGTTGTAATATCCCGATACGGAGGGGGCAGCCGTCGTTGCTGTCGTAGAACTTGGGGAATCGTACATAAATCTATCTGAAAGAGAGGATGCCGCCAGCGATACCGCAGTAGAAAAATGATGTGGGATATGCGGCAAATTGAAATCATGAGGCCTTTCCGATTTTCCATCAGATCCTTGACTTTGATCCCGTCTTTTTCTCCGTCTCCTAAAATTGACAAGTTTAAATTAATAAAGTTCGTCATTAAGCAGTGAAGTATAAACATCGCATTCCCTTCTGAGAACCGACTTTTATATATTATATATATTAATTTTGCTGTTCGTGACGCGCCTTCCTAAGTTTAATCGGATTACAATACCAAAATGAAATACCAATGTCAGAGTCGATGAAAAGGTCGCTAACGATGCCGATCGTCGTCAAACAACGAGATCTTTATGTGTGAACCCGATGGATTGCTCAAGTAGGTATGTTTAAAATATGAATCCGTGCAATGTTTGCCACTGTTGACATGTTTTCTTCCGCCATCGTTTAATAAACAAAGTGACGGGAATCTTATCTCAACTTTAATCCTGAATGCGAAATTACCACTAAAGATTAAATAACGACTTACACGCGGGCCGCGCGCCATCTTTTTAGCGCATTATCGGCGACATAATTCTGAGTAATAAGAAACATATTTTGGGTAACGTTTAAGCGTTCCATAAGCTGCTTGCTGATCAATTTTGTCTAAATGAAAGAGTATGTTGTATAAACATATAGTTGAACTGCGGAAAATCAAGCCTTGTATGAATTGAACAATAAATAACATTATTTTGGAAAATCTGTTGCTACACAACAACATAAATCAGGGATGCATAGCCTATCAGGTCGAGTCTGTCACCTTTCACAAAATATTTTTTTTAGTCAAGCTGGTGAAATCAGCCAAACATTTAAACTACTGCATTGTATGATGGTTTATAAAATATGGCACATAAGGCGAAGTTTGATATTTATTTATTTTTTATTTGAGATTTTACAAGGCCAACATTTTCACCTCTAACACATTTTTGATTGTGCTCACTATTTTTTTTTGTTTTCATCTAGTTCAAACTTTCCTAAAATAAAATTTACCATAAATAACAGTTTTTTATTCGTCGTCTAAATAAGCCTTGGACCTCAGTATAATTGTGGATCGATTAAAATTTGAGCCATCTGATCTTCAAGATTTTAAAAGATTTTTCTAAGAAAGTTTATAATTTAGCTTCAATACGCGAGTTTAATTCATCAATAAACAACGGATATGACAAACTGAATAGTTGGCCACACAAAAGACAATAACATATACACTCGGACTTGAGACATTTGGATTTGTTCGTAACTGCACTAACTTGTCGACAAGGATTTTAAATCCAAACGCACTGAATGTGTCAAAAATTATCCGCAACGGTCACGCGGTTCTTTAGGATTATTGCATAAACTTTTTTGGGTTTGCAAAACAAGATCAAGATTTTGCTTCATTGTTTGTTGGCTAACAAGTACTCAGTGTAAATACGTTTAGTTTACTGAAAGCACTTCTTTATTGTATTATTCTGTCTATGAAATAATCTATTATCAGAATACAATAGTTTAGATTGTCGAAGTGTGCATACAATTTTACATTTCGCATTCAGTAACTTGGCATAATTTTGATGAGTAGACATTGAAAATTATATAGACAATGAAATCTAGATGAAATAACGTACGACGACTTCATACGTTCCTTATGACGTACGTCTGCGACATACTAAATTGGTGATGTTGTGAATCGATTTAGGGAACATGGGGTGCCGTGGCTCATTAACTCAGTTAATAAGTAATCGCGAATATCATATTTTTTACAATGAGAACAGTAAGTCTGACATAACCAATTCATTGCGAGATAGCGGCAAACAGGTGCTCTGCAAGAATCGACCATTGTTGCATTTTGACTGTTGCCAGATTTTTCGCAGATTGCCCAGTTAGCAGAACAAAGTATTGGTAATTTCAACTCATGAAAATAATTGAATAAAAAATCAAAAGATTATTTACTTAATTTGACAACAATTTTTTATTTTGTCAACGCACAGCTTAGTTTAAAAATCAGTCTTTTTGTTGCTTTGTAAACAGACCCTGACCAAAACATAACATCAACAGTTTCGCGCTGCCTTTCACACGCTTTCACAGTAGGACGATATCCCTCAACTTATGCCGCTCATAAAGTCCGTTATCAAATAAAAGAATTTGATGGAAAATTTCAGTAATTATGTTTTGATAAGCTACAGCTGGATATGTATGAATAAAGTTATAAAACATGTAACACAAAGCATATGCTACGGTCGAGGTGATCGTCTCCGTTGTTTTCGTCATATCATTGACCCGTGACTACGGGGGCAATTCCTCGAGGTGCAACATAATCTATTTTGACGAATCTATATATAATAAGTCAACTTATGGCCTTGAAAGTTTGATTTTTTGTTTGTGTAAGACGGGCCATGTTAGTTTGTACATGCTCACAGTTCTGCGTGGCTTCATTTAATCGTGGGAACATGGTGGAGCTTTTTAAATTTCAACACCTGTGCCCCTAGTTCTGGAGTAAATTTAACACGGTGTCTGCATATAAATATAAAGTAGCAGTCCGGAATAATGGAATTAGTGAGAAGGATGCTTTATAAAATGTATCAAGACGAGCGTATCGCGATGCCGGTAGCGACGTTCGTCATCAAAAAAATATTTCTTCAAAAAGGTACATTGGCGTATCGACTATTGATGAAACCTCAGCACTTCATCTAAACGGTTTAAATAGGATATGGCGAACCAGAAATATTCATTCAAGTTCTTATTAAACCTGTGGCTCAAGTATAGCCTCTGATTCGGATGACATACCTCAAAAGATGAGAAGCAGAGAAAAGGGTTTAGTGGTTAATGATCCTGCCATAGCAATTCTTATAGTTTGTATATGCCTCTAAAACCTCACCAGTATTAAATAATAGTCTTATACGTCACATAATGAGATGTATATATGTTTACAATAACGCGTTTGGTGACATATTCTTTGAAACGTTATATTTTATTTATATTTTTGAATTGCTACAAAAAGTAGTAATTCTGCGTTACAGAAGTGATTTCGTTCGGTACGCTAAAACAAATTACGTAACAACTAAATTTACCAAGTAAATGAGGGATAATTTTACAATAAAATAACAGATATTTTAGCTGTGAAGTTCGAGGTCAAATGCCATCGGAAATGTTTACAAGAAATTAAATTTTAATTTAACTCATCTATTTTGAAGAAAACATTTTCACTTAAATTTAGTTTACCATTCCTCGGCAGTGCGTCATATTTTTATATGAAGTGTTTCGTTTTATTCGGTGAAACTGAGATTTCAACTCCTGATAAATTTGATAAACGCTGACATTATACATTTTTGACGTAAACATTTCTTTCCAACATCAATTCATGATATATATTGCTGTTGCGAGAAATGCTATGTCTTAGTCACATTTGAACAGAATTGGATCGCGAAATGGACATGGCGACCATATGGTCAGATTCTCGATAGTTTAAATATAAATCCTAATAATGGTATATAAATAAATTAATTCTTGTTGTACATCAAATGTAGAATCGTAAGTTGCATAATTGTTTCAATGCATTTAGTTGCTCACAGCCAACGTGAAAGACACACTATTGAAATAAAAATTTAGACTGATTGATTACTGACTTGAAGGGATTACTTTCAAGAATCAATCCTCTATAAAAACTGCATTTTTTTTATTGAAAACTTTGAAATAGATCCTAACTACTTTAAGCTAATCCAATTACCGGTAATCAAGGCTCTGATTATTCATGAGAATATTTATTAAACGAAAGAATTTTTTTTCACAATCTTTAAACAACTTAATAAAAAATGTTTATTTGTAAATTCAACACCGAACTTTGCTCTGCTTGCAAATAAGTTTACAAGTTGATAACAATTTTTCAAATTATTATACTCAGCGACAGCATATTATATTAAAATAAAATATTTAAATCTTTTTTAGAAAAGTAAACATGTCCGTTCGATTCGAAACTTCTTATCAGAAACAATATCTTTACACGGCATAGGATTATGAACATTGTTTGTTATAAATCTTCCCATTTCATGTACGTTTATGTTACGCAGACTTTATCGCATCAAGTAAGTCACACATAGCTTAAAATTTAATAGAAATTTTCATTAAATTATATTTTGGAGGTTAAAATTGTTTCTTGTATCTGACAGTTAGAACAAAACCATAAACGTGTTAGCTAGCCTGAATCGCAGACATTCAGAAAATCAGGTATTCTTCGTTTACATTGTGGTTGGTTGCCAAAATTGGTCCGCACGTTTAAGCTTGTAGATCGTTATCTCTGTTCATTAGCACTACATTTACAAGCGTTCATTCACAAGCTGTAGGTGTCATCGTTAGTTTTCATTTTAATGAATGTGGTTCTGAATTTTGACTAATGAAAACTATATTCAAATTTTAAAACCAGAAGATTTTGGTACTTGTTCGTTAGTCGTTACAAAAGTCGAGCCGGGCTTCTCAGATCAAATTTGAGATTAAATTTGGCGAAAAAATATTAATCGCTTCAAGTCATTTTTCTTTGACTGTCCGGAGTCCGGTGTTTCAGAGAAATTTTATATATATATAATAATTTATTACGCTGTTCTTACCCAACTAAACTATTTTTTAATTCTGTTCGAGTCAACCATGCGGAATAATTTACATTAAGATAAATGAAAGAGTCGCACTAAGTCGCGATTGCATTTGCAGAAAAATATTCAACAATAATATCGAAGCGATTGCTTGGCGGTGGAATGAATGCCTCGAATATGTTTTTTCAAACTGGACCCTCATTCCTGCCTAGAGAACCATGGCGGTTCTCTGGTGCCACGTGAAGTGAAAAGGCCTTGACAGCCATTCGCAATGAAATTTAAACAATTAACTGTAATAGGTTTAATTTTTTTTAAAGTAATGCATCTATCCGTATGCTTCTGTATTTGGGCTTTATTATTAAACGTAGCGCACAAAATACCTGATAGAGACACCTTAAAAAGCAAAGCCAGGTATTTTTATATAATGACCACAAGTGTTGAGAGTCCTTGAAAGAAGGCTCCGAATCTTGAATGTTTAAAAACCACTGGTCCAGATTTTTGATGTTCTTACGATCCTATCACAAGCATAAAATTAAACGAGTATAAAACGAACTTACATATTTTTTCTATATTTGAAGTATAGATATAACTTTATTAGTTTTTTTATCGTTCTGAAAAAAAAAATGTCGAAGCTTTCAATTTAGTTTCTCAAATACTCTTTTGCCATTCCGTGTTATAATGTTTCGTACTGCTGGAAAGAGATTTCTTTCATTCATTACCATCACTCACCAACAATACCAACTATTAATGAATATACAAATTGCCAGAAAAAGCTTGCAAAGCCGTTTTATTAGCTTTGATTTTACTGCAAATTGAAAGTTACGTTAGAATTTTCTTTGTTGCAAATAGTGTTCAGTGATGTTAAAATTTCAAACGTTCAATATACGAATAATTGTATCAAGCTGTCTATTGTCGCGAAGTTTTCCGATTACGTTTTTTATGCGCGACGGCGAGCGGATGGGCAACTATACAAAATGGCGCCGGATGGAAATATCGAGCGAGCAAGTGTCGAATGACTTCCTCGGCTGGTTAAAATATGTTTTCAAATAAATTATTCTTATCGCTTTACAATACATGATTTTCTAAGCTGTAGCCAAACTAACATACGAGCAGAGTAAAAAATGAGCAAGCAAGATAGATACAATATCAAAGATTTAAATTGTCCCAGTTTTTCATAATTATATAAATAATTTAAATGTTTTGCGATATTTTGTTTGTTTATAAACAGCAGTGACATCATTCTGGCTTCTTTTCATATTTTAAAAATCAGTTTTTAATGACAAGCATGTCATTGTTTAGTTAGCAAACGCCGCTTCTATCTGAACTAATTTATTTTCGAAGTAGGTAAAATGCAAGCGTGCAAAATGTCTAAAATTTTTGAGCTTGATATATGTAATATTCAAAATCTTTCTTAAACTATAAAAGACATGTATGGATTAATGAAAAAGTAATTCTAAAACGTGGATTATAGAGGTGGGTGAAAAGGTGCACATTAAAACATAAATCCACCATAAAAAGTCCCGGTAAGCCACCTAGACGCTGCAAGAGCTTAGTTAAAAAAAATTAAATAGCAGATGCATGCATTTTGCGAACGTACAACCAAAAACAAAACAATATTAAACATAACAGATTTTTCCATTACCTGAAATTCCCATTGTCGAACATCTTCTCACAGTTTGGGTCTAAGCTCCAATAGTTTCCCTTCCCTGGATCATCTTCATCTCTGGGAAGCTTCTTGAAACAATCATTCAATGACAAGTTATGCCTTATAGAATTCTGCCATCCCGCTCTGCTGCGTTTGTAGAAAGGAAAATTGTCAGCCACATATTGGTAAATGTGAGCCAACGTCAGTTTCTTTTCTTTGGAATTTTGAATCGCCATTGCTATTAACGCTGAATACGAATATGGAGGTCGCACCATCTTAAAAAGTTCAGTTTGCGTTGATAGCGAAAGCCAAGGAAAGTCAGAACCAAATCCTCCTGCTGCTGTAGCGTGTGGATGGTGATGGGGTCCAAAAATAGATCTTTGGTTTGCAACGGCTGCAGCATGATGGTGAGTATGATGATTGTAACTTTGCAAATACGCTGCTGCCGACGGGCTATTATACGGATTCGCAGCACCTATACCCGCCCATAGATAGGGATTCGTAGTTGCCGCTGCGGCAGCGCTCGGATAGTCGAGAGAGTAATGACCGGCATGAGTCGCTCTTGCTCCCGGCATGTGCATGTTTCCCGCCTGGTATATGTTGTCGTATACGGAGGGCACTTCCATTATATCTTGCACAGTAGGAGCATGTGGCGTGGGAGGAATCGATGAACTCATGGCTGCTGTGACTGGACTCTGTTGGTCTCCAAGCACCATTGCTATACTCGTCACAAAATCAGATTATTTTATGTCGCTTAAAAATGCTAAAAATGCTAGTTTCTAAAACAATATAAATATCCAATTCAAGTTAGCAAAATCGAATTTTGAAAGTTTATTAGTCTAACATCTCAAATAGTAAATATTAAACACATACAAGAAGCAATCCCATTGAAGACTTGGAAAATATTGAGACATATCGAGAATTTTCATATCAGCACGGATTTCTTAAGTAGCCTATATGGATGAGTTCCATGTGCATATCCGCGTTAGATAAATAAAAAATCCCCTACTCACTACATCTCCGATCTGGTTCATTTCAAAGTCAATCATTCATTAAAAATTTAACAGAATAATGACGCTTAAAACAGGCCGAAGTCTGTTGCAAACCCAGAATGATATCTAGCGTAATTTGATTAAAAATGAACATTTTATATCCAATTGTTTGAATATATTATACATACTGATAACAAGACTGAAATTTAGAACAATTTTGTCGCAAAGCTGATACATTAGTGCGCGAATGACTTTCTTATACTTGTCTTCTTCGTCGTATGCCTAGATATCTACTCTTTTTCTTCGTGTATCTTCGTTTTAAAATTCTCAATTTAATTCTCGTTTTAATTTTCTCAACTCACTAGCGCCCTTTAGTGCTATTGAATTTCAACGACGACTTTTTCGCATTGATTGATGAAACGTCGATAAATTAACAGAAAAAATGTTGTTGACAATCTCATACCAATGTATGAACTAAGGTTAAAATTTCGACAAAGACACCATTAAAGTACTGAGGTGACGTCATTATAAGTTTATGTGTGCGAGTAGACCACATGCCTTTGTATATGTAACTAATGTTACCTCACTAGATCCATTCCTTCAAGTCTTTAGTGAACTTGTATATCTATGAACGTATAACATGCCTATAATTATTTATTCATGATGTACACACTATTTATGCACATATTTATTAATGGCATATCTTAGAAAAATTTTGAATTGATAAAAATCCTAAATATGAATTTGCATCTCATTACACCACAATGACACTCAAAGCAAACAAATTGAGCAATTGTTTCGCATTGCAAATTCAACTAGACGATTCAAAATTTTTTAATTAATAGTTTATCCCAAAATCTTCGAATGTGTTTAGAATTATAATGTGGTTTGGCCACAGAGTTTTCAGAGACACTCAGTAGAATCGTATAACACTATAAATGAATGTGTGTATGAGAAATTTATGATTCCAAAACCATCGCATAAATAATATTTGTATCCTTCAATGAACGAGAACAGTTAATTGTTCCCTGTTCTAATTTTGAGTCAGTGAGTTTCAAAAATAGAGTCTGAATCTGAAATAGATAATCTAGTGTGAAAATGTTAACGTTTTGTTTTTAATTTACTGTTGAAAAATCCAGTTAGTATACCTTGATTTGAATTGTTTTCATATCGATTGATGTGGTTGTTCATTTATTCTCAATATCAAAATTTCCTTTCTGATCTATCCGCTGATCTAACATTGAGTTATTGTTAGGTCGGAATCATCAAAGAAAACAGATCAAAGCGAGCTTGTAAATTACAAAAATCTGACACTTTAACTATTAACACAATAACGCATTCACTAATCAGTCTCTCGACATCACATTAGCCGGTCTACCTGTTTCTTTTACGATTACTCGCATCGGTGTCTAATTTCTAGTATTAATTTAATGCATTTTACTGAGTAAGAAACACTCACATTCCGCGACGGTAGTTTATGATACAAATGTTTCCAAGTGAAGATAAAATTCACTATTTTTGTGGGAAAAATATGTCATTAGGAATCTGTAATTGGATCTCCCCACGACATGACGTAATTCCGTAGGAAACGTTCCACTTCACCTGTCATACAGATGTACGTATACTTCCTCGTTTTATTTTTGTCCCGATATTTTTCGAAACATATCACCTCATTAAGCTTCGTTTGCAAATATTTTAAAGTGAAAGATGCGGTGTTTCCATATAAAAAATAGCACTAGCATGAATCTTCAACCGCAATCTATTAAATTTACTATAAGTTCAGCAACACAGATTTCGCTCATATTTATCGTTTCATGGTCGTTATTTATTCATTTTGTTACATTTTGGAAATTTAAACACGTCTTCTTTAGTGATCTTTGTAATTTGAATAACCATAAAATGCAAGATTTTTTAACGACTTTTTATCCTAATTAGTCTATTCGTTTGTAATGTAATAGGTGTTATAAATACGATACACGCGAGCATACCCTACAAGTCCAATCTACCGTGAAGACACGAGACATGAAACAACAAAAATATCTATCGAGTTTAGGTGGAATATAAGATTGCAAGAAAAGTTTATTTTCGTCTCAGTTTTTTGCTCAATAAAATGTTACAGATCAGTAAACTTAAAATTAGTTTTGAGTTATTGTTATTTCGGATCCTGAGAAGACTTCTAGATATCCATAACATATATGTATATAGATGACACGCCATACCTCGCATGTGTATATGTTCTCATTTTGAAATATTCAATTTTCATATTACTGATAATTTTATCATCAGTACATAGAATTTTACAAAACAAAATGCTTAAATATTATATATATCTGATAAAAACACAAATTGCATTACTTCCTCAAACGCTTCTTCTTGTTTCCGTCTCTGGATTAGAGTATTCATTTTATATTTTCAATGCCAATATCGATGTTAGCATTATGTTCAATATATGTACCTATTATTTCCACGTGTTATTACATATTATCATTTTCAGCGACTATTTTATATAAAATGATAAATCAAAGAGATCCTACAATTTTAATCTGAACGTATACATTCGCAGTCTCCGTGCTACCTTTTTTGACGTGCTATATGTCTTATTCGTGATAATCATAGAGCCGTCGTTTGGTATTTCGACTTTCAAGACTTCGCCATGATGAGGTATTCCCACTCTTAATTGCGAATGGTAGCTGAAAGGTAAAGCGTGGTTTTCGATACTCTCGTAGTGTGTGTATCAGGTTAGGGCAGCGTTTCCCAACCTTTTTTGGTCGCGGACTATTTTTTCATCGGCGAAAATCTTTGCGAACTCAAGGTGCAATTATTGCAACCGTACTCTGTGTGAAGGAGCAATAAAAGCAAACACAACTGAATTTTAACGAATTTCAACAATGGCCTTTTCTGTCGAACAAAATTCAATCCACGACAACGACGAGAATTTAAAATGTCTTTCTATTTTAAATTACTTGTGTTCATGGGAACTCGAGGTTGCGTCGACGAAAAGATGAAAGCATTACTCCTCTAAAATGCAACGGCGATCTGCGAACATAATAATGTGAGAATATATTGCCCTATCATATATATTTAGTTTTGATACATATTTTTTGCGATCTTGCGAATTTGTTATTGCCGTTAGAAAAATCTTAGTATCTGTTATAAATTTCCAGAAAGTACAACTTGATTCAGTACTTATAATAAATAAATTTAAAGAATACTAGTAAATCAAAAATACATATTCATTGCCTTGCTTTATTATTAATTTAATTGTGAGCTTTTTAATCTGCGGTTGTGTTGACGAAATAAAAGCAATACTACTCAGAAAATATGATGACAATCCGTGAACGCAAAAATGCGTGGTAAAGTGCACGATTATATTTTGTTTTGTTTCGCATTTTTGTGAATTCGACAATTCTGAGCTGTTCGTACAACACCCACGGCAGTACTGTACGTACCATTGTGGAGGCAGTATAGCAAAGAATTATAAGGGAAAATGTCCTGGTACGGTAGCATCCGAAATTTTGGATTTGCAATGCAGACTCGTGTTTTCGTCGAAAATCCGCAAGTGAGTTGTGAAATTCAATCGTCTGATTAAGCGCAAGTGACCTGTCGCGCCACCTGTTACCAAATTTTCGAATAGTAAATTGCTATTCTAATAGTTCAATATTCAAATACATATATGCCCAGCCCTACTCAGTAACCAGTAGTTATTGACTCGATTAATGTTATGTGACTAAACTTGCTTTTTATGTTTTATGTAAATTCTAACATAAATCGTAACGTGGCTGATACTAAAGTTTCGCAAAAACGTTTGAATTTTTGTCGCGGACTCATTCAAACGCTCCGCGGACCCATTCGGAAAAACACTGGGTTAGGGTTAGGCCATATTTTGATTCCGGTTTTCTTTATTTTAGTTCTGTTACGAGTTCGGGGACTGTCTGTGTCAGCCAAATTAATATACCGCCTGCCCATAGGTTCCTACACACAACTTGATGTAAAGTAGACGAACAAAATTAGTTACCTCCTTATTGGTACACCCACTTCTGGAGCATCTGGTTTTCTATATAGACTGAGTTATCTTATCTCCTCTTCTTCGTATCCTATCCTTAAAGTCAGATTGAAAGTGCGCCATCTCGCGTATACTAATAAAAAGACTATGTCGATGTATATATCTATATATGACACTTGATTAGAATTTCGAATATATTCATGCGTTAAAAGCATGTAACGTAACCATAATGTACTCAAAAAGAATTAACCATATTCCGAATAAAAAATATATAAGGTACAATAACAATATTAATAGTAATAGAATCGTCGTGCGTTCACCGAAAAAATACGAATTAGTTATGAAAAGTTGATTTAACACTGAGTGGATGCGGCGAATAATTTTAGAACAAACAGATCTACTTATAATAGATACAAACAGTAGCAAATTAGGTAAATTGAAGATATGACCCAACTATCCAAAACGGTATTTCTAAAATTACTTTTTAAATGAATTGAGTTGTATTAAAACATAAAATTCAATTGGGGTACGACTGCAAAAAAAATTGCATAAAAATATTTTGAGCTATGCAGATTTTGCACTGTACTTAGGCATGCATGCAATAGACTAAACATTTTTGAATCACAACTAGCGGAAATGACGTCATAAAGAGAATAATTGCGGATGATTGTTCTTGTCGACAATTGGCCATGAATGAATCGAGCATGGAACAGAATTGGATAAAAAATGTGCCAGTAATGGACAGACTTATAACTGATGTAGGTAACAGACTTATAACTGATGTAGCTGAAAGCTATCGGGTTTTGAATTTGGGTGTGAATATTTCATTTAATTATATTAAGCGATCCAAACAATATTTTTAGAGCGATACAAAATTTTGATTGTCTGAAGAACTTGTAACTTTTAATCAGCCAATAAAATTCCGTACGTAAGTCGTAAATATATTGTGCAAAATTTCACATGCCTCATAGTGCAAAGAATATAAATTATAAATACCTATTTACAAAAAAAAATAGTTTACAAAGCAAAAATACATATGTTGATCACCGGAACAAAACAGCTGGAAATACCCAGCAACGAAAATAGTTAAAATAAAAAAACTTGAAACTTTCCGTTCTACCATTTGAATTGAAAGAAAACGACGTGCAAACAACATGGTGTCGTTTATTGGACACGGAATGGACGAATGTATTAATTTAAAAAAATTGTGAGACGACATTTTTAAACGAAATTCGCTTTCTAATGAAACAAACACTTTAGAGCACAATCAGTATTTAAATATGAAAATGGCTTCTAGAATGTATTTACTTTTTTATTTTTATGACCGCGTGATTCACTTGAAAAGTTCGTTGAAATAAAAATATGACCAACGATTTCATCAAGCGAGTGCTCACCAAACGATTTGCGATCACCGTAAAAGCTTTATTTTCCTATCCTATCTACTTTTAAGATTGGTACCATTCAAGATTTTTTTGTTCTAGAATTCCAACAGCACCAAAGTAAGAATGAATTTCATGTGACAGACTGGTTATTTACTGCAACGCTCATCCGTTTAAAGAATCAGTATCAAATGCACATGCTTGGATGTAAAATCTCGTTCAGAGACACTTCTTTCCGTCTTGATAATGCATTCAAACATGGATTGTCAAGAGTTTGTCACAATCGATCAGTTGATTGACAACATCTTCCTTTAAACGTGATAAATAGAACAAAAATCCGCAGACGAAGTATCGCACAGACAGCCCACTACGTCGATATAGACTTTGTAATGTCTGTGTGGGTCTGTGTTACACAACAGCGTTGAGTCAAATTCATCTTTCCTCGGGTTTTAAAATGACTCTATCTGTTGGTGAACTTATCATACGTGACGCAGGGTTAATCGAGTTCAAATACTTGGACTCTTGTATATTATTACCATTTTCAAGTATATCGCTTACTGGTGCTATATCAAAATGATCTGCGTTAGAGTTTGACGTCCCAGAAAAGCTACTGTGTCGCATGTTATCATAGTCTTTAAGTTCCGCAGTGCTCCCAGTTGAAAAATCTGTAACGTCACTTACTCTCCGTGCTGAAAAACGATAATCTCGTATCTCTGTTCGTCTTCTACGGCGCCTTCTGAAATAAAATAGAATATTAGTTTCAAGTTCAAACTCTCCGTTTTGCAATGTTCTGGGTCAGTTTCATAATCACACTACGATCATTGATGCAATATGAACAAATATTATTTTATAAATTTTAATTTCCCGAGTCTTTGCATGTATAGGATATTGGGTAATTTTGCGGCTTTTGGTTAAGTTACGTGTTTAGACTTAAAGTCATACTAATCTTAAAATTAGAAGCAATCTCTCAGTCATAAAATACGTAACAATTAGACGTCCTGTAAGGTACGATGACGATAACGCGTCATGCCCTAAGGATACCAAAACCAGCATAAAAGCGACCATTCGTTGGGAAAAAAAAAAGGATAACGATGGACAAGTAATTAACGAACTCGGGCTTGCAGTGAAACTTTGATTTTATGTGACTGTATCCCCGACAGACGAACCAGCGCCTTTCTGAGATGGAGTCTGAAAAGAAACCGTTAGAACTAAAGTTGACCCCAAAGACATCAACTCCACAAGCAAGCCGAGGATAAAAAGATCAAGGAAAATGAAAAACAACAACCAAACCAAGATTCAGACAGTATGAAAAATCAAGGAATTACAAGCGAAATACCAAAGACTCTGACAAAAAGAAAAAGACTGTTAGATTTAAAAGGTGTATGAGATTCACATTATATGGACTGTTATAAAAATATGTGTGTAAAACATTCACACTATATGAACTGTTTTACACCAGAAAAAAACCGTAAAATCAAAAACTAGTCGGAACTCTTGACTACAAAAACAAATGAGAAAGATATGAAACGAAAGAACTTCAGAAAGAAACGCCCGCGAACCAACTTCAAGAAACCGCGCGATTGTAGCATTTTATATTGTACTATAAATATTTCAATTTCGTGTACAAAATGGACAGACATTCTTCTTCTTCACAGGTATTTCACGTTTCCTTCTTTCTAATCTTTAAGGCGTTCTATATTTGGTATTAAACCCAACGAGGCTTACTCAAAAATATTTAATTTATTCGATTTTGGCAGATATTAGCATTCGTTTTCTTTAAATATACTTTACGTTGACTTTAACATTTTTTCAAAATATGATTTCATATACGATCGTATTTCGAATCAGCGCTTCAGGATGTATTTGCATAAACGCAAGTGAAATCCTCATTTATTTTTTATTTTTAAAACGCCCAAAGCGGCTCATCACAATTATAGCCGGAAAGGCTCATCAACGCAACACGCGTATTTTTTTCAGCGCTTCAAAATTTATTAATGTGAAACGAAGTGTATTAAAGCTAAGCATTGGTAGTAATCTGTCACCTAAATTATAAAATAAACCAACGCCAAATCTTTTTCTTTCCATACACTGTATAACACACACACATTCTGTCTCATAATCATAATTTCAACTTTCTTATGTTTTTATGAATTTTGTTGCATTTTGTGTATATATTTTCACTGCACGCCCAAGCTTGGCCACTGCTCCGCAGCTAAAGTAGGTGCATAGTATAGGATATTGGGTAATTTTGCGGCTTTTGGTTAAGTTACGTGTTTAGACTTAAAGTCATACTAATCTTAAAATTAGAAGCAATCTCTCAGTCATAAAATACGTAACAATTAGACGTCCTGTAAGGTACGATGACGATAACGCGTCATGCCCTAAGGATACCAAAACCAGCATAAAAGCGACCATTCGTTGGGAAAAAAAAAAGGATAACGATGGACAAGTAATTAACGAACTCGGGCTTGCAGTGAAACTTTGATTTTATGTGACTTATCAGTCATGACTTGGAACTGTTCTTTGTATTTGTAAATATACAATTGCAATATATGTATTCGGTACCAGGAGTATGTCTTCTTCATAAGATCAGATCAGAAACAACAGCAATACAGAAATAATAGCAAAACTATAAATGTTCCCTAAACATGTGCGTATGGCGAGACAGAAATGTGTGAATCGAAACGCCACCCTAAGTTGAGAAACATATGCATTGCATTTGAATTCGAATAATGATTGCATAACTTCCTTATCAAGCGAGCGGTTAATTATTTTCATGCATGATCTAATTTGTACCATAGATGGTATGTGGAGTAAAAGGGCGGTCGCGCTTATTCATGGCGCGTCCTGAATAGGATTACAACAACAGGGTGCGGTAAAGGCTATTGTAAAACTAACATGATGGTCGCTCGAAAGAGCTGGCGAACTTCCTGCATGAGTGAAGTCATTTTCGGCTGAGAAGCCGTCATGTCAAAATATCGTGTCAAACGTTGAAAACAACCCGGAATCGTGTCACGCACATCGATGCTTTGTTTACTTTCGCTTAGTCACGTGATTTTATATTTCATTTCCGCTTATCAATAAAGGTGACTAAACGTTTAATCAAACCCAAGAAAGACGCTCGGTCGCAACTAACGAATGTTAAAACATTTCATCCGAAATCAGATGTAATCATTCGCTGCATCACTTTACATCCGTTTCCGGGCAAAATGCTCTTCACGTCATGCGTTCTTGGTATGCGAAATGGTACCCAAACAGTTTGTACTCTGGGATTTTAGCAGTTTCCTTCCTTATAAATTGTAGTCTATGGCACAGGTGAAACACAACCGATCATTATTCAATTAACCCAATTAAACTGTGAAAATCAATTCACCAGACATGTACAATTTAAACCGTCTAGCGACAAAACTAAACTACTAAACTAAAGACTACTAAAACTAATAATGAGATCTAGAATTTAGAAACTTTTTGCGAAATTCTCCAGTACATGAGCGTTGTTGTCGCTAGAAACGATGAAAATTAATTATTATACATTTGGAATACCAAGAATCATAACAAGTATCAAAATTTCTTGAAGCAACTATGCGCTTTGTAATGCTGTAACCGGACTAATCCACGTAACTATTGACGTTGTGCGTTTGCGCTTTCTGTTTCACGCTGTGCCCTCTTGATTAATTACAATAGTAAAATACCGGAATAAAATTGGCAATTTATGAGACTACATTTTTATGGCAAAGACTACATCGTACGATGTATAAGGTAATCAGTGCCGTCCAAACAGACGTGTTTCCTTTTACGGCATGTGAAAGCTATAATTGGACAGCAGAATTCGGTAGCAAAATCTCGCGAATGTGCTTGTATGCATAGTGCTGTAACAAAAACATGAAATAAAGTAACTTTTGCATATCTTGCCCCCAACCCATGTATTTTCTTGTCGAATATAACTAATTGTGAATTGCATTGATTAAATAGTTACTAAACCTTGAAAATCGCAACACTCAGTTTCATGATATTGGGCAGAAATTACGGCAGGTAGACCGAAACAACATGAATTTCTTAACAGTGTTCAACTATTTATCACAGAGAAAAGTTAATTACTAATCAAAGGTGAATGTGTCAGAATTTCCGCAACATATGTAGTGCGATAAATGTAGATTGATTATTATTCAACATCGCGTTTGCGAAAACGTTCTTAATGCATTTCGTTGAAATGTACTATGTGTATGTTACGGCTGTTACGGCCAAACACAAAAGATCTTAACTCGAGTAATATAAAAATTCCAAGATGTTTTTTTCAAATGTAAACGCTCACCTAAAATTGCCGTTGTCAAACATTTTCTCGCTTTGTGGATCCAAAGTCCAATAATTCCCCTTTCCTGGGTCATCTTCGTTACGGGGAACTTTTCGGAAACAATCATTTAGAGATAAATTATGACGTATTGAATTTCGCCAGCCGGGTTTGCAGTTTTTATAAAATGGAAAACACTCTGTTACGTAGTTGTAGATTTGCCGTAACGTCATTCGTTTTTCCGGATTACTCTGAATAGCTAAAGCAATTAAAGCCGAATATGAATACGGAGGCCTCGTACTTTCTGATGAGCAAACTTTTTGCAAAGCGCTGGGGTCAGAGTTAGTGTGTGATAGTGGTCGCGGGTGACTTAGTGACATGGGATAACTGTGGTTATAATAAGAGTCATGATGCTGTAGCGCTGTGATTGGTTCCTGATATGGGTAAGCAGGAGTATCGTCCATAAACGTATTTTTCATATTATCTGTGCGATGTAGGTGCTCTCTACCGTTTTGATATGCATTATAGTTCATGTATTTTCTAGGATTCAGATAGTTCTCGTTTGTATTCATGGCAAGATGGTTTTGCGTGGAATCGTCACCGAGAGCAATCAGCGGCAGTCTCGATGCCAGACTTTTTGCAACGGATTGGTAGTTATAATTGACATCATTGACAGCTGAAGGAGAATTTATATTTGAGCTAAACCCGGATACGCCGTAGTGTAAGCCATTTTTTGCTTGCAATGCTAAATGTGGTCCATTCATCAGATCGTTGCCTGAACTGGTCGCATTTTGTTGTTCTTGTTCCGACAACGCATCATCCAGTTTTTTTAATGGCGGAATCGGTTTCACAAAATAATTGTTCATATTGTCAACCTTGCCGGCACTCAAATTTGATTTTGGCGCTTGGTGTTCAAGGCTATCCGCAGACACGAAAGTATCAATTTCAGCATGCAATTCCGTCTTGATGCAGGGGGCTGTTTGTGATAATTCCGTCGTTTCGGGAGAGTAGCTAAGTTTTTTCATTTCTTGCCAATCGCAGCTACTTTGAGTCGCTAACTGATTGATCTTAGTAGCTTCAAATTTGCCGTCCTGTTCGGGAGGGTTGGAATGACAACATGATATTATACTTCCATTTGAAGTGGCTGCTGAACGGGATAAGCTTATCATTTTTTCTTCTGCGTGGGACCCGAACTGCACGACGTTGCCGGGATAAAACACTTCATTGTCCTCTTCACAGGAATTATGCGCATTGCGTCTTTGAATACACTCATATTCAATATCCTGTTGCTGCCCGTCATAATTATTTTCTGGAGATAAGTTGAGCAAATCGTAAACGTCTATCAAGTTTTCATCTGGGTCGTCCTCATTACTCGGATTAAAATTGACCAATTCTGGCAACGGCCCGGCTTTATACTCATTGTTATTGTTGTTCTTGTCTCGCTCCGGCGCCAAATACGCACGTGGAGTCTGATTAGAAGTATGTTGAGAATGTTCTGGTTTTTGCTGAAACCTGGACATCGTGTAGTCAAGTGGCATTGTACAGGAGTCGTAAATATTTTCACGTTGAATATCAGATTCACAGTTGGAATAAATGTGGTTCTTGAGCTGTATCATTGGCGTATCATTCGGTTGGTACTGCATTCCTTCGTAGTTAACCTGAGAATAATTTTGTGGGAAATAATCCCCGCTAGACCTGCTATACAACTGCATATGGTCTTTTGGTTCTCTCAAAGTGTGCATCAGTGCTGGTGCCGAATCTTCCATTCGGTCTCGCAGAAACGTCAGACCTCCATAATACGAATCGGCTGCCGTTGTCATCGCACTTCAATCGATACTCAACTGCTCGGTGTGGAAGTCCTGATTTATTTTCCAAGTATGGCGTTCAGAATTCGATGTCGTCTGTGAACTTTGTGCCACCACTATATGATTACCTTCTTTTTTGTGTAAAATATCTCATATTACTTTTCCTACACGTTAAGCTACTTACGGCATCTAAAGAATGGAAACGTGAATCTTGAACTTTTAAGTTTTTATGAAGAATCTCACACCTCAAATTATTTGGTTTCAACAAAAATCTCTACAATGCAATATACATTGGAGAACAGACTTTGAATCTTTGCTGCTCACTCCCCCAATATAATCAAAATGTTCCGAGATGCTTGATAAGCTCAGTCGGTGCAAATTGGCTACTGCGCAAAGCCGTGTTTCGGACATGAAACTCAACTTGCCCTCCAGAATTTTGAACCGTAATCCTAGCAGACCCAAACTTCACATCATCTTGTCACATAATCAAACTGATCAAAGTTTTAATATCCATATGTTCTATGAACATAGCATGCCTTTTTCTCGTAACTCTTCTCTCTCGATTATCTTTAAGCGCAGCACTATTTTCTCACTTCTCATCCTACTCACTTCCGATGCGTATGAGCGAACGCACCGGTGTCTGCGCAGAATCGATGCTATAATGAAAATCATACCCTATCACACGCTGATAAAATGACAATTCTTTGACGTTCAGCAAAAATATTAAGTTTGGTTTATAGAGTATGTCTCATCAACTTTCCTAGCTATGTACGCAAACTAGCTTCAACAAACAAAGGTCGAAGAAAATATCACCGCTGCTACAAACAAAAAAGACATTTAAAGGCCCTTAAATTTAACTGTTGGATTATAACTATCCGTATCGCTATAACTTTAATTCACTGATCTTGTGACCGCAAAATATCTCTGTTGAAGGAAAGATTTCATGAATAAGTTTGATTGAATCATCAATAAATTTGTATTTTCCGTAAGATTGAAATATGACTACAAATTGTTCACGACAGGAATTCTACTTAAAACTAGATAGGATTCTTTTAAGAGGATGATTCATTCGACAACGTATGCTCTGCAGATAATACAGCACATCACAGTTCTATATGAAACTGGGAAGCGGATGTCATCGCCTACAAGATATCCCACACGGAAATGTTTAACGAGGTTCCCATATTTCATCTAACTTCATTTTGATCTTTTCATATAGTCGGGTTTGAACAAACAGCTTACGTGCAAAACTTACAAACGTCATGTTATATCTTACATGGAGAATGATAATTTATTTGAACTGACTAACACATGTAATTGTATTTTCTAGAAACGCCACGATGAAAAAAAAAGTTCGACTAATACATACTGGACAACCTTCTACAAGCTCAAACTCCATGAAATACGCCAGTCCTGATGTAGGCTGAGGTTTTGAAATAGTCAGACAGACGTAAAAGACACTTAAATTCGAAACGTAACTTCACTCCGGTGTGTGCCGGTTGGTTTCGTTGTGCTAGAATGACCGAATTTTATATACAAGGAAAAGACAGTCCGTGCGACAGCGTGATTACACTGTAAACCACGCCTCTCTTCCGGTCCCCGTCCTAATCGGCATGAGAATAGTTAGTCATTTTATTGTCCCTAGTATAGAAGAAATGTGACCGACCTCCTTTTGATGGGTAACGAATCTCCCGCACATAAACATTCCCTCATTGGATTCGATACTATTAACCACGTAGGATAATAATCAACGGTGCACTAACAAAAATATACTTGTGCTGAGCACGATACGCCGATAGTTCATCGTTATAAACCATAATTCAATAAAATATTACTCTACCGCCGAATCTCTGTTTCAGCTTCAAAACCTCGAGTTTTGAGCTTCAATATAAAAATATTAGGATGTTGAAGCAACTCTTCTGTAAACGAATAACGTGACAAAATAAGTTCCAAGCAAACTCGCTCAATACAAGTATAGACCACGACCCAGGTCATGATTACATAATCTCTATTAATTAATTTATAAATAACTCTTTTCCAAACAAAATCATTATTTAAGTAAACACGTGGTAGTTTTTCAATTTAAAAAAAAGTTTGAAACTTCCGACGTCTTCAAATGACTTAACTTCCTGTGCCGGACCGGTGATCGTGGTATGTCATGCTCATTATCGAAACTAACAAGTTGGAGCACCCATTGTTAACGAACGATTGAATCATAATAATAGCATGTGCAAGTTTCGATCGTTGTTTATAAAATTCGGAGTTTTATTTTGAACTCATTGGTGCCAGTTCTTGCATCCTACGATTCACAAGTGGGTAGTTTGTTTCGCCCCAATTAGATGTTTCACTCGCTATGAATCTCTCTACCTGTCGCTTTTTCTCTAATTCTCTGTTTATTTTCGTATCAAACATATACAATATTCTATGCATTCTAATACGGTCAATAGTAGCCATTTTTCGTTCAAATGTTTCTCACATTAGTTTTATTGCGTATAAAGCTCTCTATTTTTCTTTGTATATTCTTTCCATATTACATAGGAATGTACTACTAATATATTTATGAACGAAGCTAAAATTATTTATTTATTCTCAGTAATATAATGACAATTCAAAATAACTTTATCAGATCCAAAACATACACAACACATTCTCTTACTTATTTCATTTTTCTGAAGGGCCATCGATACTAAATAAAATAGTGCAAGATTCGTCCTACTAATTTCATAAATTTTACATATACTTCATATATATGTCAGAATCGTTCATGATTATTTTATTATATATTTGACTATATCTTACTATATGACTATATCAAAATCTATGTCAATGATGCACTTCTGTGCGATCAAAAACTTTTCAAAGCTTGGTATTATTTTATCAAATTGTTTTCTATGTGCAATAATGTAGTTCAGTGTTACAAATTTTAATTAGGCTTGTTGTTCTTCTTCTTGGCCGTGTGTGACAATGTAACAGAGGGATTTGTAGTCAAGCATTCCTGCTGCGTCGATTGGTGATATGTTGTACATCTGTTGAACCTAGATTGAATGGTTAACAGGTAAATGCATATTTCAGAAAGACATAATTCTGTTACTGATATTCTTTGCAAAATATAATATGTCCACCATGCAACAAATAAAGTAAAACCTGATGTTCTACCGTTGCAAAATCTTCAACCACGAAACATACAAAAAATAGCCAGTCTTCATCATTTTGGATTGGGAAAATAGATACTAGAAAATACTAACCTCGTCTCTTGAGAATCTGTCAGCGGAAGTCATCATCATGTCAGCAAGGCTGAAAAAGTAAAAACCTCAAATGATTGCCTTACATGTCATAAAAAAATACATGAACAAAGCAGTCTACTTGATCCATGGAGCAAATTGCTAAAAGTGTTTTTATTATACACCTATCGACTTTAAAGAGGTCCATTCTAATTGCTATTTTTGTTTATTTTGAGAGTTGTTGGGAGTGTTTTTGGGCGGGGTACAAAAGATCCGAAAGTACGGTACGAGCAAAGAAGGTATACCGCGAAAACTGTACTGTAGTGACAGCAAACTAAAATCCGAATAACTAAAATATATTCATTATATTTTTGTACAACTTACTAGTCTTTGTTGATGACACCTTTATTGTCAGGGTCAAGCACTTTGAACGCCTGTAATATCGTCTCTTCCGGATCCGTACCTAGATATGAATTTATGCTGTGATCGGTGCATGTAATCGGCAAAGGTTAAAGTTCAAATGATAACTCAAATGAAAGATATCTCGGAAATATTGAACCACAGAGTGAAATTTTTGATGCATAAGAATGAAACGCAAGCATTGATATTACACAAACATTTTTAGCACTTTATTGAATTCGAAATGAACCGAACAAATAGATTATGATTATCAATTGTTTTATCAATAACATATCCACTTGAGACTCCATTTAGTCGTGTGCCATACCAGGTTTCACAAAGAGTGTGAGCTAAATAATTTATTTTAAAATGACAGCATGCGATCTTCAACATGGTGTTTACACGTGCCGAGTGTGTGCTATATTGATTGCATGTAGTTACAAAACCAGATAGGTGCAAAACAACAAATAAAATAGTATGGACTTGAATGGATACTCGTAACTCGTGATTCAAATTCGGAATATATTCCATGCATTCGTAAGCATGCCAGTGGTGACCTATAACCTCTTGATTTTTCGCATATTTTCGTCAAATATTCAAAACCAAGATTCATTTGGTAATAATGACGATAAGCAATTACTTGGCGAAAAGTGTCAAAGCGATAGTATTAAGGTTTTTGAGAGGTTACAACCGCGCTTCACTCAGTATATTGATAAAATGAGCATGTGGCGATGTGTGATGCATGAGAGACAGTGGAAGGCTGTCCGACAGCTGCGAGTGACGATGAAACGTAGGCATGCCATTAATGAAATGGGTGATGCGATGCGCTTAATGACATAAATTAGCGCTGTCTTCCTGACACGATGCCTTTGTTCCTTTCAGTCCACCGATCTTCGATTGGATCTTAATACCATGAGTAGCACATACAGATGCGACCCAACTGTTCGCTATTCGCAGGGTGTTCGCAATTGCAGTGAATTGCCAATTTCAATTATTCCGATTATCTTTTAGCCTATTCTGACATTTCGTTTGTTATCATAAAACTCCTTTGTAGGTAACTGTGTTCTATAGTGTCTATGTGCTGGAAAATTGGCTTGTGCTGTGCAATTTTACCCTTGATTTTCTCTCCCATCATTGAAAGGAAAACAGTAAAGTTTAACTGGCCAGGTGCATCATTTAACATTGCTTCCAGATCTTTCTCTTTTTTTACAGCTCCTAACAAACATAATCTGAAATCCTTAGATATCAATTTGATAAATGAAATGAGATACATATATCGCTGATATTAATGATGGAAAATGGATAGCAGATGACTCACTCTAAATGGCGATGGCTAAAATCTTACCCGACAGCTTGTCGCCAAACAAAGCAAGAAATACTTGGAAATTCAAGGGGCCACTCGCATCGGCCAACATATTTTTTGCTTTATCGTCTTTCAATCCTCTGCCTATGTTTAAGAAAGCAATAAGTTTGGAATGGGATCTTCATACTACCAATGTATTTACTTAACATGTTCATTTCTAAGTATTGAGCATATTCCTGCGTGATTGTACGCTCATGTAGAGTATATTACAAGGGCATAACAATGCAAAAAGGGCAAAGACATAGAACGAATTTGAGACGACGTCCACGCTATATTTTGTTTAATGAACCGTCAATTACCTAATCAACGAGTTCACATAATTTAGCCGTACTTTAGGTCACACGCACTCATTTAAAAGTGAAATGAACTTACTTTATGGTTAAGTCACAAATAAGAAATGAGACGCCATAGAAAAAACTATGATCAAAATTGCAATTGCAAATAGGCACCAGACAAGACAAACGTGCGTATAAATTTTATCATGTATTTATAATATACGCTCTTTATGCAGGGCTCGTTGTTAGAGATAATCCAGGCACGAAGCCTCTTACACTTAAAGGGGATTCCTTAGGCCAAAACACCAGTTTTTATTTATTTCCACATTGTTATTATATAGAAATTGTGTGAGATGATTTCCACTGGGTAATACCATCTGGAATGCTGAAGCAACCCCGGTTGAACTCATACGCTAACTAAATACCAGTCTCATCCCGTATTGGTGCGATTTTCGTGTTGAAAGTAGGATAGCTTCTTAACAAATAAAATAGTCTTAAAATTTTACCGAGTGAGGCATATGTGTCTTTCAAGTCTTCTTGGTCAATGAAGCCATCTCTGTTGGCGTCAATCATGGTGAATGCCTAAAAGTAATAAGTGGGGTTATATTGTGTTAGGCGGTATTCAGTATAGGGCAACTTGTAAATTTTGCTGTACCCTTCAGACTTGTCTATTCACTATTGACTACTTCATTTTAAAATAACTACTGCTGGTAACATCTGCGTTGCAAACTATTTTCGTCCATAATTTACGCGATGAAAATCATTTTGAATTCGAGCTTTACTCTCTGGGTTTTCGATGACGTCAACTTGCAAAATTATATCGAGAAAAAAAATTCATTTGAAAACTTGCTTGAATATCCTGTATTTTCAGATGATATATATTGAACTTGTTTTACATAATGTGCGAATACGCTTGCATAAGTGATTACATGTGTGAAATATGCCCAAGTGTGCAGGATGTCAAATATGACGAGTAGGGTTGGATATATGGACCCTGAATGACCTCTACAACTTTAGTCTTACATTTTGTTCAGAACCAAAAGGCCAAAAGAATGCAGTGTCCTCTATACATATTGTCCAATGATCTTCTACCGTCTCGTATATTATCCACGAAAAGCTCTGTAGCGTCAAACGTGAGTGCGGTATTGGGCTTTTATCCAGATCAATAGTGCAGATTGCAGAATATGAGGCACGCTCAACATTTCTAGGTCATGATTTTCAACGGAACATTTTACAAAAAACGCAAAAATTTCATCAGGAATTTCAGGGTTATTAGAGAAATTTGGTATTTAATTTGTTTTAATAAATAAATTTCCCTTCAATTCTGTGATACAAAAAGGTAAATGTCATATTTATTAATTTTCTTTCGTTCAACTCACAATTAAACAAATTATTATTACATCTATGAACCACAGGTCTATTATTTATCGCTGAATATTACGTTACATCTTGCTGAACCCACGAAAACTGATTTAAATCACTATAACAGAATAAGGATTGTTGTATATATTAAAAAAAATACTTCATCAAGCAATGACCATATATATTTAGGACACTTGTGCGCGATCTTTCGACGACCATGCTTGGAGGAGAACAATTTATTTTCATTCTTGAGAATGCTCGTCAGCTATGTTTACTATTTAAAACTGGGCAAACGCATTTTATTTTAATCCAGATTGATCAGTTTCTAAAAAATAACCACGAAATTCTGTGAAATTCAATGCATTTTTTTACAATTTATGATTAAGTTACCACAATCATGTAGTATGTTTATAGTTTAGACAATGTCAATATTATCAAATAAAATGATAATTAATCGGAGGCGTATAATATAAAGTATGACCACTTTCTTTGATGATTTTATACGAAAGTTAATATTATGAAATTAAACCAATTTTCTCTCGATTAACGTTGCTACTAGTAGTGTATCGTAATTTGATGTTATGGTAATATAAATTTCTTCCTGACTATGTTTTTATATTAGATTATTACAGCGATGACTTGGTCTTAATAAGTTTATTTTGTCACCGTTGACGTTTGATATCTTCTCGAACAAAGAAACAATAATTCATTGCCAACTCAGAATTTTTTTGTGTATATGTTGATATTTCTTTGCAGTTTCTTTTACTACATACTTTTTTATCATGTATTTGCAATCATAAAACGTACAAAAAAAACATGACTAAATGAAGTAAGGAAACCCAGAAGTTGAAATATTATGTATATAGACTTTTTGGTGAACTTAATAATTAATATCATAGAATAAATGCTTTTTTAAATAAAGTTTTAAAATTATTTTGGCGTCGTAGGCGACATATCTTAAGATTCAAACCCTTGCCAGATGTTTAAAGTGAAATTGTGAAACGCTCCGTAAAATAATGAATAATCATTGAAATCTTGTTACTGTTCAGGAAGAAAATTCCTTCAGTATTAGAAATAGAGTGTTCTGATAACTTTTCCGGCAATTGAATTAGAAATCGTCAATCATGGGCAACAAACGGACATTAGGTCAGGGAAGTATTTTCATATTATTTGTTGGCTAGATGCCCGGGAATGAGGCGATTGCTAAGAGCAAGATCAGTTTTATATCTAAGTTATTTACTATGAGTTTGACTACCATATTATCTATTTATTACAGTACAAAATAACATGTGGAATAAATTCACCTCTTTAAATTCTTGGATCTGTGATTGATCAAACATAGAAAAGACATTTGAGGTGGCGCGTTGGGCACGTTGCTTTCCCCCTTGCTTCTTCTTTGTCTTTCTGCTGGCCTGCAAGAAATAAATAATATTGAATTGCATTCATCCCAAAGAATTATTTCCGTATTTGTAGACGTGCCTTAGAATACTGTATTTTAAAACATATCAAGTGTCAATAGCGAGCAATAAATATATCAACAAGCATCGTCTATTCCCAGGATTTGAAATATATGGCTCCCTGAAATAAACAATTTTATCGGATTTTTATTTTTCGATACAAAATGACCACAAGTGTGTTGGTTAGAATACAAACTTGGATTAAAATGTAAAATTAAGCACAAAAACTTCATTCAAAGATCGCATTTGCAAATTTAACTGACTCGGTGATTTTATCTATGCTTAGACTTCAAGCACAATGACCCTGATCATATTGGAAGATTGCTGGGCCTTAATTTATGGAGTCTGCATTACAAAATTGGATACTCCTGAAATGTGCGCACCAAGATGTCGCACAACCTGAACCCTAACCTGGTACACAATCTGAGTTCAGGTTGTGCGCCATCTTGGTGCGCATACTTCAGGAGGTCCCAAAATTGTCCTCAACCCAACTATGGCCAATAAATCGAAGCTTCGGAATAGCGATATCAAAAGGTTACACTGTGCCATAACCGCGCCTGATAGCCTCTTTCCCCTGGAATGAATTGAGATTATATCTTACCCTAACAGAATTATTATGTATTTTCTGCACGGTACATTGACGAATGATTTACTGAAACAGTATCGATAAATAGTATTGAAACATATATTGTTTGCTAATATACCAATTTAGGGATAATTGGCTACCTGGACCGCTAAGGGTAGGCGTTGGCAGGTATGCTTATTCCGCATTCCGTCTACGCATCATTGATCGGGGAAAAAACAGAAACCTGTTTTATTCGCATTTATTTCACAATTTTAGCCAATCCAAACAAGGATGATAGAGGTATAAATCACGGGCAAAAATCTTTCCTTCACGTTTTTTCTTTGTGAACTGAGGTCGTCACTATCATATACATATCAAGATAATCAGTAAATCAAAATTACCATGTCTGTTGTTTGTCTATTCCAAAATAATGCAACAAGCTTATCAGAGGATCCACGGACGACACGAGCTACTTGAGAACGCGACTCGGAGGAATGGTCTGGTGACTAAATGTCGACTGCAACCATTCCACATTCTATTCTCCAGGGAAATGACGATCCGGAGGTTATAAATAACTACAGCTGTCCTTTTAAGGACAGACAAGATAGCCCGGTTGCCAACACCCACATTGGTTCCGAGAAATATGAACTATATCTTTTGTTGTTTATATACTCAATTACTGATATAACTCGTACTACAAATCATGAAAAATTGTCATTTATTGCAATAAATTAGATTTGTTATTCGTTTATTATGTAGGAAAGATTTCAACTTGTTGGTTTGACGCAGCGAACAGGCGGTTGGTTCATTTGCCGCTATGAAACCGGTATCATTGTGCTCCCATGAGACAGCGCGTGTTGCAGAGCCAACAGTAGGCATGCGTATGTTTTCATACGTCATTATGCTATTCGTTATCAATTCAAGAACGCCGAACGATAACACATGTTAACAAATGACTTTTATGAAATTCAAAGAAAAACTTGGTAAGCGAGCGAATTGAATAGTTTTAAATGAAAAGGCACAATTCAAATCATATCCTGTTATTACCCACCGCCATCTTAGATCAAGTTAGGATAAGTAAGTTAGGTTATTGTCCCACATTTCTTCGTGCAATAACCTGACCCACCTATACTCACCCAAGAGAAACAGAATCGAAGAAAACAGATTAGTAGTGGTAATAACAGTCAAATGTCCATATGTGTTGCAAACAACCCGTAACTCTGTTGCTGTAACTCAACATAATTAAAGGTGTATCTATACTTAGAATTATTGTTTTATACGAGAAGTATTAATTAAATGTTCTTTAAAGTTGACCGAATGCTGAAAATGACTGTATTGCTGAAAATATATATATATATATATATATGGTTCGACTTTGCAAAGATTGTTAATACATTAATTATGACCAAGGATTTCCGATGGGACTGCTAATAAATCCTTGAACGTTTCAAGGTTTTAAATATTTAAGTAGAGTCATCGTGAAAGTACTGGCAATTTTATAACTCATGGAGCTGTTTCAAATTTAGAGTACTCAAAATAGTGTTTTATGCCCATTCTAAATTGAAAAAAAGACAGCGTCCTGTCTAATATTGTACAGCCATGTTGTTGCAAGGGTCAGAGGTAGGGTGTGATCGATTAAAGAACGCTGGCGAACAAAATCGTGATACGAGCAACGTTATGCATTTTTGAGTCGATTTACACACAAGCGAGAAGAAGACTCGAAGAACCTCTATAGACCCGTTGAATTTAGGAGAAATCGGTCAAGCATTAAAATTTGTAGAATGAATAAATTAGGTGATTGTAAATGTTCTATATATCTCTAATAAACCAATTGATTGTATTTAATACGCAGAATATATGCATCTATGACGTAATATAAAATTCTGGAAATCGTAACTATTTATTCGATGTCTCTCTTGCGCCAATTGCGGTAGAAAAAACTGTTCGATTGTTATTAGTAAGGATTTGATTTCGCAGGGCTGCTATATGGTTAAGGAACTCGCGTACGTGAATTCATAACAGTGTTATGTGCAAAGAACATGGAAAATACAAAATAATTTGCGTATACTTATTCCTATATGTAGATTTATTAGAAACCAATTGAAGATTGTTTTAGAAGTTCTGCTAAATATTGTTCCGGCCTTGAAAATTCGAGTGACTCGAATAACTTATTCACGTTTGATTAAATCAAATTCATTCAGTTAAAACCCACTCTCATAAACTTGCTACCATAGCTTTGCTATTCTATAATACTTTATTATTTGCAGTAATTCTCTAGGCATTGTGCATATATACAGACTGAGTATTAATTATTTGTTTTATTCCGAAACTGTTATTCATCGAATATTTTGTCAGCGTACACCAAGTATTGGAGTAACGTATTATAAAATGAATATCTTGACAAAATACCAAAACAAAATAGCAATGCCCAAATATATGAACAAAAAGACGATCACGATACACCGTGGCATACACCTTTCATTTAGCAGTCGCTTTCCTAAATTTTTCAGCGGAAACGTCACACTTGATGCAATGTTTCAAAGTTAACTAAATTTTAAAAAGGACAGGCCCCAATGGGAAAAAAGAAAATAAATAGCTTCCTCATAAACACTCCACTTTAAAAGCTGAAACTCCAGGAAGAATTTTTCAGAAGATTTATGAGGAAATCGAAGTAGCCTTACTGGAAATTTATTTCTTACCTTTTGACTCGACATCGCTGTCTTGTAATCAGTTCTGGCTTCTTCCCCTGGCAACAAGCACAACTAGAGTCCGTAAGCATTTCTTGCTTATAAATAGAAAATCTTGACAGGAGTTTGATGAATTCCAGATTTCAACTCCAAGCTTTCCAATTTGTGGCGATCTATGTTGAATATGTTCGTCCTACCTCTATGGTAGAATTGTAAATTTCTAGAAACTCGACAAGCTTCTTGAAAATCTAAACGATACTCAAAAAGAAAAGATCCATTTCTCAATTTATTATGAATAACATTAACATGTTTCGCGTTTAAATTCAACAAAAATATTAGCTTGAAAATGGTCAATAAAAAATACATTTTGTAGTAGGTTCTCATATTAACGTAATTGAGGATATATATTTGGTATGAATCCCACCATATTCAAGAATAGCGAACGTTTTACTACACACACTAGACCAGTTAGCCGCTTTTGGTTTCAAATAGGTTTTATAATTTACTTTATACCATACATTCTAAACAATTTTTATTTTCGTATATATACAAAAGCAATCTTGTGTAATTTATTTATTTTTGTCTGTCTGTACTTACAATGGTATTTTTAAAATTATAATAATCGATTGTAGGCCTACTCATTATTTATTTTGGGCTTGCTATTTGACATGTCTTACATGGGTGGTAAACAGTATTTCGTTTTGGTTTAAAATGTTATGAAATCGTGTTAAAAACAAGATCGTAGTTTACATATCAGGTTAGTCAGTTGCGATCAAAATAAATGTTTCATTGAGATGACTTAGTTTTACTGTTAGGTCAACATTCTTTTCGTCAGTTTTTTCGTTCTTGTATTGTTGATAGTAACTCAAAATGGCTTACGAAACAGTTCAAGAAAGCTTTTCTATTGTTTTCGAATCAGAATTTTTGATTTGGTAATAGTATAACGTTTCTTGTGACAGTTTACTACAAATCACATGAATGGCGATGACTTCCACGCCCGCTCATATCGATGGCACCTGGAGTTTTGATCGTAATAACTGGCAACAATGAGTCTGTTTTGGGTCGTCGGTGTCACACGGAAACGGTTGCCGTAACAATCCGCGAAGTTACGCGCAAAATGTCGTTTTCGCTTCTACTGATACTAACGTGGGATTCCAAATTCACAATGAAAAAAATGAAGGCAATTGTTGTATAAGTGTACAGTATAAACACCATAGTCGGACAAATTATCCGTGTACCAGTAGGTAAAATGTATGCTAGAGGTTTTCTAATTCACCGAGAGAAACATTGTATCAAATTGTGGGGGATCTGGGCGATCGGTGTTAAATTTCCTGATCAAACGATCACCCGCATTGTTTATCGAGATTGTTACAGAATCTTGTCGATATCAAAGTAGAATACAGGTAGCGAATGAATGCCTCTTTGTGTTTTTCAATAAAAAGAAACTTTTCGACTGAAAACAAAAAGCTGGAACGCGCCTTACACAAATCACTGTGTTATCCCTTTAATCATGTGTCTAAACTGTTACATTAGATACTATTAATCTACCGCCATTAAATTGCATGCGTTTTACTTCTACAAAAAGTTCTCAATATGAGAAACCACAGTTACATACTCATATATGTTCATTTTTGCGTTTCACACCATAAAAACCCTAACATTGTTCCCGGAAGCTAATCTTAAGCCGCTTAATCGCCAATGCTGTAACTAATTGAATAATATATACTTAAACCAAAAGTCTACGTCTAAATGACTCCATACTAAGTAAGGCAAAGTTGTAAAATACTTCTGCGCTATCGCAACATTTATCATTCTGGATCAGTCCCAAACGGCGGGTAGTAAACTACAGTTGTAAAAAATGGATTCACCTATTTTTTGATTGAAAAAGTTTTAACGCGGAGTCGAAGATGCTCAAAAGACGAAACGGTTCTTTTCGCTTTTTGATTCATACGTACCAAATTGACAACAGGAAGTCCAGAAAACTTAAAATGCTTTGAAATGCAAGTGTTCTACGTATTATGTTATCATTTTAGGCAGACATGTAAAATGTACTATTATAATCTTTTAAAAAATGGGGTCTTTTTCAGACTAGCACACACATTTCATGCGAGAATGGCAGGCAACCGTGAAATATCAAATCCTACATAACTCGTGGGCAACACCGAGTGGCTGACGTCGTTTATTCAAATAATATATTTATTAAAATGACGTAATGACTCATGTGCGGTGACACAAACCAAATAAATAACGTAAGCGTAGTGAAATTTAGACATTGTAGCATGATGTAAACTGATAAATTTGTTTAAATTTTGTTTCCATCTTGTGAAATCTTTTCATTTTGCGTTCCTGAAACTTCGAAAAGTGGTGATAGCTTCCGGTCTCTGCTCTTTCTATCCTTCTCATCATGACGAGAATCCGGTAATAAAGAATTTAAATCTGGTTTAGTTGTTGTTGATATTTTTCTACCTCTAGTCTGTGAAAGATATGAACTCTCGGAATGTATTCTTCTTTGTATTCTAGAAGTCTCTGAAGGGAGTTGATCACCCGCCGATGAGCGTCTACGTCCTGGTGGAGTAGGTGCTGTGACACACACCTGGATATTGCTCGCTTTTAAACTTCGCAACGGTGAATTAATTTTGGCTTCTGTTTTACACGAAGACGTTTTACGAGTCTGTTGATTTAGGGCACTTTTAGATGACAAAGATATTTTCTTCTGTTGTTTTGAACCTCCATCCTCACTAGTTTTTGCATTTGAATTTGGGGTAGTTGAAATTTTACGTTCTTGTGTTTGATCGTTTCGTCCTTTGGTCGCTGATATCTCGTTCTCGAATGTTAAATCGGGATTGACTTCGTCTAAAAAGAAGAACAACAATAAGAATGACATAGATTTTGAACTGCTTCAAGTTTCAGACTGGTGATTTTGGGCGTGTTCTTCACGGAGCACACTTTTACTTATCAAATGATAATTTAGCTATATTTAACTGATTATGTCAGGCAATTCGGCTAAAAGTAGATTTACGGGATGTTGTTGTGGATGAAAATCATATAAAAAACACGACAGGTTCATATCCTACTTTAAGTACAAAGGTAAGATTTCCATATTTTCAGGATAGGAGTTTTCATATATATTAAACCCGGAGAGAGTTATGCCGATTGCAAGGCTTAATCATGAGGGGAACCACGGCCTCTCGTCAGTCCATGTCCGTCATAGGAGGAATAGTTAATCAGATATTTGTTTCAGATGTGTATTCTTGACGGCGGAGGGAGCCGTTACCAACCAAATGCCACTGTCTTTCAAATACGTGTTTCGCGACTAAGAAACCATAAAATAGTAACTATAGCCGACTATTACTAAGCAAATCTGCCATTCACTTAGGCGTGATTTTACAATTCTCAGTGTCATATTTGCCGACATACGTGCGAATCGCCCAATAAACACACGCCGTCTGCTCCTTTGATTGCGTGCAAATATATACCATAAACCTGTTAGAGTCGGAGAGTAATAGCAAGAATGCAGGGGTTCTTAAGTACGAGATTTGACTACTAATCAAAAGGAAAAAAAGAGGTTCAATTATAATATATGTGAAAAGTTACTTATACACACCGTTTGAATCATCCGTGTCTAAAGTAGCCTTTTGTCTGTAAAAAAAGATGAAAAAATACTGGTTACAGAACAATTTCAATTCCTGATTCATTGTGGCAACAATTACTGACAGGTAATGAGATAAAATACTCTTGTTTAGTGCACTTTTCACGTTCATAATTCAAAAATCATAATTTAAATGGAATTGGTTCAATAATTCACTCAATATTTACAGAACTATTTCAACAGTTATGATGTATATTTCAACACTTTAAACCCAATTTCATATTTTTTAAAGAGTCGTCCATATCAAAATTTTGGAATTTTTATTTTCTAATCGGCGTCTACCCATGATCTTGTTCATTATCACAATTGCATATTGGGCGTTTGCCTAAAATATTACCAACAATAGTGACTATATTGTTCGTTCTTACGCTCTTTTAAACATGGGTGAAGTAACAGCTTCAATCTTAATGAAAGGAATTCGAAGCGATCTTGGAGTTAGCTGGATTCTAAAAAAAGATGGAAGTAATAATAACAACATTAATTATGCTACAGAAGTTATCGGTATGCACCCTAAAAGTAACATAGCTTCAAATGCACTTATTCATAGGAAAGCTGCACCCAAACCTACTAGTGCAGTGGTTCTCAACCTTTTTTCTTCCGTGGCTCATTTTTGTTGCACAAAATTTCTGTTGCCCAATAAGTTTCTCATGCAAGGAAAAAACTACAAGAAAAGAGAAAAATTCCTCCCGCAAAAATAGACACATCCACTTCAATAATTTGTAGGCTAAACGCCACCCTGTAGCGAAAACAGCATCGCTTATTATTACCGTCAATTTAACTAAATTTACAATATCTCCAGCAAATTTTAATAAGTTTGGGGCCCATCTGAAAATGTTTCTGTGGTCCAGCAGTAGGCCATGGCCCACTGGTTGCGAACCGGTGTACTAGTGTACAAGCGATGGTTGATGTTTAGCTACTTTGTACATTAATTGTTGAAGGGGTTGCAAAAATATGGTGAGATCCAAATCGAATCACACCTAAAAACGCAGCTTACAAATGTCAATTTTTACCGAGTGAAAACAAGTCTAGTCGACTGTTACTCAACTCCAATCACAATTTAGGTATCATTGACCAGATAGTTACAATCTAATCTAATTGCACGATCTACTGATAGTTGATACATTAACTAAAAACTTACTTGGAATTGGATTCTGTATCTTGGTCCTCTATCGTTGCTGTACATTGGGTTGTTGATACACTGTGTCTTTTCTTTTTGCCTTTTTTAGTGTTAACCCGAGTTGTTGTTCCCTAAGTATAGTGAATTATAAAGATATTAAACGAGTTTGCGTTTGTTGAACATTTCATCATGATAAAAAATTCAAAATTACTCATTAGGAATAAAGGATCATATTGATTAGAAAACGTTCCAGTTAAAAAACAGACAATGACTGCATACTCACTCTTTGCGTCCATCTTCTTCGAATTTTGTTTTTGTCTTCACGTGTTGCCGTTTCTGCGCTTAATTCAGCAGCGATTTGTTTTATTTCAGTTATTCTGACAACAAAAAAACGTTTATTATGCTTCCAACTCAATAAATACCATTTACTGTACATCACAATGTTAATCAGGAGAACTTACTCTTTCGCCGGAGTGTTTTCACTGACAGAATTTGTTGCACTCTTCATAGGTGAAGCATGTTCTGGCTTGTCATTTTCACCCGTAAGTTTTTGTCCAGTTTTTGTTTCATCAGCTCGGTCAGAAGCTTTTCTTCCAAATCCTCCAGGCAGCATGGCGTGTCTAAAAGATCTATGAGTGCTTTCACGAATACTTTTATCAATCGATTTTGATTTCGATCCAGCTGAAAATTAAAAAAAATGATGTATTGAACTTGCATCGGTAAGGAAATATAACTTGCCTATAAAAGAGTTATGGATTGGCCCAGGATTTTCGGATGAGATGTTTAGTTTAGTTCAATAGGAAAATAAAATTTTGTGACTTCACTTCATTCCATCATTTGGTTGAGCAAAGATACCTATGCTTATGACGGATACGTCGTTTTAACTTTGAACCCCTTCCAGGGCGACAAATCCATTTTTTGGATTTGCATTTGAAAAGGAAATTTGTATTCTGTGTCACAATTCACCCGTTAGATTTGAAAACTATTGCGGTGGTTTAAACAACTGTTGATTACATTGAGTACGCTTGCATCTTAAAAATCTTGCATAAGGTAATTCGAATTTTAACGTTAGAGGAAGCTGTAACAGGCCGGCGGTTAAGTGAACCACCTTACGAGTTCATCATGCATTTTATATTTAACAATGAAAAACAGTCAAACTTACGCGCATTTGCTGTGATATCAGCTTTCAGTCGAATGACATCTCGCTCGTATTCGATTGCCAACGCTGGCATATTGATTTCGTTAAAACGTAGATATGTTAACATCAGATGTAGGTGTTCTTTGAGCGAATTTAATTGAGAACATTCAATTTTGAAATGCATCATCTAAAAGGTAAATACATAAAAGGGGATTTAAAATATGTATAAACGAAGACTTCTAAGTTTTCCTGTGTAAACTTAATACCATTTTTCACACAAATAATGTTATTGAAAGAAGGAAATTAAGAAAGTTGAAAAATTTTGGACACAATTTCGTAATATCACCATGATGTATTTGCAGCAGAAGTTCACAATTCGGCGCTTCGAGACATTTTTAATAAGGAATATTCATAAAACAAATTATTGTCTGTTCATTACAATAACGATAAAGAATAGAACAATGCTCAAATATATGACCACGGAGACCAAATGGCCAACGCAATGACAAAATTCCAGCTAAATGTTAAAAGAATTGTACCGAATAGCATATGAAGATGTGTCCATGAATTATAAAAGTTTTTGGATAAAATATAGAACCACGTAGATAATTTGAAGAAAATTAATCAAAAAAAGCTCCAAGTTAATTCTTTCATCACAGAAAATTTAAAATCGATTGGTTACTTAGTTGTAGATGAAACCCTTTTTTTTCATAACAACAATTTAGAATATGCCCAATTGATATCCAATAATGAGGTGAATTAGGTAATTACCTGTGTTAGGACGAAAGATCTGAGATACAGAACGAGTGGCGTCTTTATTGACATGATGAAGTTCATAAAAAGCCAAGTATCGTTGTCATCTGTAAACAAGTTAAAGAAACCAATTAATCTAGTTCAATTCGATTTAAAACACGAATATTAGGTTGTAAAACTAACTTGATCTTTGGACAATAATCTTTTTTATCTTCGTAGAAATCTTGTACCAGTGTCTATGCAAATTCTTTCGAAAACAAGTAATTAGAACCTTCACCAATAACAGTGATGTCTGGTGCGATAAATTAGTTCTTCGATGTGACACTAGATAAAAAATATAATATGTATTATTCATGGCGATTACTCGTAGCATCCACTCAATACTGAACCTATGGTAATTAAACTAAACGGAATTCAACATATTACACATTGTGCAAGACAGTGTTCGCGGAAAAATATTTTGAGAGTAACAGCTTGTATCTTTCATTTGCTCATTAACGACTTCTTATTTCAAGGCATTACAAACCTAGATCAGGTTAAAAGAAGCTGTAAATTATGTTTGTTTGGCTAGTTTCTATCGTATAATTTGTCAGATACTACATATATACACAAAATGCCACATTTTTAGTGACGAGAACCTGGATAGGTTACGGACATTAAAAAAAATATTATCAACATTATTTGAAAATTTTGAATAATAGGGGTCGCGTTTCAGAAATAGTCAATAATCTCAAATAATACAAAACTCTAAAATACAGGTTGCATAAAGATTCAGAAATTAAACAATCTTTCGTAGTACTAACCTGGTGAGGTGAACAGCAGCAGTTGTGAAATATTGTTACTGAGTGAAGCTGAATCTTTTGCAAGAATTTCAAATGCATAATTGAACATGTACATGACATCGGCCTCTCTGACTGAAAATTGCTCTAAAAACGATATTAAATTGAAATGACTGCTTATTGTTAGTTTTTTATTCATGAAAATTTATAGTATACGCCAATCGTCATTTGACTTTTCAATTAAGTCTCATTAATTAAGTATTGCTTCTGAATTAAATTTAGTTGTATGCTTGATTATATGTTTAGTCAATAGTATATCGGTGTTGTAAAATAACATTCATGCAGAAATTATTGTCTTAAAAAAAGGTCTAATACAAATCAAAGTAACCCCCAAAAAATAATTTAAAAAAGAAACGTAATCATACCGGAGTTTTCTTTATCACGTGGACAAGATTGCAAACTGGATGCATATATAGCCAGAGGAATGAAAAAGTTCAAAATCACAAAATCTCTTTTTCCGTGAGTAAAGTGACGAACTAAATCTTCCAGTGTGACAGTGTTTCCCATTGAATTCATGTAAATCACTGTGAAATGGTTTTATCAAGATTTATATTTGATGATAATTTATTCTTTCTTGTGTGTTATAAAAGCCGGTGGATATATCTAAGACTATGCTTGGAATCGTTTGATTTAGTTTAGAAAACAGTATTGGAATTTTATTTTATCCAAGTCCAACTACCAAACGTCTGTCATTAGCATTACAAATAATCTGACATAGGAACAGACGACAGAGCGCCCTCTTATGCAATTTGCTGTGTACTTGTCAATTTAAAGTCTAGTCAAGCATATTTACCTTACTGCATTGCAGGAAAAACACTACAAACTGGTATAAAAATATTTATTGAAGACATTTTTTGTCCGATTGTCAGCCCTGAAAAACAAGAGCTGGCTTTGCTCTTAAAAGCATTAGTATTAAAACCACCTTAAGGATTTGTTTTGACCGACTTGGCGAATTGACTCCTGAGATTTCTTTCTGCGTACATCTACAGATTATGTATTTACTAAAACTTACTTGTCAACCTCAGAACAGCGGGTACGTATGTTCGTGGAACAGCCGCTTCTGTTACACCCGGATTCTTCGGAGAACAATCACCATCCAACAATGCAGATGATCCGATTAGCATTGCCAAGTTGATCTGTGACAAAATTCAGTGATTGCTCAAGTTATTAAGGAGAATAATATTTGGGTAAAGTTCGATTATTATAACGGTAAGTGATTTATTGAAATTTTCTCTCAACAAAAATATTAGGACTGCAAATATAAAAAAACTGAACAACTGAAAGTGTTAAAAATGGCATGCACTCGTAAAACGACCCCAATTATCGTGTAACGTAGCCAATCGCACATAGTATATATAGGGGGTGAATAAATTTAAAGACACCGCGGCGACTATCATTTTCGTGTACACGAAATATTATTTGCAAATATCATTTGAATTATTGGGATAAATTGAATTGATTTATTTTTGTTCGAATTCATATACGTTTCCATTCGATAGTAACGAAAATTAAAAACGCTTTCGCGAGGGTACTAAGAAATTATGAGCGTGACTAACCGTAACAATAGATTTGATATGAGGAATGACAGAAACCACCGGTTGATTTGAAATCAAATCGCCAAGACCTTCAATGATCAGACGTAAATCACTCCAATTCAAACTTTGTCGACTGAAAAATAAAAACATTGTAGAACAGGAAAAATTCTATTATATTGGATATTAATCATAACTTTCATAGGTCACAAGAACTTTGATCAAAGAAGTTCATTTAGCGGTTGTAATAATTTTATTCAGCGTGAGAAGTCGCAGGGGAGGACGAGGAACTTTCTCCCGTTTACAATAGAACAGAACCTATATAACGATTAAAAGGATGATGGAATTAAAGTCTTCATCGATTCCAGACACGGATATTGCTGATTAGAGACTTTACCAATTAGATAAATTTCCTTGTGCTTAATTTTATATATGTAAACACGATTTACGTCAGGCAAACCGCGCCTCTCATTCGGTTACCATATTGGGTATGGGTATAGTTAGCCAATTATTTGTTACAGATGCATAAAAATCTCAACTGCTAATAGCACGTCAGACAATAAAGACCAATAACGTTGAAAGTCTTGAATATAAAGTTTCAAAAATATGCGGTCTCACCTTGACTCCGGCATCCCGTTGATTTTTATAAACAGTCTATCCAATCGCTTCAAAATCAGGAATAAAGTCGCTCGAACACGTTCATCTGTCCAATCTACTACTGGGATCATCTCGGTTAAATAAGTCATAAGTCCTGGACATTTGATTGTAAATGCTTCCTCGGTTAAAAGCTGGAAAATTTCAAATAACTTGTACAATACTCGTCAATGAATGGCAGTTCGGAACTATCGGCAACGAATACGTGTTATGAATATAGATTATATATTGCTGCTTACCTTCAGTAGAGATTGAGCTATTTCAGCCAGTCTAGCATGCGATTTTTCATTCAGCAGTTCAATACTTTGAGCCGTGGATCCTTCTAATTGACGAAGTCTGAAACAGAGTCGAGAATGTTAGAAAGGATTATAACGTTTCATGTTATAAATCTGTGTTTAAGTGTATCGCATTGCAGTTAGTTTAGAGGAAACAGATTGAGAGGCAGAGACAGTGTCAACCAATAAAATTGAAAGTACTCTAGCTTATAATATATTTATTGAACAAGTAACATTACTTAAATAAAGTGAACTAGAAATCAACTCTAAATCTGTATATCACAAATATAAAACCTTTTCGATGTGTGTGTAAAATATTTCGAGCAAAGATGAAGAACGATATCACGCGGTGCAAGGAATTCTTCCGCCAACGCACGGAATCTCTCCTGAGAATATTCGATGAGATTCCCTTCTTCCATTACCCTGTGTGAGAAAATATTATATTCCAAATAAAAGGCATTTGATACTGATTTAACTATAAAAACATTGAAATCAAATATTGCTAGAAATCGATGATTTTAAAGCTTTAAATATACACGGGTGAACAAATCCGCCCAAGTAACGTACAAAAGTGCTTATGCATGTAGTGCAAGCGCCATTGGAGAAAGAAAGGGTGGGTTATTTTCAACAGATCCTTGAATGAAAATGAATAGCGGCCACATATGAACTCTTTTGAAATTAGTTGTTGTTCGTTGTTTCATTTCAGTTTGGATATTGTGATGGTATATATATCATGAAAAACAAATGTAATCGCCCGAACATTTACCCATCATCATAGATTTATACGCATTGCAGCACTTTTATCAAAGTATTTGTTCAACTTACTTTACACTGTCACATCTCATTTTTGGCGTATGTCGAAGCAGGCCTCCGCTTGCACCAGCTTCCATGTGGAAAACTTTGTGCGACGTTTGCTGTTGAGGCAAGGTGTGAGCCAGGTTTCTTGTCAAACACTCCAAACTAACGAGCAATGCACGGATACATACAACTATTTCTTTCAGAGAAGATAGCTCTAAAATATATAATTTATTTTCGCTTTAACTACATCATGTTAAATATGACAATCACGTTCACCAAATTAGCTTCTCTGCTAAATTGCATCAAGTACGTGACTATAGTAAAAAAGATCTCAATCAGTATGTTTTCAGAGACAGCCAAACTTTTCCGCTTGTTCACCGTTGTAACTTTGTTACATGTTATGATTCATTTTTTCTTCAGCTGTGCCTTTGCTTAATAATTTTGGCATCGCGGATAAGAGACTTGAAGTTAATTTTAATGATATCAATGAAAATCTCCCAACAGATATTATAGGGAAAAGATGAATTGTGGCGAAACGAATGGTTTCAAGCCTTTGTAAACCAAGCGACCCGGTCATCACATTCAATGTCCACTTAGCTCATAGAAATATTATAAGAAAATATCAAAACCAACATACCATGTGAAGTTGATCGTGTTGTCAGAGTTCTTTTATGCAGATGATCAAGATAGCAGGGTAGAATTTGATCAAACACAATTAGCATTTCCAACGTACGACTACTTTCCGGTTGGAAGGCAACAACGGTAACACAGAGTCTGAAGTTTTTACATATTCAAAATATTTTAATATAATTAAATAACTTAAATCAATTAATTAAATTACCTAATTTTATTAAATTATGGTATATATATACTAATATAATAAACTTCCTAATTACCTTAGGCAGTCCATAATAGAAAGTGAACAATTGTCATTTTTATAACAAAAATCCAAAGATTGCAGTGGTTGTTCTGCTCTGACTAATTCAAGAACCTGTGAGAAAAGAATTCTATTAGTCCTCTAGACTAGCGTCTAGGTCTAGGACGATCTATAGGACAAAAGTTTATCATTTTTTTTTTCGTGAATTGTGCATTTAATAATTTTTTAACCCATTCCCAACACAATGTAACGTTTTCTTGGAAACAATCTCCGGTTTAAACTACTTGTGTGAGAAAAACGTTGCATCAGCACGAAAAACCAACGCAAATATGCGAGAGAGGCAATATAAGAAGAGAAAAAGACTTGCTTGAAGTTCGTCTTCGACGTGTTCTCGTTCGAGAGATTGCAGCAGTGTGAAAAACTTTTCTGGCGACAGATGTTTGCGATTTCTTGCATTCGTGGAAACGTCTGCAAACTCCTGCAATTTAAATAAAGGTTTGACATAACCGACTTGATTGGAAATGGGCAAAGATTTAGTAGCTTATGAAAAGCTTGTACTGTTCAGTATGCTCAACGGGTAGAGACTAACGGAATCATTGAATCAAAATGAACACACATGCAAGAACAACGACATGTAACGTTAGGAATGAATTTGTAATGTTTGTATTGTCACAAAAGGTACGTAAATGTTTATGAAAATTTACAAGATAAATTATCTTAAGAACGTAGCAACACAATGTTGATGAAGGATATTTTAATTTTGGTTCAATTTCCTCAGCATAGAAAAAATAGTACTAGGAATTCTTCAGCAGGAAATGGGTGTCCAGAGCCACTAGAATTATCAGGCTATTTAATATTTGCTGTAGGTACAGGATTCGGATGTACAACAATCTTAGAATTAAAAACTATTTTGGCGTTACCATATCCAGAATATACTTTATTTTATCAATAAAAAAAACTTACCGTTAGGATCGGTGCTGCACAGGCAATGAGTTCGAGTACAAAAGGATGTCGATGAATGATATGTAGTTGCTTGCAGAGAAATTCAATGTATTTTTTCACCGTTGGCATACAAAAATGTTCGCTATATATCTGAATTGAAAATAGCAAATTATATTTGTTATGTATGATTATAAATACCAATAGCAATTTCTCGTTTTATTCACTACATGTTCGTTAATTGGGGTGAGTTTGAGAGCTTACCTTGATAACGCGTGTTCAAAATGTGTATTCGGTTTAGAAGTGATTTTAAATATTTTGAAGAGCCTCTTTTACAAGTTTTCTATCGAGTTTCCATAGTACAAACTGACCTCTAAAATAGTAGGTAGAACCACCGAATATCCCAACTTTATGAACTGGTGATTCATATGAACTGCTGCGTCTATCAAGGCTGCTCCATATCTACGAAGTATCGGAGTCTGTTCAGCGTGCAATACCAACGCAGCATTCCAAACATGTAGAAACAGCAACAGTTCTTTACCCCACGGAAATTCACCTTCAAAACGAAAAAAACGATCACACCATCGTCCCATAACATGTCATTTATAGTCGGTTTTTTATTGTTCTACAAATAGATAACATAGTTCATAGACAGAAAGATATTATTCTACTGCCTTGACCATTGCGTGCATTGAGAGAGTTTTCAAATTCGCCTATAAACTCACTCGGCAGGAAATGGAAGACAGTCGAAATAAGTTGTATCCACCAAGATTTTTGCATCATATCAATATCAAATATTTGTCTTCCCATCTTTCCAGAAAACAATTGAAAAGGTGCTTGAATAGCCTGAATGCAATATAAAAAGATATTTAACCAAATTCTCTGGATAGTTCATATATATACAGTATCCGGTGAATGTGAATTTGATACGAACCAATTAAAACTGAATAGGCCTATTACTACCATATTCATTTATAAATACAAGCAAGCGAATCTTCATGAAAATTTTATTTCTCCATAAAAATACAACACGTTATAGAGATAAATTATTTGGTGTTTTATTTTCACCTTTGTACAAACCAAATAGTCACAGGTCTAGGATGAATCTTGCTGGCTAAATTTTATATGGAATTATGTATGCTGGACGATCAGCGTTGTTACTCTATATAAAATACCTTCCTAGGAAAGCATTTCAGTCGTAGAAATTCATCCAAAATAAACGACGCATTCAGTTGCTTATCCTCGAGTGTGCGTTTATGAAGAAGAACACTCAAAGTGAATCGCAGCTTGTTGATCTCCTCCAACTGGGTGAGAATTGCCCTTGCTTTTATCTGTTTGTCGGCGACTTCTGGTTCCATTTGCACCAAAGTCAACTGAAAATAATAGTAAATTATGGAATTTGCTGATTTTTCCTATGCCGGATGACTTGTATAATTATTTGAAAATATCATATTGGTTTACATCGTGGCTTGGTTCAAGGGTTGTCGGCACGGCACGTAACTTGGGGGGAGGAGCAATATCATTTTATTTATTTTACATAGATCATAAGTTGAACTGTTATGATAAAGCTATATAAATTCTTCACCTCTGGAAAAACCTTCTTGTTGAAGGAGTAGAAATCTCGTACGTACGAATGTGGACAATTTACTTTGTTTAGTCGTCTGTCAACCAACTGGTATTTGTGCTTTTCTGACTCCGGAATATCATTTTGATGCATAGCGTCAATTATAACATTCTCAAACGTACTTTCTTCGTTGACATCAACCTTGTGAAAATATAATATTATTAAACGTTTTTTTGTTTGTTCTGGGGGTAATACATAAATCGTGAAGTACCTACCAATGAAGGCATGTAGTAGTCGCTGTTATTCCATATAGTCAGTTTCCTTGGTCCCGGCAACGCGCTGGTTATCAGCAACTGAAAGTTTATGAAACTACATTACAGGTCTAAATCATAGTTGCAAAATAGCTCTCAAAGTAGCAGAGCACATGGGTAATAATGAAAAGTTTTTACGATATGGAAGGCCTTTTTCACTATTTAATTTTCAAACAAAGAGCCTGCAATTCCCTCCTTTTTCACAAATAAAATATAGAATTTGGTAGTTATAAACAAGCACTATGTAACTTGCTCTATATAAAAAAAATTAGACTTCCTAGTAGATGCTGCATCACTTCATCTTACAACGTTTTTGATCATTTTTATTAGTTTGAAAATCTGTAATGACATTTCAAATTTTATTTTAAAAGGTTAACCTAATTTATTTAAAAAATTAGGATCGGTGGTTTGGGAATATTCTACGTTTTCGAGAAGTTTGGAGAGATTTATAATAAATATTGTTATATATATTATACAACCAATACCTCAAGATCCATCTGTTCTTTTCTAAAAGCCATTTTTAAAGCTTTAAATTCAAGTCCTTCGACATATGGTGCTACACTCGCCAAAATCCCAATGCAAGATATTACGTTTTCATCGCAACCGGGCAAAAGTGAACGAACGGCCTTCATCATGATTCCAAGCTGCATGAAACAGATATTACAGCGTGAAAATATATTATTAGTAAAACGTCATCACTCTACTCGTACATTTATTCACTTCGGATCATATTCAAACATAGTTTCAATTCAATGGGTCCGAACCGAAGTGGTCTTGGAGTATACAAAAAAAGTAATAAGTAACCGTTACTCATGATGCTACCATTTCGCTAAAATTAAATCAAAATTATATGATATTGTTGGAGTTCCTTATTTTGAAAATAGAAGCTTCGTATGGCAAGAACGATAATTTCATTTTTCTGGTAGCAGATAGAAGATGTATAGGCTTTATGAAACTACGTCTGCTACACTGAGTATAGCAGAATAAATCCCAATTTATCAGTTTAATTGTACAAATAGTACGTAGGAAAGCTCACTTTCTCTACCATGTATATAGACACATAATCCATCTAACCATCACAAATTAATGATGTCATTTTGAATAAACTGTGCTTTTGATTAATCGATGAAAAGTGTTAGGATATAAACTTACCACGTTGATAAATATTGTATAGGCCACATGAGGAGATAATCCTCCTAATAACGAGGGTAGTTTTTGTAACAACTTCGATATTTGTCGCTGACTGCCATCTTTTCCTGAAAGCTTCTCAAACATGTGGCGCAGAAAAAGACTTGGGTCTTCAATGAGACAAGACTCTATCGTCTGTTGAGCCATTTCTCCGACTGGAAATTTAAAAAACGGTACTATACTATGGAAAATAGAACAAAAAATACACTGCATGTATCAGAACTCGTTTTTAAATCTTGTTTGAATGCGACATAGTACCTGAAAAGTTATTCTTTGAAAGTTCTGCATCCTGACAACTGTTTACAATAATTGGAATACAAGCTGCAATGCACGGTGGAAAAACCGCGCTTGCTTTAGCTGCTGAACTCTCGCGACTGTTTTGTTGATCTTCCTGCTTGTACTCTCCTATGAATTGAAACATAGTAGTAATGAGTATAAATTTGATTACCTACAAATTGATATTACATATTGAGTGACAAGGCGTATGTATGGATAGAGCATGCAATTAATTGAGTATTCAACAGGATTATTATATTTGGTCAGGTACTTACCACCATCTGCATCTCGTTTGGATACCCGACCAAGCTGACGTGATGATGGTCTGGATGATTCGCCAAATCTTGCATCTTTTCCCGAATAAGTTGAAGATGAAATACTTGGTGCGTGCGAATAACGACGGCTGGCAACGAGTGCTTCGTCTAGAATTCGTAATGAATAATATCGATATGAAATTTTTGTTGAAACTCTATAGCATTGTGCTATATCTAGAAGATAATATTTGGTCCATGTATCTGTAACTTAAACCACCAACCACCCACTAAACTCACTCAACTGCATAAGGATTAACTTTCCAAAAAATTCTTCTTTTGTATTAAATATATGTAATGCGTTGTTCCAGCCATACCTGCCATCAGTACGATGGCCAATAAAACAATTTTAAGCAGTGTCCTCGTTATACTACCAGGATCCCTACTCAATCTCAATGAGCTCAACAATTTATCATTTGACAATAACTCACTATCATCATCATCCTGAGCAACAAAAGCTGATTTTTGAACTTCGATGGCGACAAATCGGATGATAGGAATATTGATTAAATTAAATTTCTTTCTTGCAGCTGCTCTTGCTTCTTCTTCTCTGCGTATTGCTTTCTTCAATTGTTTTTCTTTTTGATGTGAACTGTTGTAAAATATTGATAGTGTAGGAAATATTTTATTCTATTTCAGTTTGTATAAGACCACACTTACGTCGTATCGGTTGTTAGCAATGCAGAATTTTCAGGTGCCGAACTGGATTGGGCTAAGATAGTCTCTTCTGTACTGCCTGCATATGGAAGCCATGGAGCATCAGGAACCTGAAGAAACTCAGTTCCTATTGTTTCCTTCGGAAGGGTGTAACTCATGCCAGTTTTAGTAAGCTGCAAATAAAATTTAAATAAAATCAGTGCTGGGATTCAGGAAACGCATAGTAACGCGGAGAAAACAACCAAAGATAATGATTTGAGATTACAAAATTTGTCAAATCACATTATTCCGATCCCGCTGTGTTTATTCTGTTTTGAATATGATAAAGTTTCTCGTAGTGTGCTTTTATGTCTCAAAAAAATTGTCGTTGAACACAAATAACATAATAGGATCTATAAACAAGAGATTTGTACCTTAAATATTCTGGTAGCTCCATCCTGTGCACGTTGCCACACGGAAAATCTACAATTCCATAATATTTGAAATTTCAGAATAGCATCAAGTCGCAGATTGGCATCAAGATGTGTCAACTCACTTGTGATCGTTGAGAATACTTGTTGGGGCGACTTGACCGCGCACAACAGGAATAGTACAGCTTTGAAAAGAAGAAAATTTTGCCGCATTTGAAATATAAAGTATATTCATTAGGTTCACATCACGAGTTAGTTACCTGCAGAAGTCGAGATGTCCTTATTTTCGTCCAATATCATTTCCCAACAAAAACTGTGAACGTCGAAAAACATTTCTTCGCTCAAAAGCGCCGCAGATTTAGTTAGTACAAGTAGTGGAGCGCTCATCAGTGATGCACAATATGTCTTCAGATATCTATCATATTATAACGGAATATTTCACATTATACAATATTAATAATTTGTATATATAAGGAAGAGAGCGCCAGTTTGCCTCAGTATAAACCAGCAACTTTCTGAGTAGCCAGGACTCTTACCATTTGGCCACAGTGATCGTAACACAATTCCTCTACTAAGTTCATATTAATTTTTTGTTTATCGGACGGGTCAAAGTCTCGTTTCGCCTTTTCCATGGGGATAATACTACGCCATAGTTTGGTAGAAGAAGTCAAAAAAAAATCATCACGCAAGATGACAAGACGAAAAATTTCCGATTTTATGTGCATATCAGCCAGAAATAAAACGCTCCAATACAATCCTTAGTTTTTATAAAAATATTCATATAAATTAGATACAACTCGAGCTATCACTAGTGTAAAACTTGCAGCAATTACTCAAATTAATAATTGGCGCGAATGCCTGGATGCGAATATCTGGATAAAAAACATTTAAATAACAATATAGCCATGCTTTATAAATACCTTGACACAAAATCGTTATAAAGTTCACTGCCGTTTAAAATCAATTTGTCCGTGCCGCCATAGACTTCGATCTGTGAAATGCAATATTTATCAGATTAAAAATTGAATAAGCGAAAGCACGAAAATATATTGAAGATATTTTATTCAGAAGTGTATGAAAAACTGGGTTTCATATTTCATTCTTATTCTCGAAGTAACATTTGGTATGATATCTCAAATATTTTACCTATACATAATGCAATGGAACAAACCTGCTGTTCTGGGTCTTGACCGCAGTCAAGTGCTTTACAAAGCGCCTGAACAAGTCGACGGCAAGATCTCTCCAATCTTTGATGACAGTAGGCATGACAGAAATTTTTATGTTCACAAACAAAATTTTGTTGATTGGTGAGAGCGAGCATGATCTGAACCAAGAGAATTTTTTTAGATTAGTAAATAAATCTTGGGCCTGGCTAAGTAAGCTCGTCCTCAATTATTATCAAATGATCATCCGATTACGTTTTCAATATTCTGGTAAAATGTAATTTCTCAATGAACATATAAAACATACAGTTCAGAGATGTAATTCCTACTCCATCGTTAAATGGTTTATCACGTTCTATCCTAGAGCAAACACGGTCTAGAATGTTAAAAGGTAATATATCTTTACATCGCTACAAAATAGACTTATTTATAATTTTGTAGCTTAGTGTGCCAATTTTGCTCAATAGGAATATAAAACACATACTCCAATCCATGGTATTTTGGTGATCCACTCTTCTTCCTGTCTCGACTCTTGGTTTGAAATAGTAGGTGATCGACTTCCTTCAATATGAGATGAAGCAATGCTGACCGCAGAAAGGTATATAGATGGATCATCGTCAACAACGGAAGAATCACCGAGTGAAACCATACTGCTTCCAGGAGATATTCCGCCATGGCTCGCACCAGACGTCGACTGGCATCCCGCATAAGCAGAAGGTACTGTAAGATAGTTTGAAAAGACCCCTCGACTTGTAGACTTTTTTCCAGTTTTTAGATCATCCAAAGTTTTTCCTGAATCGACGCATATGCTGATAGATGAATTGGACATCAGGGGACTGTTTTCATTCAAGTCTTCTAAGGCTGTTCCAGTAGATGCGATACTCCGCCTCCTTCCGCCAGAAAAATCTGCAAATGGAATGAAAAAAGCAAAGATGCTAGTAAGCTTCATACGGTTTTGTTTCAAACATTTTATCCCTCACTTTGGCTTGTTTACATGCAAGTGATATTCGTTTATTTACTACTGCGAGAACCCCGCTAAATGTATCTATAGCAAATCAAAGTTTGAACCACTTTGATATACCATTTTGAAGTGGGGGGCATATGCAAAGAATATATTTCGGTTCAAATTCAAGATTTTTCTTTGGTAAATAGGTCAATTTACTTTGTTGCTTTAACTTCTGTCTTAATGTGAAAATATATTATATGAGTAGTCTTCAATTACTTACCTTGGGGCATTGAAATTGTTCTTGGTGGGCATCTGGGACTATGGAATGGCATACTTTTTAGTTCATTCCTCAATGCGGATTCGGGAGCACTTTTGCGTGTTTGCTTCATTTCAAGATTGCCAGAAACTTGAAGAGAATGTGGCTGAGTATTTTTCTTTTCTGGATCGTCAAGAAATGAAATACTTTTTCTCCTTCCACCAGAACTTGAAATTTTACTCGGTGTAAGTGCAGAATTACGCGTAAAAGTACTTTCGCTTATGAAAGCATTGATACTTTCTGAAACAAAATGAAAGAAAAAATATTTTATTTAATACTTTCATCACTTTTGTTTGTAAAATTAAATGGCAAATGGTCTTGAAGTGGTAGTAGAGTAGAAGGTATGAAACACAGGCATAATGCTATATATATAGACTTTCTGCTATGATTCGCTTTGGTACATTTACACCTTGGTATATTCAAACGACAAAGTTATATAAGTAAACATGTGCAAAACAGCATAAATCCGTCTGAAACAATACACGAACATTTTTCTGCTTCTAAATATTGTTACGTTAAGCGTTCAACAGATTGGAAACAACGACTTTCAGAATATGGAATGTCTATAGATCTATCTTACCATCTTCATCTGAACGACTTAGGTGAGTGCTTGAAATCTTTCTTGTCATGGCTTTACAGTGCGGAGCAACATCTCGAACGAATGTAGTAATTTCATGAAGTAACTGAGCAGCCATCTTCTTCAACGCTACTGGACAAGCTGATCCTGATCGATTCACAGTATCTATCGAGAAAATATTAAAAGAAGTAGAATTTGGATTAAAATCTAAGCTACGCTTTTGTCTTACATTCAAATATCATTGCAGCAAAAGCGAATTACATATTTTTAAATATAGAAAACTTAAACCTATTGTGAATCGAATCTATTCGGATAGAATTGTCAACTTCCCGAGAGATCCGAGAAGCATCCAGCTCCAGTTCCTTATTCTTCCGAATCTCATCTGTTTTGAAATGAAATTCCATCTACGATTTCAATACCAGATTTCTATTTTACAGTCCTAATATGAAAGTTTAAATCATATAAAGAGAATAAAAATCATCGCTCACTGTCAAGAAGAAAATCTTCTCTTATATCTTTTTCTCGGAGTCTGATCTTTTCCGCATCACTTCGTACATTCGGTAATACGAATGTTGTACCACTCTCCATTTGACATAAATATTCTAGCTGCTTTCCCAACGCCTGATAACAATAAAGCAAATGAAAACTTGTAAAATATGAACTTGCTATGTGTGAGTCGCGATGCCGTGAAAACTGAGTAAATTTGATTTTGTGCGAAAAGAGATTCAGCACATTTGTTGCTATCCAACAACGTTCTAAACTAAGTATAAATATGTGTGTTTAACTCACATCTCCCCATGTATGAAATAAATATCCCGCTGTTGCTTGAAGTTTAAGATTATTTCGAACACGATGGCGAGTAGCGCGTACAAACATCTTCGGAATTCCAGTATCGCTATTTGACATCCATTTTGGCCAATCGCCATGAGTACATCTATGGACGAACACCATTACTTCTAGTAAAAATGCGGCTCGGCAAACAACTGGCGATTCCTAAAATGGGTTATGAAAATTGTAATTTGCTACGAATATTCAATTTATTAATTCCAAAATTTAAAATCTAATATTTAATACACATATATAAATACAAAAGCAAAATATTTGCTGAATTCAAATTTCAATACCAGATCAAGAGCAGCGGCCAATATCTTCGGTTCTGGGACCGTTCCTGGCGGGCAAGATTCAATCAAAAATCTGAGTATTCTCAGGCCGGCATAAATATCTTTTTCGTCGACAATAAAATTCTTCATATACGACGGTATCTCCTGCTGCTTAAAACTGCCAAATCGAGGTTCTTCGAGCAATCGATCTTCACCAGGCAGTGTTTCATCTAAAATTGAGAAACAAAAAAAATTGTTAGTTTCATGTCGCACAACCTTTGTTCGACATAGGCTATTTTCATTTGGTGATTCAAGAGTCTCCGGCTAGCATGCAAGCAGTCAGCAATATGTTTTTCTAAGGCCGGAATAATTCCTGATCTGCGTTCTCTACCCCACACCCTACCCATTTCATACACCAAGATATATTAGAATTTCATAGCCAACAATCAAGACGCTATTTCCAAAAATTTCGTTATTTTCATAGGGTCCATTCCATTTAAACTTACTCGGTGCAGACATTTGCTTTTTGACAGGCTTTCCCTTGATCATGCTCATAAATCCGTGTTTCTGTCTGTCACCAGGTGGATGACAAGTTTCCGAAATCGTTTCGTCTAAGTCCAGAGAATTTGTTGACTAAAAAAATATATATTTAGAAATAGATTAAAAACAGGGAGGAATATTCTGTGATTTTGCTTAATATTTTCACCTCAGGTCGTTCATCACAATAACTAGTTGTTTGTGATATTATGTGAGCTATCCCCTAAAACGAGAAGTGTTAAAGAGAGATTAGAAATATATTGTATGAACGCGTGACAAATATAGCAATTGATGCAGTAAACCTATTAAATAAAATTTTATGTAAAATCGGATGATTTAAGATAGAGAGAGATTTCTTATGATACAACCCCATAAACAATACTTGAAAAAACTCTGTTAAGTTACAGAAAGCTTTCAGCAATGTAGAACATAATTTATGAACATATTGGTCAGATCAAAATTGTATTTTCATTTTCAAAATCTTACATCGTGTTTGTGCCTGAGCCAGTTAGCAGAAAATGGCAATTTTCCAAAAACTGATCCTGATCGAGGTGCTTGGTGGTTATTTCCTCCGTTGGTCGAGACTGGCTCCGAATCAGAACTATTTTCGTTCCAAAGGGACGAAAAACGAGATCTGGAAAACCATAAACTTATGCTCACATATAACCGAAATTAGGTGACATATTTTATTACCTAATACCCAGCTTGGGAAAATTATCTAGTTTTTCAAAACTGTAGAATCGGCAATATTTTTAGGTTCCAATAAGCGACTAAAATAGTGTTTTATGTGAATATATACTTTCTAAGAGCAAGAGCAATTGTCGACTTAGTAAGAATTATTATACCTGAGATCCTTCACGAAATTGCTAAGGATATGAAGATCGTTCTATAGTGAGAGACATATTTAGATTTGATAATTTATTTGAGCTATTAAGTTAAGGTATCACAGCTTAAAATTAACATAAATTCTCTCCCACATACGAATACTATCATTTTCTAGCAAAAAAGGAACTTATCTCTATTAAAGTTTATTGGTTACTAACCTGAGAGTAGGAATCGATCTTGAAGTTGTTGCAGCAGCCCTTGGTAAAAGAGGACTGTTGTTCATAACTACTGCTCCTCGTCTGAAAAATACGGGACAGTATTGAAATTGAGTTAGTGTAATTTGTAGCTGATGGTTAATTTGTTTGTAATCCCATATTGAGGAATTTTTTTTTTTCCAACGATGGCAAACACAAAAGTATCATTGACTGACTATGCAGTGCATGTTTCGCAGCAACAGTATGAAACACGTTATTAAAATAAGTTACACAAAGATTTAAGATTAAATTATGATATTTTCTACAGTACCGATTTTAAAGTAGTAAAGACGGCAGATTCTTTCATTGGATGAATGTATACTTTCAATTATATTGCGATATTCGAAAAAAAAAAATATCTTTACCTTTTTATGCCAGAACGCTGGGTCAATAGGTTTACGGGTTCAGTATTTTTGTCTTGTTGCCTTCGAACTTCATTTTGTTCCTGAATAACGAATAAAGTTAAAATGAATATTTTTGTATTATGTTGGGAAAACGGGAAAATGACAGTATTAAATAATTAGAATATCGCCAATAAGAATAATTCGTCTTACTTTTTCTTTTTTCCATTTTTTCCATTTTATCGCCGAAGTCAACATCACATTCAAGAGTAATTTATTGAATATAGGTGGATGCTTGTGTTTAATGTACTGAACTATTTCCCTTACATCTCGATAGAGACTCTGTAAAATGAATTAGATAGAATTTACATTGTTATATATCACTAACACAAAATAAGAAATAGAATTGATAAAAATGAGCACTGGAAACTTTAAACCGATTGGTCTATTAGTTGCGACGAAAAGTTTTACCCAACAACAACAAGAATTTACCGAAACGATCCATTTCGTGTCAATCAAGCTAGTCATCTGTCGTAGAGATTAGAATGTATAGCTGCTATACTGAAAAATTCCACTTCAGGGAAATGGATGTCATATGAAATTTGACTTTACTTGTCGTTACTTTAACAACAACAAAATTCTTACTCGGCAATGAGAATTGTACAATTCGTCTTGAACCGCCAAACACTTGTGCACGAATGCTTCAAAGGTTCGTTTCGCAATTGCACTAGTCAGTTTGCTCTCGGGCGATTCTTCTTCGGCATTGTTCATCCAATCAGAATTATCATTCAAATCTTTGAGATTGAACAAATGTGATTTACGAAAATTTTGATTAGATTTGGGTACTACCTTTATATTCAAATCGCATCTATAAGCAAATGGTACTTTTATGATCACGTAAAATTCTGTGTAGTGCCAATAGAGAAAGAAATTTAGCAAATTTACGATTATTTTCATATATTTCATTGAACAACAGTATGAATATTTAGTTGGTAAAACAATTTAGTTTATCTAATAACTGCAGAGTAGAAAGTCATGAGTTCTTTTCAAATTGTTTCATAAACAAATTGGTCTGGCGTCTTAACTAAAATTGTTTAAATTACACTCGGAATTGACTGCTCTAAAGGGGGAATCCATAATTTGATGCAAAAATATAAATAAGCACGATGAAATAAAACAGTTAATCTTCACTTATAAAATAATATTTGATGGTATGCTAACTTTGGGTATGTATAGATTAAACGGGTTCACCTGGAACTTTTGTAGAATTAAACTCGATTTCGCAGGTTGGAAATATCAAATGAAGTAATTCAACACATTCTTTCATCGTTTGAGATTTTATTAAATTCGAAATATGGTCGCAGAGAATTTCATCATAATTCTCGTAAATGCTGACTAAAAGACTTCTAGCCTGGTGAGAAAAATGAATATATTTGACTAAGACACTGACACTTTGATAATAACCTAAGAGTATGGTTAGGCAGTACTTATTCAATAAACATACTTTAAGACGTAATCTTTCTCCCGCTGATCCACGGTGCCCACACCGACTGCAGTTTCTCACGCATCCCATAGCCCGTATGATTTTCAACATCACTCGTATCAGTTGTACCACATCATCCTATAAATAAATTTAAAATTGTAAAAACATAATTTAACATGATGCAGTTACGCAATTATCTGAAAAAATATTTTCTATTTTTAATTCCCAAAACTTGGAGTGAAGCCACAGGGCTCATTATTGTCACTTCGGGGCCACTTCTTATCGGTCACTCAGTTGATATATCGTTATTTTATTAACTAAAACATTTTATAGTTAATGAATAAAAATGAATGAATGAATCAAAAACGGGAAAGTTCCGGATAGAAGAGAACAAGAGATATTACAGAGAAGCTGGTAATAGTGGTTGTCGCCAGAAGGGCACTAACCCCCCATTAAAAGGGGCAAAACTCATTTGGAGTTATGAGTAACTTTTACCTTTTCTGGTGTCGGTCTAGAATGTTTGAGTTTAATATTTGACTGCCGCCTTCGAAATCTAGCAAAACTTGTTTGTCGATCATTCGGAACCTTCTGAAAATTATATATATAAAACTATACAAGATAAAAAATAGGTGAAAAGGGGGAAAATGTGGTATATTTCAGAAGTAATCAAATTGGCAAGAACAAAAAGAATTAAGTCAACTTTACTTCATAACAAATGATGTTATTCTATTTAAAACTAGAAATTGGAAAAAATTAAATCGTTAGGATTCGAATTATTCTACTTAATATTTACTCAATGGTTCCCGGACTAGCCATGACTGAGACACAGGATCCCCATCATGCAAGTTCAACATAGGGCAGCAAGTCATCATACTTTTAAGTAATAGTGCTTGAAAGAAGAAGTAATGCTGTGAAATTCTTTTAGTGAAGTATTTAATAAACAAACTTGAACATAAACATTTTCTATTATGCATTCCAATATTTGTAGGCAGGCATCGTATATCTTGACCCCTGGATCCCGCGATACCATGACTTCGATAGCTTGTAGTATGACGTCAGACCGAAAGAATCCTTCAGATGTGACGTACGATGACGTAATTTCACTATCTATGGCACATTGTACCTTGTTGTATGAGACACACGTATCGGAAGCCCAACGTCGATTAATTGGAATTGACTGTAAAAATAACAAATATCAATTGGAAGGGTGATTTTAATTTGATTTCTGTCTATCACAAAAGTTTTCATGAAATAAAAATATACATTTGGTACACTTCAACTAGTCTCAAAGTCAATGAAATTGATTTACTATTACCGTAATATTTCGATACTGCTCAAATTTATTAAAAAGAGAAGCACTAGAAAATGTATAAAATTAAACAATATGGATAAATGAACACTTGAGTTAAAACGAATTTGTTATGAATGGATAAATGGTATGTTCGGTCACGAAGTGGACATATGAAACGTTTAGCCAAATTCTTGTTGTTGTTGTTGTTGTTTTTCGTGTTGTTGTTGAGATTATTGTTTTCTCCACAATCAACGGATCAATAACTTACAAATTTTCAACATTCGAAGATGAAAGAAATCTCTACAATAAGCTTACATTACCCTTGGAGTCCCGATATTTTACTTCATAGGAACGGCTTTTTAAAATTTTTGGCTTTTTGTCTCAATATTCATGGGCATTACGATATTGTTTACTGAAGAAAACAAACGTTTGGACCAAACTCTTTCTTCTTGTTGAGTATAATTTAGAATTTCTGTAAATTTCGTTTGTAGTAAAACACGTTAATAATATTCTGATAACCGACCTCTGGATCTGATTCGATGACTTTTGTGGAAGTGTTTCTTGACATTGAATAGCGCGGCTTCTCAGCTCTGAATAATCATTTAGAACGAAAGCATTTATAAATAAATACAAAAAAATATTGTGAGATTTAAAAACAAATATATATTTAATAAACGTGGTTTATTTCTATCTTACCTTTCATTATGGTGAGAGTGACTTGCTGAATCCTCACCTTCAAAAAGAATATAAATTCTTTAGTAAACGTTGAAAAAAATAATAAATTTTTTTGTTTGTTTTTAAGTATCAAGAAGTATGTAGACGACTATTCTTCATTAGTCATTATGCAGAATCTGATGTTGTAAATTATGTTGAATAAAGTATATTAATATAAAATAATACTGTGATGAATTTGCTTGTATTGGACTTGCTATATAAGCTGAAACATTTACTCACCCCATTTGGGTTCGGCGGATTTTTCAGCTAATGTACTGCTGCTAGCTGTTGGTTCATCCTGATACACGCCTGTTTAAAGCATTCGTTTTGTTTTTATCTAGTAGTAAAATAATTTCATCACTCCTAATGTATAGGTACTTGCATGTCTGTTACGGAGAACTATTTCCATTTCATTGCCACATTATTTTAAATAGATCAAGCCGTGTGGAGATGAAGGTAGAATGATACCCGTTTAGTTATAAATTAGATATAATTAGAAATAATTTGGGCATTTTAAAGTTATATAAATAAATACATTGACAATGAAAAGACAACGAAAATACAATAAACAAAACTTGATACCCGAGATTCCGATCTCGTCATCTTCTTCGGCTACATGTTCCATTCTCTGAAACATAAACATTTTGACCAAATATGTGTGATATATACTTACTTTTATCCTAAAACATATCATAAGATGAAATTCAAACATATTCGTTTAAAAAACAGATTCTATACGGTCGCAGAGTATAAGTAGTTGAAGTAAAATCTGGCAATTATATATCTACAGAAGGCGGGAACAGAAGGTAAAACTGTTACAGTACAGTAAAGATTTGAGTGTAGGCTACCTGTAATTGTCTGCTATGAGGAACCATTTCAAGCGATGGCCGTTTGTGTTGAAAGTTTTCTCTCTTCATCAATGCGTCGTAGGTTGGAGGCTCGTCAGTGTTCTTATAAAACGGAACGTAATGTACAGTTGAATATCATTATTGAATGGGAATCTTATCTAGAAGAATTTGATTGGCATAATTGGAGAGATATAGTCTAATAAAGTTAGGTCTAGTATCACTGTTGTATGGTATGTTTGTTCCAGTACTAGAATAACTGCTTCTAGTTCTAGAAGACTGTTTGAATAAGACCCATAATATGCCATGGTCTTATCTGAATAAGACCCATAAGTTTTTTTGTTGACTATATTACCTTAGGAATAGCATTTAATTGTATGGATGAAAATTTTTTAAATCTTTTCCTTCCGGATGAGCTTTTCATTTTTTGATTGAACGAGAATTTGCGTTCCTTGAATTCTTTTTCCTCGTGTTCAGGCGACAAATCTTTCCATGACTCCAGACTAGCATATACTTGTGCATTTGTATTCTTAAAAAGTGTTGGCATGTGTATACATTTATGCGTGTAATACGTTCACAACCACTAAATGTAACAGAGATGTAAGCAGTAACCCTACACTTTTTACGCACGAACCAAAACAGCAATTGAACTCATGATTAGCGTTAATAAGTCTTGATGACATTTGAAACAGATGTCTAGTTTGGGATGTTATATTTAATGGTTGCTCAATATAATCTTAAATATGTATTTGCCAATAAACTGACCTATAAAATCCGTACAAAAAGAAAATACCTTTGAAGATTTCCGTCTTTTCTCGCTAAAGCGTAGACGACCAAGAAACCCTTGGGGTCTTTTTGTTTGTTCGGCAGCTTTTTCATCTGCATTATAAGGAAGTAGATATATAGAATAGTAGTATTTTTTAGTATATAGTATTTCACTAGAAATTGAGATATAACACTTACGTATAGCAGTAAACTGAACGTTGGAAGACATTCTTTTTGAAGTAAAATTGGTCGCTGGCTTATCCATGTTTGAGTATTTTGGAGTCGAAACTGATTTGCTCCGACGCCACATTTTTCGAAAAACACCTTTGTTATGTTCAGACGGAAGCAAACGTTTCAACAGATAAGTCACTCCCCAGAGCAGTCCTTCCTCTGACCATCTCGGGAAGAACATACATCGTAAAACTGCAACATCAAAAGCTGTAACCTCGTTGCAAGAAGACGCTGGCATCATGAAGACATCACTGAAAAAAGCATGGAGTGTAATAGATTGGAAATTGAGTAACCCTGAGTACTGAGTAGGTATACATTTTATGCCCTAATTTAATATCAATGGATGTTTTCCAGAGCATCGACTTCCTTAGTTACTTTCGTAACATAGTCTAATCAGCAAGATGTCAAAGGTGACGTAACAACTGAAATTTTGGTGGCCGCTCAGACAATTTTATTGTATCAGACAAATTTCTGCATGGTTTTAAACATTAGCTCGTTGTCATAGCTTTCGAAGTATAAATATAGTTAGGTATAAATCAATTAAACTAATGATAATTTTGTCGTGCGATGAGATTTGGTTTAGTTGCAATAATCAAATATGAGTCGCAAAAATATGTAATAGATTAAACCTAATTAGGTATCAGTACTTTTAAATAGTAGGTGGTTCAATATTTTGAATCAGAATGTCAGCTATGAAAGTATAAGTAAAAATAACATGATCTCTTTCAACGAAATAGTAAGTTTATTTGTGAGCTTTCGTTCGATCATGGTCTAACTTCTTCAAACAATACAAGATCAAACAGCAATAATGATCTAACGAAAGCTCACAAATAAACTTACTATTTCGTTGAAAGAGATCATGTTATTCTTACTTATCACTTTAATACTATCTCATTCAAACATCCGTGTGGCAAGTACCACATACGGATCCGAAGTAGAAAGTAATCAAAGAGAAAGGACCTGCAGTCCAATACACAATATCCACAAGTTCCTCTATGAAAGTATACTCCAGCTTCTAAGCGATCACTCACAAAAACGCTATTGAAATAAGCATCAAAAAATTTTTAATAGTGAAATATAGATATTATTTTAAGGGTCGGAGAAACCTAGCTTTAATTGAAGAAAAAAATATATATGCCAAGAATAGAATCAAAAATCTTCGACTTGCTATTGCAATTTGCAGCACAAAAGTCACTACCCACCGAGCTCACGATACTTCAGTTATAAATATATAATAGGAAAACATATTCCTCACTTATCTGAATCACCATCGTCACCGTTTTCTTTTGACGTGCTATTTCCTCTTGAATGTTTGTCGTTACATACCGTGGGTTTGACCGTGGAATTCATAGCACGTATATCTGGTATTTCATGATTCCACAAGGCTTCCCATGTTTTTATTCCACTAAAAAATGATTTTTAGGTATGAAAATACAAGAAAAATGTATGGAAGGACAAGGAAGTAGTAGCAAATCAGATGCAATGAATGCCCGGAATAAAACTGTTTATTTTATCTTGAAAACGGGATTAGCGATCTTGTGTTTTACTCGCGGGGGAAGGCTTTTACATCCTCGGTTTGTGCGACAATTAAAAACAACATTTTACCTTGCTAATCGAAACTTCAAATCTGATTCTTTCACTGTGTTGGCGAGAGGAGCAAATAAAAATACGAAAAGTTGGATATTTGAAATAACCCCAGCACGAAGTCCCGTATCGTCGTTAGCCTCCTGAGCTGTGTCCATGCTTTCATAAAGTATGCTGTGAAATGTGTGCAGCAGTTTGGTTGCCGCAACGCCTAGTATGTCCGCATGGCCTGTAAAAATGAAACAGTGTTGCAAGTCAATATTACAAATAGCAGTATTTTGATTTGAATACCTAAACTTAGTTAAAAGACTATTGACTACATTTGTATGGTAATGCATTCGAGCTTAACCTTGTTAAGCTCCTGTTGGTCTTTAAAAACGCGATTTGAATTGACGGATAAAAACCCCAATCAATCTTAATGTGCCTATGAAAAATATACGTGAGCTGAAATACAGTAATACATAATTCATACAATAATAAAATACATCTTCGAAGCTAGTTTCAATTTTTCAAATGTATATATATATATATTTCAGAACAGCTTATAATATTTTAATCCATGACTGAGCAGTCTATTCACCCCATACATCAAAACGCTATATTCATTGGTCAGTAGAATTTCACAAGTATAAACAATACGTTCACGTTATAAACAGTAAAGTTCCATAGAGGGTACTTGAACTCTAAAGCATAATATGGAGAAAACATGAAAATAGTAAAATTATGATAGAATATTGGTCTAAATGCAAAAATTATAACTATTATATGCAGATTCAACGTTCTACATATCAACGTTAGAATTGTTTCTTGGCCAAGATTTAGGATTCCAAAAATAATATAAATCAAGATTTGAAAGCCAGAATAAAAAATTGATTTTATAACTGACAAAATTTGGTACACATACTCCCTTGGGATATCACACTGAACTGTATTTATTTAATATTTAATTGGTGTCCTTGGAGGGACACTTGAATATAATTATTTAGACCTTCAAAGTTTAGACTATAAAAAACGAATGTTTTTCGAACATAGGCCATTTCGAACATAACCTCGTTCAATCTCAACACATAAAAAATGAGAAATATGTTTAATCTAAGTTGCCTTTCTTCGCGAGATTCGAGCAATAAAATTATTTGAAAAGTTCAGTTTCCATGCTGCGATGGCGGGAAGAAGGATTAGGTTACAATTTTCAAGATAGGAGTAAAAAAAATATCAAAAATCCACATCCTTTTATATAAGTTTTCAATCTTCATATTTATTGTCTACCATAAAATTACCATCACTTAAGTGAAATGTAATATGTTCGACGGAAATTACTTATTTTAGTTATTGTAAGAACTGTACAAGTTGAATTCTTGCAGAGCTCCATTTTTCTATAGTGTTCAAGAATTATTTCCATTTTTGATAGCCTATTTGACTGCAATTTACATCAAACCTTGCAGCCTAAGAGATCGATTTTTATTTGATTTGTTTTCGACGTACGCTGTTAAAAATGAAACAAAATAAATCTCATTTTAGGTATTTCAACATAGTAACCAATTAGTTGTGAATCTGAACAACTATAAATTAACTGTAATGTGGCTCTATTTTTAACAGTGAAGGCTAAAAATAAAATAGATAAAAAATCGATTTCTGCTACAAAGTCGCTCCAGAAAATTTGCTAACCAGAATAAAAATTTCACTTTATAAAAAAGCGATAAATCAACCTCTAAGATGTATTGGATGGAAAAAGCATATTGCGTTATTGAAGTACGCCAAGGTAAAATGGCTTGAATTCATCTATAATTGGGCTCACAAGTCACTCCGACACTCGATCGATTAAAGGAGAATTGATTGATTCGATAGTTCTATCATTTTCATTTCTACGTTAGTTCATTTTTTGATGAGACCATAGGTTATCAATATAGCGAAAGTAATTAATGTTGCGTAATGAACCCACTCGCAATTTGGATATTCTCAAAGGATCTATATCATCTGAATAAAAGATTTATTCCATGTTTTCTCTTTGGTCGAAAAAAATAACGATTATTCATATAAATTGAATGGTAAAGAGCTATCGCGAAATACTATGACGAAATACCCAAATACCAGAAAGTCATAAAAAATTCAATACGCAATTCAATAAAGTCTGAATTAGGTAGGATAATTTGGTATTTGGATAATTATAGGAATGCTCATATTACAATATGCGCTAACGCGAATCACTTTCGGATAGTGTGCTATCAATTAATGATAAGAAAAAGGCCAACTGTTTCTGGATAAACTGACGCACATGGCTTAAATTACATGACCACAGCGGGCGCAAGCATAGGTAAGACGATGGTTTTATCGAATGTCAGATGTATTTTCTTTTAAATTTTAGGCTATTCAAATTTAATTTTGTTTGTGGCTTAAACTCTAAACTATCCTTATGGTTTAATGTTTGTAACAAAAGCCATATTCTACACATAGAGCTACATAATTTGAACGTCACTGGTAACTCGTATCACATATCGGAATATGAGAAAATACATCTGGCATTCAATAAGACCATTGTCTTACCTATATGCTTGTGCCCGCTGTGGTCGTGTAATATTTTAGCCATGTGCGTCAGTTTATTCAGAAACAGTAGGCCTTTCTCTTATCATTAATTGATAGCACACTTTCCGAAAGCGATTTTCCATGATTTATTAAAAACGTCTCCAATTAAATATTCGCGTTAGCGTATATTATAGTGTGAAAGAAACCAAGGCAGCAGCAAAAGCCAATAAAAAAACGAAAGAAGTGACTGGAAGCATCTAGCGCTCACCAATAGTCAAATTTAGTTTGTTTGCGGCCTAAGGCTCGTCATCGCTAGCTTAAATCGCAAGTTCATCAATATCAATTGAGTGCTGTACTATTTCACCACCAAAAAGAGATTATATTAAGACTTATTGCACCATTTTGTCTAATGGATTTTGATGAGAATAGTCAATCGACGATGTTCCTAAATATTTAACAGTATAGGATAAATTTTTAAATTTATCCCAGAGATGAAAGCAAAACTTATAGCGAACCACAGCCTCTCGTGCGACTGCCAGTCCAGATCGGGTATGGAAATAGTTAATTGTTAATTTACTGCTATTGCGTTCTAGGCCCTTGAACTAAGACGAGACTCTTCGCGCATATTAATTACCCAACCTGCGAACCCATGCTGGATAATCAGCGATACGATGGCAAGTGTCATTTATTCTCAACATCTGACACGTTGGGCAAACAATTCAAACTGGAGTAACATTAAAACCGATACTTCATTCAAATAAGAATACAATGCCAACCAATATAATCGAGTTACATACATTAGATGCCATATATATCGTAATAATGCACACTTTCTAGGTCACGTATAAGACGTAATATGAACGTTCTCATACCCAATTTGTTTCTGTTGCTGAGCATCACCGATGCACAATGCATAACATGTGGTAAGGCTGCTTCAATGAGTACACGCCTAGGAGTTCGTGTTACAGCTTCGTATAGTGATGGTGGAAGTCCATTTAATTTGTTTTCTACTAGAACATGTTCAAATAGCTGAAAAACAACCAAATATTTAATGGGAAGAACAGTAATTTGCGATTAGATTTTTTCAAAAGGAGTATGTTTTGACTTACCACACACGAGGCTTCATATAGCTTTCCCAGCTTTTGTCGAAAGAAGGGTCTATTAAAATATAAATGCAGTTAATTTGATGCAATCTAAATATTGCGGCAGTGTCTGGTTGTAGAACCTCATTATTTATATCAATTAATAACCACAACATTATCACGTAGTTCCTACCATCTTAACGTTGTAGGTTAGAAATCTCGAGCCTTCGTAATCATTCTGTTATTCAACATAATATGTCCAACATTCCACCCAGAGTTTAGCATATGGCTATGACAATTAGAAATTCAGTTCCCTTAAAGTCAAATAATTTAATTTGTACGAAGCCTTTTGCCGTACGACCGGGAGGAACAATTTATAAAATATACTGTATATGCATATTCATTTATATTTCTTGATTCCAATATTAATTATTTATTATATGTGTTTGTTCGTAAATCAATGCTTTGGTTTAAAGAATAATATTTACTTACTCTGTTTGTCGCCATAAAAATGATTGGATAGCCAAAGGTATGGACGATGTTTCAGGCCCTTGCATTACAATATCATCAAATTTTCGTTTCACCATTTTGAACTTTCACAACGAAACAATATTATATTATCTTCTGTTTGCAAGAAAAAAATTAACTCCACTTTGAAAATCCCATTTTTTTAAATTATTGTTTATGATAAAAAAGTTTTTTGTTAGCTAGCTGATTGTCATTAATAAATTATCCTACACGAGAATGAAAGCCTATCCACCATTTTCCAATTGCGACACTGACTTTTCCCTCGTCTATTTTATACCCATGACTAATATCCATAAAATTTCGATAGGTATGGTCATGCCTTGACGTATGTGAAAATGTGCTGGTCAATCTGAAATTCTATAATTCTTCTATTCAGTGCTATATATGCTTGCCGTTGATTTGCTTCATTCTATTCATCGTTGATGTCTGCACTATGCCAGTGTCTAATGGTAAATATTTTTCAAGAAACGTAAATTACATGACACCATCCTACCTTAAACGTAAACGTGATCAACAATTCATTTGAAATATACTAAGTGGAGTGGAGCTATCGGTACTATCTTGTTTTCCCCAGCCACTGCATTTCGATCCTGTTTTCTTTAATTGTGTCCCATGTAAGGTTAGTATAAGTGGGGTCAAGTCATTACTCAACCTTTCTCCGTTTATTCTTACATAACCGAGTTAACTTTACTAGAAGCAAGAAAAATCGTTCATTTCAATCAATAACTAGTATACGCACCGAAAACCTACCAGAAAGAAAGAACAACGCGCAATTTTCCATCTATATCGTTCTACTGAATAAAGTTAGTTTGGTAGAAAATTGAGTCAAATAATGTCCCCGACTACAGCTTTACGCAAATAATTCAAAGTCCAAATGATAGAAGAGGAAAATAATATTATCAGGCAAATAATAACAAATTTGGAATGAAAACGGGTAAACCCACGCTGTAGCGGCATATACAGAGGTAACTTAATATATCAACTTCGCCAAATTTTTCATTTGTTTACTAGCAGAGTTAAACATGGTATATGTCAAATTAGAGTTGCGAGTTGGGTGGGCCTTACCATCAAGTTTAATTTGAATTGGACTAAGAAATGCTTTTGAATAAATTCGGAACCGTTATAGTGCCAAGCATTCACATGGCGTCGGACAACCATTTTCTATTTCGAGTTGGTATGGAACCCAAAAAGCTGCGTGTCCTCTCGCAACTGACGAATCTTACAAAACCAAAATCTTATCGCAACGAAAAAATTTGCATAATTCCCAAAAAGGTATTGGGATTACAGAAACATGTGTACCTATAAACAGGTACGGCACATATTCTTTGTTCGTTTATTTAATTATGCACGCTTTGCGGGGATTTATGCGTAGTACAGCAGGGCGACGACATATTTTACATCACGTCTGCATGAAAGATTGACGGCATATAAAATATTAATTTCCAGTCAATCCCAACAGTAGTCGTATCGGATTCACGCTAAACTGTAATGACAGGTATAAATTCTACGCTGTCTCGAATGGGAACTTATTAAAACAAAAAAGCCAGTAAAATCCCCATGTTTACGTCTCAAAATATAACTTGATTAATTGAAGTAGAATAGCAACTCAAATACTTCTCATACATACTTTAAAAATGCAATCAATAAATATTTGGCAGTTCCACTTATTTCAATTGGCATGCGATCTATATGTTATCATCAGTTTCACATGAGTGTTTGTTTGTGTTCCTGACTATCCGTATCAACTAAAATAAATGTCGCATCACATTATCAGAATAATTGTTAAAAGATTAAAACTATCGTAGTAATGTCGTTGATAAAATTGTATGAAAAATGAAAACCGTGTCATATATTATAATTTCGAAAGTGGACAAATTTGTCAGCTACTGTAGCATGTGAAATCTCGCCTTGCCTGCGCCTATTTTATGCTACTTGGCCACCACTAAATTCTATATCTAGAGAATTCAATAGATCAACTGGAGACCACCTTTGATCAATATAATATAGTCATTCTACTGGTATTGTTGTGATACAATATACAACAAAGAAATAACTCGATTAGAGGAACAGTCAGGTACCAAGTATTTCGACATGCAACTATACGCAATATATATATATATATGTATTAAGTCAAAGTCGGTTGCCTATTGGTTCGTCTGACAGCATCTATTAAGTTGGCCAATTAAAAATATAATGTTGTAGTATTCGTTTTTAGTATTCGCTCGACAGGTGGTCTTGCTCATCAAATCCTTTCTAGATCAAAATTGGACGGAATCTCTGGCGGCTCAACGTGAATCTCAGGGAATTAAAATATTACTATTGAATTTATATTTTTGCGCATATTGTAAAATAGAATTATATGTTAACGTTGTTGTTTTCAATCATAACACCAAATATACACAGGGAGGCTTTCCAGAAGCCAGGGGATCGACTGCATCCTTTTCCCAGTACACTACGTATTGAACTGTAGTAATATTTTTGCGATTGTAGCATTAGAATCGCACTAGGCTCACGCTAAAAATCTTATCTACTTCCAGGCGTCTTCTACACTGCATCTTAGCCTTAACGTTTTCTTTTTATCAATTTTGTGTATTGGGTACTCAATTATGCAAACGGTATTCTTCCTTTTTTTCAATTTCGCTCGCAATTAGGGTCGATAATATATGGCTGCGCACAGATTTTTCGCCCGTCCATCTTCATTTACCTTGGTCGCCTTCTGGGGCCGTATGTCACGAGCCTTCGTTTACGTTGAGCGACGTGTCTCGAAAGAAAATTCCTTCAGGCGCGAGACATGATTAGAGCGGGTCGATACCAAACCAATTGCTGGAACCTTATTTTCCAATTCCCTCTGTTTGTCTCGTTTTTCATTGCTAATTGAATTACAGATGCTCGATCAAATAAATCATGCCGCACAGAAGAGAAAAGAAACTTATTGACTGGTAACGGCCTTTCGTTTTCTTATCTGTCGCAAATGCATTACACATTCTCCTATTTAGTAAATAAGATAGGAAATGTTCTAAATTGAAGTCGTTTAGGACGATTCATCTGTCACCTTTGGGTATATATATAATGAATATTACATAAACCTCATCAAAAATTGCGTTTTCAGATATGCCCTTCCATGGGCATATAAAGATACACAAAACTTTGGCAGATTAGAATGATGCGTGATCGATTGTTATTCTTCTATACGTCTACATTATACTATGGCGTGGAAATACGCTAGCTAGCTACATTAACCAACCTGACAGCATTTATTAGTACTTTTAAAAACAAATTGATAAATAAAATGATAAATGAAAACATAATATATATATAGTCCCCCTGTATTTGAGTTGTATGGATTTCCTCATCGTATGATTACAAAGACATACTTGGTATTATAGCAATTAGAAATATTGCTCAAATTGGACTTGCGCTTGTTCCCTTTCGTCAACGAATCTACTACGACAGCTTTCAACCAATTTTTATATTACATTAAACTACAGAAATTCAATCGAAGTACGGTTCCGTTAGGGTGAGATTATATGGTTCAAATATTGCACTTTTTTATTATTTAAAATAGCCTACAGTTATTTATTTTTGATAATGCCCATTGTATGGTGTAATTTTAAATGAGTTTCGTGTTCATAAAATGCGCTTTTTGTCGCGCTCAGAAGAAAAATGCAAACAGCACCACTGAATGCAAGTCAACCTAACAGTAATACGACTTCTCTGATCTGGCTGCCGTGTTTGTATTTAAGATCAGATTTATCGACGTTTTTGAGACTGGACTGCAACACCTGTAAAATATAGCCAATACACAAGGCTTGTCAATAATCCCCCAAAAATCTGATTCATGTATGTTAATTTGGATTATAAGCATACCCACCGCGCGTTAATTTAAAGGCGACGCTTCGATAATCAGGCAATTAGTCTACCTATCGGTAGGCAGAACATCGCAGATTCAATTGAGCACTTACGTTGGCTACACTCGAAGAATATATCTTGTATACATTTTAGGTATCTGTATTGTGACGTCCTGCTTTTTGCATACTCCCACTAAAAATGCCACCTTGTCACTGCTTATATAGTTCATAATGGATTGCCTATTAACTGTCCTGTTATGTATATCCGGTTCGGACTCGGCTTCTGTCAGAACGCCGCGCCCTTCACAGCAATCAAAACAATGGGTACTCCTGAAGTATGCGCACCAAGATGTCGCATAACCTGAACCCTAACCTGGTACACAACCTGAGTTCAGGTTGTGCGCCATATTGGTGCGCATACTTCAGGAGGTCCAAACAATGTTATTGAACAGCACTTCCACGCAAATTGTATTAATCCTACCATGTGGATTCTTGGCTGTTACCCATGGTTGTGGTCAATTTATCGGTAATAGGGTTCTTTGTTTGTAACGGATTAGATTCTTTTAGAATTTTCAATATTGTCTCAGTGTTTAATGAAACAATTGGATAGACGATTCAGACCTCAATATTGGCCAAGTTCAAATTTATTTTGCTTATTTTTCTTTCTCAAGTATCATCTTAAGCCTATAGATAAATGTTTCTAGTTATGAGAACTAGTTGCTAAAAATATCAATCAAATTAGTCATAATTTGGCCTTCAATCAATAATGAACACAGAAACTTAATTATTCAATTTCAGATAACATGGAACACGCCAGTCATTATTATTTTACACATAGGGCACCACCAATGTCTTAAGTGCTTAAGGCGTCTGAAGGCCATGATCCGGCACTACCTGTGCGAAGAAAGCCGGCAAAATCACGAGGTGATTCAACGCTCTATCACATTGGTCCAGGCCAAATAATGAATTATAGGAATGCTCTAACAATATCACACCGTATAGCCAAGTAACAGTTTGAACCACTACGAATTTATTTTCAGTTCCAGGCATGACGCAAACATACACCAGCTACTTTCCAAACTGCAAAAGCCAAATATCATTTTGACAACCTAAAAAACAGAAAACTATCTATTTCTTTAAAATACTAATTAAACACAGTACAAACTAAAACTATATAGCACTTTAACTCAACTACTACCAAAGCGAATTGCACCACAGAGTCAGACTTACAAGATCAGGTGGCAGGTTCACAGCATGTTCAAAAATATGATAGAATTAGGAAACAGAATTTTCCGGGATAAAACGATAATTTAACTTCCTCTAGGTGAGTGCAGAAATGATATCAATGTGATAGTAACTCACTTGAAACTTGTTTCACCGTTATATATTTTAAAATGTACCTGCCACACTGTACAATGAAAAGGGAATCTAGTTGATAAAATATCAGTATTGTGATAAAGTTGCCATGACCAAGAAACTATTGCCTATAGTTTATATAGACATTGCTATAAGAGGCAGTTATTAATTTTTAAAATGAGAGGAGATGAATGTATTGTTTCGCAAACCAGAAAACAGCCATCACTGCAACATAAATACTTAACAAACATGATATAAATCGGAAATCATGGCTTGTAGTGATTTAATGAAGATGAGATACTAAACCTTACAGTATCAGCGCCAGACACCAAACCGATATCCCAGCGCAGTTCTCTTCAAAAACATGCATAATACACTAAGCCTCATACAATTTTCAACAATTGTAAACATGAAATAGCTTTAAAGCAGGCAAGTGGTACACAACACAAATAATAATTTCCCAAACAGCCCAGTTGAGATACAGTGCACATATATATATATATAAAGCACAGCTTTGTAACAAGTATCCTATATAACAATAGAAGAACTCTATACTCTATCAGTGACATTAAGAAAAAAAAGATTAAAAACGTGAAGAAAAAAATCTTTAGTTGACTTCTGTGTCATCAGTACCAGACAAAGTCCTTGAACTTAAAATTGTGTCTTCAGCTATTGTTTCAGAATCTATGTTAAAAGATGATTGTGGGGAAATTGAACGTGAATCTGACGATGCGCTCGAATTTCTAGTCATATTATTATTTGGTATTGTGGGACTGTCTTCACAATCCAATGATGTCAAATTTGTAAGTGAGGCAGCGCTACTTATCATTGTCATGTCTATAGATGGTGGCCTCATGGACCTTTCTTTTGCAGGTGTTGTAATGACAGGACTCTGCTGATAAATTGGGTCTTGGAGTGACTCAACCTGCCTGTCGACAACTGCCACAGATGGTTCAAAATTTGGAGTCATTGATCTTGTGTTTTCCACATCACCTTCACCATGTGTCGTATGCCTTCTTCTGAGAGTATACTCATCATCTGAATTTGTGTAGACGTCACCATAACCTAAAGGTTTGACCTGCATGTTTCCATTTCCTTCATATGTTGAATTTACAGGTACAGCAATATCAGTGATGGATTTGCTTTCTTTTGGCAAAGCAAGTCCATCTGAAGACTTTTTGACGATGGTCCCTAAAAATAACATAATGCAACAAATATTCATGTGCGAAATTTACATGTATTTTGATCTCATAAAATTGTTCTAAGCTAATTGATTTTCAACTCATAAGTCATAATACATTATATTTGTCAACAGTAAGAGTAGAATGAATGCCAAATATAATCTTTTGATAATTGCAAATGCAACTGCCAATCAAGCATGAAAATAGAGAAAAAATTTGGACATCCAGCGTCAACGTGCCATGTAATAGAATGGTTTCATCTGGAAATATATAATTTGAAGGATTTTGAGTCCCATAATAAAACAACTCCAAAGCTACACGTAAATTATAACATTCAGATTATATAACTCAAGGTCCCATCACCCAAAAATGGAAAAGAGAAATATGTCAAACCAGAGAGCACAATGTACACATATATAAGATATATTTATAGAATGAATATTAATAAATTGGAAAAATTTGAGGGCAATCAAGGCAGTATTTGGCCAGGGTGGCCCAAGAAAATGACTAATTTGAATGAAGATGGCTGTGAGATAATTTAGATGTAAATAAAAATTAACTATTTCCATTATATGAATATCAAAAGTAAAAGTTTTGAAAGAGTTTTTGCAATACTGCCAGTATTTTTATCAAATTTACCAGCTGTTGTAGCAGGAACTGAAGCAGTTGGTTTTGGTCTTTTTGAGCGTTCCACAAGTATGGTTTTGCCTCCTCGCTGCTCGAAGGGATCAACCACAGAGACTTCAGAATCCATTTTCCGAGCTATTGCTAGATCTTCACTAATATATTTAGATGCTTTCCCCATCAAGATTATATTGTTTAAAATTTTGATAAGGTTCAGGCTGAAACAGACAGAATTATTTTCCTTAATCAATAGATAGATAGAATATGCAAAGCATAATTCTGGCAAGTATAATAATCTTTATTATTACAAAATTAGGTGCTCCCGAAGTATGTGCACCAAGATGGCGCACAACCTGAGTCCTAACCTGGCACACATACTATGTTCAGGTTGTGCGTCATCTTTGTGCACATACTTCCGGAGCTCCCAAAATTCTTTGTGTGCCCTTCTTTGTACATTATCACACTTTTTATATTCAGCTTTTGGAAATGTTCTATTTGATCCCTTGATGATATCCCTGAGAGTTACCATGTACAATTTAGGACATAGGATAGCATTGAAGAAAGGGCCCTTCAAACTAATAGAAACAAATACATAAAACTCACATTAACACTCCCATTGCAATAACGATAACTCCAGCACTTCCACGAAAATCAACAGAAATTCGAGTAATGTGAAACAACTGTAATGAAAATTTTACATAAATTAATGTATCATTACGATTCACAAAGACAATACAACATAACAAGTACACATACTTGCCGGGGCTTCGCTTGGAACAATAGCATGAAATTACTGAAGCAAATTAAAAATCAATTTGAAACTTAAATACATATTTATGAGAACAAACACAAAGACCATCTAAGAAGGAGTTGTGGTGATAGGCCGTTAGGCAACCTTCGATCCCATCAGAGTTATGCACAAGTCCACTTCATGATTTAACTGTTATTCGTTCATATAAGCAGAATGTAAACTGCTGACTGAAGCAGTCACTACATAAAGTCCTATTTGAGTTTGATGTAGTTGAGTCATGATAAGTAATATCATGTTTGTTGCACTATATTAAAGCAACAAATGTATACTTTGATGACATTGCTTATTAGAATTTGGCTGTTTAGCCATTTCTACTACTTAATATTCATATTGAAAATTTAAATTTTGGGGTCTTGAGTTTTAAAATTGATTAGAAAAAGACAGCTTCACTAATCAGTGTCTTTGTGCATCACATAGTAAGTGCAAAATCTATCATCACATTCATATATGTTTGGCACTACTATATATTGGAATGACTCAAATCTTACATTCAGACATTGTCTACCAAATCTAGTACATCCTGCCCAAGGTGGTGGACAGGTGAATCATACATCACATCACTAATTTCCTATAAACGAAATGAGTTGTAAAAATTCACATACCAACACAGCAAGAGGAAGTGGGATGAATCCCATTCTACGACTGAGAACATCACAGTGATCTGATATTGAATCATGTTGTCGACTGCTGATTAGATCATAGGCTAATGTTGTTTTATATTCATTGTATGATTCGATGGGGATGTGATTGAACTTCAAAACGAAAGCATGTTTGAACCAGTCAACTGAAATTTTAAATTTAAATTTTAAAAGATAATTATATAATATTGATAAGCAATTTAAAGTTCTAGTAATCTCATGTTTATTTGTTATGATAATTCTCATTTTTCACTTCTGAAATTACTAAAGTTTGAGCTCATTTTTTTACTTCCAGTAACCGCAGAATTGACAGAGTGTAAAAGCAAATCTGAGGAGAAGAAATAATTCGTCTCGAGTTACCCAACTTTTTATACAACATATTCATAATCCTTAAGCAGCCTTTCTAGGCGAGGATATATTACAGTTTGGAATGATCGGAATCTTCCTGGTCCGACATTGTGTATCCGTTTGATTACACCCCGAGCATGAGATTTGAACCTGCGGTGCCACCAAGCGACCTCTAATAGTCACCTTGAAAAAGCATCATTACTTTCATGAGCAAAATGTTATTTGGCCAACAATACCACGCAACACCCTTGATAATATTTAATTAGAAACAAAACAATACCAACCAAGATATTCTGAAAATATAACAGTGGCCATATGAGGCAGTATTTCAGCCAGGTGATCAGAGCTCCATGAATATTGTTGCATATTCCGCAATAATACCACAAATAGTAGCGCATAATAATGAAATCTTTCCCTTACATCAGAACAGGAAATCTAAAACACACATGTAAAGGATTTGTGAAATTAAAAACAAAACAAAAAAACCATAAACATTTGTTCAATTACAAACTGGTATAAAAACTATTTCAATGCAACCTCAATATATTCAATTGTGAGTACGACAAAAAAACATATTGCATGTATAACAAAAAATAACTATACAAAGCCCTTTTCCAGGAACTAGTGTGGCGTTTGCAACTTCCGAATTGAGGAACTGCATTAAATGTGCATTATTCACAGGTTTCCCATTGTGTTATACTATAGTTATGATTTCACCAAGCAACAACTTACTGTACGAGGAAGTGAGTTATGCAGCTAAAAGCAGAGTTAATGGCTAACTATATCAAAACTGATTCTCTCACCTGAAAAAGATTGTTTTTATCATATTTTTTGAAGACTGTTCCTTTGATTTCCACAAAGTTATTAGCCATCATAACAGTTAACAAAACTTTGTTGTGTGAATTAAAGGCACAATTGATTGTTGTTGCCTCAAAAAGAACCAATACGGCGTGGCAGACTTGAATAATATAAGTGGTTATTTGTCAAGGAAATAAAACATCAAAAAATTACAATGAAATGCCTTCACTTGTATTGGAAATGTTCTTACAACATTTACATATTACATGTACATAGCCTATCAGTTCTCAGGACTTTTTTTTATCTAAATGAATGGTCTTAGCTATTTACAAGACTTAAAATAAGCTTAAAACTTCTAGAACAGGGTAGGACTACTTACTATTATCTCGCATACTATTTATTGTCAGTCAAGTATCTTAGTATGAAGAAGCGATTACGTAAGGACAAGATGATGGATAAGTGGTTTATTTATCACCAGCGAAGATATAAACTACATAACGTGACTAGGACTGGGAAACACTTTAGCCCATGATAATTATCTCTATGAATTGATTTTCATAAGGTGAATGAATGTACAATAGGAAATAAGTACCGGTAATACCAGTGAAAATTCAGTGTGACTGTTAATCAATTGATGGGTTAACTATTCCCAACTCTATAACACAATATGAAAAAAAAATAGCACTTTTCTCAAGGATACAGACATAGATAACAGCAAGTGCAATGTGAAGTAAAATTCGGAAGAAGTTATCTCTTTGTGCTTCTGTGGCTGTCCAGAACAAAGCATCTAATATATCTTGCCCAAATGATGAAAATAGACGATCTGCCACCTATAATAATATTGGCCTATATTATACTTAGAACAAGTCCATACATAGAACTGTAAATATGTTCGTTTAATCCAGTATAGGTTCTATTTTGAGCAATCCACAAATTCATTTAGTGCTATCACAACAAGGATTTGAATGATCATGACTGTCTATTTAAATCGTACATGCATCATTTTGAGTATCATTCAAATTCGACTGAGAATTGCAATGGGTAGCATTACTTCACATACCGGTAATTGAAATAGTAATGTACAACGCATTAGCGTGTCTCATTACCCGCAATCTGAAGCATGCATTGAATGAGAGATATTGGTTCCCCATAAAATAAGGTCTTATAACTCTTACTCCTGCACTAATGTTATAATGAAATTCATGGCAAACTAATTTCAAATATTAATAAAGTTATAGCAATCCAATTCTTAATTACCTCCAACATATTATAAATAATATATAATTTGATCAGTGTTTGTGCTCGAACAAGATGGTAGATAAACGAAGTGTCGATATAAGACATCATATATACAGTGATAACGAATATGAGAGCTTTTAAAATATCACATTTTTGAGCAGGATCCAATACTGCAGTCCTGAAAATACTTCAAAGATTAAGAACTATATTGATAAGCATCCACTGCACGACACAGTTCTCCGATTCCAAAAATAGCACCTACATTAAACGACATCAATTAGAACCCCACCTTTATGAGACAACCTGCGTCTCCATATCTGCACAAATCAGCAAATCGACACTGCACAATAAACTAAAAGTAACCGAATTATAAAACGTCACTATTGGATTTCTCTGAAAAAATATTCCGATTTACTGAAGGAAAAAAATTTACCATAGCATTGGAAACACAATATTGATCAAGTGACGGCCGACGAACGTCGCGATTGATGTAAATTATTATCGAGACGAGCATACACAATATTGATCAAGTGACGGCCGACGAACTTCGCGACAAACAACGAATTTGTTTCAGACACAAAAATGGTGTTTGTTTTATTCTACCAAATGTCGGGAGCGGGACATCTTGGAATCGAAGAACTGTGCCCTACTGATCTATCTGGTTGATGAAATTTATAGTATTCTCAACCTATCAAGTCAACTGGTCATACTGGAATTAAGAATGCATTCAGGTTTTAAAATATTACAAGTTAAATGTTGAGTTTTCAAGTAGTTACGATTATTGAGATATCAGTTTGAATGAAGAGCAAGTTATTGGGAGTTTTAAAAAATGGATTTCCAACCAAAAAAATTTAAAAAAAATGATCATTTTTGTAATAAATGTGCATATCATTCTACTACTTGAAAATGACTTGAAGTTGAAGTCAATTATTTTTGAACATTTCATCTAATAACAATTCACCTGCTCCATCCCCGACAGCAAAACACAGCACCAATAAGTTGAAAAAATGCCAACCCAATTCTAAGAGGAAGTAGAGTGAACATGTACAAGAAAACATCAAGGCACAGGAAAAAACCATACGTCATCATCTGTTAAAGTAAAAAAAATTATTCTATCCTTTTTTTCACAAACATTTGTCATATTCTTTTGGAGGAAAATTTATATCATATATACTTTGATATTAAATTATTCTTCTATGACATTCAGACATTTAACTTGAAAACATGTACAAATATCGTAATTGAAAATTATTTAGGAATAAATGATGTCACTAATTCCACTTTGAAAAATAAAGTTTACTTTTAATACAACCAATGAATCGAAATTTTAAATGAGAGAGAAACCAATCTGACAAAGTGACAATGGTTTTAGATGCTGTTAAATTTTTTTAATAAGCAACTCAACGTTATAAAGATTACCTTTTCAATTTCAATCGGCTGTTTTAAAAATGTGTAGACTCTTTGCCTTCTTTCAGTGTATCTCGAATCATTCTCATCAAAAAAATATCCATGCGTAACTTCTCGTGAGAAGTATTGCATGAAGGACATTCCAGCCATTGCAAATTAATGGACCAGGGCAGTCTGAGCTGCTGTGTGTCAGATCCCAAAGTGATTCTATATTTCACTCAACTTATTTTTATAAAAAAACAAGAATTAATGAATGAATTAAAGAATACCACTACCGGTATTACAGCATACAGTCATATTTGCATATAATATCTGTATCTGGTGTCAATTCAGCAATTGCACTTGGGTATGTGGGTGGAGAGTTACTGTATAGGATAGGATTTACATATTTATCCCGAGGGAGAGGAAAGGTGATAAGACGACTTATCCATATGGCGAACCACGGCCTCTCGTGCGGTTACTATTTCAAGTCGGATATGGGATTAGTTATATTGTTTGTTTTCGGAAGCATGGGCTTGGTGGTGGAGTAAGTCGTGGAGGACCCAGCGACGGCGAGGAGTCCAACAATCCTCTCGCACATGACCATCACTGCATGGGATTCGAACCTGCGAACCCACGCAGAGTAATTAGAGGTGCGGTGGCGAGCGTATTCCTAACGCTTAGCCCGTTAAGCCACACCGCCGCATACCGGTATCCACTGCCTTGTGTGTGAATTGTTTGATCATAATCAGATGATGGAATTTTGAATCTACTACCGTACTAATCACAATAGTTCGCTAGTAGGCCGTCTAATCTGCAAACGGGCAGTTTCGCTAGACTGTGAGGCTGAGATACCGGTAACCGTCGATATCATATTATAAGTATAAGTTTATTTCGACTCCATAATCAGCATAACAATACATTTGACAGATAAAAACAAATAAATAAAAACTGATTATGAAATCAGGGGAGCAAACAAAACCTTAGATAAGGTTTATAACGTACAGACGTACAAAATATAAGATGGAAGGTTTGCCAATAGGAAGTGGTACGTGTTTACTCACCTAAAATTATTAAGTTATTTCACACACGCTCACATGCACCCACCAGCCACACACACAACCACTGAGAAGTTATTTAAGTAAGAATAAAACGCGATAAATTTAGGGTATACTATACAGTAAACAAAAAAAATAAATACTAGAAAAGAAAAAAAATTATTTGTCACACCATATTGATATTTTTGTAATGGTTGCCATTGCCAAATTGATCGATCTTTTAATCGTTAATTAAAATATAAAAGGAAGATTCTATTGAAAACATATTGCCAAGCTGATTATAGTTGGAGTCAAATGCCAAGTTGCCCAACCAAAGTTGCCAGAATTGGGTGCATGAAGAGGTGGGCGAGACCATTTCATTCGCCAAATTAGAGCCTACCGGTATTATTGCCAAAATTATAGTCCAGCTTGTAATAAGTAATTAAAGTTACCGGTAACAGTAAAATTACTATAATTAAGTAAAGTAGGATGTGGAAATAAATTGGTTACAAAGGGTGTAAGTGAGGTATTTCTTCACAATATTGTGTATAACTGCAGAAGCCTACCGTATATCTCTATATGTAAATTCCCAATGTCCAAAACACGTAAATGGAACCACAGTTACGTTGGCTTTATTGAGGACATGGCGGCCGACGTATGCCAACAAGTTTGCTTTGAAATCAGGCAAAGAAGACTTTTCGAGTTTCTGGTTTTCCCACTTGCGATTCTTACCCACTACGGTACTTCTGTAGTGCTTGTTAGCAAGAAAGCTTCTTCATTACTTGTTCAATTTGCACAACTTAGCTGTGCGAGTCTGTTTTTTTCTGATCTTGTTACCAACAAAGCAAAATCTAGAAATCGTCCGGATGTTGACAGTGACAATCACCTGCAGAACTGGCTACCGAAGTACCGGTATATTAAATACGATGCCTATTGCAGTACGGTAATAAGGATCCTAGTCTGACAGTTCGATACGCAGTATTTCCAATGATTGTTTACTAAAAAGCTTTGACTTTCTTGCCTTTTTGTTTTTGCATTCTATAAAAGGTCGTAAGTACATACATTGATTATTCGCTATTTGATTAAGATGTTATTGTAATCTTTGATTAGACTGAAAGTACGATAGCCTACTACAGGGGTGGCCAACCTATGGCGCATGCGCCAAACGTGGCGCATTGCATGATTAGAGGTGGCGCATTGCATTTTTAACCCTTTTCATGCCAAAATTGTTAATTGCACTTGGCTTCTCCACGCCAAGCCGTTTTTTTGCGATTTACATGGTGACTTTTGATTGTACCTAAAATCTATTCTCCTTACTCCACGTCGCCCACTTACGGCTTGTTGGAATTAGAAACCACAGGCGATTATCGAAGTTAGCTTTTGGACGGACTTTATGACATTCATTCTAGACTTTTAGCAAAAATTAGTAAAATTTACTATTTTTTCCCTACTGAAGTAAAAAGTTCAGAACTTCTGGAAAAATAGAAAATCGTCATTTATCAGCTTGAAACATGAATTTTCCATTGCCCATACTTCCCAAATATCTCCCAATAACCATTGAACAACCAGTTGAATTGCCCAGGCCTAAAAAATGTCTTATAAATCAACCCACAACATGCTGAAAATGACCCCTAAATACCACCTTTTTCATCCAAACTTCAAATGACCGTTGTCAACAAAAGCGAAGCGTAAAATCGCTTGCTGTGACGCAAGTACTAATTTCGAAGAAGCCTGGGGTAAAATCACGCGACTCTAGGCCAAACAGCTGATTAGCAAAGGCTAATTAGAATCGAGGGTAGAGTAGAGTAGATATTGATACTAAGGGCCTGTTGTCACAATATTACGCCTAACTTTACTTCTTAATCGTACCTCACATAAAAGAACACCGTGAATGTGCTGCTGGTAATGGCAATTTGGCAATATACACAGAAAAAATCGAGTTATTGCAAGAGTCATTTGAAAGTCGTTTTCATGATATTTCAAAAGAAGAAACTCTATACTTGCTTTTATAAACCCATTTTCACTTAGTGAACTGACCATATTGAAGATGCCAAGCAATATACAATTGGAACTAATTGACTTGAAAACTCATCCATCATTGAAAATTAAATTTGATGAGCTTTCTTCAGTCCCAAGTGCATCTGACATGATCAAGTTCTGGCAATCGTTACTCCGTGAAAATTTTCCAGAACTAAAAATTTGCCCAGGGTTTTATAGGTCGTTTCGGAACGACATATAGATGTGAACAAACATTTTCTGCCATGAAACTAATTAAAAGCAAAGCGAGGTCAAGACTTACAGATTTATATTTGAACAATGCACTGCTCCTCTCAGTAACAAACTTAACTCCAAGAATAAAAAAACTGGCGAAAGTAAAACAGCAGCAAAAGTCTCATAAAGGCGGTACTTAAATAAAATTGATCAGTAATTTATTATACTTCCTTGCTTAATTTCTATTCATGTGAAGTTGTAAATTGTAAAAACTACATATATGTGTGTGTATTATAGATTTATATAATTTCAACAAGAAGCGGACATTAGGCGTGGGAATACAAGAGATTTATGGCGCATCTGAAACATTATGTTTAAAACGTGGCGCATGGTATGTGAAAGGTTGGCCACCCCTGGCCTACTACCTTCTGTACTATTATTGTACGTGGATCTTACTGGATATACTATCTGCATACCTACCTAATTTTACCTTGTAATCAATCACACTACTGCACTAACGTTACTTCAAGATGAACAAGGTGTTACGTTGTAAACGTACGTTTGTCGTATATTTTGCCACTGTATGCAGTGCATCGTGCTCTGCCTTGCATCCAATCATTGTAGACTCATTATTACCCTTTGTTTGTAGCGTAAATTAGTATTATTATCTATTGTCTGGTTTAGCGTTTTCCTTTCGGTCATTTGCATCACGTATTCGTCGTGTAAAGAGTCGCAGTCGCAGTCGTATTTGTTATATATTGTAATTGTATTAGCCTCCCGGATCGGAAAACGTTTGGTGAGAAATTTGCCTTTTGTTGTTGTTATATGCTTTGACTTATGTTAATCAATTTTGTTTTATTTTATTTAAGAAAACCGCTGTTCTTTGCCAAGAATATAAAGAAGTGATTTATGCACGTGTCTTGTTTGTGGACAAAGGGGCTGAGAGTGGCGCGTTCGATACGTTTTCATTGTGTCTCGTCGATATAGATTCCGGGCTATCAAAAGACGTGACATAAAAGTTTTCAAACGAGCTTCAAAATTCAAACGATTTCAAGTCTCCAAACATAATTTGTGAAGTTTTCAATGATATTAACGTTAATACCAAAATTCTCAAGTTTTCAACCAAAGGGTTTTCAAACATTAATTCGGGTTCTCCAATAATGGCAACCGGTGGTAGGTCGGATGACCAACATCAGGCAATGATTAGCAATGCTCCTGGCAGTTTTAATGAATTTAAAACTCATCTAGATGTTGCAGGAGTTCCAGTGACGTTAGCGACGTGAGTTCTTCAGCGTCATCGACTTTCTCCGTCCGGAATGCAAGAGTGAAGTTGGAGCTGGCACGCTTAAAGGCCCGTCAAGAAGAAGAACTCTCAGCTTTAGAACGACTTGCGTAAGCTTCGGACAAGACACGCTTTACAGGCTGCTGAAACAGAATCAAAGGTTTGGGAAATGAGCGATGACGAATTTTTGCGGTGGGTAACAGTAGATAGAATTAGGCACGACAATAGCGTGAAATCCCGTGATTTCCCACCTAAATCACAGCTCATTGATAACGGTCGTGAAAATACTCCACGGCGTTTGCCGACTTTGCCTACACACACAGCTGATAGTAGCTCAGCTAATCCTGTGCCTCCACGTTTGAACCATGCTTTACATCGCAGAACTGTCGATCTACCCAAACCAGAAATTGCAAAATTTTCAGGTGATCCAATGGAATATTATTCCTTTATCCGCAACTTTAAGGCCCATGTTACAGATCTTGTAGATGATGATAACGTACGTCTGAGTTATTTGTTACAGCTGTGCCAGGGCGAAGCGAAAATGCCATTGATTCATTGCTCAATGATGGAACCGAGTCGCGGATATCGCGAAGCTATGAGAGAGCTGAAGAATGAATATGGTAAAGATCGTGTCATTTCCCGCACCTGTTTGGACAGGTTGAAGCGTGGTCCGAAGTTGAACTTTGACGTACGCGAAAGGTATGCAAGCGTATGCGCGACTGATGCGGAAATGTGGCTTAGTTTCTTGGAGAATCAGTGAGTACGACAATCTTTAATAATTTTTGAACAATTTGATGGCCATTGTTAAACGATTGCCACCAGAGTCGCAAAAACGCTTGGGATTTCAAAGTGGCAAACAATTTTAGAAACGGAGGATCGTGAAGCTAGTTTACAACGACCTCTCTAAATTTGTCACCGAGCAAGCTAATGTTTCAAAGTCAGACTTTCGTTTTGCCCGAAGAGATAGAAGGCAATCAAATTATTATGAAAATTCTAAGGCGAAAGGTAGTGCTTTTGCTATTTCTGCTAGTGGTTCAAATTGGCACTGCCCGTGTTGTAATTTCTCTCACGAATTATTCAACTGTAAGAAATTTAAAGTCCTTTCATGGTACGAAACGATATAACGTGGCTAGACGGAATCAGTTGTGCTTCAAATGCTTAAGACGAGGGCATATGTTTAGACAGTGCACCCAGAATGAAAGTTGCCCCATTCACGATTGTAAGTATCCGTTCCATCATGTTTTGTTGCATCGCGATTTCGAGACACCTACACGGCGAGATGGTATTAGTAAACAGACTTGTTCCGTCGTACCTCGATGAACCATGCGGATCACGACGTTCACGCTAATAAATTGGCGCCCGCAAAGCAACAAGGGAACACCGGTGTTTACATGAATATCGTCCCGGTGACAGTAACTGTGGCAACAGGGCTTTTGATACATACGCTCTTTTGGACTGTGCTTCTACAACCACCATGTGTAGTGTGAAATTGATGAACAAATTAAATCTAACCGGGGTGCCTATAGATGTTACATTGCAAACTGTTTGGTAATCGTCCCAAATCTGTTAAAGCAAAGAAGTTGTCCCCTCTACTCGTTAAAGAAAATTGACGGACATGACGATTGCATTGAATTGCCCAATCGTATTGTGCGTCAGTAACTTGCCATAAAGCCCAATAAGCTACCCTCGCGGCAGTTCTTGCGTAAGCTATCCTATTTGTCTGATATCGACTTTCCTCGAATACACGACGGTGAAGTGACTTTGCTGATAGGAAGCGGATGTTCCCGAAGTGTTTGTTGGTGGGAGGAATTTAGAAAGGGTCGGAGTCAAACAGCCGATTGCGGTGAAAACCCCTCTGGGTTGGTCTCGTTATGGGTCCGTCTCTGACCGTCTATGAAAACACTTCCATTAATTTCGTTGATACAAATCCTTTGGCGTCGCAGATTGAGCGACTTTGGCGTACGGATTTTGCTGACGTCCCCAGTATTTGTGACACTAAAACTTCCCGCGAAGATAGAATAGCGCGTAGTTGCATGGAAGACAAACTCAAATTTGTTGATGGACATTACGAACTACCTTTATTGTGGAAAATCAATCATCGCGAGTTACCATGTAATCAGAAAGTGGCGGAGAATCGCCTTCGTCAGTTAAAGCGACGTCTTTTCAAGATGACACATTGCACCAAAAATATATTCAGACATTGAAAGATTATGTTGTATAAGGATACGCTCGTATAGCTGACAGTCCTAGGTCGCCGAACATCTATCCAACAAAATGGTTATTGCCACATCATCCTGTGATAAACCAGAGAGCAGACGACTTCATTGACGCATTGAACGCTTTACTGGACGCAGAGGTCGTCCTGTTCACATATATTGCGACAATGGAAGCAATTTTGTAGGTGCTTGTCGCGAATTGAAAGAATCAATTAGCAAATGGAACGAGCAAAGTATTGCAAACCATCTGCGTCAACCGTGGACGTAGAATTTTAAACTTTAATCCTCCATACGCCAGTCATACGGGTGGCGTTTTTGAAAGAATGATTAAATCAACTAAACGAATTCTATCTGTATTGTTGACAGGTCAATCGATCACTCATGAGAAGTTGGAGACACTACTAGTTGAAGTGGAATCGATACTGAATTCCAGACCGATAACTCCAGTGATAATGGACCACTCAGCTGATGAACCGTTGACGCCCAACCATCTACTACTTGTTGTTTCGTCACCAAATGTATCACCAGGTGTATTCACGAAGCGTGATTGCTACGTTCGACAGCGATGGCGCCAGGTACAATATCTGGCAGATGAATTCTGGCGTCGATGGATAAAAGAGTACCTGCCAACAATAACACAAAGGTCGAAATGGACGAAAGGACGTGATAACTTCAAAAGTCGACGATATGGTTCTGCTAGTTGATGAATCGATTCCTCGCGGTCGATGGACTGTTGGAAGGGTTATAAATACCTTCCCAGACAAACATGGACTCGTCCGCTCAGTGTTGGTAGAACCCGCACAAATGTTGTCAGACGACCCATTACTATAACTAGTCGATTTCTAGAAGACCAAAAATAGTCCATCGAATTATTGTTTCATTTACAACGTTTAATTTTTAGAATATATTCCCTGGGTCATATATTCGGGTGGGGGGCTGTTACGTTGTAAACGTACGTTTGTCGTATATTTTGCCACTGTATGCAGTGCATCGTGCTCTGCCTTGCATCCAATCATTGTAGACCATTATTACCCTTTGTTTGTAGCGTAAATTAGTATTATTATCTATTGTCTGGTTTAGCGTTTTCCTTTCGGTCATTTGCATCACGTATTCGTCGTGTAAAGAGTCGCAGATATTTGTCTGTATTGTGGACTGTTTATGTTATATATTGTAATTGTATTAGCCTCCCGGATCGGAAAACGTTTGGTGAGAAATTTGCCTTTTGTTGTTGTTATATGCTTTGACTTATGTTAATCAATTTTGTTTTATTTTATTTAAGAAAACCGCTGTTCTTTGCCAAGAATATAAAGAAGTGATTTATGCACGTGTCTTGTTTGTGGACAAAGGGGCTGAGAGTGGCGCGTTCGATACGTTTTCATTGTGTCTCGTCGATATAGATTCCGGGCTATCAAAAGACGTGACACAAGGAAGTCCAAACCCAGATTCTGGCAGCTATCTCATCTCTTCAGGCCAAGCAAGAAGAGCTAATGTCACATGCAACTCTATTATCTGCCTCTAAAGACCATGGCAACCAGTCCCAGGATATCATTAAGTTCCAGAATGACGTGGCTCAAATCTCCTCCAAGATCCAGGAGATTATTAGCAGGCTGGAGACTTGTGAAAAGCAACAGGACGATTTAGAACAATACAGCCGAAGAAACTGTGTGATTCTCCATGGCTGTAGTTCTGTGCCAGAAACTGAATACCATAAGTTCGAAGACTTCGTAGTGAAAATCTCAACGACAGCCTTAAACCCAACCATCCTATTGTGAACACTGACATTGATATTACTCACAAATTAAAATCAAAGATCTCCGAAGAACCCCATCATCAGCAAATTCGTCAGAAGATCAACGAAGAATATGGTGTATG